GGGGTCACACATCGGCAGTATTCACGTGTGCCTCTTGCTTCTGGTGGGGTGACCTACGACGCGGAAATCGGCACCAACCTCCATGAGTGGGAAGACCTCATTGGCATTCGGCTTCCCGAGTCTGTCCTCGACGGCCGAGATGTTATTGATGGAGTCGTTCTTCGTCTTCGTCAGGAGGGTCTGGCTGCAGTTGCAAAGGATGACCCGGAGTTCCGCTCTGACGGCTACTTCACCTTCGGCCAGACCAGCCAGGCAGAGATTGACATGTTCGTGCGCTCGCTACTTCCGAAAGGGTTTTCCCTTCTCGACAGCGACCTTGCCAACAACCCGCCTGCTGGATACGAAAAGCGGGCAAAGCCTGAGGGCTCGCTTGACTGGGTTGTTCTCAAGGTAGCCTATAACAAGATACATGTTGTCGACCACCACTCCGTCATTGATGTTGAGTTTCTTCGGCGCTTTGCGACATCTCCATCTCATGCAGTAAGAGAGCGCTTGTTCATTGGTGGGTCCTGTACTTGAGACCTATTGGCCAGGGGATGATACTGATATTCTTTGTAGCTCCGAGGCGCCGTGTTGTTCTCGATCCAGGCTTACGCTTGGCAGGCTCGCCACTGTCCGATAATGACAGTGACAACGAGCATGGCTCATTGGGGTCACACAGTGACACAAGTGACCGCTCTCGCCATTCCGACGATGAAGCTCCCTCTGTCAAGGGTAAAGGTAAAGCGGTTGCTACGAGTAAGTCGTGTATATGGCTCTATGTTTTCATTGCTAACTGGGCATGTGACCAGGCTCTCGTACCTTGCGAAGCCAACATCGCAAGAGCAGCGAGGTTGTGATCGACTTTGACGATTACACATTGTCTGACGACGCGAACGATGATGCCTCTTATAACTACTTCGATGATGGCTTGCGAGGTGACGGAGGCTACTCATCAGGCTCTGATGGTCTCCTGTTGTCAGCTGAGCAGGATGCAACGGTCTCCCGGGGCATCAGTCCTTCTGGGAGTACCAAGCGCCCGCGCTCTATCTCCCCAACAAGCACCATCGAGGATGTTCCTGAGTCGTCGACAGCTGCTCGTAAACGCCGTCGTGAAGGTACTGTGATTTCTGTCGTTTGTCCAACCTCTGCTGACGATAGGAACCTGTAGGTACTATCACCAATCGTACACTTGAGGAAAGTTCTCGCACTCTCTCACAGCTGACGGTCGAAGATGACGAGGAGGTTGCACCGCTGCAGCCTCCTAGCAGCAATCGTCTAGCTCGGGCTGAGTCCGAGAATAAGCGCATCGATAGAATTCAGGATGTCTGGGCCAACCTTCGTGGCAAGTAGGTTATGTGTTAATTCGCGCCTCCAAAGTGTTCAACACACTTGAGTCTCCGTCTCCATTTCGTCCTACCTATATTGTGTGCCTCACCACACCCTCTCCATGCCCATCAGCGCAACTGCTCGGGCTGTTGTCTCTTCACATCACTACAGTCTGGTACATGGCTTGATCTTGATAGATGTCCTCTCTTGTATGACCCATAATAGCTATACCCAAACAATATATTCTGTGTTCAACCACACTAAAATGCTGATAAATTCATTATTTCCTGGGATTTATTTCTGGCTGCGGGGTGTATAACGAACACATTCCGAGAGTGCAGACAAGTTTGTATGGTAGGTGTAAGGTATGTGCACCATGTGGGCTGAGCACCGAGATGCTATATCGGTATACGGAGCATGACTGGCGCCTAGAGGGGATTATTTCTTGGTATTTATTTCCGGCTCCGAGAAGCATAACGAAGGTATAGCGAGGGTGCCAATGTGCTCGTACAGGATGTTCAAGGTATATGTACAGTGACGAATGAGCCCCGGATAGCTATACCGGCATACAGAGTACTATAGGCCGTGCCGACGGGCACTTGACCGAAAAAACCGGACTTGGCACCGACACGCGGCTGGTTTGAAGACTTGTAAGCTTGGCAAGACTGTTCCATATGGTACTGGGATGGGCTCTGAGCATTGGCACAGGACGTGCAGGGGATACGGTGGCAGTACAGACCATGCACGGTCTGCACGGGAGGAGAACATGGAGAGCGATGGTGTACAGGAGGGCTCGCGGAGCCTGCACTGGTGTGGTATTGCATTTTATACATCACTGTAAGCACTACATAGCATATCGTATCCGTACGTCACACGCTGTACCTTGTACGGTACTGCCGACTGGGCCGTGTGGAGTCTCGAGCTCTGGGATCAACTTTTCCCACGGTCTACTGTATATTTATCGGCTCAGAAAAATGTGTGTGTGAGGGAATCTACGTCTACTCTATGCATGACATGTACAGAAGTGTGTGTGTGTGTGTGTGCGACAGGATGTGTGTGTGTGTGAGGGCGAAGTGTGTGTGTGACCGACCGAATTTGAGACGAATAATTAATCGTCACTTAAACCACCATATCGCACTGACACTGTTCCGCGTCAACAACGGCACGGTCAAGGACTTCCAAATTCAGGCGCAGCCATTCTGGTGCAACACCGTTGCTGAGTCGAGTGATGTCGTGTATGATGGGATGTTGTGCAACGCAACCAACACCAACCCGGAGTTCTTCGGGCAAAAGTGTGTGCGTTTTGCCTATAGAGGCTTACCATATGCTCACCTTCTGCGCAGTATTGTCCCTAATACGGATGGCATCGACACCTACCGGAGCACCAACGTACAACTGCTAAACTGGGATGTACGTCCGATGCATGCTTGCGCTCTGCGTGTTCTCATATCGCGTCCTTCCAGATCACTTGCGGAGATGATTGCCTCGCCATCAAGGGTGTACGTTCGCCAACAACGGCGTCTTGACACGTGCTTACGCTGAGCAATGAAGAATACGACAAACCTCCTCGCAGATAATGTCAGCTCGCCTTCATCTGTCTATCATACTGGATGGGTTAGGGCTCACCTCGATCGTCAGATTACTTGCCGCGGAGGGGATGGCGTCGCATTCGGTTCTCTAGGACAGTACTACAACTTGGTAGATCATCTGTCGCTTATCTACGTTCTTTCGCTGAATGATGCTCGTCCCAGATCGACAATGTGGACAACGTCACTATCAGTAACGTCCTAGTAAGTCATCCACATTGCATGACTACGTGCTCGGTGTCCTCATGTGCCACTCACAGGTCACTCGCATCAACTCTTCGATCCAGCCTCTTATGCACTCGGGCCTGTACATGAAGGCGTGGACAGGTGCAATCAACGGCGTGCCACCCGTAAACGGAGGGGGTGGAAGTGGTGAGTATCGTATAGCGTGCTGCACTCCGGAGATGGCCCTACTGAATATACTGAAATGGTCAGGGACCGTGTCTAATGCTCGATTCATCAACTTCACCGTCGAGGACCCCGACTTCCCAACCCTGATCGACCAGACGTACGGAGGGAACAGCACAGATAACCCATCTAAGATGCAGTTCATCAATATCACCTGGGAGAACTGGTCTGGTACAGCTGCGAACTCTACGGGTTCGTCTCTCCATACTCCTCCCTCAGTCATGTTGATCCAACTGCAACGGATCTCCAGTTGTGGACCTCGAGTGCAGCTCTACCGCACCGTGCGAGAACTTGGCGTTTCTCGAGTTCAACATTACAGTTCCGTCGGGGGATACGCCTGACTTCGAATGCAGCAATTCAGTCAACGTGACGGGAATCTGTGAGTTGCCCTCACCGCCTCGTCGTTCCGCGGATGCATTGTGCTCATTGATTGCACAGCTTGTTGATGCAGCACGAATATTAATAGGATCTCGATATGTCACTTTCTTGTCCGTCCTTCCTCGTAGCTATATAGCATACAACGGTGGTATAAAGCCTCACGTGGGCGTTCTAAGGATTGAAGCAAGCAGACGCCATCAAGTAACGCCAGCTTCGGCATGAGTATTCGGAGTATTGAACGTCACTAGTGCTGGAGTTACATCCTACGAGTATGAATATCATGCTTCTACATGTGTCCCATCCAGTATCCCGTCTAGCTGGCCCCAAAACTCGACCTTCTTCTCCTTCCACGTAACCTTCCACGAGTTCAGGCAAGACGCACATAGGCCATTCCTTTCCTCGTGCGGAAGCTCTATACCTCGTAACGTCTCGAATCCGGCAATAGGATCCATCCACAAGTCGCGCGCCTTGGTGTTGTCGACGATGGTTCCCCATTTGTAATATAGCAGATCATTTCTCCGCGCCACGCAGGTCGACTTCTCTCCGCTCGCCTTTTCGTTATCCTTGCACACCCTACTTCGCGGAAAGGGCTTGCTGATGATCCCCATCCAGACAGTCGTACAAAGTTGCCTGGCGCGGGTAAGCAGGTTGTAATCGGCGTTATTTATCATTGGGGCGGCGTCTTGTCCAAAGCTCTCACGCCGCAGAAGTTCGTAGAATGCGCCTTTGTAGATCTCAGGCACACCGGCATCTCGGGATAGCTGCAAAGCAGCTGACGCATACTCGACGCACAATAACCAGTCGTCCGGCTCGTCTCCGATTCTATCGAGATTGCTGGGCCAATAGCCATGCAGTTCCTCTGCGGCCCAAGCGTGTATGATGTCGAACTTCAGGAGATGTGTCGCTAAGACCACAGAACTAACGAAATCGAGGCTAGGAGATTCAGCCGCTCTGGAACTGCTCTTCATCAGAGCCGAATTGATCAATCAACATGGCAGGAAGCTCACATGAGAAGAGGGTTCTCCATTATTTCCAGCAAACGCTCGAAGTCGGCAACGTGCAGTCCATCGACGGACAGTACATAGAGAGGGAGGGAGGCACCATTATCGATCGCGAACTCAGTCGCATGGTGTTGGGCGTCGGCGAAGAGCTCCCGGAAGAATGTCGATTGCACTGATAGGAGTGTCTTGTGAAGCCGAAAGAGTGTTTGTTCGACTTGAACGACGACGCTCCCATCCTCGTAAAAGTACTTGGGATGACGTTTAGGACCGCGTTCTCCAGGAGACTCCGATCGGGGAGGTTGTGTTTCACGATCCCTTCCTGCGTTGCCCTCTGCGGCTGGAGATAGCGTTCTGTCGGGATTGAAGCCTGCGTCAGGTTGCTCGGCGTATGCTGGTGGCGACCTCGATAAGAGGTCCAGTCGCGGGCGTTTGGGATTCTGAATATCTTCCGGAGGAGTATCGTCCTCAGATGCTTCGCGTTTCAAGCGAGGGGACTGTGCTGGTGACGGCGCTTCGATAACATCAATGTCCGACATGGTATCATCATTGCCAGCTTCGATATCCATGCTGTTTGAAGAGATACTGGGCGTCAAAAGCAAGAATAGGCAGTCAGAGTGCTGAGCAGACAGTAGGATGCGGTGCTGAATGAAGATCAAGACCTTCGTGCTGGTTGATGGCGGTCAAGGCCGGGACTCAATCAGGGGTTCAACGTTCAACGATCAGTCATTTGCGATCAGTCATCAATCCCCCTATTGGGACTTCTCTCTCCGACATACCCTCTTACCTGCTTATTTCACATGACCTTTTCCTACGTATACCTACTGATCATGCGCCATCCACGACAGTCGTTAACGACGATGTCACTGAGGTACCCATATCTGCGAGCCTATGATCCTGATAGATGTGATAGAAGAACAAAAATAATCAATACAGCAAGGCGCAAAGTACCATAGCCAACTCAGAGGACCGAAAGCTCGACCTTCTTCAACAACCCTTTGAGCGTATTCGTGCTCCTCTGACAGTTCGCGACCAACCACCTCTCGAACTCTTCCCTTACCACCTCCAAGTCTGCAACGATCGGCAACTCGCCATCCGGACGCACAGCAGCAGGGTTGAGCAGCATATCGAACAGTTTCGTCCACAGCGCCGTCTGCCAGTACCTCTTCAGCGGCGTGACGAGCCGTGCGCGTCCGTCGGACCCTGTAGCAACGGCGCCCGCATCGATGTACCGTCCAAAGAGCATGCAAAATACGATACCCGCGAGGCCAAAGTAGTCCGCGTGATACGTCCATGGTTTGCCCGCGCGCATCTCGGCACAGTCACGCGCATCGGTTGCCCATTCCGCGATGAATGACTGATCTTCGGGGAAGCGCGTTGTGTCGATGGCGCGCCCGAAGTCGATGAGCGAAACGCCTTTGCGAGACCAGCCGTTGCCGCCGGACGGGTCGTAGATCCCGCTCCAGCTTGCGCCGGCGTCTTCAAGGCGGAGAAGGCAGTTGTCGATCTTCAGGTCGCCGTGAATGATGCCTGCACTGTGCAAACCGCCCAGCAAGCGCAAGAGCTCGACAGTGAAGAAAACGACAAGGAGCTCGTCGAGGCATGCGCCTTGTTGGACGACTCCGGCTGCAGGCGCTTTGTTGATGATGTCCAGGAGCGACCCTTGGGTGCAGAGCGAGAGTACAAGGAAAGACTCGTCGTGATAGGTGTATAGTGCATGCGGTTGTACGACGGATCGGCAGAGGTGCGGTGGGAGGGAAGCATGTACTTTTCGTAGGATATAGAACTCCCAGAGGTTGCGCGGCTTGACGATCTTCAGCGCGAAGCGGGAGTGGGCATCCTCGTCATCGTCGTCTTCATCATCATCGTCGAGGTCGTCATCGTCCTCGTCGTCATCGACCAGGCGCGACTTGAGCTCTCGTGCAGCGAAGACAGCGCCGAATCCTCCCTCGCCGAGTTTCTCGTATACCATGAACCGCCTGTCGCCCAGCTCAACACTGACGCCCCTCGCATCACCATCCGATCCCCTCGCCTTCTTCCTTGCGAACTTCTGCAGACCCTCGAGTTGCCCAGCATCCTGCCTCGCGAAGTCGACGTGTGCCTCGTCTGGGGAGACCGTTGCGAGTAAGGATGCGATGATAGGTGGGTCGAATGGATTGCAGGGGTTCGGGACCGTGCTCACGCGGTTCACGGCGTCCAACGTATCCGCCAAGCTCAGCGTACCCGTACGCTCCTCCACATACGCCGTCAGGCCCGCGTGTTGCTCATGTAACGACGGTCCATCGATCGTATGTCCGTCCGAGATCCTAAACGGTGGTGGCCTGCGCCTTCCCAGCGCATCCTCCTCATGCCCGAACTCTTCATCATCCTCGTCGCCCGCATCCACCAACATCCTATTCGTCCCCGGTCGACTCGGCATCACATCCGTATCCCCGCGCACTTCCGCCGCAAGACGCGCCGCAGCACTGACCGCATCAGGCTCGTTGAAGAATCGGCCGGTACCGCCGCTGGAATGTACGGAACCAGCATGACTGCCAGTGTACTCGTATGTGCGCTCAGTGATAGGCGTCATGACGTCGAACTTGCCGAATCGCCCGCCGAGAGGCGTCTTGTGCCCGTTGCGCACTGGCCCGTCCAGGTCGTCGTGCTCGTCGATGAACTCGGCCTGTTGATCGGCGTAGACGTATTGCCGCTCCTCATCTGGGTATGACTCTACTTCGTACTCCTCCGCTCCCTCTTCATCTCCGTCTTCCTCGCGGAGAGAGTACTCAACCTCCTCAACCTCCTCCTCAGACTCTTCCTGTAACGGCTCCTGCGTCATGGCAAACGCAGACCTCAACGGTTGTCGCTCGCCTAGCGGCGTTCGACTAGGTGTAGGCGCCCCGGCATTCTCGTCTACGAAGGGAGTGAAAGCTCCTCCCCGTGCTGGAGTAGGCCCAGCGTTCTCCGACGGTCGAGAGAATACCCTGAAGCTAGGCGTCGTCTGTGCGAGGGGTGTGAACGCAGGCTTGAGGCTCGTCGGCGCGGGCGTCTTCGCCTCGGTGGATTGAGCGCGGAATACACCGAGCGAGCCGGCTGGAGTGAAGACCTTGGAGGTATTTGAGCTGGCTACGGGCGTCTTGGCTGGAGTCTCCTTGACGGAAAAGGCCTTGCGTGTTGAACCGGGCGTGAAGGCATTGGATCGCGGAGGGTTCTCGGAGTCTACGAAAGGCTTAAACTTTGGGTATTGTCAGCGTCTATAGTAAAGTAAGGGCAGACGGAGCTTACCTTGATCGAAGCCACGTTCTCTTTCCGCCCGGCATTCTCGTCGTCGACGTAGGGCTTGATCGATCCTATCCGTGCCATCAGCATAGTACCACAAGCAGTCTGCGGTCATATACGCACCAGGCGTCTTGGCGCTGGGAACCGGATTCGACGGTGTCTGCGGTTGCAGGTCGAACCTCGGCGGTGTGATAGCATCGATCTTGCGAACAGGAGCATGCTTCCCGCCAGGCGTATTGTCGAATGTGACCGACTTGTCCGGCGAGTTGTACATCCCAAAGACATCGACCAATGCCGCCTTCGTATTGATAGTAACGGTGGGTTCACTGCTGAAACCGATACTTCGGCGGTCCATGCGTCGCTCGATGTAGCGCTTGCTCGACTTGGTTCCATCGTCATTGAAGTCGATTTGCCGCGTGAGATCTGTGGTAACCTCTTGCGACACCGATATGTCGGGAGAATCGGGCGGAGAAGAGTATTGCACCGCTTGTGGCTGGGGTATAGGCGGGGGCCGCGGTGGAGATGGTTCTCGAGGCTTGTAGCGTGATGATCGTGCTCGGACCTCAGCGATGTTGTATTCGACCTTGCCGTCAGGGAATAGCAATGAGAGGTCCGCTCGTAAGCGCTCTGGGCGCTTAGTAGGTAGAGCTGGTGCACGGATGACAGCGTAGCGCTCTTCGACGGACGTTGAGGTGAACGCGGATAAGGCAGGCGTAGACGGCTTGGGAGCGGCAGGAGCGCCGCTTCGAGATGATGAAGCCGCTGCGGCAGAGCTTGAAGAGGCAGGCGCTCTCGTAGCAGGCTTGGAAGGAGCAGCTTTTCCCGCGTTATGGTACTTGAGCGGGTCCACGCGCAATGCGTCCGTCTCCGGTGTGCCCTTATGCCGAGGCAAAGTCACGGTAGCGGTGGGTGGCGACGCTCGAGGTACGGTAGAGATGCGCGAGCGGAAAGCGTCGAGTGCTTTACTCAACCGTGCAGGAGGTCTTGCCTTGCGTTTGATACCGGCTTCAAGCACTTGTTCGGCTGCGCTATGCCTGGAGAATATGTTAGTGATCGATGCGAAACGTGGTAACCACCGCAACTACCACGAGGTAGCGCATGTCATGACCAAAATGACAATACCTATTTTCCCTCTCCAACGCCAGAGCATACTCTTCGTATAGTCGTGCCAGTGATGTGCCAATGCCGTGCGAGAGTATAAACTTGAAGACCGTACTGGGCTTGTCGACGAGCAGAGCGTATGTAGTCCAAAGTTTCAGATATCGCAGATCGCCCTTGTAGCTTGTATCTCCAAGTAGATATCGAGTACCTTCCTCCAAGAACTCCACAATTCCAGATAGATGCAGTTGCGCTGGCGGAAACTTGTCGAGCGTCCAAGTAAGGTGGTTGTCGTACAGTGCAAGCGGGTCTTCGGCGTCGTCGATGTCGGCTTTGATCTTCTTTCGACGCTCTGCGGATTGAGCGACAAGCGTAGATATTGATCCAGAAGAGCTTGAAGAGGAAGCCATGGCGTTGGCCATCGCGGTCGAGAGTCAAAGCGCTTCGAGTGGTAGCGCGTGGACTTGAACCATCACGTTACCGCGACTCGACGCGTCGCGACGCGTCCAACTTCTGAGAAGACGCGTTTTCTTGTTTTTCTGCTCCTCCCACCATTATCGCACCGCCATCTTTCGACCCTCCTCTGCCGCCCCTTTCCGATATATATATATTGCTCGATGCACTTCTTCTTTTGAGGCCCTTCGGGGCAGGAATCCTACAGATCTCCCACCGCCACGCGTATTGGTGACTATTCCATGTCGACAATCAGGGTGGGACTGAGAAGTGCGGCGAAGTGCCACAATTCACGCACTCAGGAGGGCTCTATCAACTTGATATTATTCGTATGATGCTATCTGCTACTACATGCGCTCCTCTGGGTCCTACTTACGAAGTTCCATCTGTCCGCACCGCCAATGCTCCCTCGTCCTCGCTACTGGAGAACCACTCACTCCTCGGTCAGCACCCAGCGACAAGTGCCAGTCAAATCATGCGCGTGCGTGCAACGAAAGTGCGTCCTCCGCGAACACGGCGCTCCTTCCAACCACTGCGGCCTGCCGTTCCACCGCCATGACGCTCGCGGGCGAAGGTGATCTCGGAAGCTTCGCCGCTGATTGCCCTCGCCTCTGAGCCTTATGAGCCTCATGCGTCGTAAAACCGTGCTGCGTCCTCCTTTATTTCGAGTTAGGTCGAACGGCTGGCTACCCGCAGCGACCAGATTTTGCATCCGAGCGGTGGGAAGTCGCCGCACAGTCATCCCCCGTTATGTCTCGCACAACGGTCAACCGTGCACGGATGTGTGGATGCGGCTCCCGCTGACCAGAGCGTAATCGACGTTGAGAGGAGGTCGCAAAATCGGGGTGTCTTATCCGTACAATTGCCGCCAGAACGAAGATCCACATCGAAAAGGTCAACTGGTAGGGAGATCTCGTCAGCAAACTGGTCATGGGATCCCGCAATGTCAACTTGTCACCGTAGCCACAATCGATGAGGCGCATCAGGTGGCGAGCTGCGGGCCAATAATCCAACGATCCTAAGAGACCGGCTGCAGAGGTCGTACACAGAGCTGACAAGGCGTCAAGGCGTATGGGCGGGTGGCGCAGTGCTGAGGCCCTGAGCTGTCGAAACGTCGAGCTCTCTAGGTCCTCCAGACACCAGAAAAGGCATAGATGCGCGAAGACCGGACCAGTTATCTGCGTTTGGTCCGTCACGCGTCAGGGCGGATCGAAGGTCCTGGCATGCAGACAAGGGCGCCCCGCAGGAAGTCTCAGCGAGTAGGCTTTACGGAAGCAAACGGTGCCGCGGGGTAGTCTGGGGTAAGAAGGTTGCGCGCGGGTGCGGGGCGAGGCTCGATGGTCGATAGCAAAGGTACGGCCGCTCACAGGACTCCAATCCCCATCACAAGGCGACGCTACCAAGAGACGAATGATCTCACGAGGAGAGGTCACATTAGCCGCGCGCGGTCAAGCGCCAAGGTTGCAATTGCGGCAGCGATGCGGGGATGCGCCACCTACAAAAAGCTGCTAGATGAAGTTCGTAAAGATGGGTCCCCTCGTCCGTTGAACCGCACTACGCACCATGGCAGGAATCGCAGCACATAAGCCCATCCACCTCGCCGATGCCGACCCGCGCCCGGCCTTCCTCCAGCGCTGGGAGCGCATCCGCCATCGTCAAGCCCATTTGTTGGTCGAGCTCGTCGCTGAGTTCTGGGGAGTGTTTTGCTACGTCTACTGCGGTGAGTCGTCCTGTAAGAAAGTGTGATCAGCGGTGTCCTGACAAACGCACATAGGTGTCGGCGCCACGGCCTCATTCAGTACGTACCGCCTATTTCCCCTTCTGTAGACCGTCGTCTCACGTCCCCTTCATAGTCTGCGGGAACGCACTCCAGGTTACGAACTTGGGGTCCTTCTTCACTATCGGTATCGCGTACGCAATCGGAATTATCTTCGCTCTTGTGGTTGCCTCGGCCACGTCGGGTGGTCACTTCAACCCGGGTATCACGCTGTGCTTCGTGCTCTTCAAGGGCTTCCCCAAGCCCAAGGCCCTCGCCTACGTCGCGACGCAGATCTTCGGCGGTATGATTGCCTGCCTGCTCGTCTACGCGCAATGGCATGACTTGATTGTGGTAAGCCCCACTTCCACCTGCTACGAAGGTAGCACGGGACTCCCGGACGCTCAACTGATCCCGACCCGGCGTATAGGAAACCGAGGCCGTCATGGCAGCTGCGGGCGAGCTCGACGCTATCAAGTTCACTGCGAACGGTCCGGCCGGTATCTTCGCGCTGTACGCGCCCGTAGGCGCCCATCTCGGCTTGACGCTCTTGAACGAGTTCGTCTGTGACTTCTTCATCGGCATGGTCATCTTCGCCTCGACCGACCCCACCAACTTCTTCGCGCCCCCCGTCGCTGCTCCGTGGCTCATCGGTCTTGCATAGTGAGTTGCAAGTCTGGGCGTCGAGTTGTAGAATTGTGGCTGACGACCGTGGGTAGTGCTGTCTGTGTTTGGGGATTCGCACCCCTTGGACGTGAGTATATCTGTCAGACCTGCAACGACACGACAGCTTACCGTTGCTTTTAGTCTCCACCAACACCGCCCGTGATCTCGGCGGACGTCTTGCTGTGCTGGTCATCTGGGGAAGGGACGCCGCCGGCGGTAACTATGCCGCCCTCGCCGCCCTGACCAACTTACTTGCCACGCCATGCGCCTTCATCTTCTACGAGATCTTCTTCAAGGACTCGAGCCGAGGTGAGCGTCATGCCCAGTCGTACCGTGTCCGCAGAGGCGCTAACCGAATCAATGTCAACAGTTCTGACCTCCGGTGGCAACGAGATGCTCACGGGTCACAAACTCCACCAAGAGCACCGTATCCAGAACATCAGCGGCGGTCGCACCGCCGCCACTGCGTCGCCCGACTCAGAGCTTGGCGAAAAGTCGTATGAGTCTCATCGCGAGTATGCCTCGTAGACGCCTCGACGTAGATTCCTTTGGGGTCCTGGGTTGTTCTTGGTTTTCGACGCACATCGCTACGCCTGCCGTCTGTATCGCCCTGTTCTGAAAGGGACATTTGTACCTGTACCATCACTATGTTCATGAGCTCGATGAATGCCTGTTTTCTTGCGCGTAACCTGAGTGGAGTGAGCCGGAAAGAGTGTTCGCCGTAGCCGGTTGAAAAGCATGTGCCATTAGCCATAGATATGAGATAAGCAGAGCGGTCACAAGGCAGACACAAGAGTCGACGCGTAGAATGTGAAAGCATCCAGAAGTAGGATGGTGGACAGGGATAGTGAGTACAGTTAGAGCTTTGCAGACCCAAGACCAGCCTCGGAGACCCGGAGAACCCTAAAAGAGATTGTCGTTTGTCAGTACTTGAACAGCACGCAGAGGGGATACGTACAGCTTTCCGGTATTTCCGCCACGGTATAGCAGTGGCATCGTCTCGGGCGCGTTCTCGAGCCCGTCGACAATCTGGAAGCGCCGTTTGAGTTTGCCGTCTTTCAGCCACTCCGCCATCTGTTGTCGCGCCTCCGCGTAGTGTCGTGCGTAGTCGAAGCTAGGTAGGCGCTATTGAGTAACATTGAGAGCGAGGGGATGAAAGTGGCACGTACACAATGAACCCCTGTATCTTCGCGCGCTGAGAGATCAAGTTCATATAAGACGACAAGCCTTTCGGCGCCTCGCTGTCTGCGGAATGTTAGCTGCCTCCATCAAGTCATAACAGGTAAGAGCCGTACTGTAGTCGGAGATCGCACCTATATGCGCGCTGTCAGAGACGTAGCAGCAAAGAGCGACGATGATGCGTACCACAAAGAACGATCCGCGCGTCCTTGTTCAACCGCGTGAGCATGAAATTGAGCATGTCACCGCCAACATTGTCGAACATGCAGTCCAGATAGCCGACCTGCTTCTTGAAGTCCTGGAAGAAGGTCTTGCTCTTGTAGTTGAGCGCGAGGTCGACGCCGAGGTCTTGCTTCAGCCAGTTGCACTTGTCTTCCGTGCCGGCAATGGCGACGACCTTCGCGCCCTTGATCTTGCCGATTTGGCAGACGAGGGACCCTGTGGCACCAGCCGCCCCAGTGACGACGAGGGTCTCGCCCGCCTTGATCTTGCCGACTTCGAGTAGACCCTGGTAGTGAGGTCAGGTTATGATAGGCCATATGCTTCGAGTGTGAGCGTACGAAGTAGGCGGTCATACCGGTCATACCCAAGGGTCCGAGGTAGTCGAGGAAGTCAGCGCCCGAGGGGACCTTCGCGGGGGTGCAGAACTTGTCGTCGAGGACAGCGTACTCAGTCCAGCCTTGGTATGGTTAGTATTAACGCGCTACGAGGTTCAAGGACGTGTACATTACCTGGTGCACATGAGAGAAGATCACCGGGCTTGTACCTCGAGCCTTCGCCAGACTGTACAACAGTGACCAGGCCATCTGCGCGCATGACTTCTCCAAGACCGACAGGCTTGATATAGCTGCGCGCATCCCGAAGCCAGCTCCGCATAGCAGCATCGAACGCAAGCCAGTTGACCTTGACCAGGACCTGCTTCGGGCCCGGCTTCAAGTCGAACGCGACTGTCTCGCGACGGAAAGTGTTGGCATCGACATCCCCTGTAGGCCTTTGCTGGAGAACAATGCGCGTGTACTGGGAAGGGGCCATCCTAGGGTTCGTGGGGGAGCGTGCTTAAAAGGAGAATCCGGGGTACACTGATTGCGTGCTGACTTTTTGTGCTCAAGTGAGAGAGTGCGGGGTACGGCGAGATGGCCGAACACCGAACCGGCACCGGCAACTGAATACCCGGCCAAGGGACACCCAGCCAGTTCAACATATAGGTCACCCGACCATTTCCGGCTACCGCCTCTACCGGTCTTCGACTTCTCAGTCATCTATCTTCCTGTACGCACGCCGCCACGGAGATATGACAAGGGGCAGAAGCGCGCACTCGGAAGGCGCTCGCGTCCTGGGCGCGCAACGTGTCTTGTGGACGTGTCGCGCGCGCAGTGAAGCTCGGGGCCACAATCCACTTCAACTCTTACCCTCACTTATGTGTACTTGAGTCTGCGCAACCGGCCATGGTGTTCACTCCTTCGGTCTTCTTAATACTCACCCTCGCGTCCCTCATTCTCGTAGTCGCCGCTGCGACAGACTACTATAGAGTCCTAGACGGTCAGCCGCGCGGGATCACTTTGTGGAAGCTGTAAGGCTGATACTGGGTGCATCTTAGTTCATAGGTCTGCTTCGGATCAGGACATTCGGAAAGCGTACAAACGTCTAAGTCGACAGTATCATCCCGACAAGAATAAGGATCCGGATGCAGAGACGCGCTTCGTAGAAATCGCGCGGGGTGCGCCACAGGCTATTTCTTGGCTTGAACTCATCTCTGACCTTGACCAGCGTACGAGGTTCTCTCCGACACGCAGAAGCGCCAGATATATGACCGACACGGAGAGGTGCGCCTAATCTACCCTCGAAGTGTTCGCGCCCAGGTTAAAGCTCGTTTAGGAAGGATTGAAGGCACACGAAGGCGGGCAACCGCATCATGCGAATCCCTTTGACATGTTCTCATCCTTCTTTGGTGGTGGTGGACGTACGTTGGCCAACACTTGACTTTGGCTCGATCCTGATTGCATATAGATCCTGGGCATGATCAGGTTCGCCGCGGACCGACGTCTGTATCTGATTTCGAGGTTCCCTTGGCGGACGTCTACACTGGCGGGTCTGTTGATGTGCGTGGTACTTTACGTCCAGAGATCGATGAGCGTGCATACTTATCCCTGCCTCCAGTTCATGATCAAGAAGAAAATTCTATGCGATCACTGTCGTGGCTCCGGCGCTGCTTCTGACGAAGACATACACACATGTCATGCATGCGGAGGCGCCGGCGTACGGTTACAAAAACAACAAATCTTCGCCGGCATGTTCGCCACCACGCAAGCAACGTGTAACGAGTGCGGGGGGCGCGGAAAAGTGATCAAGAAGAAGTGCCCGCACTGTCGTGGCGAGAAGGTTATCGATTACTCTGGCTCGTACACGCTCGAGATCACGCCCGGTGCACCGGAAGGTCATGAGGTTGTGTTTGAGGGAGAGGCGGATGAGAGTCCGGACTGGGAGGCTGGAGATGTTGTACTCAGGGTACGCACACAGAAACAGAAGGGCGGCTTTAGGAGAAAGGAGACAAGCTTGTACTGGAAGGAAACCATCGGCGTAGACGAGGTGCGCTACCCGTCTTTTGCTATTACCTATCGAGACCGTACAGCATCTGACACGCTCGATACAGGCGCTTTTAGGCTTCGAGCGCAACCTGACGCATCTGGACGGGCATGTAGTAACGTTGAAGCGTACGGGCATCACCCAGCCTGGCTTCGTGCAGACCATCAAAGGTCAGGGTATGCCGGTCTTCGAGCGTCATAATGAGTTCGGTGACCTTTTCATTGAGTACAACGTGGTCTTGCCCCTGAGCCTCTCGACTGAGATGAAGACGCGTGCGTACGCTCTATTCTTCCGGACGGCCCGCGGTTGATAATTCGTCCAGATCTCGCCGAGGCTTTCTACGGCAAGGATAGCTATAGAGCAGATAGGGACGAGTTATAGACGGGACTGTAATGTTTATTCGCTTTCGGGATGCGCATAGACTTGGGATTATTTCGGGCGACCTGGGATCGTACCCACAACGCGTACCGCGGCGGGGTACGTACTCCGTGTTGGGGCCGCGGTTATCCGTGTTCACGAGAGAGTTGGCTTACCGATGACTCTCGACTCGACGGATGTCTTGCCGCTGACGCGCGTACCGTCTTCTTCCCGGTGCAAGAGCGCGTCCATCTGCCTGCTTCTTGTCCATCGTCTCGCATTCTAGCGCTGTTTGACCTATTCGACGCTGCGTTTCGCCCTTCAAGCCCTCACGCTCACGAAGTGAACCGCCCAAATGGCCGACGCCGTGGATGACGCAGGCTAATAAACTTCGATGGGGTTGAAGTATTGAATTGAAAGAAGCTGTTAGGATCTCATAATGGGGCTTATTTTCTGCATCAATCCGCCTCGCGAACTTCTCCGCCCTTGTTCTCCTACTATAAACGGAAATACCGACGCGCTTGGCGCGTTACAGGTGGCTCATCTAGCCGTGCCGTCCGCGGCACAGTTTCAAATGGTCGACTAAGCGAGCCTCGTGCCGTCCTCGCGAGCCCCAGCCGTGCAGCGAAATTACCTACGCATCGATCCGGGCTAACGGCTATATAAACTGCTACGACCAGCGCTCTAAGTTTCCTCAGACTTCTGGTCTTCTCTCGCTCTCGCTCTCAGCTCACTCACAACCACCCCCAGTCACTCTTTACCCCCCACATTCTTTAATCTTTCACGATGCTCTTCTCCAACATTGTCGGCTTCGTCGCGGCTGCCTTCGCCGCCACCTCCATGGTGTCCGCCGCCCCCTCGGTCGGCTCGGGTCTCTCCCAGAAGGCGCAGGACCTCACTACGCGCGACATTGACGTCGGCGCTGCTCTGGCTGTCAACATCGACGCCGGTGCTTGCGGTGGTCTCGGTGGCGTTCTCGTCGACCTCAAGGTCGCCATTCACGACGCTTGCTCGCCCCTCCTCTGTAAGTTAAGATAGTCCTCTCTTTTCTGCGGTCTTCTGACTTTTCCATTAGCTATTGGAGCCGGCGCCGAGGTCGAGCTTGGCGTCGTCGTTGACGTCCACGCCAAGGTCGTCGCTGCCCTCAAGGTAGCGATCGACGCTTGCAACAAGATCGCCGCCGGTGGTGCTGTCTCCGTCAGCTTGACTGTCGTTCTCGCTGTTGTCGCGGAAATCTGCGCTATTCTCCAGGCAAGCTCACTCAACTGTCTCTGCGTTCTCGAAGGTTAACTCCATTCGCAGATCCTGGTTGCCGTCCTCGCCAAGCTTACCTGTGGTTGCGTTGCTGCTGAGCTCGCCGCCCTCGTTGTCGAGGTCGAGTACGTATGATCTGTTCTTTCACTGAAGTCATCCACTGACATAGGCTCCAGTGCTCTTCTCGCTGCCCTCCTCAAGGTCGTTCTCACCATCGTCGGTGGCCTCGCCGCCAACCTCATTGGCGCTCTTGTCGGCGCTCTCCACCTCGTTGGCTGCCTCGACATCTTTGTCGCCCTCAAGTTCGTTGCCACCCTCGGTGTCTTCGGTCTCTGAATGCCTTAGTACCGATTACGATCTTGACTCTTCCGCATCGTGATGTTTATGATACATTTCTCGGAATATAATCTGCTCCACTCGGAAACATGAATTTGCCGTCGTGGTCATTTTGGAAGTGCTGCTCTAAGCCGATCTTGGGTGTTGTGAACTCTTGTGAAGGTTCACGCTTGCGACGTCTATCTGTTGGGTGCCTGCAAATGGCTCGATCTTACGCGTTGGATCCATGATATCCGCCAAGTGGCATCGGCGACGTGACGAAGATACCTTCTTTCGGACGGATATCTCCCGCATCAATGAGAGCCGGGTCGCTTGTGCCAGCCCTAGGATGCGCCGGACAATGTGCGTTGTGGTCGTAATTGCACCAGATGCGCGCCTCGTCGGGACGCGTTTGGCACGTGATCGCGTTAGGCTTTCTGTTAGCCTTCGTGGTTCAGGTGCACTTCTTCGACGAGGCAAAAATGATGCTTGGACGATAACATCCATGTAGCCACGTCGCTCAAACTGCTGGGCAAGTCCGCCTTCGGTGGCCAGTATGGGAGATGCGTGCTGAGCTTGGAGCGACGTTCCTCATTGGTTATTGGGCCGCGCTCTCACCCCCGAGCTGCCCGATAGTTCAGGATTCAGTAATGTCTAGGACTGGGTACGACGTCCCTCTATTACTGTGGCACTTCTACTCTCGGTCACATTCACTGCCCTCGTGCTGCTCCGCCTGATCTACAATGTCGCTCACCACCGACCTCTGCCCGGCATTCATCAATACGGACCCTAGACGGCCTCGACCCCCATCGCCTCGCCTTCGACCTCCTCCAATGTTGCGCGATCTCGGCCGTAGCCGTTCTTCTTCAAATTCGAGCACTTCAAGATCCGACTCCAATGAAGGCGCCATGGAGTACGGCAGGTTCGCGAGCCTCTTCTCCGGGCACAGCACAGCCTCGTCTGCTTCTTCGGTCTCCGACGGTGACTGCGTATCCCCTCCGGTCGGGACGGAATTCAAGAAGCTCGTCGAGGACTCGCTGGATCGCCTTCCGAGGTCGAGGTCGAGGCCCAAAGGGCCTGTCAGGCTTCCTGCCAATGGTAAATGCCTATAGTATCTAGCCTATTCGCGCGCTAAACGCGCATCTTGGCCCTAGCAACTTCGCCGACATCGTCGGCCTCTTGCACGGATCTGCTTCATCCGTATCTGTCGCTCACAGTCCGCAAATCGCGCGCGTTATCGATATCTCAGGCATTTCTCACCCGCAAATCTATGAAGCCGCCTTCTTTGACGCTCTTCGAACGCCGTCGGGTCATGCGCCGGAGCGAGCGCGCCTTTTCGCTATCACTGTCTGTCTCTCCTTCGAGCGCTATCGCCGGATACGCCACAAGCCCGACTACCCCGACAATTGACATGTCTACATTCCACCTGCGATCCTCAACTTGGTCTCATCATGGCTCACCGCCTCCACCTAGTGACAAAGGGCTGGTCGGCCTATGGCCCCACGCTAATCCACACGCATGTGTGTCTTCGGCCACGCTCCCGCACTTTGCTTCGACCGTCGTGTACTCGCCTGATAACATCGGTCGTGCACGGCTTGTCTATGCGAGCCAGGCTGTTCAGTCGGATCCCACGACACCTGAGCTGGACCGTCCTCCAACTCCGGCACGACCCGTAGTTTGCCCAATGCAGAGTCCGCTCCTCGTACCATCGCCCATCTTGCAGTTGCCTTCCCCCGTGATGAAATAGTGCACACGTATCACAAACGCGGTGATTGCGGATGCTCTAGAGCCTTGCCGAAGTCTACGGCTCTTCCTATCGACGCCATCCGTTCGACTGAATACTGTTACTCGTCCGCGGTCGCTGTCCTCAAAATCTCGTCTGTTGTGCCACATCATGTACTTAGCTCCCGACTCCTATGTACGCTCTTTATGTCCTATTTGTCTTCGATTGATTCTCTGTGCATATGCAGATCGTAGTCGTGGCGTGTATTCCAATTTTGCCGCCTGCATGGATCACGAAATAGAATGAGTTGACGACATCGTCAATAGTAAAGCCTGAGTGTCACGCGGGACAGTTGACAGCTCTACGACAGCGGCGCCGGCGCCAATGGGAGGAGCATGAACATCCTGCCATTGTCGCCTCATGATTGACCCGTTTCGCAGAGGGAAGTGTTCTGGCGTATGTTGAAGGCCGCCGTCCTTCTTCCGCAACGTAAAGGCGCGACAAGACCCTTCTCGATGAATACAGATGCTCGCAGGATTCGACATGTCAGAGATCTTCCGCAACAAGCTACATGACTTCGTATTGTACGACAAGCGTTCTGACATACACAGCCTCTTCAAGCAGAAGTCAAGATCGGGAAACCCATAGCGTGACGGCCTGCATCGCCCAGGATATGTTCAGGACGTCCGATACCCACGTAGGATATCTCAGGCGACGCTTGGGGATAGTCGGGTGGTATGACTCCACGCTCGAACGTCTCGCGCTGGCGTGCGATGTACTCCAGGTTCTGCTTGGTAGTCGGTACAGCTCCGATGTACCTGTAAGCATATGTGGTCAGCCAAATTTGACACCACACGTACACGATCGTACATGACAGAAGAATCGCCAGTTCCTTCAAATTCGCTAACGACGGAATGAATGAGGTCCTGCAAGTCGGGGTGTCAGATACGTGGATCGGCATAGGGGATGTTACTATACGAACGGAGTGCCAGAAAACCATATCCCCGGGCGAGACATGGGGGATGGGCGTCATGGTCTTGTCAAGATTGAGATGTGGGTGACTCTCAGTGTTGGGGCGCGGGCCAGCATAACCCTTTCCGTCGCTCATCGAGTATATGCCAGGGAAGTCCGAATTGGTGATGTCTGCATCCCAGTTCGAGCGTGTTATACAGAGATAACGATTGAGACTCACCATACTCCCAGTTCTCTACGGCGAGTGCATCATCGGAGACAGGGTTCGACTTCAGGCGGAAGAACGGGCGCAATATCGTGTACGCATTTGAGAGCACTACATCCGGGAAGAAGCAGATCGTGCTTTGGCGTTGGCCGATGTCACTGATGCGATACTGTGAGCAGTGCTGAAGGTGATTCCAACTGAATGCCCGTACCTCATCGCAAGCCAACCTTGATAGGTACGGAAGACGCTGGCTTGATTGGGACGACCATACATAGAAGAGCGGGCGTTGATGCGACCCTCAAGGTCGTAGGCGTCGTGCTCACGCCATTGACCCCTGAGAATGTCGGCAAAGCACGACCGGAATGTAGGGTCTTCCCAGCGCTCAATAGAACCGCCTTATCAAAGAAGAAGCGTCAGATGTTGGGAAGTGGCAAACCCGACGAAGCCTTACCGTCGACGTGAGGCGGGAATCTAGACCACGGCTTTCCGTCTGCTTTGCGAATGCGGTATCGATCAGCGTAGCTGAGTGGAGTCTTGAGATCCACGCCGTCCAGGTGTGTCTTGCCGTTCGCATGGTAGAATTCGTTAAGCCTCGCGCTGGCCTTGAGGACATTGGGATGGGCACGAGCTTCGACCTGCGGCTTCGACCAGCTTGATGGGAAATGAGCATGCCATATATTGCAAGGCAATAGGCAGACGTACTATACGTTGAAAAATTGTTTGTCATCCTCTGGGAAGCCGGGGATCATGGGATTATCAATAGCGAACTGCTTGAGATCAGTCTTCCAGCCAGAGGCCTGCTCATCATCGACTACATCCTTGATGACAACGCAGCCACGTTTCTTGATGTCGGCGATCTGCTCCGGGGTAAGATTGTCGAGCTCAGCGAACGCCACCTGAGGGATAATCTGCGCGCGCACGTTAGTGCGAGGCCGCGTATACCGGCACGTCTGAGTCGTACCTGTGAGCCAGCGTTCTCTATCTCGGAGGTAGTCTTAGCAAGTTCGCGTAGGAGGTCCTCCCAAGCTATAGTTATATGTTGCTCAAAGCCAGGACCGTAAGACTCAGCGATCTCGCGCTTCAGATCAGCGAATCGCGGGGGAAGAGGGCCAGGGAGGAGTGTAGCCATTCTCAGTGCGTTAAACGGGGCGTACAAGGGCTCCCCTGCCTAATTTACGCTCTGTGATCTTATAGCTATCGGGAAGCCGCCCGCGTAGCATATCGCAGCCACGATGAGCTCTCCGGACCGTTCTGGAGGTCACATGTAGTCCACACAGAAATGAGGGACGGACTTGCAGGGTCCGCTACAACGAGGCCTTTGGATAGGCAAAGCATTGGCCCAACGACCAGGTACTGCAAACGCCTTCGAGGCAAGGAAGGCGTAGGAAACGCATTGTCAGGCGCCTCCGGAAGTCGTTGAACAAAGAGCATGCCCACTCTCGAGATGTTGGTGGTCCGTGTATCAGGGCCGTATCGCATGGCTGAGTACCAAGTCCATAGTCAAGTGGTCTCGGGCCTCCGTTTTGGTGGACGCTGTCAAGAGCGAGTTCGAACGCTAAGCGCGTTACGGCGAATCTCCGGATCACAGGTAAACAACGCGTTGCACGTGCGATACTAGAACGCGTCATCGCGCGCCAGATCAACTCTCGTCGCTCGTCGATAGAGCATGTCTGTCACAGCTCTTCGTTCTGTACTTCGGCGACCCCTCGGCATCCGCGCCATGAGCTCCTTTACACTTCAGTCCAAGCAGAAAGTATGCATAGGCTAAGACAATGTCAGCTCCGTTGTCTAATTCACGACGCCCTAGTTGAGAGACGGAAATGAGATACCTATCCTTGGCTTCGGTGAGCAATCCCGTCCTCCGATAGGTGTAAAGAGACTCATGAGGACGTACACAGGGACATACGAGCTTCTGGGTGCCGAGGCCTATCAAGCTGTGACGTGGGCTCTCGAGGTAAGCTCTCCGGTGTAAGAATGATTGCTTTTCTTCAACTGAACGGCCATAAAGGCAGGATATCGGCACATCGTGCGTGTGATACACGGGCGACACGTCACCTATCTCATCTGTTTGATCCTAGGACTCCGCTGAATGGTACGAGAATGAGCGCGAATGTGGACGTGCCATCCTAGACTTCTGCAAGGCTACTGGGACTCCGCGCGAAGAGATATTCTACACGTCCAAACTGAAGAACAATGCGGGCTACGCCGCAACCAAGAAGTCTATCCAACAGTCTCTGGACGAATGTGGCTTAGGGTATATTGACCTTTACCTGATCCATGGTCCGTGGGGTGGACCGAAGGCGCGGCGCGATGCTTGGGAAGCCATCGTGGATGTCCAAAAGACTGGTGCGCTCAAGAGCGTAGGCATAAGTACATTTGGTGTTCGTCACATGGAGGAGCTGTTCGGCGATGGAAAGCTACCGACTCCGGCTGTTCATCAGGTTTGCACCCATCTGTCTACAAGCAACATAGCAAGTCCCTCGACGCTCACCCATTTGACCCGCAGATTGACTTGCACCCTTTCATGACGCGCTCCGAGATTGTCGCTTTTAGCCTGAAGCATGGTATAGCGCTTGAGGTACGTTTCCTAGCGCTCATGTGGCCCGCTCATGTCCATCTCATCTGTATGATAGGCTTGGGGATCCCTTGCTCGTGGGATGCGCATGAAGCACCCGACGATCGTCGGCCTCGCGAAGAAATATGGCAAGCAACCCGCTCATATTTTCCTACGTTGGTCTATCCAGAAAGTGAGTCTGGGGTGCACAAGTCCAATTGCGATCGCTCAATAGGTGCATAGGGTTATATTCCTCTGGTGAAGTCTGCTTCGCGCGAGCGCGTCATCGGGAACACACAGATATACGATTTCAGCCTGAACGACAGCGAAATGGAAGAGCTTGATGGGCTTAACGAGGATCTTGTCACTGACTGGAATCCGGTCGACTGTCCTTAGATCGGCGACAGGGATGTTCGTAGAGCTCTTGATACGAACTGTATTCATAAGTTCTGTCGTCGTTCATGAGAGATTGCATGCACGATCGGTCGTACACTGCGACTTGCACTCGGTAAGTCCGCTCACCTGTCGACCTCATGGATGTACTGGCCGGATCACCATATGTTCGTCCCTCGAGTTCGTCACTCTGCGCGTCACTCATCGCTGAATGAAATGCGTACCGGATGGTCGTTCATAGAGGCATGGCATATTGACAGTTGAAAACACATGGGTGTACGATCGAGTTGCGGCAGAGCGTTCCATGGAGTGCTGCGCACTATAGACGACCTGCCTCCGTCTCTGCATGCGGTAGGCCCTCTCAAGGAAGCCGGCGGGATCTAATGCGATCCCGTTTTACGCTACCTCCGCTTTCAGCTACGTTATCATCCTTGCGGCATCAACTGGTTCGGCTATGTATCAAGGGCTTGTACCATATATCAAGAGCGTGCTTCGTCATATAACTAAATGCACTGCGCTTTGAAGCTGCAAACAGTAATTCTCTCTCGCTGCAATGTAGACCGATCTGCGCGCTATATAGTTCTCGGATATCTCGGCCTGCTCCGGGAGGCGGGACGGGAGGCGCTCGGCCGAGCCACGGATGCAGTTCCCCGCGCGAGAGCCGCGTGCACCGAAGAAGTAGAAGTGCTCCTACAGTGGACCTTGTTAATCGCTTCTTCTCGAATGTAACCTGTATCTAGTGAACATATGCATCACAACGCATATACGCTAGCAATACAACTGTGAGGAACGCTCTCCGCCCGCTCAGAAGCGGAAGCCTGGGAAAACGGGCCAGTGCGTACCTCAAGCTGCGCACGGAGCGCAACGACCTCGACTCCACCTTCACCACATGCGTGAGTCTTCTCAGCCTCCGTGTCCGTACCGGGGGATTCGCTACAACGCATTCCGAGTAAGAGCTGTGGAAGACGGATGGCAAGCCGCGGTGACCAGGCGTTAGTTAGCATGTCCATAGCATGTCCATTCATAACTTTACTCTAACCACAGACCTCTGAGGCCCTCGTGGCGGAAGCAGGTTCTTATGATTGCGTCCGTCCCTTGCAGCGCCCCTGCTTTCATTTTCTCGCGCTCTCTGAACATCCCAATGGGGAGTGAATACAGGGGGGAGTGCTTGATCACCGGCTCGACGCGCCTCGACCCATGAGAGGCAGATTTACACGTCCGCGGAGTCGCGCGGTTCTGGCAGTTCTTGGACGGTATCGCCCCTGTTACGAAGAACTCTACCAACGATGCTGTAGACCAATCATTTCGCCCGCACAGCAGAGCGTCAAGAGCCCATTGATGGTGTCAAAAGCTTAAACTTCACCGTGTCGGGACCGATTACGAGCCCAGTAGTTGCGCCGCAAGTTCCGCCCTGAAATCGGACGATGTGGAATACCCGTTTAGCGGCGCACGCACCGCTTTGGTGCAGTCTGTGAGTGTAAACCAATCGGAGACAGGTTGCCGGGGCAAGTGGGGGGCGAAGCGGTGTCGAGAATGCGCGGGGTCGGCGGAGCGCAGCCACGCACAATTCAGCCTTCTTCTTCCCGCTCGTACCGCTGTGCCTTGACCGGAAGGCCTCGACGCTCTAGCGGAGCGGACCTCTACATATTCGCAGAGCCTGCATCGTTTGTGTACAAAAGGGACCCTCTTGAGTGCTGGATCGTTAGTCGTACTCGAACCGACCTCGTGCCGGCGCGAGGCGTAACTTCCCTTCTTGTGCAACTTTGGCATCGGCAACTTGGCTGGACTTATTCTCGATTTGGATGCTCCTTAAGCGCCCGATGGACCATTTCAGATCTTTCAATCCGATCGACGTCGCGGATTCATCCGTGAGTGATCAACGGCCCTCCTGAGCGTTATGCTTACGGTTGCCTTTAAAGAGCATCGACTTTGAGCCAAACCCTGGTCAGATAGACCCCGCACAGAATCTCGTCTCCCTAATCCCTCAGTTGGCGATGCTGCCGGCGCCCGGCCCTCCTGCCGCGCAGCCAGCTCACCAACCGACGCACTTCGTAGGACTTGTGGAGACTACGACCGATGCACTGCGTCTCATCATGGCTGCAAGGCAGGGTATCATACCTCGCATCACGCGTCGACTGAATGAGTCCGAGCGACGCTCTATGATCAAGAGTGGCGCGGTCTTTGTCTTCTCTGTTGAGGAAAGCGGCATTCGCAGATGGACGGAGGGTCTCGCGTGGTCACCCTCGCGCATTGTTGGTAACTTTTTGGTGGGTGCTTAAGCTTCCAAGCTTTCATTTTGCCTCAGAATAAGCTCATGCTCATGCGTCCATCAGGTCTATCGCGAGGTGACGGAACGAGCACCCAGAGGCAGCACCGAGAAGAGTTCTGCGACGCCAGGGACAACATCGTTCCCTGTCTCCTCCTCTCGTGGGTCGGCGCAGCGGCGAACGCGGGGTGACGGAAGTCGCTCAACAGACCCTTCTGCTTTGCGCGCGAATGGTCTCATCAAAAAGGTTTGAGTTCTCTTCATCCACGACGGCTGCCGTAGAGCTGAAACCGCGTACTCTTGAAGACCATCACTGTCAAGGTTGACGGCGCGGACCACCACCTCATCTCGTACTACAGAGACGAGGACCTACGCCATGGACACCTCCTACGCCCGACGTCTTATCCAGAAATCATGGCGTTGACAATACCGCCAGAGATGGTCCGCGGGACTAACTTTCGCCATCCACCGCACATAGAATACAGTCCCGACGGTCGTGCTCACATGTATGTTGGCTCTCGCAGGATTCTGTATCGTCCTATCTGACATAGGTATAGATTCGACGCCGAAGAAGCGGATGTGCGGCGCCAGCAACCGCGTTCATCGGCCTCTACCTCCACGTCGTCGTCCTCGCGGTCTTCCCGCGGCATGCCGCAACCCAGCCTGTCCATCGACACCCTCGGCTCCTCTCCGCCAGATGCGCTACCCGCCTTGATTCCTGCTCCTCCGCAGGGAGGATCTAGTTACAGCTCCCTCTATGGTCGGGAACAAGGTGTTCTGTCTGCGGACGCGAATCAAGTTGACCAGCGCTGGTCCCCTCCCAGTGCTCTAGCTACGTCTCCAGTGGACGGCTACCATCGTCTCGATTACCGTACCGGCTCACAACCGTCGGGGTCATGGCAGCAGACGCGATCGGCTTATGCCCCCACTTTGCCGTCTCTGGCCGGCGTGGCGTCTGTCTCGACCTATTACCAGACCGCTGTTCCGGAGCGCGCGGCAACTCCCTCTGCACCTTACACCCTCCCTTCATCCAGCGCGCCTACCTATAGTACGAGCGCTAATAGTCTGCCGGACCGCCCTGGAACAGCTATCGGATGGTCCAGAGCTTCAAACAGTCCGAACTTGCCGGCCTATTCGGGGGCCTACTTGTCGTCTGCGTCTGACAGCGCGGGGTCTAGTCCAGTCTATGCGCACACCGACGTTGCCCAGCCAGCAGAATACCCAGCCTCATACCCGTCGTACACCTCGCGCGTCAACGCAGAGAATCCATCGTATGCCCGTAGCGTGGATGGTAATCACCCTGGCTGGGATTATCAGTCAAGAGCTCCACCACCAGAATGAGGTTTGCTAATACTGCTTGTATTTGTTTTGTGTCTTACTCAAAGAATGCTCACGTCTCTCACAATCAATGTTGCCTCATTACTACATCGACTGCACCTAGTACATTACGCTTCGCTGGATCGGAGTCACGCGCATCGTCCAGTTATCTTATCCTACCTGTCTTGTCTCTTCCTCACGCGTTATTGCTTTGCATACAAGCTTTGAATTGTTTGTACATGCGTGTCGTGGCTGTGTTGTGCTAGTACTACTGGACTCATCTTAGTTTATACGAACTTTCCAATCCTCTCGCGCTGTCGTCGGCAAATCTTCTTGACATGTACGGGATTCGATTGAAGGAGCATGGCGTTTGCGGACGTCTTCCTGGCCACGCTGTCGTGAAGCCACGCGTGTAAGGCCTGTGAACGAGGTAGGTCCATGCGCTGCCTGAATCTCCCATGCGCAGCTTCTCCGGTTGATTGCCCGCGAGTAGGAAGCGAAGCTCCCGCCCTCGTGTCGTCTTCCGCCCGACGGGTTAGCGCAGGGTAGGAGGGGAGATGGGCGATCCAGTACCGCAAGTATCATCGTGCCGGGCACTAGGCGGAGAGCGACCCTCATCAATGTCGGGGCGTCAAAGACCTCCAGTCCGGCTGCTGTTGAACATTCGTTTGGGCGTTTGAACATTGACGTTTGGACAGATGTCCAAAATCGTTAGTCGGGGAATGGTTGGGATGGAATGATGATGGTGTCAAATCGGCGTCGATCCCGTAAAGCATCGACACGATGCGCACAGGAACAGCGCAGGCGTACAGGGAGTACGTGAACATTCCACCAACGCGGGCACGCCAAGTCCTGGCACTTCCCGGGCCATTGAGTTGACTCTCGATCGAATCAGCCGCGAACGGGAGGGCCCAGCTAACGCTTTCTGAGCACATAGACCAACTGCTCTGGCATAAGTGAGCCGGCGGCTCAAAGACGCAGCCACACCAACAACGAGACGCCGCTGCCACGCCAGTTCTCGGCGCCAAACCGTCAAGAACGCCGCGCGGGCCCTTGATGCTGAACTCTACATGGGTAGAATACACCGGCCTCGTTCGGATCGACAAGACTCGAGATGGTCATCGCCTTGAGAATGGTATGATATAGTACACAATCCTTGCACATACCCGCCATACCGCTAAGTCCTCGGCGAGCTGTCAACAAGTTCCGCTCGGCGTGATAAAGTCATCTAGCGCGCATATCGGAGGTTGGGAAATGGGCGATGTACCACCGAGAGAAATGTATAACCCTTGTTCATGTCTCGTTGTCAGTACTATAGGTCGGCGGCCCGCATCGACAGCGTACGTGACAAAACGAAGCGCGGACCGGTAGTAAAGATAGATGCAGATACCAAGAACTTGATTGAGCGCCTAGCTGAGACCCGAGCGGAAGACCATGGGGGAGGCATCATGCATCAACAAGAGCAAGCCCCAAACGCAATTGGCTACGTCTCTGGACGAACGCCATGCCCGCAGGACACCGGGATTCTCAGCGTCTGCCTAGACAGTTGCTGTATACACGTGTGATGCATATCTTTGTGGGTGACGCGAGGCTTATCGTTTGATCCTGGGAAATATAAGACGGTGCATGATACGAGGACAGCATGCATCAAGGACCCACAGGTGTCTACATCCACGACCTCACCGCTTTCGCGAGCTTGAACGACAGGCCTTAATTGGCGAGTCAAAGCTGTCAATATAACTTTAGTGGTTGCGCATCGGAGATTATGGAGCGCGCATCCTTACTACATCATTATATCAGGGTCGGAACTGAACGCCACAAGCGTCTATTCGTGGTCGAGGAACCACACTAAGTTTCTCGCCCGAAAAGGAGTCTATAACTCGCGCGAACGGTGCAAAGCATCTTGACTTATGTGTGTTGAACTGACGCGGACGGCTGACCGTCGAAACGATACATATCAACCGTAAGAATGGACATTTCCAGCCGGCATGCCCTTTTGCTCAACGAACGACTTAATCGAAGCATGCCCGCTAGCTCTCCCAACGAACGCCCGCCTAGGTGCGCTCTCCCAAAGCACAAAGCCCTGCCTTTTTGCGTAGTCCAACAAGAGTTCGTAGTCCCCCTGCGATGAGAAGTCCGTATATAGATATCCTACACCCTTAAGTGAGACAGACCCAAAACCAACACCTTCATACAGAACTCACCATCATCGGACTTCATACGGTTGCGCTCAAGCTCCCACAACCGTATCTGATCTTGGACTGTGACAGGTATGAGAGGGTTCTTTTGAGGAATACGGACATCAGAGGACACGTCAACACGAAGGAGTACCATGTACCACTCACATACTTGCGCATCTGCGGATGCGCGTAGGTCGTTAGGTAGCTGATTATCTGCACATCGTCATCGATTAGCCAGTTGTCGCCACGCGCTACGGCAGAACCTTTCAGGAAGCCCCGGAAGAACCAGATTCCCGCTCAATAGAGAGGACGTCCACGGCGTTTGCATTGGAAATGGTAAGAGCCGCCATCGGGAATCCAGTGAGACAAAAGAACAAAAACACGGGCCAGGCGGCAATTGCCCGACATGGCGTTACGCCATGTGATGCGATGCTCGGACGAACGGACGGACGGACGATCGTTCAGGGCACATCGACGCGCGCGACGTCGGGAAAGCCGTGGCAGCCGTGGACGGGGGGATTGATGGGCTATAGCGCACGATACACACCTGTTCAGCCGTAATTCCGTTCGTTAGAGCGCGGCGTACGCTCTCCCGCGTAATCATGCCTACGACGAGGTTCGGAAAGCGTGCCTTCATATTGACAAATAGGTTCAGAACAGCCGTTTGCAGCGGGTTATCTGGTCGAGGAGTTAATGGCGATTAGCAATAGTAGTAGCAGCACGAACTGGTGTACGCGTAAACACGGTAGTTTGTCTCCAGGATGATGAACCCTTCCGCGGTCGCTCCCGTTTCAGATGCTGTGGCAGCTGTGTTTGTAGACGCTGCAGAGGATGTGGGGAGACTTGGCAAAGAGGATGTCAGAGTTGTAGCAAGTCGTGTTGGACAAAACCGTCTAGATTTCGGTTTGCGCTGCCACACCAAACCGTAGTCGCGCAAGTCTTCGAGCATGGCTTGTTGCGTCACACTGAGCGACGCAGTGGCATATTCCTATGGCCATTCAGCGGCTGAGAAGGCACAAGAGAACAGTAACTCACCCAGCCGAGTTCCATGGTAGAAAGCATGAAGAAGAAGCTCAGCACCTCGACGGGGTCCATCCTCCGTCCCTGAGATCAACTGTGAGGGAGGGGAGCGTAGGTTGCACCATCGCTGCGAACCTCTGCTAACGACAGGTATTGCAACAATAGTTGCCATAGTTGCTCGTGTGGTGTATGCAGAAGAAACTGGAAGCCATCGGACGTTATTCGCATATTCTGCGGGCTAGACCTCGATGAGAACAGCAAGACGTCGAGACATGACCACATACTTTCCAGTCCAAGAAGCCATAAGTTTCCCCTCGGTGAGCAGGTGAAGTACACCCAAGGACGGTTGCCGAACTGGCGCGCCCGTACCCGACGAGACCATATAATGTAGTATGGTTTCCCAGCGTTCGACCGCATAGCCGTCCAGGGCCGCTACTGTCGGGGGAGTTTTGTGATCTTCAGGCTCGGCCGGTACACCAAAGCTGGCAGAGGTATCTCTGTCTCTGAGTGAGTGTGATTCTCACGTCGACCAACATGGTGACTTACCCTCCTGTAAGAGCTTGCCTCAAGCTTCTTTTAAACGTGGCTGACAGAAGAAGCTTCTCAGAAGGGTTCCCATCCTTCGTATCTAGTATCCTCAATGCTGACAACAGCACCATTGCTTCATCAAACGCCCTGCCAATGCATTATTAATTCGTATTGTCGTCGTCGACCAGGCAATTACGCACTCTTGACCTTCCATGGTTATCCAAGACAGCATAGTGGTTATTGGCATAGAGGAATCTAACCAGAGAAGATTCATGACTATCTGCCGAGATAGCGGGTCTAGCAATCTTGTCGCATTGAAGGTCAGCACGCGTCGGGAAGCCGGGCTCGCTCGCATACCGGAATACGGGTAGACATGATGACGGTCGCTGGTAAAGGCGGTTCAGCGCGCTGGCTGTTTGTGTTCTCAGATAGGGTAGAAGAGAATGTGGTGTAGCCTTGTTTAGGCCGACTGGACCCGAGGTGGAAGCAAGAGACATGTTGCGGTGGGTGGCGCGCTCTGACGCGGGGGCGTGATCAGCGGCCCACGCGAGTCCACGCGTCGGCGCGCGCTTCTGCCTTCAACCACCATCGTCGTGAGGTTATTAACAGTGGACACAGCCCTAACAAACTCGTGATCTGTCGTCCAAAACTTGCATATGCAAGTATGAGAACTCGATTGGTTCAGGAATGCGCAATGCGGCTGGAGGAGCGAAGACGGGAAACGAAGCATGGAAGCGTGGTACTACGCGAGGCGAATCTTCCCGAAAGAGGTCGCCGTCTTTCGCTCCTGCAATCATCATCCTCCCAAAACTGTTGATCGCTCGTTTTGCAATGTCTGGTAACAAGCCTCTCCATTCATCGAAAACTCAACAGCGTCCCTCTTCTACCAGTTACGCTCGAGGTTCGCTGGCGATTGGACTGCGGATCGTGTACACGGGTAAGAAGGCCAAGCGATTTCCACGGGCCACACAAAGGCATTGTTTGCTTGATACTAGTCAGCGAGCTATATTGCTCGATGATCTTGCCCATCTATCTCGTAAGCTAGGGGGCGCTAATCCTCGCAAGGACGATACGCAAGTTAGCGGGGTCATAGAGGGGTGCATCGAAGTCGTCTGGCCTGAGTTAAGAAGACGCACGATGCGATACGAGGTGGGGATCAAATCGAGGATATCTCAGCGGCACGATCTCATCTCTATCTACCGTAGGATATCCTGACTGAGGTTTCGAAATTGGATGCCCTCTCAAACGCCTATCTCGCGGAACGCTCGATGTGAGTAGATGTGAGTGTTTGCGCGCCACAGTGATCCCCAGGACTCATGAATCACGATAGATCATGTCTGATTGTGTGAGTCTAGAACGATACGTATCTAGCAGCCGATGATTGATCCCACGCTCTCCACGGTAACAACAGGTACTCTCTTCCTCCTGCAACTACGTCTTTGTTCAAGTACGCGCCCTGGGACGAACCGTGCCTCTTCGTGGGCGATGGCATCACCGTCGATCGGACCCTTGCCGTGCGATGCCGCGCATCTTTGGTCAGAGAGAAGAGACTCGATCAGATGCTGGCGAAGCAACAATTGCATCACGACGATATGAGAGACTGCAGAGGGGAGAGACGCCGTTCACCGCGGTCAGGCAATAGATCTAGCACACGACACTCCGACAATTCGCGTTCCAGACAAGATCAAACATATTCGCCTGTCCGCTCTCCCTCACCGCCGCAGGTATACTCTCCACCACCGCTGATTCCACGGCGGATGCGCTCGCGCTCTCGGTCGCATTCACCGCCACGTAAGCGGTTGCGAACTACGACCGATGAAGACGAGCGGAGTATACTCCTAGAAGCTATCAAGGAGGTGCGCCGCGAGCGCGATGTGGCCTTCGAGAGGGAAGATGTGCTTCGTCATCAGCTGTCAATGGCTACGGAAGAGAAGAAGGCCCTTACCCTTCTTGAACGACAAGTTGAGGCTTGGACAAGCACGGTCGAGACCTGCGAGAAGCGCGTACATGCTTACGAACGACGATTTTGCTTGCTTCTCGACATCGAGCGCGAGACAGCTCAAACTTCAGGATCCTCGATAGTTGCGAGTGGTATGTTCTACTGTTGCGGTGCACGAGAACCGCCTTGCTGATGGATGCAATCCTGCAGGAGACGTGTCTTCCCTGGGCATGCTGGAAGGGGTGATACGAGACTATAAGCTAAGGGAAAGGCGCGCTCGAAGAGAAACCGCAAAGGTGCAGGCGTCGTACAACAGGCGCATGGATGTCCTCAACGGGAAGGGCTCTTCCTCAGGAGGACAGAGCTTCTCGAACGCTCTCTCAGCTGTCGCCCAGCTAGCTGCATCTATTGCCTCATAGGACGATGCCGATCTCATTGCCTTTCGGCTCTATGCTCTGCACTTATGTGCACTAGCTCATATCACCCTACATTCTTGTACATTCTTGCTATTGCTATCATACGAATACGAACTTCCTCAAAACGCGCACACGTGACCGCGTCTCCATCAAAGTCAATGGAAACGCGCTTTACGCGCGTTGCTGTTTGGTTGCAGGCGCGTTTCGGTGGAGTTTGACTTGCACCCGACCTCCACCATCATCACTATCCATCCTTACAACCTATACACCTCGGGCCATGCCTCATAACCAAAGGCCCGCGAAATGGAAGTCCGACTCAGACGACCGGCCGCGCAACGGTGGAGTACCCCTTTCAGCGGGAAGTTTGACTGTCGGCCTGCGAGTCGTATACTTGGGGAAGAAAGCCAATAGTCTGCCTATGGTCGGCAAGAACTCGCTGAAGCTCGATTCTGAGCAACACCGCATGGTCTCAAATGACCTTATGCGCCTGGAACGACCACTTCTTGGCGCTGTTCTCCCTCGGAAGACGGATGTGCAGTTATGCCCTTTCATAGCGGGAGCGGTAGATGTTGTGTGGCCCGAATTAGAGAAGGGAAGCATGCGTTTCGAGGTCAGTACTTCGATACTGGCAAGGACAGGGTCTGAGAATCTGTTGTAGAAGGTGCTGTCTGGGATGAAGTCGTTACGTCGTGTACCAGAGCGCGAGCTTTCCTATCTTGCCATGTGCGTGTACTTTCTTATTTGTCGTGACGAACTCCCGCTCAACTGCAAACGAAGATCTTGTTTAATCATGTATGTGACCAACATCACGCCAACAATTCCAATCTATCCTTGAATCTGACCCTACAACAGGTACATATTACCACCAGCTCTTACATCTCTAGACCGCCAGCAGCCTTGGGATGCGCCCTGTGCGATAGTCTCAGAGTCGTGTGCCGTCGACAAAGGCCTTGAGGCTCTATGTCGCGCTGCTCTCGTTGAGGAGCCCCTACTCGAACAGGACAAACCCGAGGAATCGAATACCCGGTCTGGGCGCGAGAGGCTACCATCCTCTGCCCTGTCGGTGGCATCCTCGTCCACCCGCACAACTTCTCCCCCTCGCGTCGGCCCACCTGATCGCGCACGTTCACGTACACCGCCTCCTGGGCGTCGCAGATCTCGCTCTCCTCCACGATCCAGAACAGCTCGGCAGGAACGGAGAAGGATAGCAGCCTTCTCGCCACCACCGACTCACTTCACTCCCGGTAAAGCGTCCTTGCCTCCCAAACCATCGATACCAACCGCACCACGAGGCTGGCGTGATGCAGAAGAGCATTCTCCGGCGCGTGCGCGCTCTCCACCCCGGAAGCGTCCCAGAGTCGAAAGCCCGGACGTCGATACTGTCACGGTGAGATGGGGCGTCGAGGCGCGGGAGCTTGAAGAACAAGTGCGACGGCTGGAAAGCGAGTGTTCTGAGGCTCACGACCGCGAACGCACTCTTTGTCGCGAGTTGATTGCATTGCGCGAGCGCAGCGACACCGGTGAAGTTCTGATGAAGGACGTGGACGTGTGGAAGCGCAAGGCGGAGGAGGCGGAGGACCGTTTGCGTGCGCGTCGGCGTCGTCTGCGCGCTTGTCTTGCCGACCCTGACGATGGTGCTACAGTCGAGTGTGACGATGAAGGTCAGCCATATTCGCGCATGAAGCCGCCCTCTTTTGATATTGTAGCACAGGGATACTCGAGGAACTGGAGCAACTCGTGCATAACCTTCATTCTAGAGCAAGCGCCGCTGTACAGGGCGCCGATTCCCTCCGTGTTCACCACGAGGGCATCCTCCAGTCGTCGCCTGACGTCCCTTGTCCGGGTCCGAGCGTCGTCGATGCCTGGTGTAAATTATCCGAGATGGTCCGAACACTTTGCGAATAATTTTCTTGTCCGCGAACTGACATAGACTGGAGTCTCATTCGGATATTTGGTTGAAGAGCGTATCTTGCATTTTTACACCAATCACGACAAAGATAGAGGAAGAAATTTTCATTGGATGCGTGCAAGCGTAGAAGTAGGCAGTAGACAGGTAAGCTATACAACGTAAGATACCTGTCGATGGTGGTCAGTTAAAGAACGAATATACGAGGGGTAACATTGGGAAGGATCAGACATCCATAGGAAGGTCTGCAAACCCTCATCGGGCCGACCCCCACCTTGCGCCCAGCGTACGCAGCCCGAAGGCGCGCAGCCCACGCTCAGCCACACTAATGGGTTCAGCGGGTATGAGGGGGAGTATAGGCGTTTGGTATTGGGGGAGTACTCCTCTTGCGAAGGAGGGCGCTAGAGTGGAAACTGCGAATTTCGGCGTTGTTTCATCCGCGAGATGTGTGCACGCCCGTGCACCAGAGGAAAGACAAAGGTACTCACTCAGTCGACGTGTGCATTCGGCTGAGATGACCTGTAGTTGCGTCTAAGTATTTGACACCTGCGACTAGAGGATAGAGTTAGCGACAAGTTTGCGGAGGCGGGACAAAATTGATAGATATGGTTTCAGACGAAATGGCACTGGCAAGTACACTGTGCGCCCCGAAGGACGCAAGTCCTTTGCGAAAGGACAGCTCTGTGTCTCGGCATGGTCGTATAGGACGGGGAAGAGAATAAAGTCATCACAGAGAGAGGAGAGAGGGAAGGAGACTCACCAAGATGGATGTCGAGCGTGAGGTTCAGTTCGACGCGCAAATTGAGTTTTTGTGTGCGGCGCAGCCACTATCCCACGGCTCACGTGCTCCTCCACGCTCGCGTGTCGGCCTTCCGCACCACCGGCGCGGGGCTGTCTCTCTCACCTAAACCACGACCATCCTCGATCTCTCCTTGCTGCGCGCAATGTCGGCCGCTGTACTTCTTCCACCCTCTCGTCCAGCCTCATCAAGTCGCATAGTAGACCTTACCGATGAGGTAGAACTACCTACCCCTCCACCGAAGAGACGCCGTACGAACAATGGACGAGCGGTGCCAGTGGCGTCGCACGATGTATTAGTGATTGAGAGCGACGATGAAGACCCTGCTCTTTCCTCGATACCTTCTGGTAAATCAATCTTCATAATCTATACTTCGCGTCCAGTCTCTCATAGAGCCACACTCTTATTATCTGAACCGTTTCGCTGACAATAACGCGCAGGCAGCACCCGACCTTCTCGCACGCGCCGCTTGGTCTCGCCACCGGCACCTCGCGCTAGTACCTCTACAGTACCGCCTGTTCCGGAACTTCCGCGACGGGGCGGGCTACCTCAAGGCGTCATCATGCCATTAGCTAACCCACTCTTTGATGCGATTGGGGATAGACTCGCTAGCGTTGGTCGTGGTCTAGCATCATTCCGTGCCTCGAACTCGAGCTCGCCGGCTCCTACCGCTGCAAGGCCGTCCCACCACGTCCCACGCATGGGCCTCGGTGGTGGATTACTTGCCCGACTGGACGACTCCGCCCGTGAGCGGCGCGCGCTTCTTGAGTTCCAACGCCGACACGCTCAGCGCCATCGCCGAACTGCCATGCAAATGATGGGTATCGAGGATTACGATCCGGACGAGGATTCTCTCGATGGTTTCGGCGATCGTGATCCTGCCGTCGCTCGACCATTCCAATCGTTCGCTGGTGTCATGACTACAAGGCTTATTCAACCGAACAAGCCTGACTACCGCCAGGATTATACGCACAGGCCGGTCCTGCCCGATCCTGGCTTCACATACGATTTTGAGCAAGGCGCGGCTGAAACTCGCAAGGTCGAGGTGCTGGACGATAACGGCGATCTGGAAATCGAAGAGATCGCCCCTACGACACAGACCACGACGCTGCTTGTCTGTGCGCGATGCAACAATCCCCTTGTCTGGAATGGCGAAGGTTCTCAGCGTCTTTGGGCGCTACGTTGCGGTCACATGCTTGACGGCAAATGTGTTGATGCGCTCATGCCCAAGACCAAGCCAGCTGGACTTGAAGAAGTCGAGGAAGAGGTTTCTGCCACGAAAAGCGTCGACCGCAAAGGGAAGGGGAAGGGCAAAGTGAAGGCGCCGCCACCCGAGCTCGAAGGCGCCGCCGATTCGATACGTTCCCGCTTAAGGTCACGTCCAGCCCCTGTCGCGCCACCGCCCAAGAAGCGCTCGTCTATACTCAAGAAGGGCAAGGGCAAAGCGTCTGTAGCCACTAAGGTAGATGAGCACGAATGGAAGTGCCCCGTAAAGAAGTGCGGACGAAGCCATATTTCCGACTTGATCAAGGATGGGCCGGGACACGAGGGTGAGATGCGCTGGGTGCATCGCGAGGGGGAGGGTCCACTGCCCATTTTCCCCGCCTAGTCTATTTAATGTCATTGTTGGTTTCCTCCCTGTATTGTACTTGGCCGGATATACATCTAGACTCTGAGCGTCCAGACTTTGGGTTACGATCTATCATGTACGGATACACCTACTTCCGGTGCTATCTCTCGATACGTGCTCTGGACCACTCCGTCGCCAAGCGACGATCTCGAACATCAAGCGGTAAGCGAGGTAAACCCAGGGACGAGCTTGCAGTACATAGGTGCAGGAACCCACGGCACGCATGTAGCACAAGCGCCACGCTTACTTGCTATCTTCTGGGACTTGCAATGCCAGAGGATATGGCTGTCCTGAGCATTCAAAACCCTCGTTCTCGAAAGGTTCCTCGTGTTTGACAAGGGGATCAAGCTTACAAGAAATAACTCATGTGACCGTGTTCGGCGCGAAGCACGGCAGCCGCCTGCGTCAGCTCCTCAGACCTGAACCATTATACGCCTATACTAAGGCCAAGCCAGCTCGGCCATGTCAATCGCCCAGCCTACCTCGTGGCCCATAGATCGGACTTGATGAAGCTGTGGACAGGTCCATATTCATGCGGGCTGAGAGATGCCACTACACCATCGATGCCATCATTGACATGGTCTGCATACTATACGCACTACTCTCTCTCTCCGGAGAGCGCGCGTAATGCAAGCCGACTGGACGGCCATATAAAGCACCAAATTCTGCCCTATGAGAGTCGCTCGAGCCTCCGGTATGGAGACTGTCAGCACTGGCCAAAAGCTCCTTCAAACAGCACTATTCTTGTCCGCAGACACTTTCTGTACCTGCTCAGGCGACACGTGAAGGTCCATGTCCTGTGCCCGCTGGAGTCTTGCGTTGCGAGGCAGAGGCGTGTACATGATCCCTACGCCCCGTTCATCTTCTCTGTCCGCATGTCGCTACATGCTCAGGGCTCGCTCTCACTCCTCTCGTCGGAGTGGACACCATCACTTGAGGCTGTCCTCAACTCATCTCTTACCGATATCAAGAAGCGTCCATCCGGGATTCTAGGCGTTACGGCCGTGTCCGCGAGCGCATTCCGTGCTGAGAACTTTCGGCGTGATGGAGAAGAAGGCGCGCATTCAGTTGATCTATATCCTATACCGGTACTTCTCTAACCGTTAATCCTCTATGATGCACATCGCGGGCTCAAGACAGGACCGACGAGCGCTGGGGTATCTGGGAAGAACATACCTCTAGGCACTGGACTCCCCACCGCGCCATATCTCTTCCAGGATTATTCTCGGACGTGGAATTCACGATGTCATTCCGCACAGACCATGTACCGCGGTCAGTAGCGCAGCCTACGGCACGGCCCTGCATCCCTGTACCATCTGCCATAAGCAATGCTCTACTGGATGCATATGGCCTTCAACGGAATTGGTGTATCCCACAATACACCGGTGGACGCTTGTGGACTTCGACGCTGATGGAAGATGCAATTGCATCAACCCTGGCGCTCACGAACCTTGCACATCGCGCACACGGCGGGTAATGGTCATACGGTGACAAGGCGACTTCTTTTCCCTATCGAGTAAAATTGCGATACTGGACATCTCTTCGCCCTCCTGTGAATCTATAGAGCCGCTTCTTGCATTCTATCTGTTCTATCAGCTCACTGAAAAGCACTGCACAGGTGCGAACAGGCAGAACTCTTCACCGTCCTGACCATGGCTTGAAGATCGTACAAAGGGCTCCGGCTATTGCCCGTCTCACACGTCGACTTCTCAGATCTCAACCGCAGGGAAGGCCGAAAGATACGCATGCGCCATGACTGCGCCTCGCTTAGGTCCTGGAAAAGGCACTTGGCGCTTCCGGAGACATCCTCGGCGTCATCAAGGTGGCGTTGCTGCGCTAGTCCGCTTATACACCATTCTACTCATCGTCTTCACGCCTCGGTCTTTGCTGACACCGCGCGTATCCCACCAAGGTCCACTGCGCGCTTGAAGCGTTGCCACTTACTGCTTGATGGGAACACTCGATTCACGGGCAGATATTTCCTTGCAGGCCCATCAACTTCGTATCGGTCGGGCCATCGGTCTCCGTCTTCCCATCCGCCACTCCGAACCTGAAATGAGGACCTGCTGCGAGCGCATCGAAATACGGAGGAGAACATCGGCCACGTACAGTCGGGGTTTGCCGCGTTCCATCCCGCCGATGTATCTGACTCTTACAGCATCACGAGCGTGCACGCTTTGAGTTCATCAAAGACGCTGTATGGCTGGCCTTGCAGGCCCATACGTGGTGACAGGACTCTATACCTTCTGACAGGATGTCAACGTGAGCTCTGATCATTTCCTTGTGCTGTTCTACATACGCGCCGCGGCACGCTCGTTGCAATCAGGTACCCCATGTGCACCTTCGTATCTGATGCCGCTGATGTCTATACAGGCAGTGGGGCACCCAGTTCGAGGATACTATAGAGCGCTCCTCCACCTCATCTCGAGACGGCGACACGCGCCATTTCGACTGCCAGTAGGCCGACGTGCAAGGGTCATGCATAACATTACTCCTTACAAGCCAATCATCTTTACGTCCTGGAACGGTTGACTGAGCATTCAGTGGCACCTTGCGAAACCGCTGAACACGGAGGCTACGCTTGAATTGCACCATCAATTCGACAACGCGTCAGATCAAGTTCTGTCCGAATTGACGCGGTCAGTGTTTCTGTACTCCTGAGCGATGTCCGGCTATAGCACACAGGTTCACCCTTCTGTGTTAGGAGCCAGCCAGGTCGTTCTGAACCTGTGAGGTACACATATGTGATGCATATACTCTGCCAGTCCTTGCTGAGCACACGGTTCAGGACCTCCGCCGCCGCCGAGGCACAGTTCTCGATGTATGCGACTCCAATCTCTCCCGTGGTCGCATACTCATTGAAATTGCCGTTTGAGCGCTCTTGGCGGTGGAAGTGATGTATCGCGGCCGTGTAGGTGTTTGTGTATCCTTGAAAACCCGAGTAGTACGGTATCATCTCGAACGAGCCGGACATACTTGGCCCACCAGGACATCACAAGTGCGGAACGGTGCACCAGCTTAGCGTCGTGGCCTTGGTACCGACAACGGGCCAGAGCGTATCATATTGACGAACAGAGCCTGGGACATGCTTGAATGCGACGCGGGCATACTTGAAGCTTCCAAAGTCCTGGCTGCTATGATGCCATCGAGAACCGGGAAGCAAAGCGCCTTTCGCGCAGTCGTGCAGTGCAGAGACAATGAACTCTCAGAGCGTATCCCTGATAGTTGCTTACCGCGCCTCAAGGGCCGTCTACTAAACCACGGAACGGCTGGTCCACAACCAGTACTCTGCACAGGACTGCTGCAACAACGGATACATAGAGTCAAGTTCGTCAGTACGACTCAGCGATGCAGAAACCGACGGCAACTCAACGACATGTGTGAGATGCCGGCAGATGAACGGAGTCCATCCTGCAACTCGCCTTGAAGATATCATCAATTTCTGATCGCGAAGCACTTCGCCATGGTGCCAACGCGACAGCTCGAAGATCTCCTGTAACACGATGGACAGAATAGCGCCAAATTTGACATTTTGGCGCCCTCTGACGACGGCTGTGCCAGGCGGGTTGTAGAAAGACCGCCCGTCTCAACCGCCCGTCTCTCCTCAGGACCTATTCATGAGCGCGAGGCTCATAAGAGGCGTAACTCGCGGCGGTCGAGATGTCGCTGAGGCGGTAGGAAGCCCGAACACCGGTGTCAATGGCGAGCGTGGGAGCGGCGGAAAACTCTGCACTTGTCTTCAAACAGCCGTGGAGCACGAACGAACCACGCCGTAAACTTGCCAACGGTTCTCATCTGTGAACTATACCGCCCGACGCCCGTCTTCTCCCCACACCCCTGGCCCTTCGCAAGTGGCCGACATAAATGGCCCGGCGCTGTCTCCGGCGATCGCTCTTCCCCTGACCCTTTGCTCGTGTGCCACAAAGCTACGATTTCATTTCAGCAGCAACCGACTTCTCTTTAGCGGCCACCACCTTCGCTTCTACGTACTCACCGCTTCTCTTGCACGGTCATGGATGACCTACCTTGGCCTGAGCTCGGCAATGTCTCTCGAGGTGCCACTCGAGGTAACCAAGGTCAAAAGGGCGCATTGTCGCGCCCGGACCAAGACGGCCGTTCCGTTCTACAGTTGAGGGAGTCCCGCTCGGTGCTCGCGGTACAAATTGACAGATGTGGCATAGATTGAGAGTGCAAGAGAATGTCTTGACTATTCTATTGAACAAGAAGGTGAGTCCAGCCAACTCTCGCTTGCAGCGCCACTGGTGTCCTGATCCCTTGAACCTTCAGGCGAGCGAATGGTACCGCACCTTGGTCAATGAGGTCAATCAAGCTCTGAAACTCACCAAAACGCACTGGCGAAAGGCTCGCCGGCGGCAAGACTACGACGCTCAAGCTGACCAGGTAATCACATACCAAAACTGCCCACCTTTACTCGTATTGAATCGGCATCTCTCTATCAGGAACACATGGAACTGCACGAATGGTTACAACAACTGAAGGACAAGGTCATGCAACATCTCGAATTGCTCATGCAGCGCGGCGACATCAAGGGTCCACCCTACATCATGCCCGATGACATCGAGCTCACCTTCCTGCGCAAATTCATTGAACGCCAACAAGCCGGCATCCCGCATAACCCTCGTTTGCGAGAAGCCTTTCTGCAAGGACGCCTACCAGCGCAGCATGCGCCTCTACCGTCAACCTCTCGCTCTGGTTCGGACGGCCCCACACAAGGTTCAGATAGCGGATGGGGTGACGAAGATGCCCCTGCACGAGGTTCGCTGACATCTCTGATCAATTGCAGTATATATTGAGCCCATTCGTAGATCCCGCGCCTCCTTACGGCCTCCCCTCTGTCGCAACCATGACGGCGCCATCCGCGAGCAAAACTACCGGTCACGCGGGAACCCTCGAGGAGCAACTCGCGGCATCTGGTCAGTTAGCGACTCGACGGCTTGGTAACGCGCTTGCTGACTCTTCTCCTTAGCACATCATTTGCAAGCTGCTAGGGCCGCATACAGACGCGCTCAAAAGACGACATCAGATGTGTTCGCGCAGTATACCGCCGCTCTCGAAGCGGAGCGGACTGCCGCGCGCGAGGTGGCCCTTCACGAGTACAGGCGGGATGCCTTAGGTATGTGCACAGTAGTCAGAGCTCGTTGTCACACTCAGTCGGCGAGTCTCCAGTCACCGCTGTCATCCAGGATGGATCTCAAACAACGCAGCAGCAACATCAACACGCAGATGGTATGCACATGCGTTGGCACTGTCTTCGGGGAGCACCGCCCTCATCCGCCGCTACAGATGCGTTTCAACAACCTCGGCGATACTCCTATTCTGCGGAACAGGATCTGGCGCGCTTTTCCCAATGGAATACAAACGGGGTCCGCTCGCACGCTATTGAACATGCTGCGCCATTACCAGCTACTTATCGTTGGGAGTCGGACGAACGATCACACCTTCCGTCAGGTTCACATACTGGCTCGCCTCGTATGGTGAACCCCGGTTCTAGCTTAATACCCGAAGATAATGGGGTGGATGCGCGCAAGCGCGTCTGGGATGCCGAAGTGTGTGTGTATTGCTCAGACCATATAAACATCCGATCTGATTGTGAATTGTGTCAGGAAGCCGCCCAACTGGAGCCTCCCCGGAAGCGCTCGAACCACGGATCCTTAGCCAACTCCCCAGCAATGACTACCACGCTCTCGGGTCACGTCATGGGCCCTAATTGACGATCTGGTTATCTGATACACATCCTAACTCTGCTGGCTACCTCATATCACTGTCTACTGCACCGCATGTTTTTGTCGTACACCATACCTGACTCCCGCGCATTGCTCTGGTTATTCACATCCGCTACCGCATCCACATCTGATTTTCGGACTTGGACTGACTGTACTCGCACTTGCTTGTCCATGCACCTGCTATCATCACATCTATACCCAGTGTTTAATTTACCCAATACTATTCCTCGCTTAGTCGATGGCGTTAGAAGCCTTGATACGCTATATAACTATGTTCAATACGTCCCGCTGCAATGGCCTTGGGCGCAGTCCCCCTGCCGGTGCTTGTACTTAACAGTCAACGCGTTGAACGAAGTTGAGAGCACCTGTCATGTACTGCATGCGTTCAGTCGTCCCACTTCTTCGAACGGGCCTTCTTCGTGTCGCTGCGTCGATCCTTCTCTTGCCGTCGTCGCGCTTTATCCACGCGTTCGAGATTCTTCACTCGCTTCTTCTGCTCTTCAGAGGGCTCGTTGACGATGAGTCCGGAGGCGGTACGCATGACAAGATCGTGTAACTGGTCTCATTCAGTGAAGCCCCGTGCCGATCATGAACATAGTTACAGACCTTCGACAGGACGTCGTCGACATTTTGAGCTTGAGAGCGTGTCGCAGTGGAAGTCATCACTATGGATTGTGATGAGGGTGCATAGTGAGGCTATTCCGATCCCATCGTTATGGACGTAAATCGCCGGAGTTCTCGACGGGCGTACCGATTTCTTCAGTTCATCACGGGCCCATAAAGGGATCCATGGCGTGTCTAGAGGCACGCGCAACGTCGCCTTCGTGTTGACTTTGTTGACATTCTGCACCACATCAGCTAGCGAACTTGTCGATAACGATGGACGCCAGCGAACGAACCTGGCCTCCTGGTCCTGAACTTCGCGAAAAGGTGATTTCAACGTGCTCTTTCAATATACCGGAACGTTGAAATTTGGAGACCCAATCAGATGCTTGACGCATATCATCGCTATGTACAAGGTGCTGTAGCGGAGGCGCAGCTGGGATTCCACTTGCTTTCGCGCTGAATACGCGAGAAGTTCCAGTACCGGGACGGAACTTCGCTAACGCCAATTGCCAGCGCACATATTGAAAGGCGGTCCCTCTCAGAACACTGCAGGTAGGGATCACGGACATTCTGGGGCCGGATACGCGTAACAATGCACAAATAGCACTCGGATTTCCGAGAGGTGACCGTGATGGAGGGAGGCAAGTGTCAGGCAGGACGGCGCATGTGGCGCGGGAAACTCACTCTGCACCAGCCCACGGCAGGGCGTGCATGATTATGATCTGCGACCACCACCGGCCGTTGGACTCCTCCGTCCGCTCTACCTAGCTGTCTTCCGGAAACTACTCAATCCGTTTACACCTGACGTCGAAGCCTGTATTCGGGGCCAATCGCTCTCAGGCTTGCAGATCGTGACTTCTTCGAATTCTAAGATCCTCAGATCCACGCGGTTCTACTCGCTCCCGGCGTACCGCGGCGTATACGCTCTGCGAAGACTGTCGATAACCTGCCGTTTAGAGCCCACGGACGGGACCTGAACAGGAGCTTTTAGTGAGTAGCCTGACAGCGCCACGACCTGGAAAACGGTCGAGATACTGACCCCGTGGGCAGGATGAGAATGGCAAACGGTCCACTCGTCGCCCTCAGCGAAGACGTTTACCTTCGCCCGGCTCATGAAAGTGGAAACAGGAGAGATGTATACGCATTTATGGGGGACCCAAGGTGCATGGTGTAGCAGTGATCGGTGGCGTTCCGTTGTGCTCATGCCCGTATTCATCAGTCTCATACTCATGTTCGGTTGGAGTGAGTATGTTACAGGTCGGGCCATGCTCAGCATTGCTAATGCTCGCCCAGTGCAGGCAAAACTAGCACATCTGGAGAAATACTCGTCAGAGTACGCTCGACGTTATCCGTGTGCCGCGCAACTTATCGTGCGTTGCCATCCTTCGTTCTTCATCAAGAGTAAGGCTGCACAGGCAAGTCTCGACGCTGTGAGACGTATTCTGCTATTGACTTTGTGAGTCTCAGCATGCAATGCTGTCTCCATTGGTTCAATTTCTACTGGACGAAGGCTTCATCGTTATCCAAGACGAAGACGCAGTTGGTGCATCCCAGCCTAGCTCGCAACGCGGCATCTTGACCCATGTGTTCTCCAACGGTGAATAGCGACCTTCTCTTCAACATCAGAGTATTCAGGCAGATAACTAGAAGACCTACTATAGGTGGTGCATCCGTACTCACCGCTCTGTCGACACTTCTTGAAGAACGTCGCCTTCGACAAGCATCCGCACAAGGACCCTCCGCCCTTGTCCTGGACTCAACACCTGGGAAGGCTCATCTGTCTCGTACAATGGCCGCCTTCACTGCTCAGTTGAGGTCCCCTCTCTTGAGATACGCCGCAAATACCATTGTGTGTTTCGGGTATCTGCTCCTCCTCGCATACCACAAGATATTTCGTAGGGCGACGTTGGTCGATCGCTTCAGGAGCACCCTTCTCTCCCGAAGATTCCTACCGTGGGGCTCTGAGCATACACCCAGGCTCTATATCTTCTCTCACAGCGATGAGCTTGTCGGATGCGAGGATGTCGAGGAGCATGTTGCGGATGCAAAACGGTCGGGCTTCCGAGTGGAGACTGAACTCTATGCTCGTAGCGCTCACGTCGCTCACATGCGGACCGATCCCACGAGGTATTGGGCCGCAATCGAATCCCTTTGGTCTTCGGTAACATAGCCTCTGATTAGACGCGCATGTCTCCGTTGGTTATAGAGCAGACCGATATATACCTTGTTTAATGCACGAAGAAATCTAGATCACCAACATACTGTCCCAAAACTATGTGAGAGGCGGGGAGATGAAGTCCCAGAGTCGGCCCAAGGAGTGCATACGTCCCATTGGAGCTGGACAAACGGACAATATATATTGCGCATAGCAGAGAACAGCAGAATTCATGGGCAGGTATTGACCGAAGAAGTTGCAAGTTCATGACTGGTGACTAGTGATTACGTGCGAGTAGAATGAAGAAGGGAGAGTGGAGCGTCGCTGCAGAGAAAGGGCCGTATAACGCAAATGCGATTTGTTCTCTCAACTCTCGTACTGAGGGGGGAGCTCCTCAGGCTGTCCTTGCAGGAGGTTGTTCAAGCGGCGAACCAAGTTTGGAATCTCAGCGAGAGAAACTCTCTCAGGCCCCGCTACGCCTGGGCTGCTACTCTCACCCGCGGATGAAGGCATTCTCTCAGGTTGACGGATCGCAACAGCTTGAGCATTGGCGTCGTGATAGGGGGCATTCATGCGTTGCAGTTTGGAAGGATGGCCCACGGTGACTACTGGCGATGATAGGAGGCCTGACGTTGATGCAGCACCGGATATAGCAGGAAGGGCTGCCTGAGGCCGTGCGAGGTTCGTACTCGGTAGGTCGTGCGGGGATGTCTGGTGTATGAACGGTTCGACGGTCATGCCACCATCGGACCCGTCAAACTTTTCCTGTATGAAGTGCCCCCGCTTCGCAGAATCCCGACGGCGACGCCATAACAAAAACGCCGCGACGGCCGCAGCAACGCCCACCACGCCACCAACGACGCCGCCCGCGACGGCTCCCGCGTTTGAGGGAGCGCTTGACGATGCGGGAGTATCGGTCGGATGCGGCGAATTAGTAGTTGTGGAATTGCCTGACTCGGACGAGTCGCTGCGAAACATTTCAGTGGTTGAATACACGGCGAGATATGAAGATCACTCACGGACTCGCTGGCGTAGGCGCGACAAAACTGAATGCGGCATTAAGAACATCTAGCGCAGCGAGATTGCCGACAGCACTGAAGGTTCTGCGGGGCAGGTTCATGCTCAGCGCTGCCGCAGGAACACAGAGTGGGAACGCGCTCACGCATTGGGCGGTCCAAACCACGACGTTGTGTAATAGCTAGTCTGAGGCGCAAGTGCGTTGTTCAGGAGTGAATTGTACTGTTCCCGCCGTTTTCCGTCAGACTAGCGTTATCATCATACACTAGGGGTGCTGACCTGAACCGTGATGTATGCCTCAATGTATTTGGCAAGATCCGTACCAGGGTTTCGCAGCCTAGCCTCCGACAAGCCTCGAATGAAGATGCCCTTGAGGGTAGCCTGGAAGCTATCACGAGCTGGGGCCTCTGTTCATTCGTCAGTAAACATCTCGGCCGGACGCCGCAGCATCTCCCATACCACTGATCACACCATCCTGCAACGTCCAACCCGAGAAGCTAGTGACACTGGGTACAACCGTCTGGAGCCTGACGACGCTATCAGCATAGCCGAATGGTATGAATGGAAGATGCCTGACAGCGTCGTCAAAGTGTTGTTCTTGGTAACATTCGCCCACACCGAAAGACCTACGCAATGTTCAGTGTGGTACAAACCAACACGTGAGCAATGCATTCACCTTCTACGAACCATGCTTGGTCATACGTCCAGTGAGTAGCATTATTGGTAGCGCAGGTCGCCGGATCGAACCCGTCTTGCACGATGGTGCCGTCCCATAAATGGCCAACCATGAAGTCCAGTGAAAGCTGCGCTGCCTGCTGGTACAAGGAGTCACTCGTCTCCTCGTATAGATACGCCGAAAGCCTAGTAGAATGGTCAGCGCAGCATTCGTCGTCCTGAGACACAACACATACGCCATAAACGGGGCCACAGTCTCTGTGTTGATGTTGGTATTGTTCTGCACAGTCTTTGCCTATGGAGACGATGATTAGCACATGTACAGGCGTTGGGAGATCGTAAAACGGAACGTACCCAGAACACGCCTCCGGCGATGGTCCCTGATAGACGGGATGATTAACATCTGAGACGCATAGCTTTTGAGGGAACATGCCGCTTGAGCACCCTGAGGGTGGGGAAAAGGATACGTTGCGTCCGGCGCCGGAACCGCTAGATGCCGCGCTCGGTGTGATAAACCCATCCGTATACGTAGCATTATACGCGGACTTCGCCAAGTCGAGCAAAAACGGTGTCCGGTACGTTCGGTACGCGTAGTAAAAGCCGAGGCCCCAGTAAATGGCATCGCTGTTGTATTCGGGCAATCCGCCGTAGAGGCCTTTCTGCTGGTAGTAAGCTTGAACGCCGTTGGATACGAAGTCCTTCCATGACGAGTTTCCACTATAGTAGTCCTGGAGGGCGAGTACGGAGAAGACGCCGGTAATATCCTGGACATGTGGAAGATCTAGGGCATGGTACTTGTGAGATTGGAACACCTCAGTCCAACGTGAGGGACGTACCGTCGCTGGTACCGCCCGCCGGATTGACCTGGGCGAGAAGAGCTGCTGCCGCACGGTTGGCGAGGTTTTCGCGCGACGCGCGGCTGAGGTTGAATGTCGGATTCTACGGTAGCCGGAGTTAGCGTTCGCCACATTGTATGCCTTGATCCACGTACAAGCCACGTTGACGGGATAGTGAGATCTTGAGCCACGACACCAGCTAACGACGACAAGAACAAGGTGGAAAGAACGGCTCTCATGCTAGACGGAGCGCTGATACTGGAGCCCCGAAGGCGATGCGCGGCCTAGCGGCGGATGGAGGTGATGAAAGGAGACGAAGGCGTAGCGAAGATGAGTGACAGGGTGGGAGGGAAAATGTCCGCTCGTAACATATATGTGGTAGCGCCCGTGCTCGTCGGATGAACAAGAGCCTCGGACGTCCGTCTAGATCGCCGGACATACTTAGTCGTATGGCGGCCACGGACGACGTGCAGAAGGTGTTAGGATCCCCTTGATGCCATGATAGATTGTAGCTCTTCGTGTCTTGACCCTCCGCTCTTTGAAAAGTACGATATGCCGCCAGCTATCTCCATGCTCTGTTGCCGACTGGTGACAAAGTGTTGCATCCGCTACGTTGAAGCGTATACGGGTCGACATTGTGAACGACCATGTACGTAGGGGGGCGACGTTTAACACCAAAGCGTTCTAAAGGGCGTGCTAGCCGTGTGTCGTTCTGCGTCGTCGGACGTATCCCATCACTTGATACCTCCGGTATTGGGTCAGGGCTAGTCAGTATAGCCGACCGGGTGATGGTATGGAGCGTGAATGCCATAAGAACTGGTCATGCAAAGCATGTTGGACCGGAGGACGATGGTCGCTGCTCTTTATTGTACACGTATCCCGGGACCGGGGAGATGATGAGCGCGCAGATACGGTGGCGATGCTGGTCTCGAAACACAAAAGCGATATGACATTAGCAAAGCGGTAGTACAGTATATACATACATTGTATACAGGTGCTCTATCATACGCCGACCAGTCCACTCCTTCGCCCTTCCGCCTCGGTCCCATTACAACGCCAGTGCCTACGACTGTGGTCAGCGAACGAACGCGATGAGGGCGACGAGAGTCAGAATAGTGGAATACAATCAAGGCCGAAGCTCAGGAACAGCTTCTAGTTGATATTTTTTGCTTTGTTTCATCGGTATGCGAGAGAATAACGGAAGGCACGCTCACCGGCATCAAGTTCTTGAGCGCTGCCCGGGACACGAGCGAGATGTAGCGGTAAGGGGCGAGATATCCTGAGGGGAATGGTAAGCGGAGAGTTCTGAAAACACAGGGCCAGAGAAAAGGGTATCAGGAGGGGTGCCCGAGATAATTGAGCTGTGCGGGCATTTTCGGCAGTAATCGTACGAAGACCGTCGTGATGTAATCATCATAGGAAGGTGGAAATCACCGAACAGATTGTAGATCGGGCTCACCATTCGCGGTCCTTAAGGGCAATGTGCCGATGGGTGTGCAGTTGAAACATGGCAGAAGATGATCTAGCAAAGTTGTCAGTAAAGTTGTCATATATAGACGCTTCCAGATTGAAGGCTCAGAAAATAAAATCAGCCGGAATTTTCGTCAACGGTCCACCCGCGTAAGGTGTACTCAGGCGGTAAATCCATGAAAAGATCATAGCCATGCAAGATGAAAGAACACTCACAGTGGTGGACCGTGTGCATCGCACATGTTCAGAATATATGAAGCTCATCATGCGTGTCCTGGGGGGTCGAGGTCAGTTAACGTGGTGCGAAAGGAATATGGAGTCAGGGATGTTCAGCTAGAGCTAATAAAAAAAAAGCATCGAGCCTAAAGCTCTCAGATACTCTAGTTTGAATGATTTTGGTTCATCGCGACAGCGAAGGGAGGGCACGGAAACAACGAGTATGGAAACTCACAGGCAGCATGACCATTATCAGTACTCCGTAGACGAGGGTACCACCATCACGTTGTACGGTGCCATCTGGGAACGGAGTCAGCGACTGGTACCAGCGCAGGTAGGAACCGATCAGTGTAACTATGACATAGAAAACCGTTTCTTCGCACCGCCGATTGGTATGTCGACGGCGCTCGGGTAAACGAAGGATATCATCGCGTCGAGGGTAACTAGAGGATAAGACTCACGGTTTATGCAACATCAAAGGCTGGGAACAAGGAGCAAATGCTGAAGATGGTGGCGGCATGAGAGAAGCCATCCGAACGCGAAAAAAACTTGAACGGCCTGGTCGGCGCTTGCCGTGATGGCTCCCACGGTTCTGAGGCCGGTGCGGACCGCCCAGAACGCGGTCATGCGTCATCTTCCGACTCTCGCCTTCACGTACCGGCCTTAGCGGCGGTGACCGGTGACCTATGCTCTCGCTAGCTACTCGCGCTTGCAGGAGGCATGCGCTGTACTCTCAAGTATCTGCTATAGCTGCTGCTCAAAGTAAAGTCCGGAACTCTCTTGTCAGGCACCCGACCAGTTATTCACGCCCGATGCAGGATGCTTGAGCTCATCCTCAGCTATTCGCCCCGTGAACCTGTCGTACAATGTCGTCGACCCTCCGGCTGGCTGCGATGACAACAGGCCCCTGGTGATTCTACATGGGCTTTTGTATGCTTTTGATTTGCTTGCGCTGCTTCATGCGCTCACGTTCATTGCAGCGGCATGAAGCGCAACTGGCTTGCACTATCCAAAGCATTCGCTAGGGATCTTCGCCGGCCTGTGTACTCACTTGTGCGTACATACGTCTCATGTGCTGAATAACTGATCTGACGACTCTGCAGGATCTCCGCAACCATGGAGAGTCACCTCATGCAACGCCCATGAGCTATGAGGCCATGGCCGCTGATGTCTTGCACTTTTGCGAAGCGCATGGACTATCGAACATATCACTACTAGGTCACTCAATGTGCGCTCAATATCTACCTACTACAAGCGGGAGCTGACATAGTTCTCAGGGGAGGCAAAGTCGCCATGACGGTCGCGCTATCACCTGATCTGCCCGAGAGAATATTGCGAGAGCTCATCGTGGCAGACATCGCTCCTGCGCGGGCAGACCTCTCTTCTGAGTTCCAGGGCTATGTAAAGGGCATGGTCGAGATTGAGGAAGCGGAACTCTCGTCCAGACAAGAAGCGCAGGAAGTGCTCAAGCCTTACGAGCCTGTGAGTGTTGACTGGTGGCTTTTCTGAAGACATGGACGTCGACGCAAAGCCAGGACGCGATGACCCGGGCGTTCCTCTTGACAAACCTCGATCCCCATGCGCACCCTGTACGGTTCCGCGTCCCGCTAGACATTATCGGGCCAGCAATCAAAGACATTGGCTGGTTTCCTTACGCTCCCGGAGAACGCAAATGGGAGGGCAAGACGCTGTTCATCAAGGGTACCAAGAGCAAATATATCAACCGTCACAATATTCCGCTGCTCAGTCAGTTCTTCCCAAACATGCGCATGGAGGAACTGGATGCGAGTCATTGGGGTGAGTGCTTCGTCTGTCTGTCGTGGCAACAGAAAAGTACTGATCCCGGTGCCTCCTATCTCCCAGTTCACGCCGAGAGGTCAGTGTAAAACACATCTCCAGACGATCTCCGCTCACATTCTCTGTAGGCCTAACGAGTTCAAAGCACTGGTGACCAGCTTCATTGCATAGACCATAGACAAATGTATGGCGGTGCAATCTACATTATACACGTACCATCCAAGACTCTGCATCTCCGTCCTGCTTTCGCGTGCAGCATGCTTACGTTCCGCGTTCGACGACCTCAATTACCCGTCTCTGCTTCGAAAATGTGCCTGCTTCGGAGCGCGCGGCAGAAGCATTGTCATGGGATCCCGCTTTAGGATGCATCTGTCCATTGACTTGCCCTCGTGGATGGGCGTCTAGCCGTGGTATATAAAGACCTATCGCATGGACGTCAGGACGCCTGGCGTTCACTTCTCCGATGTTCATCGCTTACCTGAGGTCGCTGATAGTTGCTTGGTTTGCTGTGCTCCTGGGACGCGCTACCTCTACTGAGCACACAAGTGGCGATAACGACGGTATTCATCTTGCCGTGCATCCTACATGTGGGCGATTTGGAGGCAACTTCACTGATGCCAACGCGGGCGTGAACCTGAGTCGTTTCGAGACCATCGTGTCATTTGGCGTATGTCGTCTCTCATGTTTTCATCAAATCGTGCTCACTCTTGTTCAGGACTCGTATACTGACGGAGGACGATCCAATGGAGGACCCCTCCTTCCACCAGTTATCATTCCACCAAGCAGTTTAGCCGGAAACCGAAGCACGAATGGTCGCGTGTGGTCGGAGAACATCGCGAAGGATCTCAATGCAACTTTCAAGGACTATGCCTTGGCTGGCGCGGTAGTGAACCTCACGCTCTGGCCGAGCAATCCTACGCCTGTCGACTTCTTATACGAGAGTCAGTGAGCACTTTTCGCAAGGAAAGCTCCATTAACTTCACACAGTGTCCGTATTTCTGAACCAGTCCAACAATCTGGATCCTGATACCACGCTGTACACGATCTTCTTCGGTATCAAGTTCGTATACGCTCATTCCCGCGCCTGCGCACTGAGCATTGACCTCGCCCGCAGTGATTGGATAGCGTCCATGAGTGAGCCCTGCGCCTTATTCCAAGATCGTCAGGATACTCATGCAAACAGTCGATGGCGATCATCTTCCGGAAGCCGCACAGGACTTACTCAACCAGATTCAGATACTCGCGAGTCCACCCACAAACGGTCGCTCCTTCCTAGTGACAGACGTTTACGGTCGCGGGACACACACCGCCACAGGAGAAGCATGGAAGCAAGCAGTCTTTGACGGACTGAGCGCCTTTGCCAGCGGTACAGGCGTCCCAGCCTCTCTCAATGTCGCCTACGCAGACTTCTCGCACATCTGGGACGGTGTACTCGACGGACCGCCTGGCTATGCCGCGTTTGGCTACACCAACACGAGCTCGTGCGTCAACGGACCCACGTTGGAAGGTGAATGCGACGATCCTGAGCATTACTTCTACTGGATTCCAGGTGAGCTATGGGCACATGCATGAGGCAGCATAGCTTCTAACCCCACTGCTTAGGGTGAGGCGCGAGCTTCAGTCCACGCGTCGACATCGTACTGATCTGCAACAGGCACCCTTCCAAAGAGACACATCGTATCATGGCGGACTACGTGGAAGAACTTCTTACTCGGTGCTTGTGAGACCATACCGGACTGTTCAAGTATGGTGAACCCCAAATCGCACACATCTGAGCCTTTGAATGGCCGATACGTTGTTGCTACGCTCTACTGAAGCTCGACGGCGCCCTTCATCGGTGTGCGTCATGGCGATGCCGGCGGTAAGAAGACCTTTCACGCGTTCATGAGAAGGTCCGAACTTCGCCCATCAGCACGCCCTTCCAAAAGAAGGACTCGTGATAAGATGCGTGCTTCTCGACTGCATGCAGGTATATGTAGCGGCATCGGCGCGCGTCGTCAAGTCCCCTGTATGCTTTCGAGAGCTGTATCTACAAGCGGATACAGGATGCGCCAGGCCGAGTTACTAACCCCTTTCAGGTTCAATGGGCACCAAGGCGGGGGTCTCTGAACCTTGCGAAAAGCTTGTGAAGAGACAGGCCGCCACACTCGCGGCTTTGAGGATCGTCGACAGCATGCGCTTCAAGATCAGACTGCCCTACCTCATCGATACACGCGTCGTAACCTCGTCCTTTCTCCGCAGCACATCAACCAGAATGCCGGATCGGGATACCTACATCCTCCCGGTTTGGTAAAGGCTGCTTGCTGCATCTGAAGGGCGAGGCGCCACGCTATAGCACACTCGTGGCAACTCTATTGGCCGGCTCTACAAATTTGACATCTCAATCAGCTTCGAATGCGGTTCTAATATATCAATCGCCTCGGCATACTTATACAGGGCGTAAGCCTTCGTGGCGCCCTTGTCCCTCTGCCTTGACCCCGTTCATGTCCAACCCAACCATCTTTATCCTCGGCGCCTATGGCTTTGTCGGCAGTCACCTCACCAGGATCTTGGGGGAGAAACATCCGGACTATCGCCTACTATGCTTGATGCGCAACCCTACGCCTGAGCGTCTCGATCCACTGAAGGGTTTGCATCCCAACATCGAGATCATCGAAGGCGCTTTGGAGGATACAGAGCTCATCTCCAAGACTTCCGAGGATGTCGATGTCGTGCTGAATACTGCGAGCTCTGACCACTGGCCGAGTGTTGAAGGCGCGCATACACCTCTTCACGATCGCTTACGCGTCACTCATGCCCGCTCATAGCTACTCTCGATGGACTCACCAAGAACTCGGCGAAGCACCCGGGAAAGCCGCCGCTTTATATCCACGTCTCTGGCTGCGGTATCATTAGCGACAACGTCCGTGGAGAGAAGGTGGACAACGTGAAAGAGTGGACTGATGTTGGGCTTGACTTGAAGGAGTGCGTGAAGCTCAAGATACCTCCGCTAGCAACACTGACGGCAATCCTGTAGCTGTCCGCCCACGAATACGCACCTTGAATCCGATACCAAGGTGCGCGACCGTGTACAGTCTTATGCGCTAGTCTTGCTCAGTGGTATCACAGATCGTCGAGGCAGGCACCCGCTCCGAGAACCCTATTCGCACAATCATCCTCTTCCCCGGTCAGGTTTGTCTCTCAATCTCCTTGCGTCTTCACGACGATCTGACGATTAGTAGATCTACGGAATCGGTGAAGGTACTGCTTGCGTAGAGTCTCACTGCGGGCTCGACTCTGGACTGACACATGCCCTGTACAGTCCAGAAGACCACCATGTGGTTGCGCATCTTCTCTCAAATGGCGAAGAACGTTGGATATTCCGGTACATGGGGTCCTGGAGAGATATCGCAAGGGAACATCCACGTCAAGGACTGCGCTAGCGCTCTAGTGCTGTTGCTGGAGAGCGCTCTCGAGGGGAAGGCCGGGGAAGGCAAGGACGGTCTCTGTGAGTGTGCTTCCACATCGAAGTCATGGACCTGCCCCTCATTCTTTCAGACTTTGGTGTGGCCCCGGTGCCTCTCATTACGTACAAACAGTGGACCGAAATCATGGGCGACGTGTGTACTTTCCTTGGTACAGGCAATTGCTCTATCTAATGTCCGTCTAGATCCTGCACAATAAGGGCCTCTTGAAGGAGCCTGGATCCCACCCATTCCCTCCCGAGATCACCGATGCTTGGGGCCATTGTGGGTGCTCGACTTTCAAGTTCTCCGTCTGACTGAGCTTGGCATTGACGATTCTCAGATGGGTGGTCCTTACTTGGAAGCAATCAACATGCGAAAGCAGACCGTCTCCTTCAACTGGGATGGGAACCGGAATGGAGCAAGAAGGAATCCATCCTCGACGTCCTTCCAGCAATGATCGAGGTTGCCGCCCAAGATTTAATCGCCGCCGAGAAGAAATGAAGCTGTCCGAGCACCGTGCCATGTACGCATACGTAGTATCTATCTTTTCCGCATTTCAGCTGTTGTATACGATGTTCAGAACGCGATTCTGTTTGCTTGCTGTCACCTGCTCAATGAAAACGTCGGCTGTTCTAGTCGGCGAGCATCCGTTCAAGTTCTCGGGAGTCCACTCGCGTCAATTCGACGGTCGCGCCGCTCGACTCCTAATTACTCGAGTTGATCAGTATAATCACAACGTACTTGAGTATGTCAGTGCTCACAAGATGCTGTGTACCTCTAGAGTGCGCTGCTTGTCGTTGTTTTGATGTGACTTCCGTCGCGCATCATTGTCGGCGCAGGGTGGCAGATGGTAAACCCTAACCCGACAGCTGAAATCAACTTCCCCGTGGGGCGCCACACTTACCTCCGACCACCATCGCGTTCAGCGCTTGTCTTGACTGTGACCTCCTACCACCACCCACCGCGTTGAGAATCCGGCTGGAACGCTACTACTGCGTACGCTGAGTCTTACGAGTAACTTGGTTTAACAAAGCATGGCGATCAAGTTGTCCCCCAATCTTGGCCATCTGGTCTATGGAATCGCCTTCCTCTCAGCCGCCCGCCTTGCTTTTGCTCAGAAAAAGGTTCTCATATACTCTTACGTGGCACCCGGCGAGTTTGTGCACGACTCTATACCGACGGCAACGCAAGCTCTCATCTCTCATGGTTCTTCAATATCTATCTCGTTCGACTCTACGCAAGACCCCTCTCAGTTTACCGCCCAAAACTTGAAGAACTATGACGGCTTACTGTTCCTCATGACCATTGGAGAAGGTAAGCTTAGGTCATGCGGTGGTCCTCGTGGTCTTCGACCCCTCTTCATGTGAACAACAGTCTTGGACTCGACTCAACAACAGGCGTTCCGGGATTACCTCGACGGCGGCGGCAACTTCATCGCCGTGCACGCCGCGTCTGACTGCTTAAGAAACACGAGCTGGTATGGAGAAGAAGTTGGTTGGTCATTCATCGTTGCTTCGGGAGTCGACGTCACTCATCTTGGTCACGCAGGCGCCTACTTCGATTACCATCCCGAGCTACAGAACGCGGTGAGATCTGCGGCACCGGCGCTCATGAAATCCACCGATCGATTATACGCAGACAGTGGATGTGATAGACTCGTCACATCCTGCGACCAGTATGCTACCCGCGCAGTGGCACGTACAAGATGAGATGTGAGCGTTCACGGCTGACGGTGTTACGGCGAGTCGTCCGCTAATGGACTCTGGCGCCAAGGTACAACTTCAAGAGCGACCCTCGGTCCATCGGAGCTGTAGTTCTGCTCTCCGCCAACGACTCCTCATACAATGGTCGATAGCTTCAAAACCAACAGCGCCTACGTCTCTGAGCTTACCTTCATGCAGATCCAGGCCCACGAAAGTTCAACCAAGGGACCCCTCATCCAACCGGTACATTCATTCCTGCATTGATACATGCCTGTCACTTATGAACTCTACTAGCTTGGTACCAGGAGAAAGGCGCCGGCGTAGAATCTAACGGTACAGCGGGCCGTTCCTTCTACACCAGCCTCGGGCACTTGAGCTCGACTTGGCAGGTAAGATCACTATACGCCCTGAAGCGCGAGTATTCGAGGGGCTTATTGCTTATTAAACAGGACGACCTATTCTTGTCGCATATCCTAGGGGGAGTTCAGTGGGCTGTTGAGGCAACCGCCAGTACGAATACGTCGTCGTCCGCGTCGTCTACTGCCTCAGCATCCGCAAGCGCGACATCCGCTAGTAGTGCAGCTGACTCATCATCCCCAGCGTAGGCTTCAGCATAATATCATGCACAATGAAGCAAGTGCTGATTATTACTCTTAGATCTCAATCTTCCGGCACCCAGCTAGGCTCTATGGGCATGTGGGCGACATCTTTGCTCTCTGCCTTAGGTGCACTCGTCTTTGTGCCCTGATGGACGTGAGCCACACTACCACTACAGATCTACGTACCTTCTTATCCTACCGTTATACAGCACCCTACATGTATTTGTCGATCGTACCAATAGCGAGTTTTAGATCAACACTTCCGAGATTGATAGCCAGTTGCGCTATCGGCCCGGGCAGCAAGCCCAAGCATGTTTAAAGAGCATGTGTAAATGTCTTTCGTAGCCTTTTGAGCCTGGACACAACTGTACCCAAATAGTGTCCCTGCTCGATGAATATGGCTCGGGGCTCGAGTCGCCCGAAGCCCGGCAATCACCGTGAGCCATCATCTGCAAGAAAATGTTGCTGTTCGGCTTGCGACCCTCCACCACCTCGCATGGCCGCCCTCCCCATGGTTCGACGCGGTTAGGTAAGCGTTTAAATCCCAACCCGTGCACTTTGTGATGCTTTCCATAATTCTTATCTACATTGTCTGACCGCGCTTTGCGCGGGCCCGAAGACAACTTCCGGACTGAACTCCCCTCATTCGCTCTTCGCTCCTTCATATGCTGACCCTGTATCCCAGGTCTTCAGTGCCCCGGACACACTCTTACATTATACTCCCCCGAACTTCCTACGATCATAGTCCTTTTCCTGTCGCAATATCATCGACATCATGAATTTCTATTTCCAAGCTGCCGGCGTTCTTGATCGCCTGGGGGAGAAACGTGGGTCTGTGAAGGGCCTCATCGCCGCACTGCCCGAAAAAGATCGCAAGCGTACGGCTGCCCTGGTCATCGAGACGTTGAAATGTGCGCCGCCCCGTCGCGTGAGTGCGTGAAGCCCCGTCTGAGAGTACGCGCGCGCAGACAAGCCTGTCCTTGCGGACACCATCGCCGCGGCGCAGTTGCACAAGCATGAAAGGAAGCTCAACTCGGCCAATCTCGCCTTAGTCCTCGTTCATGACGCTCTACTTGCCTCGGGAGGCATACAGGCCGGCGATGGCCCCCTTAAACAGGCTGTTCTACGGCACAAGACTCGACTGAATAGTGAGCTGCAGCGCATAAAGATCAAGCGCGGAGTGAGTTCGAATGCAGAATTGGCGGCATCTGCTGACGCGCGCGCTGGTGAGCGAGTCTCGATATTCTTCTGTAGGTGGCAGACATGACTAGTGACAGCCAGTATACCGCGCTATGTACGGATCAACACTCTGAAGTGGTCACTGGAGGAAGCTCTTCGGACGTTAGAGTCGCAAGGATTCAAGCCAGGTAGCGCTCAAGACCTGCAGCCACGGTGAGTGATCAGCATATTCGGTTGAACCGTCCTCTCATAAGGGCGTAGGGAGTACGCGAAGGACGAGCACATTCCAAACCTGTTGCTGTTTCACCCACAAACCACCTTCCAAGATGATGCCGCCTACACCGCGGGCAAGCTCATACTACAAGATAAAGCGTCCTGCTTCCCCGCGACCGTCCTTTCCCCGCCTGTGCATGATCGTGCTGCGGTCATTGACGCCACTGCTGCACCCGGTAACAAGACATCACAACTCAGCGCGCTCATGAAGGGCAAAGGGACCGTGAGTTGGATTGTTAAGTCCAGTTCAAGCTATCTTTCATGCTCGCTTCCAGCTTATGGCCTTCGAACGTGACCGTCGTCGGTTCGGCACCCTGCAAACGATGCTTGGCAAGGCTGGATGTCCCAACACTACCCCCCTCAACGCTGACTTCCTTACAACGGACCCGAAGGACGAGCGCTTTGCGAGCATCTCCCACATCCTGCTCGATCCGTCATGTAGCGGCTCCGGCATTGTCAACCGTTTGGACTATCTCATGGAGCCAGGTTCGTGACCTCCGTCGGTGCTCTGTATCATTGATCCAACGGACGCATAGAGGACGACTCCGATGGTAGCGCTGAGCAGGCGCGTCTTGAGAAACTAGCTTCCTTCCAACTCCTCATCATCCGACATGCGATGAAGTGTACGCCAACTATTCCCTCGCTTCTATTCGACACTGACGGCCCTTCTGCAGTCCCCGCTGCTCGCAAGATTGTCTACTCGACGTGCAGCGTCCACAATGTAGAGAACGAGCAAGTCGTCAAGGCGGCGCTTGCGAGTGAAGAAGCGATAGACGCCGGCTGGACGTTAGCGCCTCGCTCAAGGGTGTTGCCATCATGGCCTCGGCGCGGACATCCCGACATTCTCGCAGATCAGGGTCGGTCTTCGTTGTCATATTCTCGACGCACGGCAGACTGATATCGCGATGTTCAGATGCCACTAACTCTGTTGTGCGCTGCGAGCCCGGCGAGGACGCTACGAACGGTTTCTTCGTCGCCTGCTTCGAGCGAAGCGCTGACAAGAAGCGGAAAGCCGAACATAATGAGGACGACGCAGAACATATCGTAGAACATGACCAAGCACCCGCCAAGAAGAAGCGGAAAAAGAAGAAAAAGAAGTCGAAGCCGGCGGGCGCACCCGAGGTTCCTGCAGGTTCGGGTGCGGCGTCGTCCTGACAGTGGCGGTCGGCGACGATGTACCACCCCTCACTCGTCTTCCAGCTTTTGCGATATGTGTTTTGTTTCGAATAAGCTGTGATGATTATAGTAGCATCTATAGTGATGTGCCGATACTGGGCGAATGAATGTGCAAAGCAAGCAGTGTGTACGGATAGCGACGGGTATCGACAAGATGGTGAGAGATGGGGATAAATGTTGGGTGAGGAAGTGCTGCGATAAGCACAACGTCGACGTTTTGAGAGACTATTGTGGCCGGCATTCGGGCTCGCCGTCTTCGTCTTCGTCTTCATCCTCCCATGCGTCCTCGTCGTCGCCAAACTGCGTCCGGAACGACTTGTCAAAAAAGCCTGCGCCAGGAGCATAGGCACGCTCACGCACGTCACCAAGTTCAGCCTCCTCATACGTTGCAACATCGACTATCGCAGGTTCCGGTTCTGGGTCCGAGCGTTTAGGTGGGAGAAGTTTTGCTAGTTGCTGTGGCGCACAGGGTGCATCAGCCCGCATGTTAACGATATATAGATCTTGCTTATCCGTACCGTTAGGTCAATAGTCCGTAGCCAGTCCGATGTGGGCATCTCAACATCCAAGACAACGTAGAGGTCACCCTTGACGTCGGGGGTCTTGTATGTTGGCATGCCCTCCCCGCGAAGAACGATCGACTGTCCGGGCTGAACAACTTTGCCTTTTGGACTTGCGACGCGGACGCCACGGCCGTCGAGATGCGTGACGAGGATCCTGTCAAAACCAAGAAGCGCTTCGGATAATGTAATTTTGACAGTGGTCAGAAGGTCATTGCCAGAGCGTTCAAAGAAGTCATGGTGAGCCATTTTCAAGACGAACACGACGTCCCCTGGTGGGGATCCGGGCTGGGCGTGTATGAGCGGAAGAACAGCTTGCAAGCGGATACACGCACCATTTGATCACCGGCACCTGGTAGTACTATCTTCTGGCCGTCCGACATGCCACGCTCGACAAAGATATCTTGCTTGGCCTTCTCGGTGACGGTACGCGAACCCTTGCACTTCTTACACCTGCATACAGTGATGAGTAATGACGGGTGAGTATGGCGTATTCAGATCGAGCGCACCTGTCCTTCTCCCTGATCTTCTCGCCGCGGCCCTCACAATCAGTACATACCGCCCGCGAAGTGCCTATCCTGTTGGGACCAAGCTATAGGATCATCAGTACGCAGGCATTCACACCATGAGGATGTACCTACCGAGCTATGGACGTGCGTGTAACCATGGCCCTCGCATTTGACGCAGGGTTTCGGTTTTGCGCCAGTCTTTGCGCCAGAGCCCTGGCACGTCGCACATGGCACGGTTTTCTCGAGGTTCAGATGCACGGTCTTGCCGTTATAAAGGTCTTCGAGCTTGACATCATACGGTACGACTTCATCTTGTGACCTCCCCCGTCCACCGCCAGGGAAACCGGGACCAAAGTCGAAGCCAAATTGAGCGCCACCGGGCCCACCGCCAGCGAAGAACTGGGCGAAGAATTCGTCCATAGCCGCTGCTCCGCCTGGCCCTCCGCCTTGGCCACCCATGCCGGACATTCCAAAGTTATCATATGCTTCTCTTGAATCTGGATCGCTCAGAACTTCATAACTGCACCACAGAGTTCAGCTTGAGAAGTCGAATTTCAGAGAAGAACATACGCGGCACCCAGCTCCTGAAACTTCTGAATGGCTTCAGGGTCATTGATGTTCTACAAAAGGTAATCAGTGATAGTCGAGACTCTGGTGCATGGACCACACACCTTGTCCTAGATAGACGGGCCGAAGATGTCAGAATAGAGTACGCTGGCAGTAAGCAGGCTGACATACTGGATGTAGATCTTTGGCCTACGCATGAAAGTTAGGCAGAAACATATCCGAAGCATCAAGATCACGCACCCTTTTGCGGTACGCCTTCTTAATATCGGCTGAAATACAGGGTTCGCTCAATAAGCAGAGCCAACGTTGCGCAAAGACGGACCGTCAGAAGCTGTCGCCGGTACGCCTAGAATATCGTAGAGTTCAGTTTCGACCGCCACTATATTGTGTAAGTTTGATTATCTGAACAAGCCAAGTGTATCCGTACTGAATATCAATTGAAGGTGAGGGCGAGAGCAGAAACGCGTCGAAAGAAGCGCGCGTCAACGGCAGCGTGCCGCGTCGCGTCGAGCGCGCGTCGCACGCGTTTCCTCGTTCGGCTGACGCGCGACTTGTCTGCAAACCACCATGAGCGTTGCCCAACATTCTGCATCTGGTCCATGGTCCTTCGCATTGCACCCGACTGACTGCATCGATCCGTCGATCCTTCCGGTGCCAATCGAATCTGGCCTTAACAAATCCCGCAAATCAGCTGTATAGCATTGTCTCCACGCTACTCTTGCATCAAACTTCCTAGTAAGCAATATCACGGCGCAAGCCAAATATCTTCCTCCGTGCTCCTTCGTCTCACTTGCGAACACGACATCGTTGCAATCGAGCGCCCAGCAATTCAGACCTTGTGTCAAGACGGACTTAGGCTCTGATGCCGCAGTCACGGTTATTCGGACATCCTTGAACCTTGTCGTCTAGAGCGACGTACGTTGAGAGGAACAGGAGGTCATTGTATAGCGCGGCTCCGACGAGAAGGTCTAGAGAGCAGCGCAGTCTGTTGCACGCTTCTTCGTTTAGACTACTCTCGCAGGGTCGTAGCGTCGATCCATCCGACCGGCGCAGGCTCATATATGCCGCGCGTACGTATATAAGGAAGAAGAGCGGATTCCTCCGTCCACATGCCCACCCCCCGGTCCCGTTGCCACGGCCCTCTCCTCGTCGTTACGACGGTATGGACGAAGAGCTGAGGCTCGGAATGATTACCGCAAAAGATCATCTCATCTCTACGTTTCTGACCACCCTCCTTCTCGGTAAGAAGCGCCGATTTGCTCACTTGGCGAACGCGATTGCTTATCAGCTCTTACGTGGACAGGTTCCAAGTGCGTGTCCTGCGGTCGTGCGCTCCGTTCAGACATTGACGAAGTCTGTAGCGTCGTTCTTTGTTTCATATGCGTGCAGATACTTGTCAACCGTCATAGAGACGGCGTGCCCAGCGCCAGGTGCGCAGCCTTTGTTCGCATCGTGATGTATGATCGCTTACGAGAGCATATATGCAGCCGCTTGCTTTGCGCGACCGTCTTACACTTATGCCTGTGTATTGGCCACTCTGCTGCGTTCTTTGGAGCCGCTCTGCAAGGTTTGGTCAATCACGCCTCGGAACCCTACGGGGCCGCAACGTACTTCAACGAGCACTGGGCTGGTGGCTGGAAAACGGCCCAGATCGCCTTCTTCGCTGGTAACGTACGTACCCCCATGCGTATTATGACGGTATGCTCAATTGTCTTTCGACAGGACGCATGCTATAACGCAATCTTGGTACGAGCGTGCTCTCGTAGTGTCTGGAATTGCTGTAACTGAACCTGCCTCGCAGGTATGGCGCATACACGTTGTAATGAGTTCTGACTGGCGTTTCACTATCCCCACTGTGAGCTTTACTCCCGTCAGATCACAAGAACCATTGTCTCAACGAGTGCCATCGTAGGCTGCGATGGCGATTGGTGCAGCGAGTACGTCGCTTCCTCGACTGGTAAATACGCCAGGCTAACTCTCGTGTAGTTGGAGGATTTGGTAGCGCGGTTCGGGCGGCGATGCTGCCTTGCGAGATCGGGATAACGGACTTCTTCACCGCTCTTGCACCCTGGCTTACGTCCTTCACTGTCACTTCTGCCGCCATGCAGGTCATATCTTCCCTGCTCATCTCTTGGAAGGTGTGGGCTGTGGTGGTTCGCGATACGGACTCGAAGCCCAGATCATGCAACTTCGTTAGTGCCGAGTGCGCATCTCTGCGCATCATCATCGAGTCCGGTGTTGTACGTGCACTATGCGGTATAACGCTTGTTCCATTTGCTTGGGGGGATAGCATGGGTGCTGTCATCGTTGCAGCTGTTGCGTGCCAAGTCGACGTATGCGGAAATCCTTGGCTCTCTGAGAACTTCGCAACTGATTCGAACATGGTCAGGCTACAGCATCCTATCTTATCATCATCCGGACAGAGTCTTTGCGTACTGGAAATACACGTAGACCATCCACGAATTACTTATCCGATGTGCCATTGGACTCGATACAATTGACTGAGGTACGTCCCCTCGCTTTGCCATGTACATAGTGCTCAAACACATGCACACAGTTTACGAAGACGCGGGACATCACTCAGCGCAGAACAAGGGCGGCCAGTGTTGGAAGCTCTATGGCCTGAGGCCGAGTGTGTGACGCGCTGGGCGCACGAGTGCGTGCATGTATATATGGGATTGGGATCATATACCCTTGTCCATATTGAACATCTTGAGCATCTAATGCAACTGTTGATTTGTGATAATGACCTTCGATCCACTCAATCAAACTCCTGCTTGCACCGACGTGAACGCCATTACATCTGCGCGCTCGCAACTATGCAACCCCGACCCACTCAGCCGTCTCTAAAGCCGAAGCTGGACACAGCCCCGACCCTACAGCAGCGGCGTTTAGTGGTCACTTTGGCGTCAGCAAACCCGTGCGTCCGACGAATGTGGATGTTCGAGGGAGGAGGATGCAGCGAACGACGCTGAGCGAGCTGCGGCTTGCGCGCTTACAAGCCCAAAAGCTGCTTACATGCGTCTCGAAAGGGAGCTGACAAATTCTCGGCACTCGCCGCTGTGCCATTCTCCCAGCGTTTAGCCTCGGTGATGGCTCGGTTGTCTGTGGATCCAAAGTGGTATATATGCCACGACCGGCTTGCAGGTCCAGGACAGTATCTCATCTTCTTACTGTGTTCATTTCTGTTGATGTCTAGCAAGACCACTATTTTTTACACCGGTGCGACTGGTACGAGTATTTAATTGCCACCGTATTCTTGGCAACGACATTGGGCTGATGGCCACGATACAGGCTACTTGGGCGGGGCGATGCTACAGCTGCTCCTTGGGGACCCGAACGTGACCATCACCGCACTGGTGCGCAACAAGGACAAGGCAGACAAGCTCGAGAAGTTCGGCGTGAAGGTCATCGTGGGCTCTCTTGACGATCTTGCGCTCCTCGAAGCTGAGGGCGCTAAGGCGGACGTCGTCATACAATCTGTAAGTTGGCTGACGGTGCATCTGGTGAACATATCTGATTATGTTCAGGCTGCTTACGATGCTATTGAAGCTGTCAAGGCGCTCCTGAAGGGCGCGAAGACGCGTTTCGATAAGACGGGCAAGCAGCCTGTCTTCATCCACACTGTGAGTTCGGATCAACATGACGATCCACGCTGTCTCAACGAATTCTTGCTGACTATCATCACAGTCCGGAACGGGGGCTTTTGCCAAATTAGAGGCGATGGGTCAGTACAGCTCTGAGCGCGTGCTCTCGGATGCGGACTCGGATCTCTTCAACTCGAAGGCCGCATTGCCGCATAACGTCGTCAACGACGCTCTCATCGCGGCAGATGGTGAAGGTAAATCGATAGCAAGCTCTCATACGAGCGACCTCTGACGATGATATAGGATATGTCCGCTCTTACATCATATATCCCTCGACCATCTATGGGGTCCTCAAGGGTCCCCTTATCGACGCCGGCATCTCGCACGCGTACAGCGTTCAGATCACGATGGCAGTCAAGCTCAGCATCCAACGCGGACAGGGAGGCATGGTTGGGAAGGGTCTGAACAAGTGGCCCGCGGCGCACATCGACGACAGTATGTGCCTCCTACGTTCTTTGCGCCACTTCATCTTATGCATCGCTTCCAGCGGCGGCGCTCTATAAGCTCGTCTTCGACCGCGCCCTTGCCGATACGGCTCCTCATGGAGCGCAGGGCACCTATGCAGTTGAGAACGGGGAGTACACGCTCATCGACGCCGCTAAGCGTTACACGGCTGTGCTCCATTCTGTTGGCAAGAGCGCGAATGCCGAGCCAGAGGCTTTCAGCGCCCAGGAACATGAGAATATACCATACGTACGTGTCTATATTCGTATGTGTCGACTGGTATCTAATCCCTTGATAGCTATTCTTCTTGGGTACGGACATTCGCATCAAGGCCGACCGCGCTCGCCAGCTCGGCTGGAAGCCGGCACACGGTATCCAAGAGTTCTACGAGAGCGTGCAGGAGGATACCGTGGCCGTCCTCGCTGGGAAGGACTAGTGTAGCAGAAAGTTGGGAGGATCAAGATCCAATGTACTTGTAGAAGTATATATGAGTGAACGACACGATGGTGGTGGTCAAAGCACAAGGCACAGCTAGTTGTCGCGTCCGGTCACAACCACGGGTCACATATCTCACCGTTCTGAATGAGCGTGTCTATTCTGTTCACAGCCACCATGTTACTTTCCCTCGCATGCGTACAGATGCGTACCAACCCATGAAGAATATCACAAAAGACCATCACCCGTCCATCGAAGGCTGTCATGTTTCCGAGTCTTCTGACCCGAGACGGCGTGGGCACCAGCAGAACCGAACAACGATGGCCATGATCCGCACCACAACCTCCCGCGTCTCCTCGGACGTGAGGCTCGCTTCTTCCGCTCGTGGTCATGTCCAATATACTAATACAGGCTACCGAAGTTCTTGACCACATCTTCGACGAAATAGACCGACGCGAAGACCTGCTTTCGTTCGCATTAACATGCGCGCGCCTCCGCGATATCATCATCGCCTCGCACCTCCCATACCGCCGAGTCGTCATTTCAATGTATTTCCAACCGTTCTTCGACCTCATCAAGGCCAGGCAGGATCTTGCGGGGCGTGTGCGCGAGCTGACACTCGTCAATCTTCACCCACAAGTCGTTGTTCCCCGCGCGCACGCCTTCCGTAGGGACTTTCCCGCGTCACGCTTACTCTTCGCGTCCGGTTACGATGACGAGTTTTTGTACAACGGAAACTATGAAACGCGGGCCAGGCTACCGTTCGACATCCGCACCACGCTCGACGACGCCCTCATGTACCTCCCTCGATTGCGTTGCCTACAGTTTCGTGGAGACACTGGGAAACTTCCGCTGGAGCGCATCATAACAACCCATCATGATCTGCTCGAAGGTTTCTCTCTGGACGGAAGCTACTTGGTCCGCGCCCCGGGAGACACTCCATTCCCGCTACTAACTTCGGACGTGAGTTGTCTCATGAGTGCTCGTTTATTATAATCTGCTCAAGGTTATTTCAGTTATGGACGATGGCAGGGCTACGCACCTTAGAACTATCTATGACGCTGAATTTCTCGTATTGGAACCCGTTTTGTGATGTTCTGGGTCGTTCTCCAATGCTAGAGGTTCGTCTGCATGCCCTATCTGACCGTCGAAGGATGGATCGCTCACTTCATGCCCTACTCATATTTCAGACGCTTTCCGTTCCGCTCTTCAGCCACTCGATAGATGATGGTCTCCATCACATCCCACAACTGTCGTATCTCCGACACGTATCGGTACACAATCTTGCTCGTGACGGCGACGACGTTATATCCCAACGCATATACGATTTCTTGAATGGCCACCGGTCCATTGAAGAGTTGAGTTGGCAGTCGAGTGTTTCAGTAGTTCCACTGAGGGTTCCACGATTGCCAACATTGAAGCGAATGCTGAACATGAGCCACGTACATGCATTAGCCTGCAGACCCTCCGATCGTAGCAACCGCCGTGTTCTCACCAAGACTCTAGAGACCATCTCACTCGCGATGATCTTCCTTCGCAACGACGATCCGGCCCTCGAGTGGACCTGGAAAACCGTGTGCCTTGCCTTCCCAACATCTTTGCGCTCCCTGCACATTGTGCATACCGCGTTCGAGAGCTATGCCATGTTGGATGCGCTCTGTAGATCGTTCCCCGGGCTTGAGGAACTCTACTTACCGGACCAGGGCTCGCCTTACAGGATTCAAGTCGCGGAGGCGGTGGCACGCACTTATCAATCCCATCACCCGCTACAAATATCGATGGTGAACAGATGCCCGCCTATCACGGAGATAATGGAGAGGTTCCCCAGGCTATCATCCGTGGCGGGTGTAGACATAGGGATGGACGTCCAAACCCAACGTATGAGGGCCTATCATACTTCTACCACAGGAACCATCCCGACATACATCAACATGGGCATGTTCCACGACGTAGTGCGTAGTCTCGTCAGTTTGCGCGAGCGATACCCGCGTCTTCGCTCGGTCAACGGGTGGCATCTGGATACCGATCTCGCACGGGAGGTCATCATGGGCGTACATCCTGGCTCGATGACATACAGAGACGGGATAGGCGTCCAGGTAGTGCTGACACGCGAAAGCATCTGTGTACGCTATTCAGGTCCGTCATCCGGTTCTCTACCAGTGCCGCTGCAGTTCAACCGTCCCCGCCCTATACCACGAACATATTACCGGAACGGATATTAGTAGAATGAAGATATCGTGTCATAATAACTGTCGGAATTACTGAGTGGCTTGCTGGAATGCGTGTCTAGGAGCTTGTTGAAGCATAGCGTTAGCCGCCCTAGAGCAAGCCCCGGGAGTCGAGTCCAAGACTGCAAGTTCATCGATCAACGCGGGCGGTCACATCACATCAAAACGTCACGCTGCTCGTGCTCAGCCGGAGAACTCGAATCTCTCTCCATTTACAACGTCGATGTTGTCTTTACTGCACTTCGCGTGCATATGAATCGATGCGATCGCTCTCGTTAGAAGCCACACTCAGCAGAGAAGGGTGTGATGTCCGCAAGTCCTCTGCCACGGGACCTGTGGGTACTAACGCTACTCAACCCCGATGAGGGTGATTCGTCCCACAGCCGCTTGGCTACCTTCTTCATCATCGTAGGGTTCGTGTGTCTCGACCGTAGTCGTGCCCGATATGCTGCGATTACCTATAGAGGTCCTTGAATATCTCATCGACGGACTCGATCGGCGCGAGGACCTACTTTCGTTTGCGCTAACATGCATGCGCCTCCGCGACATCATCATCCCTTCACACCTACCTTACCGTCGAGTCGTCATCTCGATGTACTTCCAGCCATTCTTCGACTTCATAAGGTCCCGTCCAAACCTCGCGGGACGGGTGCGCGAGCTGACGCTCGTCAATGCTTCGCCATACGCCATTATCCCACGCGCACATGCCTTCCGCAGAAAGCTCCCCGAGTCGCGTCTGCTCTTCGCCTCGGGGTACGACGACGAGTTCTTGTACGACAGAGGCTATGATGGAATTGCTAAGCGACCTTTCGACGTTCGCTCAACACTTGACGACGCGCTCTTCAGCCTCCCACGTCTGCGTCGTCTACAGATTCGTGGCGATACTGCGGGGCTGCCGCTCGAGCGTATCATGGCGTTCCATCATGATCGACTCGAAGGATTTTCTGCGGACCGTAACTCCTCATTTGAAGCTCAAGGGGGTGATCCCTTCCCCCTATTATCCTCAGACGTGAGTTGTTGTGTATGCCTTATCTGGACCCTGCTGACGGCTTCACTAGTTATGGATGATGTCAGAATTGCGCACCTTTGAGATCAGCATGGCATTAAGCTCATCATACTGGGACTCATTCTGCGCCGTACTCGATCGCTCACCCATGCTAGAGGTTCGCCTTGAAGCCTTGTTCACTATCAAGATATGTTAACTAACCCTTCCTCACATCGCAGACGCTCGCCGTACCGCTCTTCTCATACTCTACGGACGACTCCCTTTGTCACCTGCCACGGCTAAAGCATCTCCGCCATGTCTCTGCACATAGCTTCTCTCGGGTTGACTCCAGTGACGCCATATCGCAACGCCTCTTCTATTTCCTGTCATATCATCCTACGGTCGAGGAAGTACATTGGACGAGCAGCTCAACGGTACCCCTGAGGATGCCGCGACTACCAGCGGTGAAGCGAATGTTCGACATGAGCCACGCACATGTACTGGCCTGCACACTTCCGGAATTCAGCCGCCATCATATTCTCGGGCCAGATCTAGACACTGTCACAATGTCGGTCTTCCCTGTTCCGTACGAAGCGTACGATTTCACGATTTGGGACTGGGGATACCTTGGCCGCGTATTCCCCACAACTCTCCGTTGCTTGCATGTCGACTCCATACATGACGTGTTTGAATCCTATGAGATGCTAGACGCGCTCTCGAGGATGTTCCCCAATCTTGAGGAGCTCCTCCTGCCGATCCACGGTACAAGATACGCCGTCAAACTCACAGAGCGACAAGCACGCAGCTACCCTATTGGTCGAGCGCCGGAGACGATGCTAGTGGAGCGATGTCCTCTCATACGAGAGATCCACGGGAGATTTCCGAGATCGAGTTCGGTCGCGGGCGTGGATATCGGGTTGAGGACGCACACTCAGCGCTTGAGGGCTTTCCATAGTTCTTCCACCGGGAGCATGCCGACATATCTTGATATGAACACCTTCTTCGAAGTGGCCAGTAACCTCCGCGCGCTGCGCGAACAGTACCCGCTTCTCCGCCAGGTCAACGGGTGGCACCTCGACACCGACCTCTCGCGAGAAGTCATCATGGATGTAGACCCTGGCTGGAAGCTATACAGGAGCAAGATGGGCGTGCAAGTTGTGCTCACACGCGAGAGTATCTGCGTACGGTATGCAGGCTCTCGTGCCGGATCACAACCTATTCCGTTGCAGGTCAAACGTCCTCATCCCATACCAAGGACGTACTATTGGAACGGATGATGGTTTGCTATCATAGCGACAGAGTATCGGTGGGGCATAAGGATAGAGCCCAGCATCATACACTCGCATCGCGTACTATACAGTGTTGTACAAAGTACAGTGCATATCATGCCGGTTGAGGAGTGGGTGGAGGCTCAATGCGCGGAACCTCGATGCGTCGGAAACAAGCCAACCACTTGTCGCCTCCATTCCTGGCAACTTTTTTGCCCTCCTCCGTCGCCTCTCTTACAGCATCCAACACAGGCCCGTGCCCGTCCTCCCTTAGCTTCTCCTCTTCCACATACTCGAACAGTGGATGGGCAGTTAGATGTCCCCGCATCCAGTCCGCCAAGTCCTTCACGTCCGTGATGGTGTACAGGACACCTCCAGGTCGTAGAACATATGCGTATTCGGCGAGCAGTGTTGGGGAGATAATGCGTGCTTTGTGTTTGCGTTGCTTGAAGTGCGGATCGGGGAAGAGGAAGAATACGCCACGAAGGGAAGCGCGGGGGAAGTAGTTCGGCAAGAACTTCATGGCGTTGGCCCGCACGACGCTGATGTTGCGGTACCCGCCTGGTGCGAGAGTTGCGGGCTTTTGTGCTGTTTCAGTGGTGGAAGCGGCCTCCGGCGGTGTAGTTGTAGGATCGGCATGGAGAGTTCGCAGAGCGGCTATGCGATCTTGAACATATTGCGAGACCTGCACACGGATCTCCAAACCTATACCAGTGTGAGAAACTTCAATCATTCGTACACACCCCGAACTGTACATACCCAGTATGAGCTCATCCGGGAACTGGGGAGCGAGCGCTACAAGAAGACCACCAAAGCCGCATCCGACATCGGCAAATGCAGGAGTCTTGCCAGAGCCGGCGAAGGCGGGATAATGTGATGCCCAGTCGACGTCTTGAGGCGCCGGAGGATAGTCAAGCGCGTGGTCGGAAAACGGGTTCGCGTGAGCTCGTTGACGGTAGTGTTTTTTCTACGTTATCTTAGGTAAGAGGTTTGGGCGTGAAGGCCTCGCTGATACAAGCGAGATATACTGACTTGTGGTAGTAAAGACACAGGTGCCGTGGACGGCTTTGAGGGATCCTGCGTGCGCTTTCGCTTGCCCATGGTAGTGTGCCACAACTCCGAAAACCTGACTGGCAGAAGCGGTCGGAGTGCCGGAGGATGCCGATCAGGTTGAAAGCTACGCCGGACCGGAACCCCCGCATTGGGTCATCGGTCGGGTGCCCACGGATTCGCGGAGAATAACTTGGCCAGCGAGTCGCGTTTGCATCTTCACCCAAACGTCCACCATGGCCTCCACCTCTGCTCTCCGTGCTGCTCTCAAAAAGGTATATACAATTTTGTTCGCGCTTGGCTACAGTGCGGGGTAGTGTGGAGAGTATGTTTCTGATATGTTTGTCTCTGGAACAGTCTGGCCCATGGGCTACTCCGGCCTCGACACGCTTCATGTCCTCGGCCGCCAAGCAGCAGACGCTCAAGGAGCGTCTCGCTGAGCTTATCCCTGCCGCGCAGGCTCGCGTGCGTACTCTATACTCTATCTCACTTTCTATCATCATTGATGCGCTGGACAGGTCAAGGAAGTGCGTACCGAGCACGGCCAGAAGACTTTCGGCCCTGTCCTTGTTGACCAGCTCTATGGGTGAGTACATGTCTCTTGTATTGTGAGGGTAGACGGCGGGGTTGCGGGGCGCTCAACTCTACAATGACATCGGGTCGAACGCGGCGCAGTGACGCGTTAGCTTCGTGATCTTCTCAGAAGCATCGCGTCAGAGGTTACACCCAAACTCGTACTACGCGATACTCAAAGCTCCAGCTGCACGCGTTGTGCCGTGTCTATCGCAGCACACTATCATAAACCTGGCGATTACCCCAGCCGTCGATTTGCGCCTTGGGGTTGCGATATTTCGTGACGTGGACGCGTCGCGTCGCGTCCGAACTGTTTCCTCACGTGCCCGCCTCTCTCTCATGACAGCTTCCGTTCATCTGCGCTTATACTGACTTCTATGCCCACAGTGGTATGCGTGGCCTGCCGGCCTTGATCTGGGAGGGCTCCGTTCTTGACCCGGGTACGTCATCCGCATCTTATCTCCGAGTACATTTATTCATGTCCGCTTCACAGAGGAGGGTATTCGTTTCCGTGGAAAGACGATTCCTGAGATCCAGGAGGCACTTCCCAAGGCCCCTGGTGGCTCTGAGCCCTTGCCCGAGGGTCTCTTCTGGCTCTTGCTTACCGGCGAGGTCCCCACGCAGGAGCAGGTTGCCGCCCTCTCGAAGGAGTGGGCCGCACGCGCGTCGATCCCCGCCTTCGTCGAGGAGATTATCGACCGCTGCCCGCCTACCCTCCACCCCATGTCGCAGTTCTCGCTCGCCGTTACCGCCCTCAACCATGACTCCGCATTCGCCAAGGCCTACGCGGACGGTATCTCCAAGAAGGAGTACTGGGGACCTACCTTCGAGGACAGCATGGACTTGATCGCCAAGCTCCCCAACATCGCCGGTCGCATCTACCGCAACGTGTACGGCCAGGGCAAGCTCCCGGCCATTGACGCTGAGAAGGACTACTCCGCCAACCTCGCGACACTCCTCGGCTTCGGCGACAACGCACAGTTCGTCGAGCTCATGCGTCTCTACATCACCATCCACTCCGACCACGAGGGTGGTAACGTGTCCGCACACACTGGCAAGCTCGTCGGCTCTGCCCTCTCCGACCCCTTCCTGTCCTTCGCTGCCTCCCTCAACGGTCTCGCCGGCCCTCTCCACGGTCTCGCGAACCAGGAGGTGCTCGTCTGGTTGAGCAAGATGCAGAAGCAGCTTGGCGAGGATGCTTCGGACGAGGCTGTCCAGGAGTACATCTGGTCGACCCTTAAGGGTGGCCAGGTCGTCCCCGGTTATGGCCACGCCGTCCTCCGCAAGACGGACCCGCGCTACGTCGCTCAGCGCGAGTTCGCGCTCAAGCACCTCCCCGAAGACAAGCTCTTCAAGCTCGTCGGCCAAGTCTACAAGCTCGTGCCCGACATCCTCCTCGCGGCCGGCAAGGCCAAGAACCCGTGGCCGAACGTCGACGCGCACTCCGGTGCCCTCTTGACACACTACGGCCTCAACCAGATGCAGTACTACACCGTTCTGTTCGGTGTCTCGCGCGCATTCGGTGTTGCCGCACAGCTCATCTGGGACCGTGCGCTCGGTGCACCGCTCGAGCGCCCGAAGAGCTACAGCACCGAGGCTATCGCGAAGATCTTCAAGGATAAGAACTGAGCGGTTGCGGTTGCGGTTGCGGTTGTGGTGGGCGTATCTACGTACTTACTCTACTTTGTTTCGTGACGCTTGCATGATGTTTGGGTCTGCGACGTTTTATATTTTATGTCCATTTTCATGCCGAAGTCTCGTGGGTGATTGGTTGAATACTATGAGTGAAAATATTGAAGTCGGTGCACACTGGGTGCTGTATGCCCATCATAAATAATAACATCGACTCCTGCAGCGCAGCATCGACGGCTGACCGTAGTCCCCGCAATCGGAAATGACGCGGAGCGGCAGGGGAGAGGGGCATCATTTCCGGCCGACTGGGGGCCTAAAGCTCGCCGCGAAGGATGGGGTTTGGACGTTTGTACTGCAAAGGAACGGGTTGAGAGTCTGCAACCGTTCCTGCGTAGTGAATGCGGATGCTTTCGCGTGTGAGGACCACTCGCGTACTGCTTTCCCGCATCAGCCCGTCGGCGGCTGCGAAAGTCAGGACGACAGAATGCGCGAGGTCCGTGTCGAGACACCAGCCATTGACGTGTCGAAGCTTGGGGAACTGGGTGCGCAGAGCTGTGAGCGCGCGGGACATCTGCAGGAAAGTCTTGACGTCGATGTCCATCGGAAGACTGTTAGAGTTCTTGTAATCGACCATGATGAGCGTCTGAGCGTCCAAACCAGCGTCGACTCCGCTAATAGACCTGAGGTTGACAAAGCGTCCGACAAGTTCGCCGACTTTCGGTCGCCTGACTCCTTCGTCGATGATCTCCAGTCGCGTAGCAAACTTGGTGGGCGGGTATGTATGGAGGGGCTTAAAGCGCTTCGTCACGTAGTGCGAGCCGTGTTCTGGCAAGTGCAGCTCTTCGAGGTTCTCAAAGGACTGAGCCAACGCATCCAGCATCCCGTTGCTCTCGATGTCGTCTTGGAGCTCTACGATGTATAATGCTCTCAACGAAGGTGGGAAGATTGATGAGAGGTCGAGCCAGGACCAGCGCGGAGCGAGTTTGATGTTCGTGATGATGACCATGTCGAGATCAAAGACGACGTATTCGTTGCTCTTGTGCAGGCGCAAGAGCTCAAGCATATGAGCCTGATTGATATTAAGCATGCGCTTAGCCTCCGGAAGACGAGGCATCCGCGTTGGATATCCAGCTCTTCCTTTCCAGACCACCTCCTGCAGGGAGGGGTGGTCATTCAGGAACGTATAAATGCGGTGTGATAATAGGGCGTCCCCATCCAAAGCAAGATTGGCCTCCCGCACGGTGATTCGTTTCAGGTATGATAATGGTGGCAGTGAAGCGTAACTGGCGTAGGTTATTGGTCCAGGGTCGAACCATGGCATGACGAGGCTCTAGATGAATCATGAGAACTCCGTGAGAGAAAGATGTGAATTGGACTAACCTCCAGCATAGGCGAACGACCGAGCAGATCGCAAAACGGATTCCAGTATGTGTGCCCTAATCTGATGTCAAGATCTAGTGATCTGAGTCCAGACAACTTCCACAGCTAGATACCAAGTCATGAGTAATCTGTATACACCGAGCGAGAGGGCTACCTACATGCCATGGCGGAGCGCCATACGGCCGACTTGTGCCCTCAGTCATGCCATCAGAGCCCTCTTTACTATCTAAAGCAAGGCCCTCCAACTGCTCATGGTGGAAGGCGAGGATGCGATCAAACGGCAGCTGTTCGATTTTCCCGCAGAATCCAAGCCGGCGCAGACGTACGAGGTGCCTCAAGGCGTCCTCGATCAATGCAGGCAGATCGAGAGGATGGCGTGGTCCCACATCGGTAGCAGCGGCAGCATCCGGCTCGTCGTCTTCGGAGAGTAGACTCGTTTCGTCGAACTGCCGGCGAAACGCGTGTCCTCGTGGTACGACTAGGTTCGACGTGGTGTTGACGATCGTCAGTTCGCGCACTCTACGGGCGAGGTCTGCACGGGACAGGATGAGGTCGAAGAATGGCTGGAAGTAAACCGACACCACTACTCGACGGTATGAAAGGTGCTCCGGGATTATTAGATTGTGAAGTCGGGAGCACGCTAGAGCCAGAGCCAGTAGGTCCTCACGGCCATCTAATTCATCGACGATGCACTCGAGAACCTCGGCTGGTTGTTGAGATAGCATTGGTACCAGGCAGGAGCCGCTAGATACAGTTGAGTAATTAGGTGGGTAATGGTTAATAGAGGGTAGAGCTCGAGTTCCCCGCTCTTAGGCTTGAGCTTGAAGATTGGTGGTCGTCTGACGGATTTCGTCCCACTCCCAGAGAGCGGACCATTTGTCACAGCCTCAGGCGCCTATGCGGCGACTGCTGTCATGATCGGATGCGGACGGTCAATTCATAAGCACCGAGGTAGGTTTGGCGCCTCAACGTGGGCACGACATGCGCCGGAGATCGAAGGGGGTCAGGGTGAGAGTGGCGAGTCGCGCAATCTAACCGGAACGTGGCACGGACGTGACCATCCTGTGACATGACGCGTGATATTGACGCGTCCTGCAAGTAGGAGGCTCGCGACGCGTCATAGCCTGTACACGGAGGACTGCGACCCATATCCATCGGTCTGAGATCACAAGCATCGGCAGGTATAGTAGGCTGCCGAAGTATGTCAGTGGCTACATACCCGTGGTTAAGGCATCAGCACGTAAGAGGCACGAGGATTCCGCCTGGGAACGGCACGGTGCCGCACCTGCAGCGCGCCTGATAGGCGTTCGTTCCGTAACTGTATCTAGATATGACTGTATGACGCTTTTCGTGCACCAGTCTATGGCGGCCTCTTTCTCAAACTGGCTCTTCTTCTCCATCTCCCTGTGAAGATAATCTTCGGAGACGAGAGAGCGGTAGACACTGAAGTAGCTTGGGTGTGTGTGTGTCATGCCCAGCGACCGCAAGTCCTCAAGAGGATGAATTACTGTCGCCGTTTTGAACAAGGGGACGTCCAGCAGACACGTGGATATTGTCGTGCCATGACACGATCACATGAGTAAGTGGGAGCCTCATCATATGCACTACAACCGGAGAAAAGAAACACTTCCGAGATAGGGCCTTTTGTTCCCCCGATTCTAGTAGCCATCCTTGCCCCCGACAACACGATACGCCGGCCCGCCCTTGCCGAACATCTTGCGCAAATCGTCAACGAGGAGCTCGGGCACCTCGTACGCGGCGAAATGACCGCCGCGTTTGTGACGGATCGATTGCACAACACGATCACCGTAAGGCGAGATCCACCTGGTGCCTCATTTAGCATGTCGCTGATTGCCGTATTGAATTGACTCACGACTCAGGCGGCGTCGTCAGTTCACCAGCAAAGACGGACAATCCGATGGGCACGTTGACATCGTAGACCTTGAAGAATGTTCCCGAGTCCGTCCCGGGACCGAAGCCACCTACCCTCGACTCATAATAGAGTCGTGTAGACGCCGTCGGTCCAGCACGAGAGAACCAATAGATAGATATCCAGGTCAGAACTGGATGTAGTGTCAAGGCATGTCATGTTTAAAGTATCACTGGCAAGACTCACCCTCGTCATCAGTCCACGCGTATGCATCAGACCACGCCACCAGCTTCTCGTATATCCAGGCAAGCAATCCCACAGGCGAGTCGGAGAGACTATAGCCCAGCGTCTGCGGCTTCGTGGTTTGCTGGAACATGTAGCCAGCACCGGTCTTCATGAAGTCCCCCATGCGCTTCAGTATCACTTGATCCTGTTCACTGTATTGAACATCCGCGCTAGGTGCCTTCAGCTCCGGCATATTCGTGTGCCATGCCTTAGCATGGGTCGGCCCGTATGTGTTCGCGATGAGCATAGTGATCTGTAGCTATGATCAGAGCATACTGAGAAAGAGAGATGGGTGGACCCTACCACATATCCCCAGTCCCCTCCTTGACAAACGTACTCGTTGTAACCGAGCGCGAGCATCAACTTGTGACCGACCTGACGTCACAGTCAGCTTGGTCTGCCCAGGTAGAATAGGCACCGACTCCACCTCGGCGACCTGCTGTGGGCCGAAGCCCGGTTTCTTCGCCGCTTCAGAGAACCCATACCCCGGAAGCGAAAGTGCAACGACGTGGAAGGCCGGCGCGCTCGATTTGTCGGGCTTCACAAGCAGAGGCAGTACTTTGCGTACCTCTATGAAGCTCCCAGGCCCTAGGATGCTAGAGCGATTAATTGCCGGTCAAGTACAAGAACGTAGGACATACAGCCATGTACGAAGAGTAGCGGGATGGCTCCTGGGATCGCACTCTTCTGGTGAACGTAATGAATGTTGAGCGCGCCAGGGCCTTCGACGGGGATGTCGCGCGTGAACATGGGAAGGTCCTTATTCAGCGCAGCTTCGGCGGCGCGCCAATCAAACCTGCGGGAAATCACTTTGTGTAAGATCTCTTGCAGTACCTCCCACATACCCATCCTTCCACCTTTGGAGTAGACGCTCGATGTCGCCCCGTGGGGCGCCGTAATCCCATCCTACTTCCTCGAGTTCATCGGGCAAGCGTGTAAGGTCCAACTTTCGCTTCAAGATCTCGAGCTGGTTGTTGGGAATGGAGATCGTGAAGGTTTGTTCAGCCATGGCGAAGGGAGATGGCGAGAGGAGTGGGCTTGACTGTAGCTTAAGTAGCTTTCAGACGCCAGTATACTGATCAGTAATGGCTTAGTACTCACCGGCCCTGCAGGAGCCCGCTGATGTCAGAACATAGTCGTTATTTTCATGGAAGCATTCGAACGAGGTATCACGAGTAGCCAATAATGACTTGGCTGAGAGAAGATCTAGGACAAGAATGACTCTTGTGAGAGAATCATCGTCCTTCAGAAGCCACATCTTAAGTATTGTCCACGAGGGCCCAATACGCGATGCGCCCCTTCTATCACGCAAGAGCCAGTCGGCGCACCATGCTCGCGCAGCCATCGTGGACTGTGATCGTCAAGGCTTGCGAGACGTGCATCCACGTAGGACGAGTTGAAGGCTGCCTGAAATATGAACGAGCATTGCCTCTCGAGTCCTGCCGCGAAATAGGGGTAACACTTTGTAGATCGATCGTACATCTCCGACTATCACATGGCAGGCGTAAAGACAGAGCCTAATCCCAGTAATATGTTCGAGGGATGGGCCGTGGACTAGCAAGCAGCAGTGAAAGCGGTTGCGAATCAACCCGAGTTCCTGGGTAACGCACAGTGATACTTCTTCGCGTGAGCGTGATGTACTCCTCGCCTCGTCGAAGTTCGTATGTCTCGGTTAAGGTCATGTTAATCTCCTGTGCGATGTCATCGTCGAGTCGCCAGCAGTTGACACCCTGAAGGAGGGGATAGCTGGCGCGTATACGCGAGAGAGGACGTGAAGTCGCGAGAAATATCATCAGCCATCGGTTGTCGAGTTGGATCTGCGGGGCGTCAACTGCGTGGTAAAAGTCGCGCAGTGCCCGGGCTGGACCGCCTAGGTTGAAAGAATCCAGTGCTACGCCGGCCACAGCGCGCAGCCCGTGCAGCCGCTCGATGACTTCTTCAAGGTACGGTCTCCTGCGAATGAAATGCGAATCCGGGGCGGTTCCTTCCTCGTATGTGCTCTTCTCCTCGTCTGTCAGAGGAACCCTGAAACTCAAGCTGCCTGGCAGAGCAAGTTCCTCGAGATGCTGGAATGACTCGGCAAGCAGGTCGAGCAGCTTGTAGCCCTCGATCGAGATGTTTGAACGTTGTATGTGCAGAGCACGCAGTGAAGGCTGTAACTTTTCCAGCGAATGTGGGCCCGATATCTCCGGCACCTTGAGGAAGATTCAGCGATCAATGGAATAAACGCATGTTGTGATGTTCACTCACGGACATCGCACGCGGGGCCAACGCTGACATATCTTCGACCGACTCTGGCTTTCGCGTGCCATCGAGACAGGCTCTACTGAACGGCCCGCTATCGAAGATCAAGATGCGCTCCCCAGGCGACCCTCGGTCACCGCGCACTTCGAGTCGATATAGATGGGTGAGACAGCTCAGGGCATCGCCCACTGAGTCTAAGATGTCCACTTGTCGCTCTAATGCGGGCATCTCGGAAAGAGGTTTCGAGTATAAAAACTCGTCGTCGTATCCCGAAGCGAAGAGCAAGCGGGACTCGGGGAAGTCCCTGCGAAATGCATAACCACGCGGAACCGTTTGTTGGAGAGTGGTACGGACGAGCATCAGCTCGCGCACCCTGCTCGCAAGGTCGGGGCGGGATTTCATGAGATCGAGGAAGGGTTTGAAGTGTATAGACACGACCACTCGGCGATAGGGTAAATGTGCCTTAAGGATGAGGTCGCGCAGACGAGCGCACGTCAATGCTAGGGAGAGAAGGTCCTCGCGGCTGTCTATGGAGTCGATGATACTCTCGATGATATCGAGTGGCTGCTCAAGTAGCGACATCGCACGGTATGAGGAGATTCAGCGCGAAGAGACAGTGACGGTGGAGGATGAATAGACGGAGCTACCTAGCGCTGACTCCCGGCTAGCTCATATACGGACCGGCTTCCGAGCGCCTAAACGACGTCCTCTTTAGGCATAAGCAGAGCGAACGCAGGTAGGTTGAATAGTGATTTAGCGATCCGGTGCAGGACGACATGGCCGTCATGAGAAGGTTCTGCGAGATGCAGGCGGTTGCACTCGGTTCGCACTGGTTCGCACCGGGCCGCGCCTCGCGACCGCTGAGATGCTTCAGGACGATGGCCCTTTGCTTTTGCCACGAAGTCTTCCGGAGTCCAGATCATGTATATGCAACCAGATGGACGACAGGTTCCTGACATCCGTCCTGAAGAGGCTGCTTGAACATGTCTGACGTATCTACTGCTTATTTCCGAGTATAATCGCACTGCTCATGGTTTGTCCGCAAGCACGGCCTCCGCGTCTTTCTGCACGCCCTCGTGGAACTCTTCGATATTGTGCACCGGCACCCAACCAAGTCTACGGGCGCGAGCTCCCCGAAGACGGACATCTGTTCCCAGAAAGAATAGCTAGAGGGTCTTGTCAGTATCGTGCTCGACGCGTATTAGTTATTTGTGCGTACATAAGAGATGGTCTCAAGCTCCGTCGCCGAGAAGGCTTGCGGCTCAGGCGTTACACTCATTCCATGCGCGTGTAGGACTTTCGTGTACTGGTTAGCGGCGTCGACATACGTGTACTCGCCGTTCTCGATCACAAACGTTCCCTCATCGCCATGGGGCGCCTTGTCTGCGAGTGCGCGCTCGAGTAAGAGCTTGTAAAGCTCAGCCGCTGTGTGCCATTACTAAACTCGGCTCCAGGGTAGGCCATCCCTCATGCTTACCGTCGTCGATGTGCGCCGCGGGCCACTTGTTGAGACCTCTTCCGACCATCCCGCCTTGACGTCGCTGTATGCAGAAGTCGATCGCACGAGTGATCACGCTCAGCAAGCTATACGAATGAGCGATGCCTGCATCCACTAGTGGGCCTTTGAGTAGACCATAGATGTTCCCAGGGTATAAAATGTATGTCCGAACATATCCTGCGCTAGTATCAGCCGTGACACTCGCCAAAATCAGGGTGCTCACCTTCCTTGTCCGCGGCGAGAACAATGTCGTTGACGGTGTTGTGAGGCATAGTGTTCTTTAGATCGAATAGATCTGCGTCTGCATCCGATACGACGCGATCAGAGCTGTACTCGCCCATCACGTCTAGCTTCACAAAGGCACCAGCTCCGGACTATATAGGTGTAACTCGTGTGAGAAGAACACCTTTACGATGATGCAAGATGGATTCACAGTGTGAATGAATACGGGTCGCTCTCCCGTCCGTTCGAAGCGATTCTTTGCACCGCGGAGCAGCGCTCGAGCTGCATCTATGTCCCCGAAAGACGCCTACACTTGTTCACAACTGTGAAAGGCGCGGTGCGTGTCACATACGATCTGGACAACTGCTTCCGCTTTGGCAGCTTCAGCTTTTAAGAGCGCCGTATCTTCGAGTGAGCCCACAATAGCGTTCACCCCTAGCCTCGCGAGCTTAGATGCCTTGTCCTTATCGCGTACGAGAGCAGAGATGGATAGACTGGTATCCTTCAGAAGTAACTGCAAAGTTGCGCCACCCAGATAACCTGACGCTGGTGTGTTAGGCGCATCTCGCGATCCGCTCCTGCAATGAAGCCCGCACCTGTAGCGCCGGTCAGAAAGACGTTGGTCTTCAAGTTGGCCAACATTGCCGAAGGTTGCCCTCGAGTTCTGAGGGTGTCCCGGTGCGCACATTGAGCTTTTGAGTGAGGTGCACGAAGGCTTTCGACACGAACTACGTCTAGTAAAAGGTCGGTGATACGGGCTCGCTACAATGTTCGTCAATGTGTATATGACGAAGACCACGTAAAGCACCCACATAGTGCGTCGGACTGCGGCCATTCCGTATCCGAGTGCCGACGGATGCGAGGCAGCCGACTCGTGGAATCAGTATCAGCGTCGGCGTTAGGCGTTAACGGTGTCTGCTTCTGCGCTACCGGTCTTACCACCGCGATCACCTGCCGCTACGGCTACGATGGGCGCATTAACCATCTTGGTACATACTTAATGCGGGTGGGGAAGGCTTCCGGACCACAGAATGGATAAGACGGGTGCATCAGTAGCAGATGATATGCAAAGCGCCATAGCGCACAGTTGTACAACAGTTCGGCATTCAGTCTTCAAGCTTCAAGCGCCATCGCATCGTCGTCGCCTTCTGCCGTACCAGCTCCTCCTGATCCAACTCCCGACGCCATCGCTGCCAGTAATCTTTCGCTCCTATCGCCGATTGCTCTCTTCATTTCGACCGCCAGCACCTTCGCAGCTTCTCCTGCCTTCTCGAACATCTCTCCGAACCTATCCACATGCAATCTTGTTTCCATACTGACGAGCGCTATGCCGCCACTTCTTGGTAGCACCGCTACTGTCGCGTGTGGCACGTCGTTCTCTTCCAGAGCACTCAGATCCAGTAATGCTGTTGCGGTGTGCACTCCTGCTGATACGGCGCAGACGGTATCTCGTAAAGGAACGCCGGCTGCTACAAGGGCCAGGGATGCAGCGTTGATTGCGGCTGCGAGGAGACCGCCATCGGATTGCAGGACATGTATGTGGATATCGATAGAGGCGCGAGGGTAGAGGGCAGTGAGGATGGCTGGCTGGAAGGTTTCGCGAAGAGACGTAGCAAGCTCTTGTGTTCGCCTGGAGAACGGCCGGCATTGCGTTAGCAAATGAAACGGGAATAAAGCAGGATAATCACGAACCTATCTCGTGCACCAGGTCTCCTCCGTCGTGCATCGCCTGATGCAAAAGGCGGCATTACAACCTCCACATTGACGCTCGCACGGTTGTGTATCGCCTGCGCTCGGGACAGGCTTTCGCGCGGACCAAATACGGCGGCACGGACGCGCGTAAGGCCCATGCTCACGCTCGCGCTACCATCTGCCATTCCAAGCGTTTCTGTGTTGCATCACGAGACAATCGCAAGATCCATCACTTCCATGAGCATTAAATATCGGAGTAAATGACGGGTGGGAGTACCAGTTGTGAAGGACGAGGAAGACGAGGACGCGGCAGGCGAGAGAGAGAATTGGACCGCGCGGAGTTCTAGAGGCCTACGACCATCGGAGCGCAGGCCGCCGTCATTCAGAATTTCTATTCTTGAGCTCTACTAGGCATTCAGATTTGGGTAGAAAGCATGTCCACGGCTGGATTCACCATGTGGGGTTGATGGTGGCGAGAAGAGACGCGTGTGGATTTTTCGCGGCGCGTCGAGAGCGAAAGTCATGCGCACAGTTTGATCGTATGCTCATGTTGCCAGCTGTGTGCATCTCGTACTTACACCTACCAACTCCGCCATTCTCCGTGAGCGATATCATTGCATACGAAGATGCTCATGCTAGCAGTGGTATATCATTGCACAAAATGCTGACGAAACAGTGCAGAAGAAAGTACACAACACGATGGTATCCTGTAAGTCCGAAAGAAATGAACGAGTCCAAGTGTACATCCGTAGAAGGTCATAAGAGGAGGCAATCAAGCCACGGTAATCTTCTTCGGCGCAGCCTCAGGTGCAGAGCCGGGGAAGGTGACGCTCAAGACGCCATCTTCGAGGGATGCCTTGATCTCCTCCTCCTTGATGCCCTGCGGCACAGGAATAGAACGTGAGAAGCGCCCGAAGCGGCGCTCGCGTACAGCGTACCCATCTTGCTCCTTCGTCTCGTCTATCTTGGTCTCTCCCGAGACGGTCAAGACACTATTGTGTATGTCGATGTGCACGTCCTCTTTCTTGAGGCCGGGCAGCTCAAAAGTGGCAGTGACGAGGTTCTTCTCCTTGTCTTCATGTACATCCATCCTAGAGAGTTCTCGTCAGTACTCGGAGAGGTTGACAAAGCTGACGACGAGGACGTACTTGGGACGCAAGGAGTTTCGAGGTGTCGGACTTGGCCGGGCGAGTTGACGGTTCTGGCCGCGTGCACGGCCATTAGACTGGCCCGCGTCGAGCGCCTCGTCAAAGAGGCGGTCGAAGTCCGAGAGGGAGTAGAAGGGCTCGTAGAAGAAGTGGGTAAGCGACATGCTGAAGGTGTGGGTGCGAGAGCTTAGTGTGGCTTGTCGCGGGGATGTCTCGATGTGACACTGACGGATAAGTAGGCAACGCAGAGTACCCATGTATATATACCTCTAAGAACAACAGGGACGTCCGCGATACAGCTCTATGCGGGTGCGTCATTGTTCTCACACATAGAGCTATCCAGAGCGTACCAGACCCCGACCACGAGGCTCGGGAGTTGAGGAGTGCCTATTGGAAATTGGGCGAAAAGTCCAGAGCGATGTGGTGAATGGGGTTGGAGATCAGAGTAAGCTAAGTATGGACGCACTCATTGCATACATTCCATGCTTCCCGTAGTATATGCCTTTTGCCATTTGAAGGCGACCTCGTCGACTTCTCTCATTGTTACTCAGAATTGAAGGGAGTTGGCGGGTTTCACGGATGATCTCGGCCCGGGTGTATGCTGGCTCGGCGGGTCTCGACAAGTCGGGGGCTTAGGGCGCACAAGTGTACTTGAAACAACACCTGCTCGCCCTTGATTGCGAGAATACTCGAAGGAGACCGGCTCGGAGAATGACGATTTATTCAGTGACAAGATAGACATGATGGTCTGGGGCAAGTCGCCGCGTCATCGGTCAACTGGGCCGTGGTCGCCGCAGTGCCACCCGGATTTGCAAGTGCATATTCATGGATATTCACCCCACTGTACTCTATACAATCTCCCTTGCACATAGTGTGCGCGCCCATCTATAGCTTATGAACGCTATCTCACATCCTCAGTCGAGCGTGCACGCGACTCACTCCACTTCATGGGATTTCGCGCACCTTCAGCTCACTCCGAACCACGACGAGACAAGCTCAGGGATCACTAGTCACTTCCCACCATTCTTACCAGAGACTCGTACTTGCCTACCAGCACATTGCTACGCTATTCCTTCAAAGTGCGACGATAGTTCTCGCTGGTGAATGCCGATAAGAATATCCAAGTTGCAGAACGTGTCGCGGGCCGCGGCGTCATTCCTGTCATTCCGTAGGGTTGAGGGTTTGTGTAGTTCTTGCCGCCAGTCGTCGCCTATCAAGTAACTCAGCCATTCGTCAACCTGCAAATCATCAGGACTGGCATCTACATAAGAGATTCCTTCTTTCCTCTCGCAAGAGTGATTCCTCTCCCTCCTCAAGCTTCAAGCGTCAAGGCCGCTGAACAATCGTTGCTTCGCGGTCTTCGCATAGGACCACCATCCCGCGTACCCCCGTCGCGTCTCCTAACATGAACCTCGACCCTGTATGGCCGCAAGCTCCTTGGATGGAGGGACCTGTACAGACCATAGATAGACCTCTTCACTACAGGCCGCCGCTCCGTCTCGCACCACCGTTCTTACTTCAGGGTGGTAGGCAAGGAGGCGACCCGCCCGATGAAGCTCTTCAATATGATTGGGTGGGCGGACCTGAACCTGTGCCGGAGTTCTTTTCACGGGCAGCTACTGCCCGACCAAATGTGAGGATTGACTTGAATGCTATCTACAAGTTGTCCGTCGCTAATCAAAGCTCAGTCCAGGCGGCTTTACGACGATGCCAGGGTGCTAGTGGACAAGTACGAATCCGGGGGACGCCTACGCATGCATGGGCAGATGTCCGACTTACAACGGGCCATTGCGCTGCTCTACGAGCTATTAATTTTGATACCCTACGACCGTGACCTGCCACCGCACAGTATACACCACGCGCTTGGCGCAGCTCTTCTCATGCGTTACAAGCACGAGAATGGTGGCGACCGCGTTGACTTGACAAATGCACTCTTCGAACTAGAGAAAGCGTTTGGTTCTGTGCGTCGCAACTTCAGTGACAGAGCCCCGTACTATGCCGATCTCGGCTGTGCTCTTCAGGCACAATTTGAATGCTCTTCGGACCTCGCACTTCTTGAGCGCGCTATACAGTTGCAACGTTGTGCCATCGAAAGCAGCTTCGGCGAGCATCTCCGTCAATGGTCGTTTCTTCGTGGTCTGGCACGTTCTCTGCTGTCGCGTTATGAGATCACCAGCGATCTTCCGGACCTCGAGGAGGCAATCACATTACGCCGTCGCGCGTTCGACACGATGCCTGATGGCCACCCCTATGGGTCGCAGCTGCGAGGTGAACTTGTGGCTGCGCTTCGTTGCCGCTACGAGCGCCTTGAGAACCTGGACGATGTCGACAGTATAATCACTGTCTTGCGCGTCACACTCCAGGCATTACCTGACCACGGAGATATCCTCGACGAATTGAGCTACTATCTCGAGATCCGTTTCAAGCGCACAGATAACCTGGACGATCTATGTGCCCTCCTGGGGACACTACAAGGCGTAGCCGAATTCTTGCCCGGCGCTCATCCCAAGAAGCCGCCATCACTTGATAAGCTGGACTGGTACCTGCAGCTTATCTACCAGCGCCTTGGTATACCGATGAGCCTGGAGCAAGCACGCTCGGCGAGGCGACATGCAGAGCTTTCTCGACAGGAAGTTGCACGAGTACACTCAGACAGACCGCCTTTGCCGACGATGCGAGCCTCGGAGCTGCGCCACTTCTTACACCTGGATGACCTACGAAGCGAGGTCATGAAGATGCCAGAGTTGGCTGTCGACATTGTACCAGACGACCTCTCTGACGAGGCGTTGTCTGCATTCCAAGCTTCTTCCGGCAAATATCCGGCGACCTCCGAATTCTATATGGATATTGGCATGGTGGACGCGGCTCGGCATAGGGGCCCACCCGCTCTCCGCTTTCGATGGGCAGTGCGCTGTTTGGAACTTCTTTCGCGGTATCGTGATTGCTGCTCTGTCGAGCTACTCCTCGAGGCGCACTCCAACGTGTTTGACCTCATACCACAAGTCTTCGGTCTCTTCCAGTCCGCAGACCAGCGCTTCGCCGCTACATCAAAGATTGGGACGCCTGTGCACGAGGCTGTCCACCTCGCCATCCGCGCAGGACGCCTGTCACAAGCCTTGGATTGGCTTGAGTCAGGAAGGTTCCTCGTATGGTCCCAGATCATCGCGCTGCGCCCACCTCTCGACGAGCTTTTGAAACATGATGCGGACTTAGCGAATGAGTTCGGTTCCGTCTGCGACCAGCTTCGTAGGATCGGCCACGGAGCGCACATAAGCATCGCTAGCTTCGAGGATCCAGCAGACGCCAACCCGGACGTCCTTGCTGCAAAACGGCGGAAACTCTTACGAATGCACGACAGCCTCCTGTTTCAAGTACGCGCCTGCCGAGGATTTGAGGACTTCTTGTTCCCACAGACTCTCAAGGCACTTCTTGCTGAAAACAAACGACTTGGGACGGTCGTCTTCTTGAACGTTTCAGCGCAAAGCGACGCCCTCTGTCTTAAGGAAGGGCGCACTCAAAACCTACGTCATCATATGACCGGCACGTGCAGTTCGCACGGCCGCGGCTACCGCGCCGTTTGCGCACCTTGCTCTCTCGTACTTGACAAACACTCGCCCCGGGGCCCGCTGCTGAGGGTCGATACCACATTTGTTTCGCGCCCTACAATGGTGCGGTCAGCGCGGCAGCAGTGAGCCCGATTTAGTGCTGCTCTTGCGTCAGAGGATGATGCTCGGGCTGCGTATTCCCGGTTGTTGCGAGGCACACGATGCTAGTATATTGTAGGCAGCTCTTTTGCAAATAGTCTGTAGTTACAATGAGACAGAGCTGAGAGCTCAATGATTACTCTTGCTACAACACCCACGAGTACGACCCGAGTTCTGAGATGTCGAGCTCGAAGAGACCAAGAGAGGATGAGTCGTCCGACAGAGATGCACAGTCACCCTATACACCTCAACGACGACGCTTAAACAAGGAGAATTCGACAGGTCGTGAAGTGCGTCATTCCAGATCATAGAACCCAGCCCTTCCTTACCCCAAAATAGCTGAGTAAACCTGCGGCAAGTTCGGACGAAAGGGGTGATATGGGAGGCGGCGAGAGCACAGATGCATGCATGCCGCGTACACCTCTCTCCCCAAGGTGCCAGCATCTGCGCAAAGATATTGATAGGCACGCGGTATGTTTCATAGTGCGCTGCACCTCCGTCGGCTCTGATACGTTCAAAAGCTGACGAATGGCGGCCATCAACACCCGGGCTCTGTTCACTCGGTTGCATACAATACACTGCCTGCCACGCCCGTCGCATTATATGGGCTGAAAGGCCACGGCGGACAATCGCGGATGGCACGGAGCTGGCTCGAGGGGTATCTGAAGCGTAGCCAAGTCATGCCGCCGCCGCCGCCGTCGCGCCCTTTCAATCCCTCGGGCTTTGAAACAAGATCTGTCGTTGACACGCCTATGCTTGATGCTATCGAAGAGCGCGCTAGCCTTGCACCGCAAACAATCGCTAGACATGGAATCAGCTCTCTGCTTCCCGAGACAGTCATGGATACAGTGCAACCACCGCTCCTGGCCGCCTTCCGGAAACTGAATGAGCAGAAAGCAGCTGCCGTCGAAATCGCGCGAACGAAACTCGGCGAACTCGAGAGTGAATGTCCGTGTTTTCGCATTCATCTTATAAAACCAGACTGATATTGATACTTCTATTTCAGGCCCTCAAATCTCGGGCAACCAGGCACCAGCATCAGCTAGTATTCGGACAGACGAGGAAGGTAATAACACAATCACTTTGCCATGCCTGGCGTGTATGCTGACATCCTGTTCAGTTGGCGATTACCCTGAATCTAGGACAGGCACGCACGATGGACGACCGGACATTGCAAGCTGGTACAAAACCTCTGCGGGTTTCGAGCCAGCTTCGTATGTAGGCCCAGGGGATGGTGGGGAATGGGTTCCCGCGCCTGCACGCGGCGATGTCAAGATCGCACTGCAGAGATTGGTCACCATCCGGAGGCCGAAAAGGAAGAACGGGAAAGGCCATCAGCCCGCACCTTTCAAAGACGACGAGTTTGTTGACCATCGATTGCTCTTGATGGAGATGCAGATGCGCTCGTATACACTTGGCGAGGGCTGGCAAGAGTCGGCGGAACGCACGGCGGCCATAACCGGTGCATCTGCGGCAACCGCCAGATCAATGCTTCGCTGGACGCGGGCTTTTCTTGACGACGAACAGGACTTACCCGTGAATCCATACGGTGCTTGGAACGCGTCACTACTCGAGGACATGGAGGTCGATATCAAAGCACACCTACAGTCCCTTGGCAAAGACTTCCGCGCTGAGGCAATCGTCAGCTTTACCGAGCTTGAGTGGGTACAAACAAAGTACCTTCTCGACAGCCCCATCCACATCGCGACCGCACGGCGTTGGCTTCACGCGATGGAGTACCGCTTTGGTAAACTTGCAAATGGCCAATATGTTGATGGGCATGAACGCGACGATGTTGTAGAGTACCGACAGCACTCGTACTTGCCGCGTCTATGGGAGCTTGAGAGTGGCCTCCGTCAGTATGATTCGGCTACTGGACGAGAGGTCAGCCCCGATGGGACGGGGAGCTCAATACCTTGGCCTCCTCGCCGTGTCGTCTTGTGGTTCCACGACGAGTCGACGTTCTACGCCAATGATCGTCGCTGGGTCGGATGGGCAGGTCCTGATGCGAAGGCGACACCGCGCGCGAAGGGCGAGGGTCAATCTCTGATGGTTTCAGATTTTTTCTCGCCCGACTACGGTTGGCTTCGGCGGCGAACCACATATCCAGGCGATGAGCGGAAGCAAGACGCGCGAGTGCTGTTCAAGGCAGGCAAAAACCGTGACGGGTGGTTCACGAACGTCACATTTGTCGCGCAGTTGGAGGATGCGATGACGATCCTCGCTGAGGATTACCCCTTCGAAAAGCATGTCTTTATCGTTGACAACGCAACCATCCACGCGAAACGGTCCGAGACTGCACCCTCTGCGCGCAATATGACGAAGAAACCGAGCAGGAACGTGCTTGCCAATGTGACGGCGATCGGCGAGGACGGGTTGCCGCTTCTGGATTCAAACGGAAAGGCCATCAAACGAAAGGCGAAAATGTCCGACGCGCGCCTCCATGACGGGACACCACAGCCACTCTACTTCCCCGACGACGCTTCCATATGTCCCAAAGGATACTGCAAAAAGGCCGGTCAGTTCAAGGGAATGACACGTATTCTTGAGGAGCGAGGGTACACACACGCCGGCAAGCTTCGCCACCAATGCGACAATTTCAAGTGCCCGGAGAGCTTTGATCGTTCTAACCCTTGCTGTCAGCGACGTCTCATGTACAACGAGCCCGACTTTGTTGAGGTGGAATCCCTCGCAGAGGCACGGGCGAGTGCTCGCGGTTTCGAGCTATTATTCTTACCCAAGTTTCATTGCGAGTTAAACCCGATTGAGCAGTGTTGGTGCATGGCGAAGGAGTGGTATCGCAGGCAGCCGCCGAGCGATAAGGAGGCCGATCTGGAGCGGAACGTTCTCGAGTCTCTCGTGCGCATCCCACTCGAGTCTATGCGAAGGTGAGTAATTACACGATTCCGACGAGTCTGTATGGTGTGCTCACCAATCTGCCCTTAGATTCTTCAACCGAAGCTGGCGTTTTGGATGTGCGTATAAGGTCGGCATGGACGGGAAGCAGGCGGCGTGGGCGGCGAAAAGATATCACGGCCATCGTACGATCCCGATGAATATTCTCGAAGAGTATGACAGAGAGCACATGTCCTAGCCCGGGTACACAGCGTACATAGAGTGGTAGCAATAGATAGTACTAATTTTAAGGATACAGTGTACACTAACAATGGATGTACGACGCTAAGCAGAACGCGAGGAGCCTGCTCTGCGAGCCCTTGCCCGGGCCGTGCGAACTGCACGTGCCGGTCATATGATGACGTAGGTTTTGAGTGCGCCCTTCCTTACCAACTCTGGGGATATCGTTGCGATTGAGCTTCCCAAGTTCTCTTTGAAGCGTGCAAATCAGTTACTGTCCGTTTGGTCCTCCAATCTCCAAAGTTGCGGCGTTCGTGAGCGCAGCACGAATCGCGCCGCCTTACCGCCGTCCAAGTCCAAAGGCGTTCGAATACTCTTCGAGCGTGTCTTGAAGTACCTCTGGGATGATGTCGTATGGCCAATCCTACAAGCCATTGATGTGACCAGCCCAAGTGTGAGTGACGTCACCACCACCTTCCCACTCCCTTGACTGACGATCGATCATCTATTCTGTAGGTCGACACCGATTGTCTCCCGCACATCACTTGGTGTGTGACGGGGCCTCTCGCTCAACTGCCCTTGCACGCCGCGGGGAACTATTCAAGTGATGCAGGACCGCGCATCTACAACTACGCCGTCTCCTCGTATACCCCGTCCTTATCGGCCCACGTCCGCGCTTGTCGCTCGCAAAAGCGCAGGTCACACGCTATGCCCCAGAATGCCTTGATCATCACGCAGCCCGCCACACCTGGGTTTGCGCCAATCCAGAAGACCGCTGTCGAGGGCGCGCGGGTTCACGAGATACTCTCCGAGGTCGGCGTCGAGTGCACTGCGCTTGACGGCACAGATGCTACCGTATCGTCCGTTAAGTCTAGCATGGACCATAGTCCTTGGGTGCATATAGCTTGCCATGGTTTCCAACATCGCTTCGACCCGACTCTGAGCGGTTTCGCGCTCCAAGATGGCATCCTGACGCTCAACATGCTCATGAGCGTCATGGCAGACGATGCTGAGCTCGCGTTCCTCTCTGCGTGCCAAACCGCCACTGGAGACGAGAAGCTATCGGACGAGTCGGCGCATCTCGCGGCTGGCATGATCGCCGCAGGGTTTAGGGGCGTCGTGGCTACGATGTGGTCGATCCAAGACGCTGACGCGCCCGTCGTTGTCGAAGCGTACTATAGAAGGTTGATCGAACTCAGGAAGGCCGGAGTCGTACAAGAGTACGAGACCGGGGCTGCCTATGCGTTGCACGAGGCAGTAAAGAAGTTGAGAGAGTCCAAGTCGGTTGGTGAAGGAGCCTTTATCAGATGGGTTCCATTTGTGCATTTCGGCGTCTAGTATATTGCTGCGATGTCATCGTATCGGCGGTGATGATATCAGATATGGGATCATATCTCGCTGTCGGTGACTGCTGAGTGCGAACGGAGTCCAATGGTTGTGCTTCAGAATTGCTTGAGGACCCTTGGACAGCACACCCCTGCACGCCGAGCACGGCACTGTCAAAAGCTGGAGGTGTAAGAACGAGACCACATTCGATAGCAAAACCTCACAACAGGGGAGAGATCGATCGAGACTAGACACAGAGGTAAAGAAAAAAAGGAAAAAGAGTACGGGCGGGGGACGGACGCGCAGGGGTAACCAAACAAGCGGATGATACGAAACGGGTGATAGCTAATACACAAAGATTGCGAACTGTAACCCAGGCGCGGTCCGAGATGGGATGGGGTAATAGCGGGACGGGAGGGGGGATGGGGAGAGAGAAAGGAATATACGCATATAAACACGGTGAATAAACAAGAGATTTCGATCGCGAGAGTATGAAATGGAAAGACGGCATAGATCCACGCAGAAGAACAGGAGGGAATCGAGATACGGAGCAGAGGGCAGTGGCAAGGCATCGTAGCAAACAAAGAGAGATCGAGACGGAGCGGGCAGCGGAGAGATGTCTACGACGTCGAAATCGCCCACGGCTGCTCACTCGCCGACATAGGCTGATCCCACCTCCACCCAACGCCCCCATGATAATAACTCGTCTCGCCCCCATCAATCTCGCTCCAAGCACCAACATGCAACGGATCGTCAAAGCCCAGATCCAGACTGCCCGGCGTCTTGTCGCTCGACGGGCCCGTCGAAGCGGCAGCAACGGCAGCATTATTAGACCCGGCCTCGGGCTCGCTCCCAGACTCGGGGCTCGGGTTCGCCGACGACCCATGTACAAGTTCGGGCGTAGCGCCCACCGTCCCCCCACCTCCGACCCCAGCGCCCAGCTGGCCCCCATCAAAGTCGAAATACTGGCTGAAATCGAACGTATCGTCCAACCCGCCCAGATCCGCGCCCTCCTCCTTAACACCAGACGACCCCACAGCAGCAGCCCCATCAGCGCCCGGCAAAACGCTCGCGAGGATCGCGTTGATCCCGCTGACGAACGGCGCCGTGTCGCCCTCGAACTGCGCAAACTCCCGCATCATGTTGTCCACGAAGTTCGCGGCCGCCGCGTCGTCCTTGGGCGCCTCTTCCGCCGCCTTCGCGCGCTGCTCCTGCGCGTCGGACGGCGCGCCTTCCCAGTCCGCCTTTGCGCGCTTCGGGCTCGCAGCCGCGGCGGCGATCGCCGTCGCGTCTTCTTCCCGTGGGCGCTTGTTGCCGGTTTTGGCAGTCGACGTCGAAGCGGCGGACGAGGACTCTGCGAGGACGTCCTTCTTATCGTCCGTCTGCTCCGCGGCGGCGGCGGCAGGCGCCTGTACAGTCGACTTCCGCCTCTGCACCTTGGGCTTCGGCTTGGGCTTCTGCTTCGGCGTCTGGGGCGTCTGTGGGCTCGCAGCGTTAGCCGGCGCGGGCGTATGCGGGCTTCCACCGGCGGGCGACTGCATATCGCTAGGCTTTCGTACGTGCTGCTTCGCGGCGACGTTTGGCGGTAGAGGTGGCGGCATCGCTTCGGCGGAGTTCATGAGTGGCGTAGGCGGGAACTGTGGCGTCGGGACTCGATGGTTCATCTGCTGCTGAGGCGTAGGCGCGCGGTGCTGGGGCGTCGGGACGCGTCCAAGTTGGGGCGTTGGCGGCTGGCCTGGTAGACCGATGTGCGGCGGCTGTTGGCCGGGTACACCAAGCGTTGGGCCCATCCTATTCGGCGGACCTGGTGGCCCTGGTGGCCCTAACTGCTGCGTTGAACCCGGACGCGGTCCGATACCATGCAACTGCTGCAGCTCCATCCTAACAGCCGCGATCCTGTTCGTGAGAATCACCAGCAGATTCGAGAACTGCTGTATGTAGCCCCGCAGCTCGTTCAAGTCGACGATGAAGCGCGGCTCTGCCTGCGACACGAGCCTCTTCTGGAACGTGAGTTTCATCATCTGGCCGAGATACTATAGATCAATCACAAGGTTCATTAAGCAGAGCGTTCCCTGAAAGGGCGGGCGCGGGTACTTTACCTTGCTGAGGATGGGTCCTAGTTGTTGGTTCGGGCCTTGAGTATAGGCGATGAACATCGGCAGCGTCTTGTCGATGTCAGCCGCCAATCCTGATCCACGCTCGAGCAGCGACATCCACTCGTTTCTATCAACGTCAACGGGCGCATCAACGGTCTTGAATGTGCGGAGAAGTTCTATTCGCGCAGAGCAAAGAAAGATAACCCATGTTCGTCTCGTCAGCGAAAGCGTTGTGCATACGGATGAAAGAGATACGCACGCGGCTCAATGGCTTTCTTCAGCTGTGAAATGTGCTCTAGCGTGGCGCGCATTTGTAGCGGGTCGATCGATCCGTCCGGACGCACGCCCTTGAGATCGCGCGCAGCCGGAACTGGCCCGAAGAGCTGCAACGTCCGTTGAGCGACCGCCTGAAGCTGGGCGGATGAAAGGTTGCCGACCTGCGGAGGCTGCCCCTGAGGAGGCAGTGGCGGCGGCGCGTGCACATTACCTGGCCCGCCCACCCCGCCGCCGTTTACATGCGGCTGACCTGGCTGTCCCATCCCTCCATTCATATGCGGCGGCGGCTGTGGGTGCATAGCCATATTGGGCGGCTGACCCTGCTGCTGCTGTTGCTGCTGCTGCTGCTGCTGCAACCCCTGCTTGAACGCCGTCTGCTCGCGATGCTTCGCGAGCAGCGCTTCGCGGTTGGCCTCGACGAACTGGATAACGTCGTCGCCGACGCCGCGCGCCTTGAGCTCCTCGGCCGACACGCCCATCGCGGCGGCTTGCATGGCCTGCGTGACCCGCTCCGGGGCCATACGTGCCGCTAGTTGGTTCTGCTGGCCCTGCGACTGCATGATCCTGGCGCGGCTTATCGAGAGGTACCATTTCTCGAACTCCCGCAGATGGGACGCGTGGTGCTGTCGTAGACGCTCGGCGGCCATAGGGGGCGCATACATCCCCTGGGCGTCGTTCATCGTCCCCCAGCCGAGTCGACCGGCAATAGTTGGCCAGCGATCGCCGATATTATCATAGCCGCCGGCTTGCCACACCAATGCGTGCAAACGCCACAGCGAGATGCTCGGCTTGCCCTGAAGCGTCTCGGGCGGCTGAATATCATCCATGCTCAACGCGACGCCGGCCTGCTTCATCCACGCATGCCACGCACGAGGGAACATCTCCTCCGCACACGGCGGGATGTTGCGGAGACGCGCCGCGAGATTGTCCGGCGTCATGCCGCCGCCCGCCTGGGGACCGCCGGGCTGCTGTGGCGGCGCCTGTTGCGGGTTCACGTTCGCAGGCTGTGGCATGGGAGAGGCGTGCGGAAGGCCGGGAGTTGCCGGGTTTGGCAGTTGACCGGGTCCGGGCGCCTGTTGTCTGCTAGGCGCGCGGTGGTTGGCGTGCTGGGCCTGCATCGCCTGAAGCTGCGCTAGTTGGCTCTGTGTCGCCTGAGGTCCTGCGTTCTGGGCGATGATAGATTCCCGCATACGATTGACGGCGGCTTGGACCTCGTGCTGAGGGTAGCTGCCGTTCGTGAAGAGATCAGGCGGAGCGCCGTGGGCTTTGAGCCAGTCGGGATTCGTCATGCCATTCGGAAGCGTACGAGGGAGAGGGCCACCCTGTGGCGGAGGGATTTGCTGGAGGACGTGGGCAGGGAGCTGCCCTTTATCCTTGCGGACCATTATCTCCTGCTGGATCTTGTGGCCGAACCCGACGGCGAAGGCGTGCTTCTTCTGCAATGCCTGAATTTGCTGAGAGCTCTGAATCGTGTTAGCGCCACCGCGAGCCTGGTTCGTCGCTTCGCCGATGCGGTTGCTGAGCTCCGACTCGATCATTCGGCATTGGCGGGCGAGCTGGACGAGCTCCTCCGGACGCAACGACGGCAACTGCTGAAGTACCTGCCCCGTCATAGCATTCTGCTGTGGTTGCCCGACGCCGTTGACGAGCGCGATAAGTAGACTGCGATTCTGCTGCTGCTGTTGCTGGGCCTGTTGCGGGTGTGGTTGTGGCTGACCGAGGTGGTTCTGCTGCTGGCCGGGGTGGCCGAGGCGCTGGTTGAGGAGCTGCATGGTGGCGGTCTGCTGCTGGTGGAGAGGCGTATTCTGCTGGGCCAATAAGCCCATCTGGCGGACCATATCGTTGTTCGGCGCGAGGAAGGGCTGGTGTGGCTGCTGGGCGCGGGCGGCGTTGTTGAAGCCCTGCGCCTGGATCGCGTTCATCGGGTTGTTGTTGAGCAGCCCACCCGCGCCGCCGAACTGCTGCTCGAATAAACCGTGCTGCTGGAAATTATTCTGCATCTGTGCGCCGGCCTGGGCGTTTCGCTGGCCCAGGAGTTGCGCCATCTATATGTCTATTAGCACGTATTGCTATAATAGTATAGGAATAGCCCACCTGGGGGTTCATGGGGTTCATCGCGTGGCTCTGGCCAAACTGCGACCACTGCGGGGTCTGGTCGACGTTGGGCATCCCGCCGATCTGGCCGTCGAGTCCGTTGGCGCCGAATCCCTGTCCGAACGCAAATCCGTTGCTGAGTCGATCCGCCATGAATCCGACGCGCGCCGTGGCTGCCGATGCGAGAAGTGTGAGGATTCGGTATTATATTCGTCGGCCGGCCGGGTGCGGCGGGACGGGCGACGCGGACGGAGCGGGGCTCGACGTCGTCTGGTGCGCTGTCGTCGGCTGGGGTTGTTGCTGGAATATATGCTGTGACGAGGGGACGCGGCGAGGAGGGGACAGGAGCCTCGGGAGCGAGTCCAGTGGTGGTGGGAAGAAGGATACGACACTCACCGCCGCGCGTGCTCGTCAGCTTTCGACCACTTAATTGTTCACTTCTTCCAATTATCACTTTCCGTACGCTTTGACTCGCGCGCTTGGACCTCACTACACATCCTATCATATGCACATCCCAAGCTACATGTACAGACTCTGAAATAATATATAATGGCACGCGAAAGCACCAAAGACCCCTCTCCCAGACCGACTCCACAAGCACCCACAGGCATCCACAGCGTCTAGCTCCTCAAATCCTTCGCCACCCCCTGTGCCCTTGTATTGCCCTCGCCGTCCCCCACCGATCCCTACCATCGCACGGGCACACAACGCACATTTACCGAGCCGACCCCCCACAACCCCAGACCCGTCCAAAACGAGCCGAAAACAGACGCAAAAGGCAGGCAAGTACGTTCCCAGCCCGCCGGCCCCCGGCACGTTTCGCCGTACATTGGGTGCCATATCCTTTTCCGTGCCGATCTTCTGCAGTATACCTCCCGCACGCGCGACTGGGCTGGCGAGAATAGAAGACCGACTGGCCTCACGTTCCTACGTTCGCGCGCACGGACCCTCTACGGTCGAGAACCATGTGTGCAAGACGCGCTGAGGCTGCGTGCGCTAAGACGGGTGCGGCGCGGTCGTTGCCGGTCCGGGGCGCCTCTTCCTTTGTTCTTTCCAGTCCATCTCGCTCCCGCGTCCGCTTGCTTACGACCAGTCCATCCGCTTACCCCATACTTATACGTTTATCAGCGCTCTCTGAGGACGAGTGCCCTTCCGGTGCTTGTGCGTGAAGGACGGAAAGTGCGAACTCGGCGGGCAGTGTGTGCGCGTCGAGTCGCTTCGGCTTAGGCTCAGTGGCGCTCGGTCGACCCTCTTAGGTCTGATCTGGCGACCTACCCTCTCGCTTGGACACACACATGCTCTCTGGCTCTCGCCCGAAGCTCAATGGTGGATGCCCGAAGCAAGAGCTCTTGCGTGCGGACTTATGATGCCCGAGGCCCGGAGACGCGACTTGGCACTCGTCCGCCGGTCGCGTCTGCGCGGCGATGCATGATGACGCAGTGCGTATCCGTGTAGCGGGTCAGAGTCAGGCGGCGTCAAGATGAGAATAAGTCGCACTGGGCCGTATGGGGGTGAGCGTGAACAAGCAGTGGACTGGTCACCGGGATCTGGGTCATGCTGCTTGCTGCGCATGGACAGCGGTATTCTCTGATAAATTCAGAGTCATATGGGAGTGCACTTCACGAGGACTGGTGTGAAAGTTAGGAAGATTGGAAGTCGTACACTTTTTTCGCGATGTTGTCGCACACGTAGAATACGCGCTTTACAGCGTCTCTCGACGTATTAATCACCACCTTGCGGGTCGCATACGCTTCATCCATCAGCCGCGGACACGGTGAGAGGTAAGCGATACGCAGACGCGTTCGAAGCCCATAGCACCTGGAAACGCAGACACACGAGAGTGTCGCCTTCGACTACCAAGCAGGCAAGAACAGACTAGCAGCGGGTGAGGATTCCTGCTCAGCGAGCTCAGCCGCGACGTAGTAGAGCCGTCCGTCGGTCCCGCTGCTCGCATTCGAAAGAATATGGAGAATACGTGACAGCGCTAGGGGTCGCGTATCATGCTTACACGGTCACTACACAAGAGCACACAGGAACGAAGGTATCGCAGAACGTCGATTGGCATCGTGGTCGAGAGCAAGCGCGTCTCTGCGCGCGTCCCGCATGCGCAGGTCGGCCGACGCGACTTCGGGCCGATGTCCGGGTCCTCTTCGCTCTCCTCTCGAGCTTCCTCCGCTCACTTTGAAACCCACTAGACTGCAGAGCCCAACCCCCATCCGCTATTACCACGCACTACGCGAAGACACGTTCAGACTACGCGAAATGAAAACGAGTGTTGGTCCGCTAGTACGGCCGTGTGACGCGACGCGTCGACGTGACTAAACGCGACTCGAACCTGGACGTTCGAGTTGTCTCTTGCTTTCGCCCACGACCACTCGTCCCAGGCATTGCTTCTACTCCAGCATGAGGAGTCTCAATTTTTCCCAGCGAGAATAGCCTCCGTATCCTCCCTCACGCTCTCAAAGAACTCCTCAACACCATGCGTGGGCCTCCACCCCAGCGCCCGCGCGCGATCTCCCTTGATGCGAATATCCACACCCAAAAGAGTCATCTGAATATCATCAGTATAGTATTCAATGCTTTTTAAGAGCTTATCATGTACGATCGGGTTCCTCTCGATCTCAGCAGCGGTAAAAGCCTCGGGCTCGGCATTCGCACTCTTGCCGTGCGCGTGAAGAATGGCCGTGTACCGCTCTGCCGCGTCTTTGAAGTTGAAGTCGCAGTTCTCTAGGACGTAGTTTCCTTGTGCGCCGTGAGGTGCTTCGTTTGCTAGCGCACGCTCGAACACGAGCTTGTAGAATTCGGCCGCTGGAAGGATTGAATATCAGGGCAGGCGCGACAAGGGAATAGTGCATACCATCGTCAACGTGCACCCCCGACCACCTATTCAGGCCCGGTACAACCATCGCACCCTGCCCGCGCTGGATACTCAGCTTGACCGCCACAGCGATCGCAAGGCTGTACGCGTGCGCGATGCCCGCGTCGACGAGCGGGCCTTTGAGAGTCCCGTAGACCACCGACGGGAACACGATGTATGTTCGTACAAAGCCTAGACTTGCTTTAGCGAGAAGATCAAGATGTAGTAGTGCGTATGAGTCACCTTCACTGTCTGCCGCAATCAACGCATCGTTGATAGCGCTGTACGGGAGCGCGTTCTTATGGTCGTACAAGTTGGGGTCTATGTCGGATAACGCAGGGCCCGAGGCAGGATCTCCCATAGCATCTAGCTTTCCGAAGATGGCCGTACCGGCCTAGGAAAGTCGAATGCGCTCATGACCTTTCCGTCTCACAAGCGACTGTCAAAGGGACGTACGGTCTGGATGAAGATCGACTGCTTGCCACTTCGCTCAAAGCGAGCCTTCGCGCCTCTGAGTAACGCGTTGACTCCGTTAATGTGGTCATAAGCCGCCTACCAGACTTGCTCAGTACCAACAGAGCCCTATACCGTTTACGAGCTACTCACGTTTTGGAAGACAGCGTCCGCCTTTGCGCTCTCAGCTTCCACGAGAGCCGAATCGTCGAGGGAGCCTATGACGGTTTTGATGCCGAATTGTTCGAGCTTGGCCGCTTTCTGCTCGTCACGTACGAGGGCGGTGATAGCCAGGTTTGGCATCTGCATAAGCAGCTGCAACGTTGCGCCGCCCAAGTAGCCTGCATCGTGCCAGCAGTTAGCTCGGTGGTCTCGAGTGCGAATATTCTGCTTCGCACCTGTCGCACCGGTGAGACAAACGTTGGTGGTCTGCGACATGATAGAGGAGGTTAGCGGCAATGTTTAAGCTCTGAGTATGAGACCCACTTCTTATACATGCACGCACAGTGTGTGAAAGGGACATGGCGGAGCAAGGACTCCGCTATACGCGTACGGAGAGGTGCGGCGATGGGTGCCGACGTCGATAGCGGACGAATCGCCGCTCTCTCAGACTCGGGTACTTCTTTGCCGGAGTCATCGTCCGTGTGGCTCACTTGCATGAACTGCAAACTTGCATTCGAAGTCTGTAAAGACGATTGCGGCTGCCACCCACGTAGATGAATAGGCGAACCGAGTAGTTTTTGGAGCGAACGCGAGAGCGTTTCTGCCGTCCTTCCCAGGAGGTCAGAGCACTTCACTTTGTCCTATGCGGAGCCTGACATCAGCTCATCTCTCTAGCAAGTGTGATGGCAGAAGCTCTGGGAGAGCTCAGTATACCCTGTCGCATACTGTGGTGTCAGGCATGCTGGGAGCTCGCGTACAGATGTCAGTTGAGCTGTAGACACTCGAGTCCGTACTCATATATCCCACTGCACCATGTGAGGCTCTCCTTACTCGATGGGGCTTATGAAGATCTCCCCTGCGAAGTGTCTGAGCGACAGGATTGGCGAGTTCTGAGAATGGCCAGGCGCAGTGCTGCTAGAACTGCAATCACACGGCCAGCAGTCCGTGTCATGACATGCGCGTTGCTGAGGGGTACTCGCTTGATGTGAAGGGCCCATAGCAGCCAGGGGTGCACTGGAACGGCAGTGTAGGCGACGGGTAGATGATCATGACATTGGCAATGGTGGTCGCAGTCAAAGGAGCGCGAAATGAGAAGCACGCGCCGCCTGTCGCGTGCGCTTCTGCGGCTTGTCACTTGCCACGACGTCCATGTTCGATACACGAACGCTGCCAATCCACAATGCACCCCGTCTGAAAGAACATATCCATCTTGTGCGGTTCATCGACGCTCCGGATACAAAGTCACCGATATAGCGGAGGCGTTTGTCCCGGATATTCTGCTACCCCGCGTTCGGCGACGTTTGGCGTTGCGGAATTCTGTACCCCGGCGCCAGAAATTGGACCACCTTACCAACTCTTGCGATGTAGTACTGCCCTGTACTGCCCCTCGACCAGTCCTATTCATTGCGTGAAAGCGGTTAACAACCGGTATCACCTAACACCGACTCATATCCGCGGTCTCACGTCAGACGATTGCCAACAGCCACTTCGCGTAGCGACGAGCCACCTCTGAGAGGACCCGAGACTTGACGGACCTTATAAAACTCTCTCGCTCACTGATACCTTCAGAGCCAGCCCATCATGTCGACTTCCCATAACAACATGTCCCGCAAGACCACTGTCTTCCTCACCGGCGCCACAGGTGCGAGTACTGCTACCTATTGAAGAGTTGGAAATGACTGAGCAATCGCACCCAGGTTATCTCGGAGGTGCAGCACTGCAGCTCATCATGCACGATCCAGAACTATCCATCACTGCTCTCGTGCGCGATAAGGAGAAGGCAGTCAAACTCGAGCAATTCGGCCTGAATGTCGTATCGGGCTCTCTGGACGATACAGAGCTTCTGGAGAAGGAGGGCGCCAATGCAGCCGTCATTTCTCATGCTGTGAGTGGCCTTCCTACACATTCACTGACTCCCGGGCTGATCTTGAACAGGCGTCGCTGAGCCATATGGCAGGGGTAACCGCGCTACTCAGAGGCGCAAAGGCGCGCTTCGAGCGCACCGGAGAGCAGCCCATCTTCATACACACTGTGAGTCTCTTTGCTTCAGCCCTCGTATTGGCAAGGGCAGGCGATGCTCATCGAGTAGTCTGGGACAGGGGCGTTCGCTAAGCTAGATGCGATGGGCGACTATACCTCTGATAAAATCCTGTCGGATGCGGACCCAAACCTCGATAACTTCAAGAACACGCTCGCACACAATACGGTGAACGACGTTCTCGTCGCCGCCGATGGTGAAGGTGAGCGTTCGTGGGGATTGCCCGTTCTGCTCCTTAGCTAACGAATGACGGCCACTAGGCTACGTACGATCATATATTGTGATGCCTTCGATGGTCTACGGCGCCCTCAAGGGACCGCTCGTTGACGCCGGAATCGCTCATGCATACAGTATAGCGATTCCCACGATGATCAAGCTGTGCATACAACGCGGGCAAGGAGCAATGGTCGGCAAGGGCCTGAACAGATGGCCCATAGTACACATCGACGATAGTGAGTAGCAGCGGCCCTTTGTGTTAGACAACCGCTGATTCCATGTCCGCCAGCGGCCGACTTCTACAAGCTGATCCTGCAGCATGCTCTTGCAGATGATGCGCCTCATGGCGCCCAGGGGACCTACGTTACGGAGAACGGCGAGGTCACACTGGCAGATAGTGCAAAGTGGTATACAAAAGCCCTCCATTCTCATGGAAAGAGTGCCAAGGCGGAACCGGAAAGCTTCACCACGGCGGAGATCGAGAAGAACCCATTTGTACGTCGCTCTTCTCATGAGATACGCTTGGCTCTTACAACGCTCGCAGCTTTCCTACATGGGCACGGATGATCGTATCAGAGGGGATCGCGCACGCCAGCTAGGCTGGTACCCAGCGCACGGAGTCGAGGACTTCTTCGAATGCGTGCAACAGGAAGTTGAGGACATTCTCGCCGGAAGGGATTGAGGTGCGCTCACGGGAGGCATGTCTTGTCTACCCTTCTGAGTTCTCATGTACGAGTATAGTATCAGATAGGGCCTTGATCGACCAGGAATGAATGGAAGCATCGGGGTTTCGTGTCCTATTTCGCAGTACAATTACAACACAGAGGCATGTGGTGGATCACTTTGCCGCATAGGGTTCTTAAAGACAAGATTCTTTCCCTCGAGAATGGCCTCGGTATCCTCCTGAACACTCTCAAAGAACTCGCCAATAAGATGTGTCGGGCTCCATCCTAACCGACGCGCGCGATCGCCTTTGATGCGAACATCTATACCCAAGAAAGATATCTGTGCCAAAAGTAAGGGCCGGGTTTCGTACCGACGAGTGTCTACGCACCATCGGGTTACTCTTGATCTCGGCGGTCGTGAAAGCCTCTGGCTCCGCTCGGACGCTTTTGCCGTGCGCATGAAGAACGAAGGTGTACCGTTTTGCTGCATCTGCGAAGCTGAACTCGCCATTTTCCGCTATGTAGTGTCCTTCAGAGCCGTGAGGCGCGTCTTCTGCAAGTGCATGCTCAAATATAATCTTGTACAACTTTGTCACTATGGGATGTGCTATGTCAGCAAATAGGTTTCACGTCGACGACACATCCTATACGCACTATCGTCGATATGTACGCCGGACCACCTGTTCACACCGAGTCCAACCTGAGCTCCTTGTCCGCGCTGAATACTTGAATTGATGGCCATGGGGATAGCTATGCTATACCGGTGTGCGATTCCAGTATCGACGAGTGGACCTCTCAGAGCGCCGTAAACAACCGACGGGTACACGATATACGACCGTATATAGCCTGGGTCGACATCAGCATGGTGCATCTCCTCTAGTAAAGTCAAATCACCTTCTCTATCCGCGGCGATTAGAGCCTTGTGAACGGCGATGTGTGGGAGAGACATGTTCGTGAGGTTGTCAAGGTTGGGATCTACGTCCGATATCCTCTGCTCTGAGGTGTACTGCCCCATTGCATCTAGTGTGGCCCATCCTCCCGGCACGGACTGAATCGATGACGAGCGTCAGATATTTTGTGAGAGCGAATATAAAGACGAGCTAACAGTGTGGATAAATATAAGTTGCTTGAGCGTCCGCTGAAAGCGAGCCTTCGCGCCCCTGAGTAGCGCATTGACTGCATCGAGGTGATCGTAAGCCGCCTAAACATTATGAGCTGTTGAAGATTGAAGGCTATGTTGAACTACTCACATTCTGTAGAATCACGTCCGCCTTCGCCCCCTCGGACTTCATGAACGTCGTATCATCCAGAGAACCAAGGACGGTCTTCACGCCAAGCCGCTCGAGCTCGTCTGCCTTGTCCTTGTTGCGCACGAGTACGGTAATGGCCATACGGGGGTCCTGCATCAACCACTGCAGAATCGCGCCGCCCAAGTAACCTAGACGATCATTGTCAATACCGCTATCCGGCTCACTAGTCAACAATCCCCGTACCTGTCGCTCCAGTCAGGAAGACATTGGTCGGTTGCGACGTCGACATGACCAAGAAGCAGCGGTGATGTTGAGTCTGGCTTGGGAGATGCTGATTTCCATGCTGTTTATATCAATACACACTACATGACCTTCCCATTGACTAAGAAGAAGTCGTTACTCCACGAAGTGCGTACTCTCGATTACAAGGATCGGTCTTACCAACGGGTAACCCGCCGTCTTCTCTGGATTCCTGTCTCTGAGCGGCAATCTATTACAAGGCGCACACAATGCGCCTGACTACGACGCTCTACCATCCCAGTTCTTCGGACAGTAGCCAGTACCAACATGAAAGCTCCAGGAGGGACTTCGCGTCAACCGCGTATGGTGGACCGTGGGTAGAAGCCTGATCCCTGATGGGCAGTTCCAAGTGTAGAAACCACTGCTCGGAGAAGATACTGGCGTTCACGCCGTAACTTGCGTGTCACATATCATGCGGTTATAAGAGAGTAACCATAGTGCAAGGCATGTGAGAGTGATTGGGATGGTATTCCGATGACCGCAATGGTGGTCAGAGGCAGGTTCGGGTTGTCGCGCTGCGCGCTGTGGTTCAACGTTCACGGCTCGCCCCCGCGCCTTGCCTCTCGACCGCGATCTGGCTAGCGACCGAAGGATGATCTTCATTCCAACTCTGCACTCCGTGCTATCTCCGCGAATACCAAGCGTGAGGGCTATCCTCAAAGACCTGGGAACATAGTTCTCCTCAGTAGTTGAAGAGATACTTAGTGTGGGTGAATGCCATTCTTCCCCTGCATGACGAAACTCATGCGCCCTCCGTGCTTGGCCACCTTAGCCTGCCACAAATACACCATGAGACACAAGTATAGCTCTGCTGAGCGCAATTTCGTTCTCCATCGACCCGCTGCTGGCACCAGCCATTAACGCCTAACACCGACTCAAGCCCGTCATCTTGCATAAGATGATTACCGACGACTGTATCGAGCCGAGGCGTTCGGGCGGGCGTAGTCTATAGTGGAGGCAATACGTGGGCGTCGCCGTCGCATCATCCAACGTCCAACGGGGACTGTAGGATGACCAATGGGCGGGTTTATGCGAGGAACCCTCCGTCTCGCGACGAGACCCTCGGCATTAACGTAGTAAGATTGGTTTACGGCTCTATATATGTCGTTTCCCGTACTGATTGTCTCACCCAGCTACAATCAAGTCCCTCCGCCGCATTATGTCTGAACAGACCACCGTCTTCCTTACCGGCGCTACAGGTACGAGCACAGTGGCCGCCATCGAGACGATTGAGCTAAACGCTCACTCTCAGGTTACCTTGGAGGCGCTACGCTACAACTGCTACTGCATAATCCGAAGCTATCCATCACGGTGCTCGTGCGCGACAACGAGAAGGCGGAGAAGCTCAAGCAGCTTGGCTTAAAAGTTGTTCTGGGTTCCCTTGATGACACGGAGCTCATGGAGGCGGAGGGTGCGAAAGCGGATGTCATACTTCAGAATGTGAGCATCTTCTGTCTCGCGCTAAACCCAGAAGACTAATCATGTACAGGCCGCATACGACCATATCAATGGGGTCAATGCGCTTCTCAGAGGCGCGAAGGCTTACTATGAACGTACAGGCAAGCAGTCCATCTTCATTCAAACTGTGAGCGTTCTTCTTTCTCTGCAGCCAACATGTCCTCATCTCCGTCTATTTTTCCAGTCTGGGACGGGAGCCTTCGTCAAAATGGATGCAATGGGCGACTACACCTCGGAGACGGTGCTTTCCGACACGGAGCCAGATCTTTACCGCCACAAGAACACGCTCGCGCACAGTGTCGTCAACGAAGCTCTCATCGCTGCAGATAGTGAAGGTTCGCCGTGTCTTCCAAACCCCAATGCTGCCAGCCTAAAGGTGTTCTCCAGGCTTCGTACGATCGTATATTGTGCTTCCTTCGATAGTCTACGGTGTCCTCAAGGGGCCGCTGGTGGACGCGGGCATCACTCACGCGTACAGTATGGCGATGACGTGGGCCGCCAAACTGAGCATCGAACGCGGTCAAGGCGCTCAAGTTGGCAAGGGACTGAACCGATGGCCTGCCGTGCACATTGACGACAGTGCGTCCCGTCCATATCTCTGTCTATCGAGTTTGTGCTAATCGAGGTTAACGATGCTCGTTAGCGGCCGACTTCTACAAGTTGGTGTTCGAACGTGCTTTGGCGGGTGATGCACCTCATGGCGCTCAAGGCAACTACGTACTTGAGAACGGAGAGTTCAGCTTTGGAGAGGCAGCGAAGCGCTACACCGCGGTTCTCCATGCACACGGCAAGAGCGCGAAGGCAGAACCGGGCAGAACCGGATTCCTTCACGACGGCTGAGATTGAAAAGACCCCATTCGTATGTGCCTCACTTTGCGCGGCGCATCATGTACTGATGATTCTGAAGATCTACTTTCTGGGTACCGATGTCCGTATCAGAGGAGATCGCTCTCGTCAGTTAGGCTGGAGCCCGGCGCATGGCATCGAGGACTTCTACGAGAGCGTGCAGGAGGATACTGAAGCTGTCTTGGCGGGGAAAGACTGAGTCTCATCTTCTGATCTCTTTGTACTCGTAGATGATGTGCTGAGTGTCAAGCTATGTCGCGATGGAGTTGACATAGACGGCGTCGCCGCGAAGTTCGCACTCGCGTCGGCGACACGCATTGACGCCACGCGTCACAGATGACAAGATCGTCACATTCCTTGTGTATCGGCCGCCCGCACCCCCATTCCTTTCTGTTTCTGTTCCAGAGGTTGACGGTGACTACCTCGGACCTGGTACTGATAGTGTACCTTTGCGATGTCTGCATTGTGGGAATAGGCGCATGGTGGTGCCCATGGATTGTCACGAGTGGCGGGCTTCGGAAGTTACGCCGAAGCGCGCATATTTTCTCGAACTTTCGGCCGATTTCGACCACACGCTTCCCGTTTCCGAGCGTGACGGATCGGTTCCCGTATGCTCTAGACAGCGCTGTATACGGTGACAATGACGATTCGGCATCGCGAATGTTCTCTCTATGAACAGTATATATGGACGAGACTCTAAACTGCTATTCCCTCAGCATAGCATCTACTCATACTCGCGACTACGCTCTCTACAGCACTCACCTACCTACCACTACTCGCTCATCATCATGTCGCTCACGCACTTCTTCTACGAGCCATTCTACTCCCTTTCTGACTTCGACCGTCTCTTTGACGAGGCGCTCGACGCGCGTCAAACTAGCGGCCGCACACGCGGTCAGAACAGTCGGCTTGCCACCCGGCAAGGCGCGTCGTCGTCTTTGAGCTCCCTGCGCCCCAAGTACGTCGCCCTATACTCCCATTGAACTGAAGCACAAGCTGACGAGTTCGCAGGATGGATGTGCACGAAGACAAGGAGAAGAACCTCGTGACCGCCACCTTCGAGCTGCCCGGACTCAAGAAACAGGACGTGCAGATCGACGTGCACAACAACGTCTTGACCGTCTCGGGTGAGACAAAGATCGACGAGACGAAGGAGCAGGACGGCTACGCAGTGCGCGAGCGCCGCTTCGGGCGCTTCTCGCGCTCCATCCCTGTTCCGCAGGGCATCAAGGAGGAGGAGATCAAGGCGGCGCTCGAAGATGGCGTCTTGAGCGTTACCTTCCCTCGCTCTGCGCCCGAGGCTGCACCGAGGAAGATCACCGTCGCGTAGACGAGTCGTTCTGAATGCTCGTTGCGTAGATGGACTCCAACTAAACATTTTGATCGGATTTATTTTCGTGGGACATTGCAATCGTCGATTTGTTTTGTACTTTCATCGCTATGTTGTACAATGCTATACTGTCGTTTTCATCTGAGCTTTGGCTACTGATATGGTAATTGGCTTCGGGCACTGATGGAAATCCCGGTTCCCGGCCTCGCTCCATTATTTAGCTTGGATATGAGCGACAAAGACTTGACACATTTGGTACCGACGAAAGGACCATGCAACAAAAAGTGAACCTTGTATAGCCTGCTGGGAAAGATGCAGTAAAACCTGGGCAACTCGCAGAGCGACATCTGCAGGATTTGAACCTACGCGGGGAGACCCCAACAGATGAATTTCAAAATTCGAATCTGTCGCCTTAACCACTTGGCTAAGATGCCTTCCCAATTCGTTCAAAACATTAGTAATAATCAGTCTATGCATTTTAGTCTAGTTCGGGCGCGCCTGGAAGTGGAAAGTAGCATTGTCTCCCACGTCCATGTCATCGGTCGGCGACGTAGTGTCTAGAACAGGTCCACCGAAACACGCGGCTTGCGGGTACGGATTCGCCAAAGCGTACCTGTCACCCGTGCGGATTGAGGCCGGTATGCAGGCGCTCGAGCTCCCAGGACCTCCTGTGCACATCGAGATATCTCTGTGACTTGTGCCGGCCACAAAGACACTCAGAATCAGGGCGCCCTGGCAAGAAACTCAGTTGCTTGGGCAACCTGTCGCAAACCGCCTGGGAACGTCAACCCATACCCGTATGGACGAGTTCGTGTCTTGGTAGATATGGGTATGGGCTTGCCTCGAGTCTCCCCGCGGGTGACCCGTGCGCACATGCTGTTCACTAGTGTTCCGCCTCTGTTTCCACACTCGGTGCTCTCGTTCGTCGCGTACCATCTGTCAAGCACGCAACAGGGAATGGGCTGAAGATGAACGCGGCTGCTGATGTTCTTTTGCTCGGAACGATTGTTGTTAAGATGTTGCACGGAGTTGCACAGCCTGTGTTCGTGACAGATGTAGTGATACCTTGACGAACGCCTTGATCTATAACAAGCGCTACTGGACTCCATACTTGTCTGAGCTCCCGTCGCTCTTCCTATCCGGCGTGAAACGGCGTCGACTGGCTCGCCTTCACGTTCGCAATGCGTCGTATCTTGTCGAGGAATCGCTTCCCACTCACAACTCTGTTACTTGTATCTTGTATAGCAAGCGTTGCAGGACAGAACCTCGTCGTTCCCTCGAATTGGGCGGTGCGTTCATCGAGCGTAGAATTTTCGATATCTATGCTAACATGCTACACAGGGCACAACATCGGATCTCGATTATGAGGCGCGTGTTGCATTGGCGAGCGGAGCAGCAGCAGCCCTGAACGCCAATGTAAACCCCTCTGTCCAGACTAACCCATCCAAAGGGGCCAGTCCTCCACGTACGTACAAAATCTTCTGTTCATGAGACACCTGATGCCCACGAGAATGACTCTCAGAACTTCCTCAGTTGAGGTACTTCAGCAGCACCTTCGCTGTCTTCGCCCTACAAGACTACTACAGTGGCAACTCGACCTGGAACGACACCGTCGTAGACGGCATTCTCGATTACCTCAACGCTTACGGGTTCTACGGGATACTGCCGAATACAGTCAACTCTGACTCTGTGTACTGGGGGCTCGCGTTGTATTACGCCTACCGTACGTACCGACAACAAGCCCTACTTGATCAGGCTATCGTCGCGTGGAACATGACCTACGTCAACGGTTTCATCACTCCCGATGTAGCGGCTTCTGGCAACGGCGCCGGGCGCAACGTTTCGATCTTGCCGCCCAGCAACTGCACTGCTAATGGTGAGCTTCTTGCATCACCAGATCCATTCTCATGTAGTCTCATAGTAGCCAAACAGGAACTTATGCCGGAGGGGTGTTCTTTGTAACGAGTCTTTGCGGTGTTGAGTACCGATTTGCACACTGATTGGTCATTCTTGCAGTACAAAGACGTGCATAACGACACAGCAATCAATGCGTATACGGTCGCGCCATTCATGACGTGCGCAGCCTCACGCTATTCCCACAGCCGCTCGAATCATTGATGTCTTACGGGATAGGCTATCAGCATACCTATTCGAAGAGACCAAAGAGACTATATTCCAACAAGCCGCACAGTTATCGTTGGACTTCTCCATCAATCGCCTTTGGAATGGAACGGTCTTCTTGGACACGTTCTGGCCATTAAGCTGCCAGTACCTCGATAGCTGGACATCACTAGACGAATGGTACATAGAAGGTGGGTCGGCATTCACCCTTCGATGATGAATCTGCTCTCTAAACACTTTGCTTTTCAGGAATAGCTGTCTGGGCGAATATCACTGGAAACGGCACCTTAACAACATTGTAGGATTCTCTTCATACACACAGACTGAATGAGTATCAGAATACCGCTCACACTCTGTTACCAGTCTGGAAACGGTCATCACCAATGCCACGACTTTGAGCCTATGGAATCTTGACAATGGCAACATCAAAGGTTCGTCGATCGACGCGAATGGAGGATTGGCTGACAAGCTGTTCAGAGTTCTTCGATCCCTCAGATTGGGACAGCATTGATAAAGGGATCTACATTCGAGCGCTCGCAGAAGCTCGTAGGCGCAACCCCGGGACAGCGCTTGCTAAGTACATAGAGGCGTACATCACAGTCCAGGTGCGCTTAGTTGAGACAGGGACCTGCTACTTGATGGTGACCTCTGAATAGTTCAATGCCCTTCTGACTCATGCCCGTGCGCCGAACACGAACTATTACACGACTGCATGGTCAAGCGGACCTGCGAACTCGTGAGCCTCATGCCTTTTCGAATGCGTCCCAGCCTCTGACCATGACGGTAGAACATTCTCAGCATCCGGCAATATCGCAGCCTTAGACGTGCTTAATGCAGTCTTCGATTTTGTTGCACCAACCATGTGCGTACTGCGTAATATGCGGGGACTCTGGTCTCATACTAACTTTTGATTACCAGGTCGTCCTCATCGCCAGGAAGCACGAATTCATCGGCACCTGGCAACCATCCTCAGGTTACAAAGCCTGCGAGCAAGAGTTCCAAGACCGGGATCATCGCTGGAAGTGTGGTGGGCAGCATCACGGCCATTGTCTCCGTCGTCCTACTTCTCTTCTTGTGGCGGCGTCGCAGCCAACATCTCAATGCTGGCCCATCACTCCCGCAAGACCCGTCCAGCCCGACCGGCGGAGAAGCCACAGCGAACACCGAGCCATTCATGCTGCTATCCTCGCCTCTACCGCATTCGGGCAAATGGCAACGTTTCTATGCCCCGCGTTCCGACGAGGGCTCTGCGCCATGGTCTGCACCGCCAGTGAGCGAGCCCGAAGTATCAAGCCCTTCGCAGAGCGCGGGATACTACGGAGACGCGACAGATCATGCAGAGCTACCGACTCTGGTCCGTCGTCTTTACGACTTGTTGCAGGGCAATCATGGGTCTGGGGAGCTTCCACCTCAGTACGACGAACGCGAGCGGAGTTAGACGCGATACACGAAGGCTACCTCGTACCATGTACGAAGTCCGACCTTGACATCTTTCATATGGCATCGGTAAACTGTAGGGATTGGCTCGCCGTTCACTAGTGTATTACTGCGAACATCTATCCGTGTCCCGTGCGCATATAGTCACCCAAAACTTGCACAGAAGACGGTTAAGGTCCGAGGGCGTTCAAGCTTACGGCTTGTAGACTGGTGTTGCCTTGTTAGAATAAACTCGAGCCCATTGGCCAGAACCATCTACCATCGTGGGATACGTTCACATAGCACAGACTCGGTAAGCCAGCGCGCGTTCGCGCGGTCTGTCCGAAGCGCTCCCGCACACGACGTTCGGGCAGTGGGAGCGCTCCCGAGGTGCGTGTGATGGTGGCAAGAGCGAAGCAGCGCCACGTACGCGTGCCACGCTATAAGCACGCTCCCCTCGATCACCACTTGTCCGTTCACCACCACCTCCCGCATCTCTCTTCTGAGTCGGGTCTATTATCATCATGAAGTTTGCTGTCTCGTTCTGGTCTCTACTTATTGCCGGCGCGGCCGCGTCGAACGTCCTTGACCTTGTCCCGGATAACTGGGACGAGGTTATTGGCAAGGGCAAGCCCGGTCTTGTCGAGTTGTGCGTAGCGTTGCACTTGTACGATGTATTAGAGATCGCTGACATAGCGCTGTAGCTTTGCTCCCTGGTGGTACGTATCATGCAAATCACTATTCTACACCTTGTGCTGAATCGCTTTCCGCGATGTATAGTGGACACTGTAAGGTGCGCGTGCTCAGTCAGCTTCCGTTTCACGTTCATGATCACTGATTGAGTGATACACAGAACCTCGCACCAACATACGAACAGCTCGCGGATGCCTTTGCCCACAAGAAAGACAAGGTCATTGTCGCGAAGGTCGACGCGGACGGCGAGGGCCGACCACTCGGCCAGCAGTACGGCGTGACCGGCTTCCCCAGTACGTGATCTTTCCCTACAATACGAAGGTCCGTTCCTGAGCATGTTCCAGCGCTGAAGTGGTTTGATGCTGAGGGTAACGCCGAGCCGTACGACGGCGCACGCGATCTGGATGCTCTTGCCGCCTTGTGAGTCTCTGACAGCTTCCATGCCACATGCTACAAACGCTAATCCCGCAACAGTGTCTCCCAGAAGTCCGGTGTCAAATCCAACATCAAGCCTCCGCCTCCGCCCGCAACCCTCATCCTCGACACGCACACCTTCGACGACGTAGTATTGAACCCGGAACACGACTCCATCGTAGCCTTCACCGCTCCCTGGTGCGGCCACTGCAAGAAGCTCAAGCCGACATTCGAAGAGGTCGCAAAGGACTTCGCATTGGAGAAGAACTGCGTTGTCGCGAACGTTGACGCTGATGCCGAGGCTAACCGCCCGCTCGCGGTTAAGTACGGCGTCTCGAGCTACCCGACTCTCAAGTTCTTCCCCAAGGGCGGCGAGCCGATTCCCTACGAGGGTGCGAGGACCGAAGCTGCATTCGTCGAGTTCTTGAACGAGCACTGCGGTACGCACCGCACCGTTGGCGGCGCGCTCAACGACCTCGCGGGTCGTCTGCCTGATTTCGATGAGATCGCGAGCAAGTTCTACTCTGCGGAGGAGAGCGCGCGTCAGACGATTCTTGCTGAGGCTGCTACGCTTGCGGATACTGTTGGTCCTGCTGCGAAGCAGTACTTGCGCGTCATGGAGAAGGTCGTGAACGGCACTGGCGATTACCTCGAGAAGGAGTCAAAGCGGTACGTCACGCTCGCGTCTGGGTGAAATGTGCATCGAGACTGACTTCCTTTCTTCTCTAGCCTCTCGTCGATCCTCGCGAAGCGCACCATGGCTCCGGCCAAGCTTGACGAATTGAAGGTCAAGGCGAACATCCTCGCCGCCTTTGCTGAGAAGAAGGTCGAGGAGGTTATTGAGGAAGTTACGAACACGGATGAAGTGCGCCACGAGGAGCTCTGAGCCCTGAGCGTCTAACCTGTATTGTACGCATACTGTACTCACACTCAGTGCTATACGAGTTCTGCTACAAATCACATCCACGCTGTGGTCCGGAAACACGCAGCACCATGCTTGCTTGAGCATTGACTGAACTGACAAAGGCGGTGTAGGTCCGTGTGGATGCTATAGCGCGATGATGACGCCGGCCACGTTGGTCAGCGATTAGATCTAAGATCCAAAATTGTGGCAAAGTGCCTGAGCGCGGCACCGGTTCACATCTGCTTCGCGCGTTCATCTTCGGGCTTTACGAATCCTCTGCTTGACTCAGCGTCCTGTGTATATAAACTTGCTACCCACTTTCTGAGACCCCACAGCTCTGCTTGATACTTGCTCTGCGATACCCTAGACCAATGGCTTCCACACACCCCGAAAACGAGCACGAACATGACGAGAACGAGGAGGTTCCGGAGCAGGAGCAGTTCATCGGGGAAGATGCAGCTGAGGAGGTACCCGATGACGGGGACGCACCTATGGACGATGATGGCGAGGATGGTGGAGGCGAAGAGATCGTCTGGGAGGATAACTCTGTCATGGTATAGCTCTCTGATCCTACTGCACTTGATGTCAGCTGACATATGTTGTCTGTGCCAGTCCTTTCCCACACATGAAAAGTCCGTATTTGCCGTATCTGGTCACCCAACGCAACCATTGGCCGCATCTGGCGGTGAAGACGATCTCGGCTACATCTGGGACATCACCGACGGCGAAATCATCGCCAAACTCACTGGTCATACCGACTCTGTCGCTGCTACGGCTTGGAGTAGTGATGGTGAGTTGGTGGCTACGGGTGGTATGGATGGACGGGTCAGGGTCTGGAGACATGTTGGAAAAGCGGACTGGAAGACTTGGGAGTTCTTGACCGAGTTGCAGGGACCGGACGAGGTTATGGTATGTCCGTCCTACACTTCTGAACAGGATATGCGAGCTAAGATGTACGGCCATAGTGGTTGAGATGGCACCCGAAGGGATCCGTGCTTCTGGCCGGTGCCAATGATAGTACAGTGTGGTTATGGCAATGTACGTGCCCTTTCCGCTCATCATACTTCCATACATGATCGCTGACACATTCTGTCAACAGTGCCCTCCGGCAACACCATGCAAGTCTTCGCCGGTCACAAGGGCCCCGTAACAGCCGGCGACTTTACACCCGACGGGAAGAGGATCGTTACCGCCTGCGCCGAGAACACTCTGATCTACTGGGACCCGCGTTCGCCTACACCGGTGTTCAAGCTTGATGCAACCGACGGCCGATTTGATCTGGATGGTATCACGTCGCTCGCGATCAATCCCGCATCCACTTTGGCCGTTGTTGGAGGTGCCGCGGGCGGTGTGAGGGTCGTCAGCTTGACGCAGGGGAAGGTTATCTCGGCGTTGGGTAGCCATGAGGAGGGGAACTCCGTCGAGGCGGCTGTGTTCGTCAATCTGGCGGGTGCTGTGACGGGTGCCGGCGGAAGCGCGCCTGCTACGGCTGGCGGAGGCACGGTCGTTACGGGCGCAACGGACGGAAAGGCGTGCGTCTGGGATCTCAATACAAATAGGTTGCGTATGACGCTCGCGCATGAGGTTTGTGCTTCCCCATGTTCTCTACCCGTCGACGAGATCTCATGTTCCACGTCAGGACTCCGTGACAAGCTTGCACGTTCACCCGACAAAACCGCATCTGCTTGTTTCTGCCTCTGCAGATCAAACGTTGCGCACATGGGATGTCCGTACGGGCAACCTCATCCGCGAGCACAAGGGACATAACGGCCCGATTCTCGGTGCATCACTCGGTCTCGGAGGTGAGGTTGTGCTTAGCGCCGGTGATGACGGTGTTTGCTTGGTTTTCACAACCGAGTAGAAGACTTTCAGATGGTAGATTGTATAACGCTGTACTCAGAACTTGCTATGTTGTAACAACAGGTCGGGCTTCTTGAGGTTCATTACGCACAGACAGATTATCTCTATCTCTACGCTGTCGAAGGCACGATCGCTTGCGCGGCGGGCCAGCGTACGGTCTCTCCCGCAGTCCTGATGCGATGATCGTCCTGCTCAGCATCAAGTTTTCCCTGTGTTCTCTCGGTCAGTAGGAGTGCCGGCATGCACATAGACTCCCACGTACGACGAAGTTGCTCGGGAAGCCGAGGTCGAAGGGAATGACGTTCTCAATCGCTGCAATCTGCTCATTCGAGAGTGCAACGTTCAGCGCCTCAAGGTTCGCGTCGAGATGCTCAACTTTGCGCCCGCCGATGATGGGGAAGACGTAGGGCGTGCGCTGCATCACGTATGCGATGGCGACTGTCACGTTTGATGTCAGACTCTGCTCCAGTTCGGTTCAGCGTGGAGAGACAAGACGCACCAGCCTGAATAGTCTTCGCCCCGACCTCCCCCGCGATCTTCTCCAGCACCTTGGCCATCTTCCGCTCATCCTCATTCCTCTCCCACCGTCCTCCCATGAGCGTTCTCCCATTCTCACCAGTACTCCTGCGCGCGTCCTCTTCTGCATCTGTGCGAATCTTGCCGCCCGCGAGCACGCCCCAAGGGCATAGTGCAAGGCCTTCGGCTCGGGCCATGGGTATGATCTCGCGCTCGAAGTCGCGCTGTAGGACGTTCCAGCGGCCTTGGTAGACTGAGAATGGCGTTTTGCCGGTCAGACGGGCGTAGGTGTTTGCTTTTGATACGACCCAGGCTGGTGTGTCGGAGATGCCCTGGCAATACACCGTCAGTGACAATAGAAGGCACAGACTGAAGTGGAAGAGCAACTCACTAGGTACAACACCATGCGCGACTGTACGAGCTGATGAAGAGCGTTCATGACCTCTTCAACGCTAGTTCCCCAGTCCCACCAGTGAACGTAGAGAAGATCGATGTAAGACGTGCGCAACTTCTTGAGTGATTCTTCGACGGAGACATAGAGGCTCTTTGCGTTGGTGCCGCTATAGTTCACTTTGACGTTGATCGATGGGTCTTGCACCTTGTATGACGCGGTGTACTATGCACGCAATAAGTATGAGTGGTGAGAAAGGAATGCCGGGAGAGCGAAGGACGCACTTTCGTCGCGAGTACGATCTGGTCGCGGATCCCGCGGCTCTCCATCCACTCCCCGATGAACCTCTCCGAAGACTCGTTTTGACTACGGCACACCATCAGTACTCGGTATGCACTCCCTGAAGACCATGTTCATGAGAGCGCGCACTAGATGTTCGCTGTGTCGATAAAGTTGCCTCCTCGCTCGTAGAACCCATCCAGCAGCTTGAAGCTCGACTCCTTGTTCATTGCACCCATCCCGATCTTATCCCACTCATCTCCGATAGACATCGCGCCGAGACAGATGGGCGAGACGCGGACGCCTGCGAGAGGGCTGAGGACGCGGTAGCGCCCCAGAGCCGTGGGAGCTTTGGCGAGGGTGAAGAAGGACATGCGCTATGAGATCTTGAGGAGAGAAGTGGGGTTCGTTGTGTGGTTGGCGCTGCTGCTCGTACTTTTGTAGGGGGTGTCCGGGTTTATGACGAGTCGGTTGTATGTAGTGCTTGTGTGAAGACCCACTCCGAGGAGCACGGAAGGACCCACTCAGAGCGAGGAAACGTTCACGCCTGCCAATGGTGGATGAGAATGGTTTCCGTATCTGGTCGGCTATGGTCCATTGGGAAGGAACAGAACTAAGCGTTTATCTGGTCAGTAGTGAGTGTCAGCCCGTGCACTGTGCTGCGGTCGTGGTGTGGATGCGTTACGCAATGTGGTGGAAGGTCGGTAAGAAGCGATTAGACCTGCGGGACTCGGGATACACCCGAGAGAGGGCGACGCGACAAGACAATACCTGTGTGAAAGGCATGACTAGTGACGCAACACCACCCACACGGAGAAACTAGAGAACATCAACGTCAACATCGTCGGGCAATACACGATGTATACACAAGAGCACAGCCGTAGGTTGGTGCAACGTCCCTTCTGCCAAACTAGGCGGCATCCCCCTCAGAACTCTGCGCTCCATATATCGCGTTTCCCCTCTCCATCTTGTGACGCGAGTTTGGGCGCGAACTTCTCGCCCAGCACACCCAGCTTCGAGCGAAACTCGTCCACGCCGATATAAGCGCCACACATCCGGCGTGTGCCGTCGAAGGCTGCGCGGCCGTGGAGGACGCGATGGTTGTCGATAGCTGTGCGCACAAGCGTTAGATAGTAGACAATGCTGAGATGATGCGACGAGACGCACCAACAACGGTCCCGGGCGTGAGCTTCACCCAATACTCCGCATCCGCGCTCGTCAGGCCCTTATTCCACTCCCTCATCGCATCGTACCACCCCAACATGTCATTCCCACTAACGCCCCTTACAACGCTCCTGTCATCGTTGTTCCACCTGACCTTCACCAGCTCCCCCTTGGCGTCGTGCGTCAATACGGGCGCCTTGGCCCTGTACATGATATCCTCCTCGCCAGCCGCATGCGCCGTAACCTCCTGCGTACTGAGTTGTTCGTATGCAGTAGAGTTGAGCTCTTTGAGCAGTCCGGCGACGTAGAAGCCGTCTACGAGGAGCGTTTGACCGCCTTGGCCGTCGTGGTGCAGTAAATGGAAGATCTGTAGTCCACAGGGGTCGGTGAAGTAGGTGTTGTCGGTGTGCGCGGGGAGAGCGAGGTTGGTGTATGCTGTATCGCCACGGGCGAGGTCGGCTGTGAAGTCCCAGAAGCCGCCGTAGTGGGTTGTACGGATGAAGCCGATGCGCGTGCTGAGCTCTTCTGTTGCCTCGGGGGTTGGAGGGACGCCTGATACGAAGCAGAAGCCGAACTTGTCCTGTGATTAAGAGACGAGTGAGTAGGGAAGAGGGTGGGGTGGGGGAGGGTACGGACGATCTTGGATAACCATTTGTAGAGGCCGTTCTCAGATGCCAGGACTTCTTCATAGGTAACTGTCGGAGGTTCTTGGGCGATTTTAGAACCCCATAGCACCTTTCTACGTTGAATCAGTGGTGTAGAGCGTGGTGTCAGGGTTCAAGACTTACTCGGATGGTACGGGCTCAGGAGCAGGATCGTAGGTGTTGTACTGGAGCCATGACCACGGGTACAAGCTCGTATGCGGAGCAGAAGCCGGCTGCCCTGTACGACATCAGATCCAGGCTGACTAAAGGAGCAAACAATAGCGTACAAACGACTTCGAGTCCTTCTGGTTTGGCGGTGACGGATGCTGGTCGAATGTCTAAGGGGATCTGTGGCGCAGCCCAATCAGCCTTCTGACAGTTGCTGAAGTGATGGCGCGAAGTAGCGTACTTCGAATGTAGGGACTAGACGCTGCTTGGTGACCGGGTGGAAGCATTTGGAGCATCGGCAGTGGTCACGAAGCCATAGATTGTGACTATATGGACACAAGTAGAGGTTGAACATGAGCAACATATCTTATCTGCTGAGAATGCGGGGTAAGTACGTACAAGCGCGAGAATTGGGCGCCGTCCCAGTGTACAAACACCTCCTTCTCTCCAGGCGTACACCTCGGTAAATCGGAGCTTGCTACAAGTTCATGACTATGCTCTTCATGTACATGTTTGGACTTGAGGGCGAGAGCAGCGCGCGAGACCGCACTGGGCGCGGTGTATCCGCGCGATAACGTGCGCGCGGCCGTAAGCCGGGTCGACGAAGTTGAGCCGACGCGGAGAGTGCGCGCAGCTATACGAGCGAAAGACATATCGAGAAGATGACCGAGAAGCCCTGCGCTACAGGCTACACAGAATATACAAGAATAGAGAGGAGATGGTGGTCAGGAGCAGCGGACGCCAGGAACTAGTCCGCCCGCCGTCGGCGAGCCCGATCTGGCCACGAGATGGGCCACACGCCTACTGAATGTGATTTCTAGAACCCAGTTCAGTGTAGCTTGAGGGAATCTGTCGCTTTACTCTAGAGTGCATTAGAAGTATGCACTAAAGCTAATGTGTGGTGCACGGTGTGGTTATATTCTCCAAAGCGGCCATGGAGGCGAGAGCAAAGCCAGGCGCCGGTCTTGAACGTGCCGTAAGAATACGTGCTAAAAGTTGGACGATCCGTCGATCCGGCAAACTCCGCTCAACAGGAAGAAATATTTTTCTCGGTCACTTCGCAGTTTCACTGCCCTGCGAGAAGATAGCCGACGGGTACTGTATCACGTTGGGACTGCATGCATCGAGTACTGTCCAATCAAGAGAAGCGCAAAGCTTGGGAGAGTCGGATAGAGACGGAGGAACGTGGCCTCGAAATTATCGGCCGACGAAGCCTCGGTATTAGCGGAGTCATTCGCCAAAGTCATATTTGAAGTCTGCGCACTGTTGGCAGGACCTTCACCTCCTACCACCATGTCCTTCGTCGCCCGTTCCGCACGCTCAGCAGCTCGCCGCGCAGCCTCCAAGGCGGCCACCAAGCCGGCACAGACCGCCTCCTACTCTCTGCTTGCCCGCGCAGGCGCGGCTGCACCCAAGCGGGCCGCAACTGCTGTGCAGGTCGGTTCATACATTTCTATAAATGGCATACAGCTTGCTAAAAGGAGTGTACAGACGCGTGGTATCAAGACCCTCGACTTTGCTGGTACCAAGGAGGTCGTTTACGAGCGCTCCGACTGGCCCCTCGCCAAATTGCACGACTACTTCAAGAACGACACTCTTGCTCTCATTGGCTACGGCTCCCAGGGTCACGGCCAGGGTCTCAATGCCCGCGACAACGGCTTGAACGTCATCGTCGGTGTCCGCAAGGACGGCGAGAGCTGGAAGCAGGCCATCGAGGACGGCTGGGTACGTGTTTGATGGCGCGTCAAACGAAGCAGAATCAATAATTGACACTCGACTGTTGACAGGTTCCCGGCGAGACGCTCTTCCCGATTGAGGAGGCCATCAACAAGGGTACCATCATCATGAACCTGCTCTCCGACGCCGCACAGTCGCAGACGTGGCCGGAAATTGCTCCGCTCATCACCAAGGGCAAGACCCTCTACTTCTCCCACGGTTTCTCTGTCGTCTACAAGGACCTCACCAACGTTATCCCGCCCAAGGATGTTGACGTTATTCTTGTCGCACCGAAGGGCTCTGGCCGTACCGTCCGCACCCTTTTCAAGGAGGGCCGTGGCATCAACTCGTCCATCGCCGTCTGGCAGGACGTTACTGGCCAGGCCAAGGAGAAGGCCACCGCTCTCGGTGTCGCCGTCGGCTCTGGCTACATGTATGAGACCACCTTCGAGAAGGAGGTGTACTCTGACCTCTACGGCGAGCGTGGTGTCGTAAGTTTATTCTGGCTATATATCATCTGAATTGGTGCTGACAATTATTGTGCAGCTTATGGGTGGTATCCAGGGCATGTTCCTCGCACAGTACAAGGTCCTCCGCGCAAACGGCCACTCACCCAGCGAGGCCTTCAACGAGACCGTTGAGGAGGCTACCCAGTCCCTCTTCCCTCTCATCGGCCAGCACGGCATGGACTACATGTACAACGCCTGCAGCACGACCGCTCGCCGCGGTGCTCTCGACTGGGCCCCCATCTTCGAGAAGGCGAACACCCCTGTCTTCGAGGCTCTGTACAAGAGTGTGAAGGACGGCACCGAGACCAAGAAGTCGCTCGAGTTCAACGGCCGCAGCACTTACCGCCAGGACCTCGCTAAGGAGCTCAAGGAGATCGACGAGCAGGAGATCTGGCGCGCTGGCAAGACCGTGCGCTCGCTCCGCCCTGACTACAAGCCCTGAGCTTGAGTTCTTCCTCCCATTTGCTCCTTCGCGCACTGCTCGGTGCACCAAAAGCGCGCCGCGGTCGTGCATTGTATACTACTCGCTTCTGCTAGTTCATGTTACGTCGACGAATGAAAATGCTGGAATACCCCATCGTTGTGTGAATGAAAGTCGTGTCGCTCGTTCTAGCCGCAGTGCACGGGAGTGACTGCCATGATATGTATTAAATTCATTAAGCGTATAGTATTGCGTGGCGATGTTCATGAACCTGCATGGGTCATACTGGGGCGTTTTTCACACGATCAATATACGAGCTCTGTCTGGTCGATACGCTCAATTCCCTGCAGGACGAGGCGCCGTCGGGACACGGTATTCCGACCACTGATCATGGTGGGCCAGCCACTGCGAGTCATGCAAGAGGAGCCACTGTGAACACAGAGTCAGCACAGGCCGGTCGATGGGAGTAAGGGACGCCACGGCACTCACGAGCACATTCATCTCTCCGGGCCGACCCGTGGTCGTCGACATGAACTGTCCGTGGTCTATGACAACGCCCCCGTTGTCTCGGTATTCATCCTCGGGTATAGCATAGCTGAGGGTATCGTTAGAGCCCTTTCATAACGGGGGTCGATCGAAAACCACGTACTTTTGCGTCTGTCGAGTGAACCTGAAGGTGTATTCACCAACGCTGAAGAAACTACCCTGCCTCACGGCCACGGGCTTTTCAGACTTCGGTGGCGTCGATCGTTCTTCATGAGATGAAGATGCGATGCCAGTAGCAGAAGACGAGGGCGCCTCGGAGGACACATGCAGATCTGTGCTCTCCGTGGCTACTTCAACACGCCGGCGCTTGCGGAGAATGGACTGGCTGGGCCCTACACGAGGTGGCGGTGACCGTTCGATTTGAGCTCGTTTACGCAGGTATCGGCGTCTGGCGGCGGCCTCATCCCATCTTGGTCGAGTATTGAGGCTACTGGGAGATCCATTGTCACCCTTGCCCAACGCGCCACCGGTTCTCGAGGTCCTGTTGGAACCGGCCCTCGGGGCAGGTATCTCGCAGATGAACGCGAGCTCGTCGCCAAGATCGCGAGAGTCGAGCGAGGTCTCGCTGGTATTACTTTCGACGTCGTCTGTGATAGCGTGCCACTCCTCACTAGAAGCCGATGATTCTGAGGCAGTGTCCATATAGGCGTCGTCGAACTCAATGCCACGCTTCCGTTTGGCCGGAACACGGCACGTTGACACCCTACTTTGGAGGCTAGACTTGGGTGGCGTGCTCTGAGGCTCAGACGTCAGCAAGGAGCTCTGCACCACTGTAGAGAGGTCACTGAGAGCTCCGTTGGCCGTAGATGGCACGAGTGCATCGTCTTCCGATGTTACCACCGAATGAACTCGACGGTGGCGAGGGTGCAGCCTCGTCGGCGCAAACGACACGGCGTTTGGCGCACTCAGGTTCGCTGAGGTACTCACGCGAGGTTTAGAGTCGTCAATGACGGTCGCAGGTACAAGACGTCGAATGCGAGGCTTCTTGATCGTCAGCACGGGTGCGGTGGCGACGGTAGCTGTTTGCGTTCTATCGGGTATGATGGTCTGCGATGGGGCTTAATCGACGTCGACAAATAGACAGGAGATCATTTACCTGAAGAGACCGATTCTGTGTATCTTTCGTAGTTGATTTATCTGGGGACATGAGGGAGTGAGAGAGGTGGACGAGGTCTGAAGCCAGAGGGGCAGAGGGTATTTAAGGCTCAGCGTCAGAACAGCGTTCTTGCTACACGCGCGGAACACAGCCCGCTTCGCGGGCCCTAGGAGAACAAACGGGAAGTGAGAAACGAGAACACGAGGCGCTGTTAACAATCGAGATACGTCTTGTTCGGCGAACTGTGAACAGCTGAAACGGTCGAGTGCCTGTGTTCCGAGTCTGAGCCTTAGTCAATGGACGCTAGAAGTCGTAGGTCGCCGGCTTGACGACCGCATTGAGCCACCGTGAAGGCGAGGCGCGTCAAAGCTTTGGCCCGAGTCAGGAGAGAAGGCGATGCTCGAACGGATAACTCGATGGATACCGAACACAATCATCTGTTACGCTTGTGCTGAGAACAACGTCAAGATGGAGCGATATCGACCAAAATGGAGCTCAAGCTTGTGGTTCACAGGTATCTCGCTCAATCGACACTAGCTCGGAGAGTACTCCTACGAATAGAGAAAATCGGAGGGGACTGCGGCGACCTCGCGTTATGGTGGTCGGGAACAGGAGATGAGTCCGGCAGGTTCGGCGCGGCTATCGCCGCTTTACGTTCACACGATGCGAAGAGGACAATGAACGGTGGCAGAGTGCCTGGGTGAACGTACTGGACTCCATCTGCCTCATCGTCGAGACGCCTACCGTACACAACACTTGTGGTGGAGATACCGGGCAGAGTCTATCACCTAGATCACCCGGGAAGAGTGTCAGGTCCGGCGCGGCGCGGCGCGTCGCCGCCACAGCCTCACCACTTGCTTCTTGCCACCATCACTGAAGATGTCGATGAACTCCAGCGCCTTGAGAGATATACTCTGCGATCCTCCCCACCCTGAATTACTGGAATCCCTCAACGAGTCCAGCTCTCATAAGAGTTTGCTGCCGCTTCTCGATGTCGAGATACAGCGCAGTTCGGCCCGCCTACAACGCCTCCGAGAATACAGGAACGCCCTGGCATCTCCCGTCTACTCTCTACTCCCGGAACTACTCTCTCGTATATTCTTCATATATGCGTATGACAATGAGACACTCTTCGATCTGCGTTGGACGAAGTTACTTCTCGTCTGCAGGCGATGGTACAACGTTGCCATACGCACCCCCGAGCTCTGGAGCTTTGTCCAGTTGACGAGATCAACCGACATGAGCCACTCTGCGGTACTGTACGACATCTTCGAGGCTGATGAATGGCGTGTCGGGGTTCAGCTATCTCGTGCGGGTACATGGCCGCTCATAGTCAAGGCGGACTTTCATCCCGAGGCCTCTGAAGCACATACAGACCTGCTACTCGCCATAGCGAATCGCCAACGTCTGTCAGCACTCATCATTGATAGAACAAATCACACTATCGATAAGATTGTTCGAGACCTGGCTGATCGTCCACGTCCCCTGCTCCGCACTCTGTCGATATGCAATACGTGGTGGTCAAGAGACGATCAAGAGAAGACCGTTTACCCCAAGCTACCGGACGGTCTTCTTCGGGATGCATTGCCACATTTGAGTGACCTGTATATCAGCGAGATGTTATTGAATTGGGGTCTGCTCCGAGGATTGCGGTCCCTTCGCATCTCCTTTGACACGCACGACGCTATTCCATTTTCCATGGAGGACTTGATCGATGCCCTCGGAAGATGTCCCTTGCTCGAGTATTTTCAACTGAGGGCACCGCGATCAGGGGTACCCAGAGTCGCAAACTCGTGGCAATCTGCATCACTCCCGCGAATTGCAGTGATATCTATACGTGCCCCTGTTCATCTATGCGCCGACGTCGTGCAGTCTGTGAGGGATGCGCCGCCCATGGCCAGAATATATGTCCACCAGTGCCCCCCCGAGGAAGTTTATCTTGGTACACCTGATGTGGAAGATGATGATCCCACTGGAACTGCTTCCGATCTGGAGGATACTTTGGCTGCCCTGATATCATACACTGGTGCACACGCCCGGAATGACGATTCCCCTGTCATTCGCTCCGTGAGCGTGATGCAATCAGAGAACATGCATTTCTGGACAAACGACATGTATTTCATTCGTGTACTGGGGTGCTTGCACGCAGAACAGAATGGACGGGAATTGATCTCATGGGAAGACGTTCCTCGCCATCCTGAGTTCGTCGGTATTGCGGGACATGTGCCGACCGAGCCAGTTGATCTCTCGAATAGACTGCTCTCGGATATCTTGAGCTCTTGGCCACTGGAACGAGCTACACATCTTGACATGCGGGAAGCAGAATACTTCCGGGAAGTCCAGTGGGACGCGGTCTTTTCGGCCATGCACGCGGTGACAACAGTGATACTTCACCCATGGTCTGAAACTGCCGACACTTTCATCGACTATCTGTACACCCACTTGCGTATGCAACAGCGACGTCGCGTTTCCCATATCATCTTCGACGCTGCTCAAGTCCGTCCATACTCAAGCACGCGCATGTACTCAATAAACAATGTGGTTGGGGACGAAAGCCGTTCGCGGAGAGCAATGATGCGTACCTTGGTGTACAACAAGGAGGCGTCTAGCGCAGGAAGCCCGTTGTATACCGTTGAGGTCATCAACGATGATAGAGGCCATCTGATTGCGCCAAGCCCCGATGTCGACTGGAGCGAGCTGTACCACGATCTGGAAGAGGGGTTCGTGTACCAAGGTGTCTTGTACAATTCGGGAACTGGTCGAATTGGGACGGCTAGGAACTCCTTCCAAATCGATTCCTGAAGCGCGTTGTTGATGTATCTGTGTATGTGGCCTCGAGGGTCGCGGTGTAGGTGTCAAAAGAGCGGGTGCACAATCGGGATTACGATAGATACGACGTTGTTAGTGTAAGAGGCCTCGAACTGGTTACTGAATTCATATGACTACTATTGCGTAACAGAAGCCTGTAGGCCGAGAATGTTGGATACTCATGAATGAACCCGTCGCATTTACGCGTGAGATGCTCTGTGCGGTCAAGACCTCGCCTGCATACAGAGGACGGGGTCGTTCTAGTATGTTTTTGCAAGGTTTCCAGCGCTGTTGAGAGACGGAATGTCGGCAAGACTCTCGGCCGAACAGACTACAGTGAAGACAGGTCCTGAGGCCTGGATGTTGAGCTCGCCCCAGGCTCATGACGCACAAAGGAACTGCTTGCAATCCTTGAGCGGAAGCGCTTCTACGCCGACATGTAGTGAATTGAGCGCACTCACGGTCCTGGTTCTGCTTGTCGGACATTCATCTCGGGATAGCATTCCGCAAGGTTCTCCACCAGCGAGAACGGCTGCTCGGACGCCACAGCGCGGCCGCTTACCGCTAGATTGCGAGAGTATCTGATTCACATTTACCGCTCCCCTGGTGGCACACGACATATTGTTCCCATACGTGCCATCTTAGCGATAGCACTCGGTTTATATTCAAGAGACTGGATAGCCCAGCGGCACCTGTGTCAGGACCAGTAAGGACAAGCTCGAGAGGTATCATTAGGTATCATGTCGATAAAGACTCGAAAGTAAGATCGGTCGTGGTACCACCCCGCACGCTATATTGAACCACAGTTCCATGGCACCCTTGTGGCTGAAAACTAAGGTGATCTTCAGCGTGTACAAGCCCACATTCGCTGGCCGTGCACTGGTCGTGTGTTGTATAATGCACGTTGTCCTGTCACTTGAAGTCGTTAGTTGATTGGCCGGCATTTGTGACCTGTCTGCAACCTCCGCGGCGAGCGCGATCGCCCAATATTCAGGGCTGATCGTCGATTGTGACATGTCTTGTCTACGCGAGTATCTGGGATATTAGAGCAGATCGGGTTCTGCGCGAGAACTGGGATCTCGATCTACGCGAAGGCGCTCATGACATGGGCCTTATTATCCACACCGGAGACGTGCCCGTGTAGCATCCCGTAAAGTGGCAAGCTTGCGGCGAACTAAGGCCAGGGCGCCATGCGGGATATGAGATGGAGGGCGCAACGTTCAGGACAGTTCTTCATGAGAGATTGCGTGCTACCAAGATTTCGCGCTGACGAATGTGGGCGACCCGGAAAGCGAACCTGGATGGGGTTAACATCGGAATCGAGCATCCGCGCCAGCAAGGCGACGTATCTTCACCTAGCATGCCCCAGAAGACACTCGGCTGGGTACCATCGTTATCTATAAACTATCAAGATGAGAGAACATCGCGCACGTCTAGCTGTGAGAGTGACCCTCATTCACAGCTGGCTTCGCCGGTTTGGCAATAGTGCATATTGCACAAGTGGGCCCTGTGACATGAGGTACCTATCAATGCACTTCATGCGCAGGTTCTTCGTATAAAGTTTGGTCGGTGCTGGATTCGCGTTCTACTCAAACCACCGGTTTCGAGTGGCCGCACGTACCCTTGTCGAGTCGTCAACACCGATGTTGAGAGCATAAGAGCAGGGAGATGCAACTCCGAAAGCCACCCAAAACGGAATTGGCAATACGGAATATTCCGCGCACGTAAAATGTAAGGTCCATCCGATCGAGCCAACGTCCAACAGTGTCCAATGTCCGATGTCCAATGATAGCGAGGCAAAAGACTATAACCTAGCTCTCAGGCATAGTGAGTTTGGTAGTCCGCATGGGCCGCATGGCAGCCCTGACCCAGCGCATGTTCTGAGAAGAGAATGAGCGAGCTTGCTTCGTGGAGTTTCCTCGAGACGACGCACCATATTCCCAGAGATTATTACTCCGCCCCTTCGCTTCTGCATGCATAGCTGTCCGACGTTGCTTCCACGCAGCCTTAAACCCGACCTCAGATACCGAGCCCGTCTCCCCGGGCGTAAACATGAAGAACGCGTACGCGTCCTCCCATCCCCGCCGGAAACCCTCGTCGAAGCGCCAATGCTCATAGTGACCGGGGTACTTCGACCAGTACGCCGAGTGTTGCGAGAGCGCCTGACGCTTCGCCTCCTCCATTCTGCGAGCTCGTTCGGCGTCGTGCGGCAGAAGCATCTTGCCTGGACGGCGCAAACCAACGTGTTCCGGGAATGTCCCCTTCTCGACGGCGTCGCGAAGCGACCAGCTATCATCTCCGGGCCACTGCTTCTTGTACGTCCACCAGAAATAACCGGCGCACTCCCGCTCGTATAGCGCTAGCTGAGCGTCTACGAAGGTGCGCTTACTCGCGGTATGGTCTTGCGACTTGTGCAAGCTGGCCGGGTTCAGGGCCGCGGACCACTCCCCCACTACGAGTCCGCCACCCGTGTGCACGAGATGTTCATTGGCTTGACGGAATGAGGCTGGTGTCCCTTCACGCCCTCGGAGTACTGCGGCATGCTGAGCGGCGCTCATGCTATGATCGGCATGCGTGAAGCATCGGTAAAGATGGTGATCAAGCGCGAGGAAACCGGAGCCTTGAGGTCCCGCTGACACGAGCAGACCGGCGTAATCCATCGTACGCCAGGCATCTCCGATGTAGAACGGTAGTCCACCACCATCGAGAGCGCGAAGCTCCTTGATCGTTCGTCGATACCAATCGTGGAGGAATGTGTGATCCGGACGCGGAGGGTTGGCTTCGTTGACCAGTTCGAGTCCAATTAGGTTCGGTAGAGGTGGGTTATGTGTGCGCGTGAAGACGAGGAGATGCTTGACCATCGCGATCAATATGCGGGTCGTTTTGACGAGATTGATCTTCTCGAAGAAGGCCACGCGAGAACCAGAGACGCCGGAGTGGGCGTCTGCGTTCTGCTTGCCAGGAGCGCAATGCAGGTCTGCGTCACATGGTTCATTAGTTGGAGAGCTCCTTGTACTGCATAGGGCGGCCTCACCTAAGAGTACACCAATACCGTAGCGATGCGCGGTCGCTATCGCTTGGGTGATACGCGCCCAAGCTCCGGCGAATACGGGACCGAGTTCAGCGAAGTCCGTTCCATCGACAACCCAAGGCTCTACAGCGTACAAGTGGTAGTATGCTATCTATGCCACATATCAGCGACTGAGCCCGATTTGATTGCTCGTATCACTCACAGGTATTCTGACCGAATTGAAGCCGTGTTCCGCTAGCCATCTCCAGTCATCCTCCACGATCCAGTTATCCCAGTGCTGCTCCAGTATCTGTCGCGCATCAGGACCGCGTGCGACATCGTGATCGCTTTGAGCGGGAGAGGCCGCGTTGCGGTACGGTGCATCCGCGATCCATCGCTCGAGTACGAACCAACTACCCAGATTCACGCCGCGTTGCTTCCTACAATTGTCGGTCCTTTCAGTTTGACTTCGTACAACCAGAAGATCAGAATGATACAGACCTATATCGGTAGAAGTCGCTCTCGTTGGGAAAAGGCTCGTCCGGGACAGGCGGTATGGACACTGTCGGTGATACGGGCAGTTTGGCCTCCGCTTTCGCTTCTTTCGAGCTACTGGACATGCTTGCATTCTTCGCGTGCTTGGTGATGAAGCCCTTCACTTTATCCATTGATACGCTGGCGCTCTTCAGAGACGCTGACATGGTGGCGTGGGTTCAGCGCGGGAGAAGGCGGTAGACTCCGGACGAGGATGAAACGGCAACACAGCCCGTATAAGTCCAGCTGTCTATATACGCGCGTGGCGGGCCTGGATCTCGCTGTGGACTCCGCATGCGAGTACCCCACAACCTCGAATGTTTATTCCTGCGAGAATGGACGCTCGGACGCTCCAGTGCGCAGGCATGCAAGTCAGCGAGCGCGACGAGGCTTTCCATTGTGATCCGTCTGACGTCAGCGATGCTGTTTCGAGCGCCTGTGCCGTCGGCCTACGTTTCTTCCAAGCTTTCGAAGTTTCGGGAGGCGATGCTGCAGCGAACCGCGGTAAAGACTCGCAGCATGTCTGAGGAGCAAGTCGACGGCATGGTGGCTCGAAGTCTGCCCCTTGCTGCCGTTGGAGGCCGGTGGGCGTCGTTGCGAGGAACAGCACACGTCAACGACGCGTCCCATCAAGACGCGGTACCGTGACGCCGGTTTTCCGGCTAACTCGGTGCTAGCGCCGCCTCGTGCCCTTATTGTTGGCTATCACCACGAAAGCGTATCCAGCAATATGAGGACTGAAACCGGCGCCAGCGTCTTGTTGTTACATAACCGGTAGTCGGACTGCTCTATCCGTGACAGCCATGTCATCCTCCTCCTCCTCGTCTACGTCTCCACCGAAGCCTTTAGCTGGCATCAAAGTCGTTGAGTTTGCCGGTCTGGCGCCTGTGCCATTTGCAGGCCTTATCCTTGCAGACTTCGGCGCTTCTGTTGTCCGGATTGACCGCATTTCCCATAGCTCTGTGGCGCAGGATGTACTCTCCCGTGGCAAACGGTCTATAGCTCTGGACTGGAAGAGCAAGGAGGGTCTCGAGATCGTGAAGCAGCTTGTGCGCAGCGCGGACGTCGTCCTTGATCCGTTTCGGCCGGGAGTGTTGGAGAAGATGGGACTTGGCCCCGATGTGTGGCTTGGGAAGGAGAATACACCGGGCGAGAATGAGCGTTTAGTGTTTGCTCGGATCGCTGGGTCAGTACCCTTTCTTCCGTTTACCACGAAACGCGGCGAGGATGTTCAATGCCTATCTATACAGGTATAAGCGTGATGGGCCACACCGAGATCTAGCCGGTCATGATATCAACTACCTCGCTATGAGCGGTGTACTTTCGCTACTACCTGGCACGCCTGAAAAGCCGTCGTTCCCCTTGAATCTGCTGTCCGACTTTGCGGGCGGCGGCCTTACTTGTGCCCTTGGTATCCTCGTTGCCCTATTCGAGCGTGCGACGTCCGGCAGAGGCCAGGTCGTTGATGCGGACATGGTGTCTGGAACCCGCTATCTCGCCACATATCCCTTTCTGCATCACACGCTGCGGTCACCGCTCTTCGCATCCGCGGATAGCAAACGGCAATTGAACGTACTCGACGCAGGTGCACCGTTCTACAACGTATACACTTGCTCCGACTGGCGTCCTATAGTGGTCGGCGCGCTTGAGCCACAGTTCTTCAAGGCGTTCCTAGAGGGCTTTCTCAGCGCCGTTCCGAAGACTTGGTTAGAGAGGGAGGAGTGGGCGCCCGATCTGGACGTGCAAGGCCACAAGGAGCTGTGGCCGAAGTTCAAAGACTTCTTAGAGCGAGGATTCAAGTTACGGACGCGCGATGAATGGGCTGCTACGTTCGAAGGTGAGGCATTCTCTGTCGACTACTATGCGCTTTTATTGACAGTGTTCAGGTACGGATGCATGCGTCACGCCTGTGTTGACGCCCTCCGAAGCTGCAGCAGCTCATGCCGGGATGGACTACCATACAGCTGACGAAGACTTTGCTTTGGAGACACCACAGGCGTACATCGCATCCCCAGCGCCGAGTCTGTCTCGAACACCTGCGCACGCCTGTAACGGACCTATTCGCGCCCTTGAGCCCGGCCAACATACCCCAGAGGTTCTCTCGGAGCTTGGGCTTGACGGGAGGAAGATCGACGATCTCGTGCGGAGAGGTGTGGTTGATGCCGTCGACTTGAAGGCGAAGCTATAGATTACAGCGATAGATAGACACAAGGCACCGGCTCTCATACTTTCGTTCTGTACCTAATTCCGTAGTATCGACGCACGTAGATATCTTGGCCGGCCTCTTACCGGTCGTGCCTGCGCATACCCCGCACTGCGTGTCTGCCGTGCATGTGGGGACCGAAATCAACTGCCCGGTTCAGAGTCTTGAGGCCGAATCCGTCAGATCTCCGAGCGATGATTGGCTGAATGAAACAACAATCACAAGCCATTCTCATGTTTGAGACGTCTGTCCGGAGCTATATCATCGCTGAAGCGTCCAAATTCGCCACCCTCCATCTTACCACTCTCTCCTTCCCTGCACTTCACGACATGGCCTCCAAGCAGCTGAAGGAGTTCTCGCGCGAGGAAGTCGCGAAGGTACGCGCTATCCCACACGATGACGCGAGCTTCGGCTAATCCCGCGCTTTACAGCATAACAAGCCTGGCGATCTCGTGAATTTCCGCTTCTCCTCTCTTTCCCTCACTAGTCTCCCTGACTTACTCGCGTCATGTAGTGGATCGTCATTGACACTAAGGTCTATGACCTCTCTCGCTTTGCTGCTATGCATCCCGGTGGTCTCGCTGTCTTGACAGACGAGGAGGTTGCCGGCCAGGACGCCACGGAGGCGTTCTACGGTCTTCACCGACATGAGGTTCTCGAGAAGCCTCAGTATGCCCGCCTACAAATCGGTACCATCGCCGGCGAGCAGTCTCTATCCATCACAAGTCGCGTGATTGGCCAGGTCAGCGACGTGCCATACGCCGAGCCGACGTGGTTGGCGAAGGGATTCAAAAGCCCGTACTACAACGATAGCCACAGGAGATTCCAGAAGGCTATGCGCGAGTTCTTTGACAATGTGGTGTGCGCCGAGGCCCAGGCTCGCGAGGAGGACGGCAAGCGTGTCAGCCAGGATGTTCTGGACAAGATGGCCGAGCTTGAGATTCACGCTATGCGTCTTGGGCCCGGCAAGCATCTGAAGGGCCGTACGCTCATGGGCGGCATTGTCAAGCCTGAAGAGGTCAGTCGCCTGGCGCTTAACTTGATTTGCATACGCTCATCTTGGCATTATCACTCTAGTTCGACTACTTCCACGAACTCATCATCACTCAGGAGCTCGCTCGCGGCGGTGCTCGTGGTTTCGCAGATGGTTTGCAGGGCGGTATGGTCATTGGTTTGCCACCCGTTCTTAACTTCGGCTCGGATGAGTTGAAGGCCAAGGTACACATCCATGTATCGCTCAGGTATCGACCCGTGCTGACCTACTCCTCAGATTGTTCCCGAGGTCCTCAAAGCGAAGAAGTTCATCGCTCTTGCCATCTCTGAGGCTCAGGCTGGCTCCGATGTCGCAGGTCTGACGACTACTGCCGTCAAGACTGAGGACGGCAAGTTCTGGATCATCAACGGCAACAAGAAGTGGATCACCAACGGCCACTTTGCCGACTAGTGCGTATCCTGTTTAGTATACCTCAGAGGTGGATTTGGACTAACCCGGACTACAGTTTCACCGTTGGCTGCAAAACAGATAGCGGCTTGACAGCCATCCTCGTGCCTCGTCAGGACGGTGTCGAGACCAAGTCGATCAAGACGTCTTACTCTCCTGTTGCCGGCACCGCATACGTGACCTTCGACAACGTCAAGGTGCCTGTAGAGAACACGCTCGGGCCCGAGGGTGCCGGTCTCTTCGTCATTCTGTCCAACTTCAACCACGAGCGATGGGTGATGTGCTGCGGCTCGGCCAGGGCACAGCGCGGGATTGTTGAGGAGTGCTTGAAGTGGGTCAACCAGCGTAAAGCGTTTGGCAAGCCTTTGAGCAGTCAGGCTGTCATCCGGAGTAAGCTCGCGGGTATGATTGCTCGCGCGGAGGCTGCGCAAGCGTGGCTGGAGAACGTTACCTACCAAATGTGCAATATGGTACGCTTGTTCTGCCTTTCTTCTCCCACGCACATGCTCACACGCTTCTACAGTCGTACAAGGAGCAGAGCAAGCACCTCGCTGGTCAGATCGGCTTCTTGAAGATGTTCTGCACCCAGTCTGGACAGGAGACAGCCCGCGACGCTGTTCAAATCTTCGGTGGTCGTGGTATCACCAAGACGGGTATGGGTCGCATCATCGAGATGTACCATCGCACGATCCCCTTCGACGCGCTACTTGGAGGTGCAGAGGACGTGCTCGGTGATCTTGGTGTACGCCAGGCCATGCGCCAGATGCCTAAGAACGCGAGGCTGTAGAAGTTGGCTGGGGAGATAGAGTTGCACATTGTTATCCATTCATCTGTACATTGTATCTTATTCCTGACGCATTATTCCGAGACACCATGTATCAAACCCATCGCGTGAATGAGGAGGTTGGACCCCTATACGCATCTTGCGAACAACATAGAGATCGGCAAGCCGAGGCTCGGCATCGGCCGCGTCAGAGGCTCGTTAGCGTTAGGCGCCGACCACATCTTGCTTCTCAATACCATCATCATTCATCGCACCGAGTCTCAATCTCATCCCCACTCAACTATAATAAAGTTTAAAGACTCGTACCATGAATCCAAACACAACGCTATGCCTCGCTTGCTCGTCTTCGCTCCCACCACGTCTGCTTACGCAGACTGCGGTCGGCAAACACTCCTCCGAGCTTTTCCTGACAAAGTGCTGCGCTCGACCGATCTGCCCTACTTGTCTCGCGCGTAATCCACGCCTTGCACGATACGATCCCTGTTTAGCCTGCTTGGGAGGTGTGCGTGCCGTCGGGAGTGGTCAAAGTTCGACCGACGCGCCGAGGAATATAGATGCGGCGATACGCGATGAGGATGTGTATGCTATCGGCGACGATGACGATGAAGAAGATGCCGATCCAGGAGAGACGTCCGCGGGTAGCAGTGGTGGTAGCGATGGTCTACCTGCGCCAGCTACACCGCCGCCCGCGTATGCGACTGAATTACCGATCCAAGGCTTGACGAATCCGGCTACCCCTACATCCTCTACGCCAAGCCAAGACGATGGCACGAACGAAAAGATGGAAGAAGACGTACCAAGAAGGTACTACATCCGCAAGGGCGATACACTGCTTGGTATTGCCTTACGCCATGGAGTGGATGTGTGTATCTGCTGCTTCGTTTCCGCCAATTGAAGACTCACTCACGGATAGGGTCGCGCTCTTTGTAAACTGAATAATCTTCCGCCGAGCACACTCAATACTACACCGCACATCCTACATACGCGAACTTTCATCCTGCTCCCGCCTTATGCCAAGAGCGGTAGCACGAGTCCGCCGCCGCCGCCGGATCCTGAGATGGAAGCGCGACGCGCGCGTGAACGCGCGAGAAAGCGCTTTCAATTCGTAACCAAAGAAGTAGATTGGCGTGTTGCACAAGCGTATGTGGCGCTCGCGGACGATGAACCGGGCCCTTCGGGCCGCATGGCCATGGATCATAAAGCCGCCGAGAAGGAGAAGGCCAAAGTAGCTCATGACAGCGATGCACCTCCTGCGGCGAGGCTCGAAGGGCGTGCTGTTGACAGCTACCTGGATGATACTGACTGGGAGGAACGCGAAGTACGGGCCGGTCGGGGAGTACGTATCGAACGGCTTCCTCTGGCTGGCGGAAGTAGCCGAGGCGAAGACGCCCAGAAGACTTCTGGATGGAGATGGCGCGGCTGAGAGTGATGATAGCTTCATAGGATGCCTACAGGCTCCTGGACCCAGGTTGGTGTTGTTTTGTAGACTGTATCAATCACGCGCATGGACATTTACACTCGTATTCTACTGACTATCCTAACGCCGCGCTTCGCTGACGCTAGCAATCCCAATGAAGAACTTTCTTTAGACTTCTTCGACATCCACATTCTCTCTCGAAGGTTCATATCTCTCGTCCCTACACTTTCCAAGGTACGTTCTCAAGGTCGTGTCTGCTACCGAAGCGCATGTTATGATGTTCACTTCCTTGGATGCTCACGACTTGGTCACCGGTTGAGGACCTTGGCACACCTGCTCACAAATGACGGAGCGATAAGATGGGCTGGCCCAGCCATTACCCGTCCTCGAGGCTCGCCCAGCTGCGATGCGTGCTTCGTTTGACCTACTTTTCCTGCTCGGTGGTGCTGTCAATGCACTCGCTTCGCCACTTGCTGCGCCCATCGTTGATCTGGACATCGGGTCAGTTCGTGGCCTAACCGCGAATGGAACAGACGTCTTCCTCGGTGTCCCGTTTGCCCTGCCGCCCGTAGGGCGCTTGCGGTTCGCGGCGCCCCAGCCGATAACCACCAGGACCAACGGTGTACGCGACGCGGTGCAATTTGGCAACGCATGTCCTCAACCGCCCAATATCACCAGTTTGGGAGCGGACATCGGAGAGGACTGCCTATTCCTGAACGTGCGTCATCCGCATCTAGATGAAGGTCTATTGATGAAGCGGGAAACTGCATAGGTATGGCGACCTGATGGTGTGAAGGCCGGTGATGACCTGCCTGTACTCATGTGGATCTACGGCGGCAAGTTCGTTGTCGGCGCATCATCAGCTCCTGGGTTTGACGGCGAGCGTAAGTCACCGCTCATTGGATGTTAAACAACCGGTGGCTGAATGGAGAAACGCAGATATTGTTGGGCGCAGCGTCGAGCTTGGCAAGCCCATCATTTTCGTCTCTATGTTCGTATCGATTTTCTGGTGGCGCTTTTTCCTCTCTGTCTGACGTTCTATGTGATCTGCCACAGAAACTATCGGTTGAGCACATTCGGCTTCGTGAGCGCAATACGTATCGCTCTCACAGCTTATCCGCTACTGACGACGAGGGTCAGCTCGCTAGCGCGCATGTGCCCATTCAGAACCTCAACGCCGGACTGCAAGACCAATCCGCCGCTCTAGAGTTCCTACAAAGGAATCTTCGCGGGTTTGGGGGGGATCCCGACAAGGTCAGCGTTATCCTGTACTGCAAGCAGATTGGCGGAGCTTATGCGAGCATCTAGGTGACGATCTGGGGACAGGTCGGTGTCTTTCCTCGTAGATCTTGCCCTCTCATGAGGCGTGGATACTCATTGACTTTGCTTCTAGTCCGCTGGTGCAGGTAGCGTAGCCGCACATATGATCTATGGGCCTCCTGGACTGTTTCGCGCAGCTATCATGAATTCCAATACAGGACCATTGCAAGTCTTGCCTCTACAAAGAGTCTTCATGGTCAGAGACTGAGCGTTATTGTAGCAAGAACTCACCACCACCGAGCACGTTTGACCTGCCTGGCAAACCGTTCGATGTCATTTCAAAAGAAGTAGGCTGCGCCCCTGGTCCGAATGTATTCGCGTGTCTACAGAACGTACCCTTCGACGTGCGTAATAACATTCCGTTCCGCTTGCATTCCGAATCTGTGCCACCGGTACTCATCACCTCACCTAGACCCTCGTGAATGTCAGCAATACACTCCAGAAAGCAACGCTCAACCAGCAACTATGGCAGCCGACCGTTGCGCCCGGCAGCTTCGTGCCTGTGCGCGCGTCCTCCAGAATAGCGACTGGGGACTTTCTCCACGTTCCTATTATCATAGGCACGATGGTCAGTCCCTCGACACTCTTCTGACTTTGAGCCGGAGAATCAACCATACGTACTAGGTGAACGAAGGAACCACATTCTCCACCTCGTTGCGCAACCTCAATCTCACCGGGCCCGCGGCGCAACTCCCTGCTCTCGACGGCTTCGTGCGGGGCTCCGCGATCGATGAAAGTAGGATCACAGTCGACGTGCTAAACCGCATTCACCAGCTCTACCCTGCAACTCCGCCTAGCCTTCCTCATGCGACAGGCGACGTGTTGTTTGACCGCGCCGCCGCATGGTATGGTGATAACATGTTTCTGTCCGCTCGACGCAGGTTTGTCAATAGTGCGAGCAAGAAGCAAGATGTGTTCGCGTATCACTTTCGCGAGTTGATTCCCGGAAATGATCCCAGCCTAGGCGTGTTCCACGCTTCAGAGCTGCCATTGCTGTTTGGGCCAGGCGCGTCGGGTGTCGAGCTGGACTTCGCCAACAGTTACCTCGACTTCTATATCAACTTTGTCAATGATCTAAACCCTGGCGGTATGTGGGCTTCTCCTTCCTTCCATGGCATTACTCTATCCCTTTTGTACACACACTCATGTGAATGGCAGGTGGTTGGCCGCGATTCACACAAGAGCACAAGGTCGTCTTACAACTGAAGCGAGACAATATCACCGAGATCAAAGACGGTCAGTGAGCTTTCACTACGGTGATGAAGACGCATTGAACTGACTCGCACGACGTCGGGCGCTGCCGTCAGACTTCCGCGTCGAGATGACATCCTTCGAAAACCTACCGGAGCTGCTGAACGAATGGGAGAAGTGAGAAGGAGAAGCTTGCATCGTGATAGCTAGTATGAGAGTCAAGCGAGCACGAGGTCGTTGTATTCCATCTGAACGTAGGACTGTCAAGATGAAGAGAGTCTTCAGGGGTCTCCCCGAGCCTCATAGTCGGAAGGAAGCTCTTCCAGTACTATGGTCAGCCGCCGACGTCCTGGCGTCTGATTGCCCGGCGTTCGAATAGGGCGGGTTCAAGCGCAGAAACGGAAGCGTGATGGGACCAAGATGTACAGATAGCATTGTGAGATACAAGTACAAGGGTATGCAACGCGCAGCGTAGGAATGGGATAGGGAAGCATAGTGATGTGTGTGCTTATTTGTGATGAATGACGCGTGCTCCAAGAACAATTTCGTACTCGCTGCCATCCGGTGCCTTCTTGAGTTCGGATACGCCGTACACGCCGGTGCGCGTCTTGCGCCACTGCTCCATGGTCGGCGGGGTGTCCGTCTCGAGCGTTTTCGTGATCCCCTCGCGCTGGAGCACAGGACTGTCCATGAGGGGCCTGAGAACGACAGGGTCTGCGGTGTACTGAAAGTAGATGCACTGCAACCGGCGGAAGCCGTCCTGGTCTGCGGGAGGCTTGATGACGCGATGTACAGCCGACCTGTAGTAGCCACCCGTGAGGTACTCCGTGAAATCACCACAGTTGATGATCTACGACGCAGCAGATTTAGATAACGCGGGAGTACGTGATGAGATAAGAGCAGACTCACAACAGCGTTAGGGATGTGCTTGACATATCGCCACTTACCATCCCGATCCTTGATCTGAAGAGCAGAGATCGGCTGACTCCAGAGCGCAGTGAAGCTCATGTGGTCTAAGAGAATCACTCGATGGTGAACGCCAACAGACACGAGGCGCCAGATCTGTACACACCAGCATGGCCTTTCATCCACACGCCATCGGTCTTCTCCTCTTCTTCGGCAGACCGGGGATCGCTGAGAACATATTTAGGATCGAAGCAAGCGCAGTATCGGCGTACTCCTAGCACACTTACTACATCATGAATCTCCCTGAATGCACAGGTTAGCATCTTGAGCGGGACAAATCAGCACAGCTTTTCGCGCTCACAGAAGGAGTGGTTCGTGTCGTCAAACGCGTGCAGATCGCTCAGGGTGTTCTCGGGAAGTTCGAGACCAAGTGAGAGTAGTCTGATAGATGCGCTGTCAGTTGAGCCATGTATGCATGCCATATCGCGGCCTACTTCTGGACTTCTCCGAGAACCTCGCAATGCGTGAACTGTATCATATTTTGCACCTCCGGAAGAAACGGGCGCAGAGGAGCCGGGTGATCTCTCTCAGCCACATCACGGGGCACTATATCTGCATCAGTCAGGCGTTCGGAAGTAGGAATAGCGGTCACAAACAGTTATAGTGGGTGATGCGGTCCTTCACCCCGTTGGCGATGTGCTGGTTGCCAGAGTCAGTAGTGGATAACTCAGTATGACGCGTCAGACTGACCCAGTATTGAGGCAGCTTGTATCCTAGATACGTGCCTGTCTCCTTGATGCGAGCCTATTGCACAACGTCAATGGAGAACTCGACTTTTCTACGGATACGCCCAACGCGCACCTCATAGCGAAGTTTCTCGTCCCTGCTGACACCGTCAAAAGCGACGGAGCCAATGTCGAGCATGCGGTCATTCTAAGTTCCAAAATGAACATTCTGGTAAACAACTGTAGGCCGGTCAATAACAAACCTTGGGCTGTTCTAACCCGTGATTCACAACATAGAAAAATCCATCGTTGTGCATCGCGTTGCTGGCGATCCGGACTTGCTCGGCGCGACCTTCCGGGGTCTTAGCTTTTGCCAGGTCAATGACAGCAAGATCGGCCCAGTGAACTACGCAGATCCAAACGATCGTGATGAGAATAGCTGTGCACCGGTCTTCAAATCACGTACTAGTCTCCTGGGTGACAGGCGGGGCTATCCAGCGCGGTGCAGGAGGGAGAGTGAGGGCAGGCATGACTTTGGAGTGAAGGGAGAATGTCAACGTCCAAAGTCAATGCCTTCGAGGATGGTTTTATAGGAAGATGGCCGTAAGGTCAAAGTGTCAGCCAGACAAGGCTAATCTGCCGCCATGCCATCGGAAAATGCCACGGGGTTTCTTCCTGGAACGTGGTTCCGCAGACTTTCCGAGGGCCGTATCACGCTCTCATCGACGTCGGTGCGGACGGCCATACACAGTAGGATGCGTGGCCTTCACGGCCCCCATACACGTTCCGTATAGCTTCCGCTGGGTTCATGCGGGCGGAACGAACATCATACAGGCTTTATCAGAACCGAAAGTTTGCGGTAGAGGCTCTGATGAAAGTTGGTTGAGCGCAAGTCTTGCCCGAGCGATTCAGAGAACGCGACATATATGTGCGAATGAAGTCGGGGTACGGCGCGTCCCCATCATTGGTTAAACCTTCACGGTGACGAGACTCGGGCGTGAACTTGACAATCGACATCCCGACATTGAGTGAACGCGCGCGTCATGGGCCATAAGGAGACAACGTCAAGACCTCACGGCACAAGGCAGCAGAGCGGCGGATACAAAGAGAAGCACTCGCTCAACGGACTTCCAGGCTCAACCACATTCAACAAGCTTCTGTGGGCGAGATGCGTTGTAGCTGGATGTTCCAGAGCAAGAGCGAGAAGATCCGCGTTTGTTGCCTCAAAATGCTATGCGAGGTAGATTTTGCGGGAAAAGGCGCCCGGGCGGTCCCAGAAGCCGGTGAGCACTAAAGCCGGCGGCTATGGTAAGCTCGTAGAGCAGCGCTTAACGAGCAACTCTAACTCTCTCGACCAAGTGCCACCCAGTATCGTCGACAGCGTCGGCAGGCCTCGTTTCCTGCGTCCCAAAGAGAGTGATGATGGTCATGGGCCAAGCACCGGGTTCAACGAACCATCACAACGCGCGTGGCGCATGGGCGCTTCTCGCACAAGGCCGTCAACGTTGCCTTCGACGTCCATCTGCCGCCTCGAACCACTCGAGACTACCTATCGCGACGATTACTGTCGATGAACGTTCATTGAAATCACGCGTACTTGACATCTGACGCGCAGTTACCAATTATGGATGCTGCCAAATCGAGCGCGCTTCCTTCCGCTCTCTCTACGCCTCCAACATCACCGACATCTTCACGCACATACCGTATCCCTTTGACGCCTCAAAGGAGAGGAACGGATATTCCACATTCTCCGTCTACTCCGCATCTTGCCTTGGAACCCTCTGCTGCCGAAGAGCAGTCGACTAATGGGTTTACCTCTGTCGGAAAGGGTCTTGCGCGTTCTCGCACACTTCCGCACCGCAGTATAGGCATCGGGAGAACCAGTAGGGCTATACCCAGTCTTGAGGGAGTGACGTTGGAAGCTATGAAGCTGGAGAGTCTGAGGAAATGGATCCTGGGGCTGGCAATAGGTGCGTGACTTGCCAGTAAACGGATTTGAAACGACTCCAATCATGGGCGCGAATGAAAATCAGTCACCTTCGATCTTGAGCTGGGCCCAACGCTATCCTGTCTCTTCCCACAATTCCCTCTGTATCCATTCGAAGCCGAGAACATGTTCGTATAGTTTCGACGAGACTTTACCAGCGATGTACGTATTGATGCCCTAAACCTCAGCGCTTTCTCTGCCTTTCCTGATTCTCCACAATTTCGAGAAGGGTCCGAACTACACTCATTCCGAATCAGAGGGAGGCCGCCGCCAGGGAACAGACGCTCGACTCTAGTCTCGGACCGGCCGTCTCTTGACGACGGGTTCCTCTATGGGTATTCCTACTTCAGCCAGACAAGAGACCCCTCGATCAAACGCGGATACGCCCAGGCAAGTGCTTAACGCCATTCAGACCAGCGTAGCCCTGACTCCGATCAAGTGGTCGATCGTCATCCTATCTCAACATCCCTACGCTGCCCTGTTTCCGGCCGTACTCTCGAAGATCGGGCCGTTATACCGTCAGCACGGGGAGGCTATTCTTGAAGTGGCTTCGCACAACATGGCCAACTGGTGAGATTCGGCAGGTGCTGCGCTCGATTTGTGGCTGACCGACCTGTAAGCATAGGCCACCTCCCTCTCCGGGTGAAACACTTGAACTGGGCTTTCTCGGATCAGTAATTCACGCGGAGCTGCCGCAGAATGTGGACGAACAGCAACTCAGCAACACGGCTCATCTGCACTCGCAGACAGAGTCTGATTGGCATGTAAGCTCAATTCATTGGTGTGCGAATATCAATTTACTCCTGCATAGGTGCTAGTATGCTCGCCCCCACTGGAGCCTCCGCCACTACTGCTATTTGGTGCTGCATATACCCATATCTGGTCCATCTGGGAATGTCTTGTGCTCTGCGAGCCTATCTTAATATTCGGACCGTCCCCGGCCATGACAAGTCAGGCCGTATGGTGGCTGCGGGATCTATTCCGTCCTGTAGGGTCCTCATGTTATTTCAAATCTCAAGCAGTTCCTGACTGAGCGGCAGATACCGTGGGCAGGAGACTTTCGACCCTTCTTCACCATACACGATAAGGACCACAACGAACTGGTGAACGACCGTGCTCCAAAACCGGGTCTTCTATTAGGCGTCACCAACCCCTTCTTCGCAAAAGCTTGTAGCCACTGGCCTAATGTTCTGAGCCTCGGAAGAGCGGGGTATGTTTCCCGTATTGCTTGAGAAGAAGGAACTGATGCGTCCTCGCAGCCCTAAAGGTCCATCATCGCCGATATTGCCTGCGGCGGGCATTCCCCCAGGTTGGACGACGAAGCGGCACAAGCGCTTCATTTCCAAAGATCCGCACATCCTACAGACGGTTGAAGACGCGCTCGGAAAGCGCCCGGAGACTTGCAAGTCCCTAACGTCTGCTTTTGGTCTACTGTTGCGCTGACGTCTGGCCTTGCAGTGCAAGAAGCTTCGGCAGTTCTTCGACGACATCTGTCGTCACGAACGGCGGCAATGCTCGTGCCTCTCAATCGTTACCTGAACTCGCTCATCCCTCCGCCGACTGAAGCTGGGACGCGACTGAAACCATTCAATGACGCGCAGTTTCTGGCGTCTTTGAAGGCACATGGCTCGCCACTTCCCTTCCGCTCAAGCAGCAAACAGAAGCAATTCTATGAGCGCTGGCTACGCACACCGGCGTTTGGGCTGTGGCTCGCGCGTCAGGAGGAGATAGTCGGCAATGTTTTGACGTCGAGAGCGTCCACGTCGTCCTTGGTCACGTAGTAGCCGGCCCGAGAATACCCAAGCCTTACAAATATCCCATACTCACATACACTGTCAGTCCGTCTGATTCCCGACACCACCATCTGTGCATCTACAATTGATTTCGTGTCTTGAAACTCGCACTACTATGTGCAGGTTGTCTGAATCGTAGGGCTGGTGGTAGCCTGGGAAACTTAGCGCCTCGGTCGCGTGACTTCTCAATTATGCTGTTTATGTTCTTTCCACGCGCCGAGTACCCTTGCGGTCCCTGTCAACCTCGCCACATAGCACAGCTTTGACATTGACAGGCACTGCTCAGTTCAAAGCTATATAGTGCGGCACATCGAACATAAACGGCGATTTCCGCGCTGCCTCCGACTTCCACTCAATCGTAGCCCTGACCCACATCACCGATGACCACGGAGTCGACAACTCCCGATCTTTACACGCTCACATTCGGTCGAGACAACCCGTCGAACACGACGATCTACGACGCGTCCGGGCTTGCGCTGTACACCGTAGCGACAGATCTCTCGAATATCAGCAAACCTGTTACGCGTCTGCACCGCGGCGATGCGACGCTCGTCGCCGAATGGACTTGGCGCGGCACTTTGCGGTCCGACTTGTTGACGTTTCCCGGCCGCCCAACGGCCCCCGCGAGTGATTGGTTGAAGAAGAGCAAGATGCCTTTCACGAGGTGAGCAATGTGGACACACATGCTCGATGCACGCCCAGTCCGAAACGCGTCCGGATAGCACGGCAACTTTCACGGCTAAGGGCCGTGAGCTGAAGTGGGCGAATAATGCGCCTGGCCTTGCTCTACAGGTATAGCTCCAAACATCATCTGGCGCGATGCTGCACGCGGCTCTGACGCGATTTCGGTATACCACCAGCTCTTCGCTCCCGAATCGAAGTCGGAGCCCGTCGCACGGTACACCCGCCAGCACGCCGATCGTTCAGCCGACGATCCTACTACTGTCGTGCCTTCGAGATTGCTGATCAAGGGTAGTGTGCAAGACGTTCAGGACGAGATCGTGGTGTCATTCCTACTCTTGGAACGCAGAAGGCGAGAAAAGGAGAGCGATGCCGTGTCGCGAGCCTCGGCCGTTGCCGTCGATTCGTCCTTTGGACAACCTGTGTCCGCAGGAAGAAGTGCGGGATCGGCCGGGTACGGAACACTCGCTGGATGATGTACCTGAGTACTCTCAGATCTGGCGTCGGCACCCGCTATTCTGTAAAGGCAATGCTTTGTATACCATCGGGCTCTGAAACTGTACACACGAGGCTTCCGCTTCTGCGGCGACTGATGTGGCGCATGCTTCTCTCAACGAGTGACGCTGCACTGGTCCTCGGCGTAGGTGAATCGGTGAATGGATCTCCTCTTTCAATCCGAGTACGACTTCACGTGGCCATCTTTCGTACTGTCGGATTACCTTCGAGATGCTGATACATGGGCTTCTTCGGCTCCCGTTCGACGATCGATCCTACCATTGAAGTCACTTGTCTACTCGCTAAAAGAGCATGAAATGCCTCTTCAACATTACTCTCGAGGTGTGCACGGTGGGGCCCTTCTTCGCTTGACGTAGTTCAACGCAACGATCCCTTCTATCTGTATGACATCCACAGCCTTTCGGCGCTATATAGCAGCTGCTATGGCCAACCGCATGCTCCAGCTCGACGGAACCACAAGCCCAACTACCTCAAGTTTAACCCATCACATCGAATCATGATCGATACCGGTATGCGCCCCAGACGCCCTGTTGGCAGGTCACTCGGCGCTCCCGCTTCCACTCCCAGTCCCACTCGCGTAGCGCTTGTCACAGGTGGGCAAAGAGCCGGCCGGCGCTCATCAACTCCCGAGTACACACCACACCGTCGTTAACACTGCCCTTCTTCATCAGGCGCCGCGAGCGGAATCGGACTTACCCTTGCGTTGCGGCTGGCGCAGGACGGAATCGACGTCGCCGTCAATGATCTGCACGGAACCGCACTTGAGGCAGTAGCGAAGGAGATCGCGGGCATGGGCCGTCGCACCTGCGTCGTCTATGCCGATGTTTCCGAGGACAGTGATGCTCAGCGCATGATATCCGAAGTCACCGAGGAACTGGGCGGTCTCGACATCGTGCGTGCCATATGCTTGATGAGCGATACGTATGGCGAATGCTGAGGATCGCCTTCTGACGGGCCATGGCAGCTCATCGCTAACGCCGGCATCATCCGCGTCGGCTCCGTTCTAGATTTGAACGTCGGCGACTTCGACGCTCAGATGAAGGTCAACGTCCGTGGCGAGTTCCTTACCCTGAAGCACGGCGCCGCACAGATGGTCAAACAGGGCCGTGGCGGACGTATCCTCTGTGAGTATCGCGGGAGCTCCAATACGTCTCAGCGAACTAGTTCTTACCTGGGTTCCGTCTCCCTAGGCGCGACTTCGCTGGCCGGTCAACAGGGCCAGGCTGTAGCGCTGGGTTACTGCGCGAGCAAGAGTGCTATCATCGGGATGATGCAGTGTGCCGGCAAGCGATGTTTCATTTGGTCCTTGTTTGGACTGTTCGGGCTTACAAGAAGATACCTGTACAGCGGCTGAATTGGCCAAGCACAAGATCACGGTGAATGCGTATGCTCCTGGAAACCTCCCGGACACACCTTTCGGTAAGCGCGTTTCCTTTTGTGGCACTCCGGGCAAGAGCTGACGCCTGTGCCACAGCTCGCTCAGTCGTGGAAGCGATCGGACAGGGCGGAATACCTGCGGTAAGCCCAAATCCATCAACGACAGATGCAGCGTAAATGACGTTGACCTATGCTGCAGAACTTAACTCAGACACCCGTTGGTCGCGGGGGTACCACGGACGACGTCGCCAACGCCGTCGCCTGGCTGATTGACGAGAAGTCCGACTTTATAACGGGCCAGACTATCGGCATAAACGGCGGAGTGTTCATGACCTGAGGGACATTCGACCATGGTCTGGATAGAGAGTGCGAGTTACATCGGGTATGATACAGATGTTGGTAGAGGCTACAGTATGATGAGCAATGAGATAGCAGTGTTGATAAGGACAAAGCGAACGATAACAAAAGATAGACGGGTTCAACTTCGTCGTACAGCCACTCCAACGGCTTTACTCGGTCGGCCAGCGTTCGCAGGTCGACTAAGCAATGATCCTCCAAATGGGCTAGACTGCTTTGACGCAGTATTCGACAGCACGCGAGCCTTGAGCGAAGCGATGGCTGAGCCAGAACTGGACGTCTTCAGCGCATTCGCCTTAGCTGATACTAGCTTGCGCCTCTTCAACTCCCTCGCATCCACGACGCGCTCTTGCTTTGCAGCCACCCACGCATCCTTAGCCTCCGCAGTAGTCTCGCTATCGTCCCTCAGCAACTTGAGATCGCTGCCACCAAGACCAAGCCGCGCCTTGACGGCCTCATCAGCAGCCTGTGCCGCACGCTCGACCTTCTTCTCCTCGCGAAATCGCTTGCGTACTCGTCTCGAGTGCTCGTACGGATCTAAGTTCAGTCGATCTGATTCGTCGAGAAGCTGCTCAAGTCTGGGCGCTTGAACCTTCTCCGCGTGCGTCTGAGCGCCAGTGCTCTTCTCAAGCGCCGCAAGCGGATCCTCCTCGACAGCTTTCGCCTCCGTATCTGATTACCAGCATCAGTACAGCATGCCCCCAAAGCCTTTACTCAACGCAGTATACGTACCGTGCACCCCATATCCCCCATTCTCCTCCGGATCCCAATCCTCCTCCTTCCTCCTCGCCCCACTGACAACCACGTATCTTGTATTCTGCGGGTCCGTCTGGATCTCGAACCAGTTACTGCACAGGTGGCATTTACAGCGGAAGTTGAAGATTGGGGTCGAGTAGTACATCCCGACTTTCTTCTTCTCGGCGTTGTACCGGACGCCCATGCCGATGTGCGCTTCGCATGATCCGCTGTAGGCGAGTGTCAAGAGAGTGTATGAATGTTGAGTCAATGGGCGGTGCGTACCACCAGATGTTGAAGGGGAGCTCGAATCGGGTTATTAGGATACCCTGATCTATCTTACGCGCACGATCGCCAAGCGCATGTTTGCCTATACACCTCCTTCAATCCCTGCGCGCACAGGTTCGAGGACAGTCGCCGCACCTCGGTACGAGTTCAAGCTCTTGTGCTTCTCCCCATCATAGTCGGGCGGGTAGTACTTGTTGAAGCCCTGCATATGCCCGAAGAAGCGGCAGAGACGTCAGAGTGATGGTGGTTGGAATGCAAAGCGGCCTGTCAGTGTCGAATCTGTTGGCATGCATGACATCTGACACCGAGCACCCACGCCACGAAGATCGCAGTTTCCCCTCGCACTCCCAGGACACTTCCCGTACGCTCAAGCGTCCAGTCCGCCGCGAAAGACACCCTGGTAGCTTGTGCGAGCAAAAGTGTATGTCCGTAAAGCAAAAGTATGACAGGAGCGGGATTTGAACCCGCGCAGCTTGCGCTATGGGGAAGTACCCCGGCTTGCGCCGGGAAGTGTGCACGGTAGTACCGTGGGAAACTTGAATCCCACTCCTTAGACCACTCGGACATCCTGCCATGTATACCGATTACTTTTGAGCGTATGTGTAGAGAGAGGGATGAGTATGCAACTGAGCAGATGAGCTACGGACGAGGCGGGAGGACATGGGGGAGTGAGAGGGCACTGTCTGCGGAATGTCTCACTGTACTTCGTCTGGTATCTAATAAGGTACTCGCTGGTCGAGCCATCGTAGTAATAGCAGAGTAGCCTCAGACGTACGCCGCACTAAGGTTCACCCGGGTCGATCGAACACTTTCACGCCATGCAGGCCATTACAACGCCCTGATGAGATACAACTCTTATATTACACAAAGCATGGGTACAAAGCAGAACAGAAAGCGACATCAAGCCATGTCCACATCATCGTCAGGCCCAAACAACCCATCGTCGTCCACCTCCATCCCAGGCGGCGGCGGCATCCCAGGCGGCGGTGGCCCAGGCGGTGGCATCATACCGGGAGGCGGCGGCATACCCGGCGGCGGAGGCATCATTCCCGGCGGCAAAGGCGGCATGCCCTGTTCGAGCAAAGGTGGCAGCGGTACGAGGCTCTCGTCCTCCTCGTCCTCTTCGTCGTCGCCCTCGTCCCCTGCGTCCTCGCCTTCGCCACCCGTATCGAGCCTGGTCCGCTGTAAGCGTTTGGCGTCGAGCTCGCCCTTCATCTTCCTGAGCGCGTCCTCAAACCGGCGACGAATGAGCGGGTTGGCTGTGTTGGCCATTTCTGCCTCACGACGTTGAACGGCCCGCTCGAGATCGGCGATTTCACCGTTGAGCAGCCGTTTGGCCTGCGTATCGGCATTGTCCTCGTCGCTCCCTTCTAGATCGTCCTCGTCTGATTCTTCGTCGGACTCCTCGTCATCCTCGTCTCTCCCGTCTTCGTCGTCCTCGTCTTTGTTCAGCGCCAGATCCAATTCCGCCGCCAGCTCCTCGTCGATCTCCCCTTCGTTCTCTTCGTCGGAGTTTGCACCGCCGTTATTGGCCGCGCTAGGTGTGACGGGGTCGCCGGCCTCTGAGTAGGGTCCGGGCGTGGGCATCTCGGGTTCTTCCTCCTCTTCCTTCTCGATAAACTCGCTATCGCTCAGGTCGGGGTTGACGTTCTCCAGAACCTCGTACTTCATCTCGCTTGCCAGCTCATCTTGGCCCAGTAGACGCTCCACTTCTTCCTCAACGCTCTCAATCTTTCGTTTGGAGGCACGCTTGCGGAAACGGCGTTTGCGGACGTGGCGCAGGGGAGGGGTTACGCCGTGCGGCCAGATGAACTCGTCTACGTTTATTCGGTCATGGCCGACGGCGGATTCGGAGGGGATGCGGTTTTCAACTACGAGCATCTGATTACCAGTATGAGTTAAAAATGAGACGAATCAATGAGAGAAATACAGACATACCTGACAAATATCGGCGACTTTGAACATCTGCTTGCCGTCTATCGTCTTCTGCGACTCGATGATACATGGCAAGTCTACGAGCTTGGCCGAGTATAGATGTGTGCCAATATGAAATACAGCTCGTCGAGAGTCTACCAAACACCCATATCAGTATAAGTTCTTCCCAACGGCAGCAACCACAAGCGAACGTACCCTTAAACTTGAACCAAACATCATTGCTAACCTCCCTACTCTGCACCATACTCCTCAACTTCTCCAGATCCTCCCCAGGCGGCAGCCTCAACACAAACTGCTCCTCAAACGTCAAATCCTCGTCGTCCGAGTCCAGCTCCCGATCGTACGCGCCCAGGAAACTCATGCCCGGCGCCAGCGCCGCCGTGCTTTTCTCGCTCAGCTTGAGCTTGAGTTTGGGCGCGGGGCCGTTGCCGAGGGTGATGCGGGGACGCGGGCCGGAGCGCGAGCCGCGCACGGTGCCGTCTTTGCGGTCATCTTCGTCGTCGTCGTCGACGTAGTCCGGCGTGTCGAAGCGGCGCTGGGCGGCGGCGCGCCGGGGACGGCCCGTGGCGGTTGTGGCGGGCTCGCTCGGGCCGTCGTCTGTGACATCAACGTATTCGTCGTCCATAGATTCAGATTGAGGTCGAAGCTATAGAGGTGGTGCTGGTTTGCAGCAAGAGCAGACGCGTTCGCTAGGCTGGATCAAAACAATTGCCCTTCGGCGGGAGACCCGATTTGGGCGAAGGACGTCCGGATTGGGACGCAATAAAGCTGCTTTCAGAACGCGAGGGACAGCGGCTGACAGCGATGACGACAGCGTGAAGGAGAGGTGATGGCGTTGATGGCCCGCAGCTGAAAGTCGAGACCGCTCGTCAAACAGCTCTCGTTATCGCGGCTGGTCTGCGGGTCTGGCAGCTCGCGCCTAAGCCGCGTTGAGACCAGTGATGGATCTGCGCTGGGCTTCGATGTCGAACGCTTCTTGCGAGCCTCATGCCCTGTTGTAGATGCACTATGTCCGTATGTATAGTAATATTATGAACTACCGTATGACCTGCTCGCATCCGCAAACCGCGATGGAGTGTCGTTAGCAAGCTTGCCGCCGAATAACCCGGCGGGCCGATCGGAGCCTGGAATATTTCAAAGTCGACGGAGGCATCTGGTGAGCTCCCCGGTAAGCTGGCAACACCCTTTCTTTCCGATACCACTTCCATGGCTTCCCTCGCAAGTTCCTCGTCGACTGAGGGGACTCAGAACTGGTCTTGTCCCGAAGGCCAACGGGCTCTAGCGAATATCCTGCGACGTGAGACTGCAACGAAATGGCCCGATGGACCTCGCAGCTGGCAGGTCGAGGCTACGGGATCTGTATTGGACCGCGTTCACCAGCTCATACTGGCTGGGTGCGGTGAGGGGAAGACCTCTGCGATGTATCTCCATCTGCGTGTACACAAGGCACTCGCTCAGGACCCGACCTTACCGCGCTTCGGTCTGCGTCGCGTCGCGCGACCGGTCGCGCTCACTGTAACACCACTCACCGATCTGGGTCGAAGCCAAGTCAGTACCCAAATATATGCATGGTGAATCGATTTGACAATGGATGTAGGTACATGAAGCAACCGAGATGGGACTGCGAGCCGTCGCACTCGACAAGCAAACCGTCGACGCGTACGTCGCGCTCGGAAGAGACCTTATGAAAGAGGTCCAGTCTTGCGAATTCGACCTCGTTTTTGTCTCGCCCGAGCGGCTTTCGACACCACGCTTTGACAAAATCATGCGTGACGACGACTTTGTCAAGAGTCTTGTGTTGTATACCGTCGACGAGGCCCACGTCGTTGGTCCATGGAGCGAAGATTTCCGCGAGCATTACGGGGACATTGACCGAATGCGTGCTCGGATGCCTCGGGACGTCCCCGTACTGCTCATGAGTGCTACGCTCGACCGCGAGTCCGAGGTGAAGCTAGTGCGTCAGCTGAACCTCGGTGAAGGTCAATACCGCACAATCTACCGTCCCATCGACCGCCCGAACGTCCGCACCGTATTCGAGACACTTGAGCACGGAGTGAAAGGCCCCGAGTACCCTGAACTCGCATGGACGGTCAATCGGCCGGACCTAAAAATCCTCATATATTGCACATCGTATGATATCTGTACCAATGTACAGTTCTACCTCCAAGAGCTGCTACCACTTGGTCCCGAGCGCAAAGACCGTGTTCTCGTCTACAACGCGCTTACTGCAGACCGTGGCACGCAGGCAGTCGGCCCCGATGGCAGCATCCCTCTCGACCCAGCCATTGTCGCGTTCATGAACGATCCCAACGCGCACATACTCATCGCGACCCTCAAGTGCGGGATGGGTGTTCATCTGCTCGCCGACATTGTCATCAACTTGGGATTACCGACGACTGCGGCTGGTGTGATGCAGCAAACCGGGCGCGCGGGACGCGATGGCCGCGTTGCACTGGGAATTACGTTCGTCGAAAAGTCCTTCGTCGGAGCAGTGAGACGTATGGATGAGGCAGCGGCGAAGAGAGCGGAAGAGGAAAGGGCGGCGGCTATGGCAGGAGATACAGCTAAGGTCGGTGGCATATCAATCATAGATGTGCTTTCAACAATACTGATCTGCGTACTTGGATAGGTGAAACGACAAACAAAAGGTTCTGCGAAGGTGGTGAAGGCAAGAGGCAAGGCAGCGAAGGCCGCCGCGCGTAAAACGGCCGCTGACGCTGATGAGAACGATGACGACGTCGAGGCTGCTATCAAAGGCCGTATGGCCAATGTGCAGCTGCAGTCTCTCGTGCGATGCTTGGGCAACGACCTTTGCTTAGTAGCCCAACTCAACTCCATCTTCAGTCGGGTGCCAGAGGGCCACGCAGACGTTTCGCCGTGCATTCCCGCCAAGAGGCGCTTCTTATGCTCTGCGTGTCTGCGTCGGCTCTCGCCCACCGATCCTTGCTTGACCGATCATGATGAATTTCGTAACATCATCTTCGGTAGAGCAGTCGCGGTCAAGACGAAGGCGGCAAAGGCGTCAGGTCATGGGCTGCCACATACGCCGAGTTTGGCTCCCACCGCGACCGGGCGCGCCAATGCCAACGCGTCCGCGATGCCCTCGAAGGCTCTCACAAAAGAGCAGCAGAACCTCGCTCAGCCCATTCTCAACGCATACTGCTACCGGTTCTGTCGAACTCATGACGCATTCAAGCACACTTCACGGCCGGCTCCTTCTTTCCTACCTCTGCCAGTTCGCGAAGCTCTGAACCAGCACATGCTCTCCATCTCTCGGCGAGAGGACCTTGACGCGATCATGGCTGGCTGGCGTTACTCGTCGCAGGAGAACTTGGAGGGCTTATTTGCGGCGGTCCGAACATGTCACGTCGAGTTCAAGGAACTCGAAGAGAAGAAGAAGAAGGCGAAAGCGGAGAGGTCGGCGGCGAAGGAGCTTGAAAGCATGGGTACGTGGCTGTGGCCGTGGTCATCATCCACTATATTCGAGCATCTATTCACATATCTGTCTAGGTATGGCGACACAAACGGCACCTCCGATGGCAGACACGAACTCGCCAGTAGTGACCAATACTCTGAACACAGCCGACACTCGGCCGCGAACTGCCAAGAAGTAAGTCCCTCACTTGACTGTGGATGCCCGTGTCATATATATTAACTTACCCCAAAGGCGCAAGTCCGATATGGGGGCCGCAATTGGAATACCCGTTGAATCAGAGAACAACCCGCTTTTACTGACGCCTTCACGCCGGGGACGCCGCGATACTCCTCATTCAACACCCAGTAGGACGCCCCGCCGCACAGATCATGGTGCCACACCCTCTACTGCCGACTCGCGGACTTCTGGAGGCTCGCGTAGGAAGCGGCGCTACCGTAGCCAGTCGCATTCGCCCTGTCGAGATCGGTAGCACTGTAGTCTACTCTTTACGTACCCCTCAATCTCCAATTTTGAGATGTTGGTATACCCGTATAGTACCGGGCTGATTGGCCTGTGCACATGAACAAGTAGACACGGTACGATACGCGCAGCCTTTCGCGCTGGGCGGCAATCAGCGACGCGTGGACATCGCCTTATAAGGGTCGGCGGGAAGTTCACACCCGAGTGTGACACTCTTCCTGGACCACCATGAACGTTTTATATACTGTGTGTATTATATGACAAGCCGGCCGGTGTCCGGATCGTGGTGTATCGGCTCGTGTAAGTACACAGATAGGTCCCGTACCCCCTCTGGCATCTCCCGCTCGACATTCTCGCTACGCCAAACAGCGAGAGACTTCTCTATGTACTTCTCTAGTTTTCCTTCGAATGCGAGCTTCTTATAGCCCTTTGCAAAGTGATCTTCCGCCTTCGAGCCACACAATCGGCCATCGTGTCGCCGGTGCAAGTCCGCTTGGCGGCATAGCCGCATCGCCTCGCGTATTTCATTCGTCTTCGGTGGCTCGGTGTGCTCCTTGCGCCGCGGCTTCAATGCGACACTCGCCTCCATCTGGTCCTTGATGCGGAGGAAGCGGTGGACGTGTGGCGAGATGGTCCGACGGAACCAATGGTCGTCAAACTGCTTTCCCTTGTGTTGCGAGAGCTCCTCGAGCCAGAAGTTGAAATGCTCTTGCATGAGATCGCGCTCTTGGAAGTGCCCTGGCTGACCCTTGAGATTTACTAACCAGTTGTCCATCAAGGCCATGCGGGCTCGCGCGCGGAGTTCGAGTTCGATGAGGCAGAGCATCTCAATCAGGTATGTCGCATAGTTGTGATGCTCGCCACCTGCAAAACTGAATATCCAGCGCTTTGACAGGCCTCAGTATATTGCTGTGCGAAAAAATGGGTCAAGACAAGCCTTATATGTCTCCCATGCGCGTTCTGGGTCCCCACGCGCGGTCGCAGTGCAAGTCTCGAGGAACTCGAGGGCGTCACGCAGCAATAGGATGGAGTTTCCCAGTACCCAGTCGGCGTCCTTATGCTCGTACTCGCGGGGCTTCTCTTCTGCGCACGGTATTGCTGGTAGGTTCCACTTCTCGCCGATTGGTGCCGACTCGCTCACACTCTCGTCACCAGAGATAACATCGTCCATCGGGTGAGGGCCCACAGCCTGCTCGAATGCACGCGTGCTCGCGAAGCGCTTGACAAGGAGCTTTGCAATCTCCACCAACTCCGCAAATGAGGGCAGTGCTGTCTTGCCACGGGTCTCGACGATGTTCTTGAAGTACGATTCAAGGTTGTCGCAGCCAAAGTGAGTCCTGTTGACTGTCAAGATTGTCCTTGAAACCCAGTAGCTGATACGATACATACTCCCAGCAATGCAACATGTGGCCAGTTGCCACTACCTCTACCAAGTGCGCGTACTTGTAGAAGTGTGGATGTGCCCAGTCCGAAGGTGGTGGGATGTTGAGTGCGCGTGCCATTCCGGCGAGTGTCGACGGGTCAGTCTTCCCATACTCCCTATCGCCCCAAAAGCAGTTGATGATACGACCCAGACCGGTCCATTTCAGATGCCAGGGCGCGAGGACGGGTACGGCGTAGCGAAAGGAGACAAGCATGTTCTTCAGGCCGGCGAGATTGCGCTTGAGTGTGAGCCAGCCATTGTATGTCTTCCCATCCCCATGCCAAAAGACCGCCCGGTCACGTAGCTTATCCTCATTCGTTAGGCCAATCTGCTCCGCAAAGTCCGTCGAGGCATCATTCAGACCCTGCGTGGAGACTTCGTTGGCGCCGTTGGTGCCGAGCGGGTGCACCTCGGTCAGTCGGTATGGGTCGATCTGGTGCTTCCCGAGCTTCTTTTGTAGAGCCTCGACATCGTCGCTCATATCTGAGAGCTGCGGGATGAAAGAGACGAGCGCATCGATGAACTGTGTGACCTTGACCGCCATATCGTGGCCTTCGTCCAAAAAGTTGTCGTACACCTCATCAGCATTGAGGGCCATGCGCCGATCTTTCGCCGCTGCTTTGCTTTTCAGAATCTCCGTCAGGCTGAGATCGCCAGGCTGCAGTCCCTCGAGCACAGTTCCTGTTCCCGCACTTCCTGTTACCATATCATCCCGGGTACCGATGCGGACGTCGTGGCGTTGCTGGCGTTGCTGTACATTGTCCATGACAATATCGATGGCCTTGGTGTCCTGTGAAGATAAGCTGCCGTATGTTGCGGCGACTGCACCCGTTGTTCGCTCGCCCATGATAGCCAACGCATTGACCGTCGTCGTGTACGGGGTACAGTGCCCGCGACGGCTACCGATACGATACGTGCTTTGGTGTGCCTTGGATGCAAAGAGCGTGATGCTCTCAACAAATGGCCACAGGTTGACAGACTGATTACGGCCATATAACAGTTCGCTGAATGCGCTCGTCTGAACCTACTTGCATCTGAGTGCGAGTCATGTTGATGTCTCGAATATCACATACAATTCTGGACGGCCTGTATACCTCTCCCTCTCCGTCATCATGTTCGGCATCTCCACCAATGGCACGAAGAACAGCCGTGCATACGGGCACATGTTCGAGATAGTAGCTTGCCAGCTTATCGGCGCTGAAGTTGTCGATGATGTCCCAACTAGCCTCGGGATCCTTGGAAGTTGAGCCCTGAGGTCGCCCTGGTTTGCGCTTCTGTGGCGAATCCGATGCCAAAGGGATTTGCCCGAGTGCTGTTGCAGGAGCTGCATGCGTCGAGGAGGGTGCTTGATCGAGGCTATGTCAAACACATGCCTACAAGACCGATGTACGAACTCACCACCATTCTGGGCCTTGTCATTGGTATCGCGGCGAGATGCACGCACACGTAGCCATGAATGTTTCTCACCATTGCACAGTTTCTTCGACTCAGAGGACAGTTTTGAGAGAGTCCGGTGAAGGGCCCATGTATCAAGCGCAGGTCTGCAGTAGGCGATCTCTGTTGGTTCTGTGTTGGCAGAGAAGTATAACGAGTGCTGTGTATGAGATGTCTTTGGCCGGCCGTACGAATGAGCATACATTGCCTCAGCAACGTGTACTGCTCTTATCTTGCTGGTGCCACTCAAGAAGGCCAGCAACATCCTCTCGTGAGTGGTACCCTCCTCAAGCTTCGTCGCGAAGATGTCGACAAGAAACTGTCCCAGTGTGATCCCTTGATGCTTTAGGTCTTTACAGATCTTATCGATATACGACACAGCTGGCTTTCCACCGTCGGTATTGGCGATCTCGGGTATCGGGTGCGAGTATGAGCCCCAACCGACAGGGACGAAGGTTCCGGATGAAGAACCCGGGCCTTCGGCGGCGAAGGCCTGTTTGAAAGCAGACTCAGTTGAGTTCACGTCCAGCCCTGATGTACATTACGAACCTGAGGCTGCTGCCAAGAGTACTGAAGCTCTGCGGGCTGAGCATACGGCACATACGATGGTGTACTGTGTCCGTGTCCGTGCTCGGAAGAGATAGGTGTTCCCGATGTCTGAAATTGTCATCTAATTCATACTTGTATTTTACACCGGAGTACTAGGATATACGGACCTGAGGATCCTGCCAATTGAGAGGTGTATTGACGGAGAAGCTACCAAACGACATCGACGTAGGTGAAGAGCATGCACCAATGCTTGACTTCGGTCAGAAACCGAAGGCTTTTGAAAGCACGCATCGGGATCGAACCCGGGTGCCCCAAGATCAAAAAGACAAAACCAGGCGAGTACTTGAACCTCTTCGCCACCGAACCATGCTACTTGAGTAATTAAAGCCATATCTATACTCCCCTCCTTGACCCCCACCCAGCAGCCTGCCCGACGTCGCCAAGTTCACCTCGCCAGCCTCTCCTCACAATACAAGTCTTCCGACCAAGTCCAGTCAAGTCAGCGATACCGAGAATGTTTGATAGAGGTGTAGAGACTTGGGATAGATATTGCATCAAGCTGAACGACAGCAGATGCTTGTCGTCGGAGTCGAACCTCGATTCAAGAGCCAAAACAAAACAAAACCTTCGCGACACTTTGACCCTTGCACCATTCAGCTTCGCGTAGGCATGGCTTATGACGTATATGATGTCCACCCCACCCTCCTCCCGCCGCCCACCACCTCACACCGAGCCTCGATATCGAGCCATATACGGGTCAGTGTCGGTTATCAGCACTTTCTATTGTCAACACGAGCCACCCCAAGTGCCCGCTCCTCGCCATATGCCCTGTACTGCTTATGGACTCGAGCCGAGCCTCAAGATAGCAATCCCATTATCCAATGCGATGACGAAGTTCATGTGAGTGCTACTTAAAAGGCAGGTGCTCTCGTCACCGATCTTGACAGACCCGGATATGCCGTGCCTCTTGCGTATGGCATGAGCTTGATGCGAGGCACCCGACATTTTTGTGCCTGCTCGAGCTCGGCCCGCCATCACGGACATCACCGCGGGAGGGCTCCTGCGGGAGGGCAATTCTTTTGATGCAGACCTTAGGTTACTAAGGTTCTGCGTGGAGACTAACGCGTTCGCGCCTCCGTCGCGCGTCGTCGAGTTCGTTCTCACGCATAGGGGCGGTGAAGTTGGCCAGTGCGCTCGTCTTGTCTGACGCCTGCTTTCGTCCATCATGTCATCGCATGGCTCTTGCTTTAATCCAGACGAGCTAGCAGTCAAGCGCGCAAGCCGGACTCTCTTTTGTGATATATCTGATAAAACAGAGATCGTCCCTTTCAACAGTTCGCGAATATAACGTCGACGCTGGCCTTGCCCACGTTTGTGGCGACGTCGCATCGCTCATCGTACATCACTATCTACGTACCTTCACCGAGTATTCGGACAAGGCCGAATGATCTATTACTTCACGTACCCCTTACTGCGCTTTCGGAGTCACTGGACGCGCTCGAGTCGTCTGGGCCGCAATAATTGTCAATCAGCGCTTGGTGTACCTGCTGCACTCACCCGTCGCAATTATTCAATTTCAACCCACGCCTCGCCTGCCGCTAAATGAAGCTCTCTGACTCTGTCTACTATCTGCGCTTACGCTGCTATTGGAGGTGGTGGTTGGTGGCTGATCACGCACAACCTACACGTTCCTACCAGTCGTAGCGCCATGCACCACGCGCATGACATAAAGGTCTTTATATGCACTCTATGTAATAGGTGGCGGGTACTGATGGGCGAAATAACAGACTTGCCAGAAACCGGACGCGTAGGATGGAAATCGTGAATTTCATCCGATCTATTCGTGGTACATCGTAGTAAAGAGGTAGCGTTACAGGCATTAACTTCCGTGAGTAAGTATAGGAGATGGACCAATGAATCAATATTTGTATCGTGAGTGTGTCTGCTATGCGCGCGCATCCAGCCTCGCATCCTCCGCTTCGCGCTCCTTCGCAGCGCGCACGATATCCTCGAGCGTGATCCCGGACCGCTCGCACATCCCGCGGAAGATCCCATCTTGCGCGAACAACCTCGCTGGGCTGTCGAATTCCGCGATCTGGCCCTGGTCGAGCACGCAGATACGGTCGTACGAGATGATTGTTCTCAGCCTGTGCGCGATGCACAGGATGGTCCTGTCCCGGAACTCGTGCGCGATGGTGTACTGGATCTTCCTGTCCGTCTCGTAGTCAACCGACGCCGTAGCCTCGTCCAAGATGAGCACGCGCGAGTCCTTGACTAGTGCGCGTGCGAGCGAGACGAGTGAACGTTGGCCGATGGATACGTTGCCGCCCTCATCTTCGATCACGCTGTCGAGCGTGAAGCGCGGGCCGCTCGGTGTTGTTGCGCCAGAGGGAACGACTTCGTCGCCGTCTTTCTTCGGCATGGGCGTATCATCGACGAGGTATGAGCGACGAAGGGCATCCCATAGCCTCGCGTCGTCGTGCAAGCCGAAGGGGTCGAGGTTACTGCGAAGAGTGCCAGAGAACTGTAGTCCGTGTTAGTAAGACGAGCAATCTAAGTCGGAGAGCCGCTCACCAAAGTAGCGTCTTGCGGGATAATCGCAAGACCCTTCCTTAAATCGGACAGGCCAATCTTCGAGATATCCACTCCATCGACTTCAATCCCACCCTCGGCAAGCTCGACCAAGCGGAACAGCGCCGTAAGCAGACTGCTCTTCCCAGCACCCGTCCTTCCAACAACACCGATCTTCTCGCCTCCCTCCACGGACATTGTAAGACCCTTGATGACGGGCGGCAATTCGGGCCGGTACTTGAGGACCATGTCCTTGAACTCGATGCGTCCGGTCGCGGGCCACGGTTGCGCAGGCGCCTTCTCGGGGATCTCATGCGGCGGCTCCTGCTCAATATGTCTTGCGTAGTAGACAACGCGCTCGACGGAGTTCATGTCGTTCTCGACCTCTGCGAGTTGGCGGACCATCCAGCCGAATGCTTGCTGAACAGAGAGGATGTAGGAGAGCGTGACGCCGGTTTGCGCAGGCGAAATGGATGTCCGAGTGCCGACGGTCAACATCGCGACGGCGAGCGTGAGGAGGATGCCGAAGAAGTCGAGGCGAATCCCGAGCCAGCGCTGGTTCGTGACGGTCAACCAGTACGCGCGGTTCTCCACGTCGATGCGCTTGCGGTTGTCGTCGGCGAACCGTTGTTGCTCGCCGTAGGCACGAATCGTGGCCAGTCCAGATAGACTCTCAGAGAAGTGAGAGTACAGGGAAGAACGCAGGATGGCGTCAAGACGCTGAAGAGTGTCTGTCAGCTATGTGACGAGTGATCGTCGAGACAAGACCGCGTACCTTCAGCTCACGAGCACTAGCACGGTAGAACTGGGCCGCCATGACATAAAGCACAATGACAGCGGCAACCGCAATCAAGAACCATGGGAGGAGGATGGAAATTAGGATGATCGCGCCAACGATACTGGACATGGTGTTCAGGAACATGCGGAACGCTGTGGAGTGCGTGAGAAATATGACCGGACGAGCAGAAGCCGGGTGACTGACCATCGGCGAGCATGTTGTCCATGGTGTCGATGTCCTTGCTGAACCTGTTCATGATGCGGCCTATCGGTGTCGTCTCAAAGTACACCATTGGAGCGTGTAGGACGCGAGTGATGGCATCGCTGTGCAAGCGCCGGCTCGACGCGTAGATGAGCAGCGCGAAGACGACACCGTTGGCGAACGCGGACAAAGCCTGACTGACACCGAGAACGGCGTAGATACCCATCTATAAAGTGCCCGTAAGTAGGACGCTGAGACGATGGTGGGGCAAGACGTACATAGAATCCTTGCGGCTGATTGAAGGATCCGTTCTGCCACCACACAAGCCAATACGATGAGAGCACTGTGGCGGCCTGCATGACGACCATACTGAGCGCCACGAACGGAAGTGTCACCCATCCGTTGCCCGCCTCGATGTACGCCTTATAGACCTCCCAGCTGACGGCTCCGGTACTGCGCTCCTCCTGTTGCATGAGCTGTGCGCCCTTGACTGCCGCCTCCCGTTTCTTTTTCTTCTCCTTCTCACCATCCGTCGGGGTTCCCTCAACGGCATCCTCTTCCTCTGCCGCCTTTTCCTCCGAGGCGTCTTGCGTGACGAACTCGGCAATGTGCGATGCGAATGCGCCGCGTGCCTCCATCAGAGCTGCGTACGTTCCCTGCTCAACAATGCGCCCATCGACGATGGTGTAAATGTAGTCGACCTCGCGAAGGAAGTGCAGTGCGTGGGTGACGAGTACGCGAGTCTTGCCGGTGGACGAGTCGAGCATGACGTTCTTGAAGACGCTCTCGCCGACATGTGCATCGAGTGCGGAGAGCGGGTCGTCGAAGATGACGATGTCGGTATCGGCGTAAATTGCGCGGCAGATGTTGATGCGCTGCTTCTGGCCACCGGAAAGCGAAATACCCTGAAGTCAGGCATCAGTCAGACAATCAAGCGCCCAGTCATGATAAGCGCCTTACTTTCTCGCCAACCTCAGTCAGGTCTCCGTTTGGTAGTACGTCTAGGTCCGCTTCGAGACACGAGTCGTGCACGGCGCGCCAGTATCGCTCCTTGTCAAACGGCTTTCCGAAGCAGATATTCTCACGGATAGTCGCGTTCTGGATCCAAGCGCTCTGGCCGCAGTAGGCGATGTTCCCACCGAACTTGACGGTCCCAGCTGTCCTGCGCATCTCGCCAATCAAGCCTTGCAACAACGACGTCTTCCCAGAGCCGACAGGGCCAACGATAGCGACGAGAGAGCCGCGCGGAACAGAGAGGTCGATGTCGCGTAGCTTGAAGATGTTCTCCTCCTTGACCTCCACAGACACCCTCGGTGTGACCGCGGCCTTGTCCTTCTTCCCGCGTCCGCCGAAGGGCGAAGACTTCTTCTTGGTGGCTTCCTGCTCGGGAGGTGCAGCATCCCACGTAAACGCAGCGTGCGTGGACTCGATGGCGTTCTTGAGCGACTCGTCGATGATGAGCTCTTCGGTGACGAGTTCAGCCTCGAAGACGGCCTGGAGACGGCCAATGGCATTGCGGGCGTCGGCGATCGCGCTGAAAGACATGGCTACAAACGTGCGTCAGCAACAAACAATAGTGAGAAGGTGAAACTGCGACTTACGCAGCAACATGAGCGGCATGCGGAGCAGCTGGAAGAGCGAGAGCGACGAGAAGATGGCTGCGGCGTTCAGTTGGTGTCCTGCCGCGGCATATACGAGGAAGGCGATGACAGATGCGAGCGTCGGTGAGGACATGGCGAGTGCGGTGTTGGCGGCGCGAATCATGAGCAGGCTGCGCACGTAGCTCATCTCCTTCGTACGGAAGTTGTAGATGCGCTCGAGGAACGGCTTCTCCCATGCGAAGAACTTGATGACCTTCATCCCGCCGAGTAGCTCCTGCAGCAACTTTGCGCGTTTGTCCGTCCACACCATCGTCTTCTTCCGTATCGCGAACAGGCTCTTCATAATGTAGCTCTGCAGTGGGGTGACGAGAACGAAGAAGCCGAAGCCTGCGAGCGCGCTCGGGCCAAGGTTGATGATGAGGAGGGCAAGACAAATCGCCATCTGTATGGGTGCAGCCCAGAACATGTGGAAGAAACCACAGCAGAAGTCGACGCGGGAGACATCGGTGGAGATGTGATTGACGAGCTTGCCGTTCGGGAGGCTGCCGCGGGCGCGAGTGGTAAGCCGTAATGAGCGGTTGTAGATGGCGTTGATGAGGCCGCCGCGGAGAAGGACTCCCGAGCTCGCACTGCGGTAGAAGAAGTGATGCGTGCACAGTGAGGCGATGAGTTGCAGGAGGACGAGGCAGATGGCGAGGCCGATGCCCTTGCCGATGGGTGGTACGGGCTTGCCGGTGCGTGAGTCGGCGTACGAGTCGGTCGCGAAGGTGATGAGAGCTTTGACGACAAGCGGACTGGTGACCTGAGCCGTGTCGCCGATGACCTTCAGGATACCGCCACTCCAGAACCATGCGAAGATAGCATCGTTCATGGAAAGTGTCAAACTGGGTTTGCGTTTCCCATCGACTTCACGCCAGCGCTTCTCGCGTTCGGCACGTTGTCTGCGCAGGGTCCACCAGACCCTCTGTTTGATTGAGGGTCGTATCTCGCCGGACGCGAGACGGGCATTGTACTCTGCAGCCTGCTTCACACGGGCATCGAAAGAGGCATTTATGCGGTCGGCGATGACTGCACTCGAGCGGTGCTCCTGCAATTGCCACAGATCGGTAGCTTCGAGAGGACGGGCATAGCCAAGGGCCATAAGCGAAGAAATCCAGTTGAAAGTCAAAAGCGAGAACCATGACGCAGATGATTCAGGAATAGGCAGCGCATCGTCGAGACTGGCTTTGGGCGGCGGAGGGTTGAGCGGGATAAAGTAACCCTTGATACTCCTTCCTACTCGTTTCGGAAACGAGCGATGCTTTTCGACCTGTTTGCCCTTGGGCTCACCGGCCTCGACATCGGTTGCGGAGGAAACAGTTGAGATGCTCGCGCGCTTCTCGTCAACCACAGGAGAAGACAGCTTTTCCGACTCAGACTTAGCCATGGGCGTAGGAAGTACGAGCGGCGGCCAGAGGAGCACAGGCAGGTGGTCGTGCAGAGTCAGGGAACCGGACCATGGTCGTGGGCTTGTATAAGTTAAAGGAGGCACGGGCGCGACCCCGCATACGCGTTCTGCATGACGATGTGCAAGCCGGAAGCCATACCGGTTTCCCACCTTCTTGCCGCGCGTCCACGGACCCCTCTGCCCGAAACCTCCGTTTGACCTCGACCATCAGTAGACGGCTACAACGCCTTTTTCTTACCGCGCAGCCCGTATATACACCTGATCTTTCCTCATCGCTCAAGCGCCCAGTGTCCAGCAGCCGCGGCCCGTACACACATTGTCATGCGCCGACGGCGAGACCCAGCCGTGCTCCTCTCCCGTCGCTATTCCGTCGGATGCCTGTATCTGCTTATACACGCGTCTCGATGCGGGCCCCAGCTACATGCGCTCCAGGGCTTCTGTGAACGCCTGTATTGATTCGCCGCGCTCAGCGCGTGGTTCCGCTTCGGCTGCAGATGCCAGACGAACATGAGAGAGCACGTCCTCGCCTACGTATGGTGGCTGACTATCGCTGTGGAAAGAGTTCCGTCGACTTCCAGCGAGGCTATCCTGTTCTCGCTTTGTACTTTCAGATAACATTCGTTCGCCACTTGGTCGCCGGCGACTGTGGAGGTGGGCCGTCTTGTGCAAATCAGCGCTCGACGATTGGGCCGTCGGTCTGTTATCGGCGTCCTCTATCTTGCCGCCGGCTTTCTTCCAACGGGCGCTATCTCGTCGTGCCACAAGTCCGGTTTACACCGATCATTGTGACGTCCGACGAACTGTGGCTCGGTCAACCTTCGGTCATCAGCGCTTCAGCGCGTATACCGACAGGCATTGCCACCCAGGTGGGCGCTCAGCGCTCAGGACCAGTCATTACACTTCAGAAGTGGAGATGAAAGCAGTAGTATAGCCATGTACAACATGTCGACAGAAACTACAAAACAAGGTGACGATTTTGATGTCCCACAAATAGTCCTAGAGAGTCAAATATCCAATTCCAAGTCCAAGCAATCTGCGCAACGAGCATCCAACCGACTTGTTTACGCGACGGTGATCTTCCTCGGTGCGGCCTCGGGCGCAGAGCGAGGGAAGGTAACGCTCAAAACGCCATCTTCGAGCGCCGCCTTGATCTCCTCCTCCTTGATGCCCTGCGGAACAGGAATGGAACGCGAGAAGCGCCCGAAGCGGCGCTCGCGCACTGCGTAGCCATCCTGCTCCTTCGTCTCGTCAATTTTGGTCTCGCCCGAGACGGTCAAGACACTGTTGTGCACGTCGATCTGCACGTCCTCTTTCTTGAGGCCGGGCAGCTCGAATGTGGCGGTGACGACGTTCTTTTCCTTATCTTCATGCACGTCCATCCTGCAGAGATTCGTCAACATATGCTTCAACTTCATAAGGTCATGAGGCAACGTACTTGGGGCGCAGGGAGCTCAAAGACGACGACGAGCCTTGCCGGGTGGCAAGCTGGCCGTTCTGACCGCGTGTGCGACCGTTAGTCTGACGCGCGTCGAGCGCCTCATCAAAGAGACGGTCGAAGTCAGAAAGGGAGTAGAATGGCTCGTAGAAGAAGTGGGTGAGCGACATGATGATGAGCGAGTAGTAATTGGTAGGTGAGAGCGCTGGAGAGTGGGTAGTCGCGAGTATGAGTAGATGCTATGCTGAGGGAATAGCAGCTTAGAGTCTCGCCCATATATACTGTTCATAGAGAGAACATTCGCGACGCTGAATCGTAATTGTCACCGCATACAGCGTTGTCTAGAGCATACGGGAACAGATCCGTCACGCTCGGAAACGGGAATCGTGTGGTCGAAATCGGCCGAAATTTCGAGAAAAATCCGAGCCGCCACGCCGGCGCCTGCACCCGCGCCATTAAATGTTTATGCCATGCAGCTGAGGCCAACATCTCAACCTGCGAGTACTCTTCCATGTTGACCTGACAATTCATAAACCGAGTGAGAGAGACCATCGGCGTTCGGGGGAGAAAGAGAGTCTGGTATACGAATTGTGTGACGGTCGCGGTTGCGTGTGACGGGACGCGTTGGCCGTGTGCCGAAGCGCATTCGGCTCTAGGCTTTCCGCAACGATCATCCTTGCAAGGGTTTGGGCGGAGATCTTCCTTACATGCACCTCCAAATGCAGGCGCCCTCGGTCATATCAAAAGACCGGGAGCTGTCGGTACGGATGCAACGAACGCAAACACTCTGTACGGTCCCGCTACGCTTCGCTCGATCATAGCCCTTCTTGCCGCACAAGGACGGATATTTACTACCCCCGGCGTTTGCACATAATCTTGATGTACGTAATCTATCTTGATATCGCGCACTACATCGCACCCCTCTGTGTTCATCCCACGCAGATACTCGTAAGGTGAGAAAATCAGTAGCTCGGTGGCATCATGTCGCCCTACCAGCAAAGCAACAGCGCGGCCTGTCATCGAAAGTGGGCGAGCCTCTTTCCAACGATCACATCACTAGCTACCGCCCATGCAATGGAACAACTCTGGCGTGCACCAGCTCAAAGGAGTCCGGCTCCGCAGATGGCAGAGCTGGAACATTATATCTGGCAGGTCTGAGCGTGAGTACAATCGCCTAACCCCTTATAATATTGCATGCCACCTACACTGTGACCCCAGAGGAATGCTTCGTCAGCTCGCGGTGGAATCGAGTGGCGCCGACGACCCTGCAAGCCATGATTAGAGTGTAATGAGCGTGATCATGGGACTTGACGCACAACATCGCAACTGGCAAAGGGTTTGTATTAGCGAGGTTACGTGCTCCATACAGGTCAAACCTCACCGCTAGGGATGATGAAGAGCTTTACCACACACTAAATGAGCGGCAAGCCTTGTGTATGACAACGGGTAATAGATCGTACCGTGTTCATGACCTCTGAGCATTAAGTAGTCAGGCCGGCGCCCATCTCGTTAGTGTAAGAAGAACGGACCGTTGAGGTTCAGCATGAGGAACACCTGCGGATGTTTCCATTATTCGACAACAGCCTACAAAATGTAAAAGTACGTACGACAAGAGGGACCTCCATGGTGATGGCTAGTAAGAAATACAGCAAACCCTGCAACAATATGAGCCTCTCCCATAGGCTCGCAAGCCTTATGGACTCACCTGATTCCATAGTGTGTACCATAAGGGGAACCCACGGGCATCTCGCCAACTCCTCTGAAGCCCGATCAGTATGAATGCGAGTAGGGTGAAATCGGTGATGAACACGGCCACCGAGACTGGCCTGTCCTCAATCACATCGTCTAGGGTGCATTGCCTTATTGATGGGTCGTACACGGACGAGATCTGTCAATCTGGATGTTCAGAGCTGTTCTGAGAATGCAATCGCGATGAGAACGAACCAAGATAACCGCTGGGTTGGATAAGGGGTGAGTATGTGGCGATAACACGGTGATCAAGAATAGGCAGCATACATCTGATGCCCACGATGTATTGAGCTACAAGAAGAGCGGAAAGGCAGGCGGTAACCCATCGGTTCCACTTCCATATGACACATCTGAGGTTATGGGTCATTAGCCGTTGCTGTAGACCACGCGAAGCCATCTAGAACACTCACGCGCGTACGAAAAGTAGCGATGACGCAGATGCGATACCCACGACTCCCGATAGCTATCTACAATGAGCGGACATAGGGCGCAGCGAGTGTCGTAGCGCATACAGTCACTAGTCTCAGTAATGACTAGTAAGGGTATCAGCATTTGTAGTTGAGAAAGCAGACGATGATGGTTACATACCGGACAACTGACAGCTCGATAGCTGCTGATCAGGACGCACATACACACGCAGCATATGAACGCCAAATAGCGGCTGGTTATGTACAGCTGCAAAGTTGCTTAGAGTGCTCCCATAGACGCCGTGAAGGTCGACAAACACAATTTCCCAGCATCGTCACCGGCCGGGTGTACTTTTTGTTGATGACTTCCCAGTCATAGGGTAGATTCAGAAGGAAATCATAGCTGCGTGATAGCACCGGTAAGTATAGGAGCAGCGTAGTAGTAGTATGTCACTCACAAGTATATCCCGGCGAAGACACAGGTCATCTTCTGTAGAGATTCTATGCATGGGTCAGGTTACAAATACAGGACATGATTCAGACCGAGAAGTGGCTACCAGCTTGGAGAAACAAGGTGCGCGGAGCGTGCCAGTCGACCATGGTGAAGTTATGGGGTATGAGGCAGGATAGAGGCAGTTCGATATAACGACCGGCGCATACTTATACGGGCGAGGACTAGGCGGGGCAGTGGGATCTGTCCGGTGATAGGACGCCGGAGACTTGTATGGCAAGGATTGTCCTAGGCGCGACTCATCATACTTGTTCAATGATGGGCGGGATGTCTTGATATCAGGTCAAAGAAGAGCGGGATCGCACGGGACTGACACACACGACGGGGCATTTCGAAGACGGTGTGTATGCACAGAGGTCCTGCTAGAAAAGACAGCGTCCTGGAAATGAGGTTCACAGAGAAGTCGGTCTCTCGCACACAGCAAGATGTTCATGTTTGTGGATAGGCCATCCTTGGGACTCTAGCCGATGAGGGAAGAACGGCCTGTGCGAAGAACGAGGATCGATGTGGCGTTTGCTTGAGAACGTATCCTGATGGACATGCGGACTTCGTGACCTTCATTCCAGTGCAGACGGGAGTAGTACACGCTACCTTAGCTGGGTCGATGACATGAAGGCACGAATGAACCCGTTTGCCTACTACAGATGCGACGTGGGTAGAAGAACAGCCCGCAAGAGAAGCATTTCCCCTTCTCGGAGAGTGTGAGATTGCAGCCAGTGAGAAGCCTTGCTGTCCTGCTTTGAGAATATATTGATTGAGACGAGTATGGTATCAGCTAGAAGTTATACGATATGCCATGTTGTACGGTGATGCATGAGTGTCACAGAGCAAGAGCAACCGCTGCGAATCCGACTCCACGCGAGACGCGCGTCCACGTGGACGAGTGCCCATACGTGGCGACTTGACGAATATCGCTGACTTATGCGGTACTGGTACTTGCGAGTGACACCCTCAAAGGTAGTAGCAGTACATATGATGTCACTAGCCATAGGTGGGAGATGGGGCCTGGGGGAAAAGGCTATCGAATAAACCGATGAATTAAGGGAAAGGGGGTGAAGATATTGTACTGCGAGGTATACCCCGTCCATCTACTGCTTCTCGACCGTCCTTTTTGGTCACCGAGACATATCGTACTTATCCTCTACCGAACGGCGCGTCGCGGCCCCAAACTGCATATCCGGATCATCCTCTTGCATCCGGTCCGTGACATACGCGCGATGAACGGAGACCTCAATAGGTACTTGTACTGGAGCGCGCGGGCCTGTTGAGGGTGGTCCAGACGACGGGGCGTTCGGGCTGTGGCACAATAGGGAATGAGTACGAGAGAACGTCGAGAGTAAAAAGGAGGAGAGCCCACCGGTATGCGTCGCTAAAGTTCGTTAGGGATCGATACATCCGCGTTGCGGATATCACGAGTGCAATCAGCTCTGGTGGGTTGAACATCTGGTGAGGTGTCTAGATCAGTAGTGCTTCACGTGTGGAGCGAACGATGGACTGACGACGTTCATGGCTTCTACACACGGAAGTCAAGCATCAGTGAGAGAACGCGCATGCGTAGGCATTCAAGTGGAACGCACGGTTCAGGTTCAACCAAAGGAATGTCACGGATGGAATCTCGACGAGCATGACGAGTACGACCCAACTGAAGCCCTGGTTGGAGGTCAGCCTCAGTGCTACCGACAGGATCCATAGCGCACCTGAAGCCACAAAAACTTCCACAACCCATGCTTACGCGCATCGCGTATCCGCAGCAAACCCGCGAGCATGAGAATGAGCAAGAACGTATCGATGCAGAGTGTCGCGGTGTAGAACTTCCGGGTGGATTGGGTGTCGGTGAAGGTACATGCGCCAGTGGATGTCCCAGAACCCGTTTGCCTGCACGCACAAAGTCAGCTTTCATGAAGCGGGAAAGCGGGCAACTTGTAGGAGAGGCGTACCTGCGTCGCAACGTACACGATCAAGCAGAACTGCGTGAGGAGCGCAGCAGAGACGGCTGCGATGATGGGTTTTGACCGTTGCCAGATTGCGACTCTGGGGATACATATCGTGAGCCATGGACCGTCGAGAGTGGGAAATGAGAAACGTACACGCGTATGGCAATTAGTGCGCTAGCCATCTCAAACGCAACAAAGCCCAGGATCTGTACGGTGCGATCAGTTGAATGCGAGAAGGAGGGGAATATGCAGTCGACTCACATAGACAGATATAAGCCACCCTCGGCAGTCGATCTATGCCTCGTCAGTATGGCGATCTATACTTCTGCAAAGCGCAGTGCCGTCACGTACCTCGGTGGTCACGTCGAAGCCAATCAAGATACTGATGACTGCCGCCAGACAAAGCCATCGACACAGAAGGTAGGCCTGCATCGGTGTAGCGTGTGAGACCAATAGGTGAGGCTCGTACAACTGTGACAGGTGCTCACCACCATGGTATAGATAGACCGCCCGGGTCTGGGTTTGGTGATGAGCCGCCAGTCGTAGTCCAGGTTCACAACCATCTCCCAGCTACCACATGGTGGTAAGCAACATTGCGGGATGGCGCGGAGGTTGGGACGCACAAGTACAGCCCCGCGACCGTGTGGTTGAACTTGACAGTCGCATCTGCAGCGCGCCATGAGCGCTCAATCGGGCAAGTTGAAGTAAAACTGGCGCTTGAACGTACAGAGCTGCTCCGCGATAACGGCTGGGTCGTTCCAGGCAATCATGACCGCGTCCGGAACGAGCGAGGAGGAACGGGAAAAAGAAGCTGGGAGCGACCGCGCGCGTGCCCTACGTGGTCGGCTTTAAGTACTGCGTCTAGTCACAGCCATGCCCAGACTCGAACATGCCATTGATGGGCGAGTTATGGCCTCGCAACGAGAGGGACGTGGAAAGGTCGCCGCGGGTACGAATCGAGATCTTCCATCTGAATTGGTGTCATTTGGAAGGGTGTTTCGGGGCTTTGCACGAGGCGTATCAGTCCGTTCGACGGCGAGGCTTGCGAGCACTGTTGTCCCAAGTCAGAAATCTCAGACGGTGGAATGCCACTCAGCGACTAGACGCACCTCTTCTGCAGGGCTGGCGAGAGTAGAAGGTCGGGAGAGCTGAGAGAAAGAGCACGAGTACGTGAAAGTAGGCAGCACTGCGAACACAGACCCATATAACACGCGCGTTACGTCCGATCGCCGAAGAATTAGACCCCTCGGTCTGAATGAGCCCGGCGACAACGGGTTCGGCTGCGCGCTACAAATGCCATCTCAGGCAATTTGATGTCCGAACGTAAAGCGCAAACGCCGAGCGGGTCCGCGTGCAGTGGGGGTCTAACTTCGGTGTTAGCGCGCAGTCGTGGCTACGCCCAGAGCAGAAGACGTACGGTGAGCGCGCTTCTCTTCTCAGCGATAGTTGGGATCAGTCGAATGATGGGTTGCAGTCACTGTGGACCTTAGGAGGAGCACAGCGTACGTCTTCGGTCGTAGAGTACTACAACATAGAGCCTCAAACCAGGAACGCGTCGGGGTGAGTATGTGCGTGTATCCCTTCGAAGACTCAAACTTGTGCTTAGCATGCCAGTAGCCTATAGTTCCAATGTAAATATCAGCATTCTGTGGCGAAAGAACACAACACCACTCTTACAAAGTTACACGTAGAGTTGGCGGCTGTGTCGGTTTGACGATCAGTTTTACTAGCTCGCATTGGCAAGTACATACTGCATAGTAGTCTGCATACATTGAGACCATATACCATACAGGGTAGGTATCCATGCGTGCTTTCGATAGTAAGCATGATGTACGTGGATCGCAACCGCAATCAGAACCTCAGCCTCACCCAGACACGTCGTACTTATTCTGAACTGCATGATGCAGCTCGCCCTCATGCAGTATATCAGAATCGTCTTCCGGCATTCTATTCGTCATGTAGGCACGGTGAACGGATCCCTTTATGGGCGTTCGCACCGACGGGTGCGGATCAGTGGAAGGATTTGCGGATGATGGGGTATCAGAGCTGTTCAAGGAACGAGTGAGTATACATGGAGAAGAAATACGTAGATAAGGTAAGATGTCGACGTACCGGTGTGTGTCGCTGAAGTTCGCCAGGTAACGGTACGTCCGTGTTCAGCGAGCGACGAGCGCGATCAGTTCTGGTGAACATCTGCCAGGACTTCGAGATGGAATGAGCAACCCGCGCAGATGGTCATGAGAAAAGCCAACGGCTCTTCCATGGCTTCTGTGAACGATGATATGAAGTTAGCCAAGTGAGCGCGTCTGGCAATGCAGGTAGACGCACGGTTCAGGTTCAGAACGCCACGGACGGGATCTCGAGGTGTAAGAAGAATACGATCCACGCAAAACCCTAAAGCGAGACGTCAGCATCGTGTCGGAAACTGCTTATGATACACAACCCGAAACGCACCTTGGGCTATATGAACTTCGACGCATCCCATATCCGCACGAGACTCGCGAGAGCATGTGTTGCCGCACGACGTCGTGGCCTAGGCTCTTCGGGTGGATTGTGAGCCAATAAACGTACATGCGCCCGTAAGCGTATCTCAGAATTTATTGGCCTGTACGCATAATCTCAGCATTCGTACTGCAGGCGAGCGCGCAAGTGGACGGACTGTACCCATGTCGCGACGTGTCCGCGAGGGACGTGGAATGCTCGCCGCGAGTACCGATCAAGATCTGCTTTGAATTGGCGCGAGATGGGAAGGTATTCCAGGACGATGCGCGAGGCGCATTGCTCGTTTGTGTATAAGAACCTCCGAACCAGTATCCGAGTCTGCCCCACTCAAGTCAATCCAGCCTGCATGAGTATGCGCCAGAAGGGCAGACTGCGCCTTCGCAATCTGAATGGTCCACGAGTAATCTGTATCGAGGGCGAACATAAGTGCCACACTGGGAGCGGAAACAAGCCGATACGCGCCCATCAATGACCAGGTCGCCCTCTTCCAGCCGACGTCTCCGACCCCCACAGAGCGTTCGAAGACCTGGCCTCCGAAGGCAGTCGGTCACATGCATGAGAAGCCGCAATACGCTCTTCGTAGTGGTCTGGCACTTCGGCGTATAGCTGATCGGGGCAAGAGGCAACTTGAACGCTCGCCGCTCGCGTCGGGCCGATGGCAAGGAAATCGGCGCGTCGTGCATTCGCAGCCTCCTCGCCCTTGACCACCACCACTATGGTGTCGCGGCATCGCGAGCTTTGATCTTCATCCCTACCATCTTCAATATCACTGGCGCTATATCTTCCGTCATTCTGCGGAGAAAGTGCAACGCCTCATTTACCAGTATCCCTGGTCTGCAAGAGAGTGCCCAGACCATCACGTCCTCCACAGAACCCACCCCGGGGAGATAATCCGACTCAATCTGGAGATGCCACCTAGCCCGGCTGTGGAGTGCCATCCCTTTCTCACCAAAGCGTGTATTCGTTCATAGTATGAGACATATCCTACCGAGGAGCTGCCCGAACATGGAGCCCATGCAACTGGTCATCAGAATGTGGCGGTGCGAAATACGGTATACTCCCCGGCGAGGATCTGGGCCCAAGCACGTACGAGTTGTGATTTCGTGTACCCCTCGTATGTCCCTTTCACACCACAGCGAGTCCCGTTCCCGTCTTTCTGCGGTCAAGGGTAGAAAGGGACTGTAACCGTTTTCGACTCTCCTTGGAACGCGAAGCTGTCGAGAAAGGAGGTAGACGCCCTTTGTTCAATACTCACCTTTGACCTCTTTGCGGAATGAAGGGGCGTAAAGACGGTTCACATTCTATTGGCCTTTGAAGCCACCGTATTCCCCAAAGGGGGATTTGCGCTTGCTGTGACCTCGCATTTTGCGCGTGTGCTTCCACAACCGTCTCAGCCTCTGGAACATGGATCGCGTTATTCTATATAAGTATGTTCCCGTTCCATCTTTCTATGTACAGCCGCCCGTACTCACGCAGGACCCCGGACAGCAACCAGTCGACACCCATCGCTTCTAGTTCATTGCCACACTTGGGTGGTCTGGAGGGCAAGTAGTCTCTGATACAAGACGCCGGACCGATTCGGAGACTGCAAGGTTAGAGCACAAATGGCTGCCGAGGCAAGTGGCTGTGCCTAAGCTCTCGGATATCATTGACCGTGTTGGGTCCTCAGTTTGTGCCGGTTCCGTGCAAGGTGATGCAGTCGCGTCGCAAGCATCTATATAAGTCGCATGCAGTTGAGTTGGTCCAGTACATGACCAGGGCATCATCCGATTGACATAGCTGTGATGGTTCACTAGATCATGTTCAGATCCGACCCCTCGTCTTCATTGCAAAGGGCCATAGACCGACTGCAACGCCGCGAGGATATCACAAAACGGTCGATTGGCGTCAAGCGTACCATTATGTTTTATCATTGGGCTCTCCGGCTTGCACCTGATGGACATTTTTGCAACCTTGTCTGGCAGCTGAATAACCTCGGGTATCACTTACACTATCTTCACCTTCAATCTCACATCAAACAGCAATTGGAATGTTCCTTCTCGGCTTTTCATATGGCAGTGAAGTCCTGCCCGTCCGATGACCCTGACCTCCTGCTGTCGCTAAGCAACCTTGCGGCCTCGTTTCACTCTCGATATAAATGCTCTGGAGACACCAGCGATCTCGAGAGCGCACTCGACGCAGACAGACGCGCGGCTGAGCTCACGCCGGCGGACGATCCTGATCTGTCGTGGCGGCTGAGCAACCTCTCGATCTCCTTCCGCTTTCGATTCAGGCGGTTCGGACACAGCAGCGATCTCGAGGGCGCACTCGATGCAGACAAGCGCGCAGCTGAGCTCACGCCGATGGGCGATCCTAAGCTTCCGCAGCGTCTTGGTAGCCTCGCAAACTCCTTACTCTCTCGATTCAAGCTGTTTAGTTGCACTAGTGATCTCGAGAGCGCACTCGACGCAGACAGACGCGCGGTTGAGCTCACGCCGACGAACGATCCCGAGCTTCCGCAGCGTCTTGGAGGCCTCGCAGACTCATTCCGCTCTCGATTTGAGCGGTTCAAACACACCAGCGATCTCGAGAGCGCACTCGACGCAGACAGACGCGCGGTTGAACTAACGCCAACGGACGATCCTGAGCTATCACTGCGGCTGAGCAACCTCGCGTTGTCTTTCCACTCTCGCTTTAAACGCTTTGGAGATTCCAGGGATCTCGAGAGTGCACTAAATGTCAAACGGCGCGCGATTGAACTCACGCCGATGGGCGATCCTGAGCTCCAGCGGCGGCTCGGCGACCTCGCGGTTTTTTACCGCTTCCGATTCGAACGCTTCGGAGAGAACAGGGATCTCGAGAGCGCACTCGATGCAGACCGCCGCGCGGTCGAGCTCACGCCGAGGGAGGATTCCAATCTTCCGTGGCGGCTGAGTAACCTTGCGTTATCTTTCATCTCCCGCTTCAAACGCTTTGGGAACTCCAGGGATCTCGAGGGCGCACTCGATTCAGCCCGGCGCGCGGTTGAACTGGCGCCAACAGACAACTTTGATCTCTCGTTTTGTCTGAGCAGCCTTGCCCTCGCATTAAGCTCCCGTTTCGAACGGTTCGGGAATGACGGTGATTTGGAGAGAGCACTCGATGCAGACCGACGCGCGGTTGAGCTCACGTTGACGGACAATCCCGATCTCCCGCGGAGGCTGGACAACCTCGGGGCAACCTTCCACTCTCGGTTCAAACGCTTTGAAGACTCTAACGATCTCGAGAGCGCACTGGAGTCAAACCGACGTGCGGTTGAGCTCACGCCGACGGACGATCCTGAGCTTCCGCAGCGGTTGAGCACCCTTGCGGTTTTTTTGCGCTCTCGCTTTGAACGCTTTGGAGACTTCGGCGATCTCGACAGCGCACTTGATGCAGACCGACGCGCGGTTGAACTTACGCCGACGGACGATCCTGCACTGGCTGGGCGGCTTAGCAACCTTGCAGGCTCGTTGTACTCCCGCTTTGAACGATTTGGAGACTCCAACGATCTCGGGAATGGACTCGATGCAGACCGACACGCCGTTGAGCTTACGCCGACGGACAATCCTGTTCTCCCATCGCGGCTGAACGACCTCGCGATCTCCTTCCACTCTCGCTTCAAATGCTCCAGAGATTCCAGCGATCTCGACAGCGCACTTGACGCAAGCCGACGCGCACTTGAGCTCACGTCGACGGATGATCCGGAGCTTCCGCCGCGGCTGAGCGACCTTGCGATCTTTCTCCGCTCCCGATTTGAACGCTTTGAGGACATCAACGATCTCGAGAGCGCAATCGATGCAGACCAGCGCGCTATTAAGCTGACTGCGACGGATGATCCATATCTTCCGCTGCAGCTGAGCAACCTCGCGGTTTCGTTTCACACTCGATTCGGATACTCTCGAGACCTCAGCGACCTCCAGAATGCAGTCGATGCCCACCAAAGTGCCGTGAAGACAACTCCCGATGGCCATCCCGAGAAGATAGTACGGATCCGTCTCCTTGCTGATTGTTGTGCTGCTCGCTTCATGCAACATCGCACGCAACAGAACTTTGCCGAAGCCGTTACATTATATCAAACTGCGATGGGTCAGCCTGTGGCACATCCTCAGGAGCATTTCAAATGTGCTGAAGCGCACACGCGATTTCTGACCGAGAACCCTCAATTCTGTACTCTTGCCTCGTTACTTTCCTCGCATTCGCGCATCGTGGACGCACTCCCCAGACTTGTCTGGCTCGGTCACAGCGTCCAACGCCGACTCGAGGACTCTGCCCGTGTGGGCGTGCTTGTCAATTCAGCTGTGTCGGTTGCTATCGAGAGCAAGGAACTTGGCCAGGCTGTGGGGTGGCTGGAAGCTGGTAGGAACCTCATCTGGTCACAAATCACATCCATACAAAGCTCCATGGACGATCTTGAGGAATGTCATCCTGATGCTGCAGAAAAATTGCGCGAAGCTCGTCACAGACTGCAGCAACTTGGTGCTGCCGCTCAAATCAACATACACGTGCCGTCCGCCGGCGTCGGTCGTGGCCCCGCACGCAGTGACTTGACAGTTCCTAGTCACTATGTACTCCCCATCGAAACAGCTTCCGATCAATACCAGAGAGCGGCTCTCAGCTATGATGCGCTCGTGAAGAAGATTCGCTGTTTGGAGGGGTTCCAGGACTTCATGCGACCCAGAAAGCTGGCAGATCTCGTTGCGTCATCTGCGTTCCGCCGTTTGAGTGCAACCGCCGTTGTTTTCATAAATGTTGCTGAAACATCTTGCGACGCTCTCGTCCTCTTCAAAGATGGCTCTGTAGAACTTGTGAAGCTGCCAGATCTCTCACAGCAAAACTCAGAGAAGCTACTGTCTTTATGGATAGAGCATGTTGGCATCCGCAGAGGTCACAGACGCGGAGAGACATCTCGGGCGAGCGCGCCGCACATCGTTGCGTACAAGAACGTCTGCGGTCGCTTATTGAGCCGTCTGTGGTCATTGGTTGTACATCCAATCCTATCTGCGTTAAAACTCGTGAGTGCTATTGTCTATCATCGCGACATAGAGGCTGATGAATGCGGGCATAGATCACAGAACCGACAGGAGAACCATCATCACACATCGTCTGGTGTCCTACGGGTCCCCTCACTCAGCTACCGTTGCACGCGGCAGGAAATTATGACCAGAAGGGGCCACGTCTCCGAGCCTTCGACTTCGTCATGTCGTCGTACACTCCATCCCTCTCGGCGCTACTCAGGTGCGTGGGAAAGGACATACCCGCGACTTCTCCGAGCATGTTGCTCGTCGCGCAATCCTTTTGCCCTCGTCTTGAGTCGGCTCCTCTGCCGTTTGTACGCGACGAGACAGATCGTCTTCGCGCGATCATGCCTGGAGAAGGACACGAGTTCCTCGAGGACGAGCAGGCATCAGTCGAGTCCACGCTCGCCGCGATCAACCGGCACAGCTGGGTGCATTTCGCGTGCCACGGCTCCCAGAACTCGGAAGACCCGACTCTGACCGCGATCGAGCTGCACGACAAGCCTCTCACTCTGGGGACGCTGATGCACCACGTCTCCGAGAATGCGGAGCTGGCGTTTCTTTCGGCGTGCGAGACGGCCGTTGGCGATAGAAAGATACCGGAGGAGTCGGCGCATCTCGCAGCGGGGATGTTGGCGGTCGGGTTCAAGGGGGTAGTGGCGACGATGTGGTCAATCAAAGATGAGGACGCTCCGATCATCGTCGAGGCGTTCTACAAGAAGTTGCTTGAGCTGCGTACGTCTGGGGATGTACCATTAGGACATACCGGCGCGGCATATGCTCTGCATCATGCGACGATGGTGCTGAAGGATACGGTCGGCGAGGACAACTTTGAGCGATGGGTTCCTTTTGTGCATTTCGGCGTTTAGTATAGCTCATAGAGATTAGCTAATTGTGTGCTTGTCTTCAGTATATGTCATTGGATGCCATGTAGCTTTGCTGGATCAGAAGCAAGATGAATGTGGAGGGAACCAAGGTCTATTGCGACAATAAACAGGCGCTCAGGCCGTCACGTCAACTTGTTCGCATCCTTTCACCTGCTCGAATCATCAGTTATTGGGACTTGGAATCGGTTTCATGCAAACGTACCTTGCTGTTTACAAGCATAGAGCTGCACGTACGCGCGGATGGGTGGCGTTCGCACAAGTCGGATACACGCGGGGGATCACCCAGCTGTGGGGTTGATTGTCCCCTCATGACTCACGAACAATGTATCGAGAAAGCAATGCGAACGCAACATACATACACATGACAACACGGACAACCAAACCAGAACCGAGCCGAAACTCTACATCCGCCTCCCACCAGGCATCCCCTCCAGACTCATGCCCCGCGTCATCATCTGCGGCCCACCCCCACCCCTCGCATCCCCATAAAACGAGTTTGGCGGAACGGCTCCGTACGGCGAGCCAGCCATCATAGGCGGACCCATGCTCCCGGGCCCACCCATGCCAGGACCACCAGTCATACCCGGCCCGCTGCGTTGGGGCGTGCTGGGGTTCATACCGCCGATGGATATGTTCCCGTTCGGTATATATGGAGGGCCTCTTGAGTTTGAGTGTGAGGCGGAGGCGTTACTTGGGTGTGAGATTGAGTTTGAGGAGGGGTTTGAGGCGGATGGGGCGGGCCGTTCGTCTTTGAGGTGGGTGCGGACGGGGGTGGGGTCGAAGTAGAGCGTTGAGTTTACTTCGACTAGGAATCTGTGTGATAGGTCATATGTGAGTAAGGTAATGTATGGGATATGGTGATGGTACGTACTGTTGTGTGCCGATATCCCATTGCGGACCGCGTTCGGCTCGGGCGGTTAAGAGCATTGAGTTCCAGTCACTCGCATTCTCCTGTAACACATGCAATATTAGTGCCTTTTCCCGGAGTTACATTCCATAGTATACACATACAATAGCTTGGGCGATGGTACTTGACGGCTCATTCGTAGGCTGCCTCAAATCCGTCCTCAACTTCGCCTGTTTCGCCAGTTCCTCGACTTTGGCAGTAAGCGCCGGACCAATTCGCTGGGAGTTGTGTCGTGCAACATGAACTTTGATGTTCTTCGTTCGCTTCGTAGTGGGTGCCATATCTAGCTGTACAGGACGGAGAGGTGGACGGGTAGGAGGTGGTGGCGGTGAGGGAAGGAGGCACGTTCGGAGTGATCGGGCCGAGACTCGGGGAAGGACGTGACCGTGTTCGATGTTGACGCGCGCCTTGATTGAGCAGCGACGCGACTTGGACTTGTCCGCGACTCTGCCTATCGGCCTACTCTACTCCCACGCTATATACCTCTCCTCAACATATGATATACCCTGCTCCTACTCTTACTCTCTCACGTGCATGAACGGCCAACCCTCCCGAGTTCAGGCGCGTATTTTCTCACGCTTGATCCATTGAGTACCACTAATGATAAGCAATGACATACAGAACATGGTGAATACGGCCATCTCGACGCGTACTAAAGCGCCTACACCTTCTAAGCCGCATGTTACTGGTATTCCACGTGTCGTACCACCGTCGCCTGCGCCCAAGCCGAGAGCACCAGTGGCCGGGCCGTCCGGCTCGCAGCGCGTACCACCGGCGGCGGGGAAGCCACCGCCTATTCCGAAACCTCCCTCGGTCTTTAAATCTGTCAATTCTACGAAAGCTCCCAATACTGCTACTTCTAAACCTACGACCGACAAAGATGCCGAAGAAACAATCGCCCGCCTCAACCAAAACCTCGCACAAACCACGTCCTTCCTCTCCGCCCAAACCTCCTACTACGCCTCCCAACTGCACGCCCTCCAATGCGCGCACCGCGTCCAATTCTCCCATCTGCTCGCAGAACTAGAACAGTCGAAATTGGATGTGACTGAAGCGAAGATCGCGGTGGAGAGGGCGATGCAGGGGCGCGTAAAGAGGGATTTCGCGATTGCGCAGTTTCAGAGGAAGGAGAGCGAGGTTGAGGGGTGGTTGGACGAGGCGGAGGAGAAGGAGGAGGCGCTGGTGGTGGAGAGGGCGATGTTGGAGGAGAGGGTGGAGGTGTTGGAGGGCGAGAGCGAGGGGTTGAGGGCGAGGGTGAAGGAGGCGGAGAAGGGGAGGGATGATGCGAATGTGCGTGTTAACTCATCATGTGATATGTTCTGTATGACTGCTGTCGTAGCAATACTTGTCAATGATATGCCTGTGTGTGATATGGTTCTGGTTCTGTGGAACTTTGCGTATCGTCTTGGATCTCGTTGTTCGAATCTTACTTCCAACTTGCCACTGACGCTTCACCTCCCTCACAGACCGAAACCTTACGCCTCCGAACCGAACTCACAACCCTCCAAACCTCCCTCGACCGCGCCGAACTCAAACAACAATCCACCCTCACCTCTCTCGCAGAAGCAACCAAACTCAAAGATGACCTCGCCCGACAGATAGAGCAGTGGAAGTCTCTCGAAGGTCGTACCGACTCTCAAGCCCAAGAGCTCCAACGCAAACTTGTAGAAATGGAGGAACGTGTTGTCGAGGCGAATAAGAGGGCAGAAGAGGCGGAGGAGAAGTTAGCTGCTGGTGGTGAAGGTGATGAGGAGTTGATGCAGAGGGTGGAGGTTGCGGAGGCGCAGGTTGGGGAGCTGCAGAAAGTTGTTAAGAAAATTAAGGGACAGTCTTCGACGTTCGCGGTAAGAACTCATTGCTTATTCTTCAGTCTATACCGATTCTGACTGTATGATCTAACATGCAGGGGGAGAACGAGGAGTTGCAAGGCCGCATCAAAGACCTCGAATCTCAACTCGCCAAGGCCAAAGCGCAAAAGCCGAAACGCGTACGTTCGCATCTACCATCCCAACGCGCCTTCTCCATACTGATTGAGATCCTTGACAGACCGCTTCAACACCTCTCGAAGTAGAGGAAGAAGAAGCAGGCCCCTCAACACCTCCGCCTCGTCCCAAATCAAAGCCCAAACCCAAACCACGCGCCAAACCACCCTCACCGCCTCCGCCCGCAGACACCCCGATCGAATTGGACGACGACGACGACATCGAAGAGATCGACCCTCCCTCCCCACCACCCGCAGTACATACGCAACCTAAACCCAAACCAAAGCCGAAGCCGAAACGCAAGGCTCCTTCTGCAGACGTGGAAGAGGTCGAGATCGAAGAAACTGTGCCGCCGCCTTCGAAGCGCAAGAAGGCGCGTTCAGCGAGTACCGTCGAACCCGAAGAAGACGATGTCTTCGGCAATGCGAACGGGACGAGCAAACGGAAACGAAAGGCGGCGGACGACGAGCCTGCGCCGAAGAAAGCTAAGAAGCAGAAGGAGACGACGCGGAAGGCGTCGGGGTCTAAGAAGAAAGAGAAAGAAAAGGAGAAGGCGGTCGACGACGAGGACGACGATATTGTCGATCCGAACGCGCCTGCTGCTAAGAAGAAGCAGATTGGATTGAATCCGTTTAAGAAAAGGAGGCCGGTTGCTGCTTGGGTGCGTTTCCTTCCCCTCAGTTCTGTGTTGCTACAGTATGGTGTGAGGGTGATGCTGATGGTGTGTTCTCAGGGCGGGGCTGTTGAGGGGGATGATGGGATGCTGAGTAGTCTTATGAGCAGGGATTTGTCGCCGGTTAAGGATACGTCGCTTGTGCCGCCTAGGAACTCGGAGTTGAGGAGCGGAAGTGCGCTGTTTAGGCGGTAGTCGTCGGCTTATATCACATTCTGTACTACTCTCTCGAATCGTCTGCTTGCTGTCGCTTCTTTCCTGGTTCTCTCTTCATGCTATGCATAACGCGTCTTGTTTTCTCTCCTTGGCATCCATACAGTTCACATTATGATTGAGCTGTTTACGTCGTAGCTTCAGATCTTATATGCAATCATGCTCCCCTTCCTCCTATCGAATGGACCAGACATGAACGGCTCTATGCCCCGATCCAACATATCAACAGCCCCGCCCTCCATATGCTGCCTCAGCTCTTCTTCGCCCTTCCACGCGCCGAAGAGGCCCAGCGTCGTGTCGTCGAGCTGCAAGGCGTACCAGTGTTGGGTACAGGATTCGGCGTGGATCGCAGCGGCGTAGGGACCCTAAGAGAGGTATGTGTGAGAGAGAGAAAGGAGTGGAGTGGATAGATGGGGAACGTACGATTAGGAAGGCCTTGGCTTGAGATAGGCATGAGGGTTTTATAGGGATATGCGCGATAAACGCTATATCCAACCTCTCCTGTTCACCCTCCCCTTCACCCTCCAACCCCTCCTCAGCACCAATCTCGACCCTCTTCGCAGCTGGCACCTTACTCGCCAATACCCTCGCCTTCCGCCCCTCACACCTCGCACTAAAATGCAACTCCTCATTCAGCCTCGTCAGTCCTTCCGGCGCTTCACCATCAAACGCCTCAAAGACCCTGAATTCTGGCTTCTCCTTCTTGTCGCGCGCGGGGTCGAGGGACCAGTAGACGATCTCGTAGGCGAACCATGCCGAGGGAGAAGGGGAGGAAGAGGTGGTGGGTTGGGACGGAGGCTTGCGAGGAGCACAGGAGAGGATTGTGCGTGTTACGGAGGCTTGGGTGTAAGGCAGGGAGAGTGTCTGGGTGTCGAGGGCTGTTTTTGGGCCAAGTGCTGCAATGTAATCATGAGTAGTCTGTTCACCCTCTGACAAGAGTAGATCGTACGAGTACGAGAGGTCATCGCTTCAACGACTCTGATCGATCAATCATACATACGAGTGGTCTTATAGCAGTTATATCAATACGGACAGTCGGACGGATAACCGAGGAATCGTTCCGATCGACTTTCTTGACCCACAAGCGGGCACGGTAGACCCACCTCGGGAATACATCTCGCGAGGCGCCGATGTTTGTGGACATTATTCAGCCCTTTTCGTACCGGACATACGATTTGCTTCGGAGGACTAAAATAGGTCTATGTCTCATGCTGTGTTCAATTCAAAGTGTTTAGTGAGCGTATTGTATGGTGCTCTGTACATGGAAGCAGGAGGCAAGGGATTGCCGCCACCCGTCGGCGTCGGCGGCAAGTCCGCCCGCCCGTGATCCGTTACACCTCCACGCGCCCACACGCGCACCCAAACGCGCCCTCGCCCGCGCGCCGGACTCACGCGCCGAAGCCTGACTTGTCCCCGACCGCCACCACCTCTTATCCCGTCGACTTTCCGCCCAATATGTCGATGGAAGAGAGCATCTCGCTCGAAGAAACCAATAAGATCCGTATCTCGCTCGGCTTGAAGCCGCTTACGGACGACGCGGCGCCCGCGGACGACAAGGATAAGCAGGCGGAGGATAATTATGCAAGGGAGCGGGAGCGGGAGGTGCAGAATAAGGAGAAGAAGTGTGTATAAAAACAAGCCTGCAATGATAAATGGGCGCTGATGTGTATCTCTGTGTCTTGTAGGAAAGTACAGGATCGTATTGCCAAGTGAGTGTCATCTCGCTCTATGGGGATAATCGTTGGTTCTACTGTGCTTTTCCGACCAAGAACCGCCGGAGAAGTGACTCCCCTTAATTCTGTGACACTACGACGCTCACCTTGAGTCGGTGGCTGGATGAAACGGGGTGACATTGTACGGGTACGTGATGACTCCTACCGTACGCTCGTTCAGATAATGGTCGGAAAAGCACAGATTCTCCTACGACTCTCAACCAACGTATACAAATCAAGATGCTGACATATACTTCTAGGTTGCGGAATCAGCGCCAACTGAACGCCTCATTACAAGGTACAACTCTCGGCGACGCCGACCCGTCCCTAGACGCAGAAGACGCGAAGAAATGGGTCAAGAAAGCGAAGAAACGCGAGCGCGAACTGGCGAAGAAGCGCCAGGCGGAGTTGGAGAGTATGGAAAAGGCTATTCAGGAGGAGTATACCGAGAGTGCGTATGTCACTACCATGAAGGGGCTTGAACTGACGGCGTATTGCGCAGAGGACCTCGAGGGTTTGAAGGTCAGCCATGACTTTGATGGACTGGACGAGGGCGAAGCTCGGATTCTTACGCTCAAAGATAGCCGGATATTGGACAACGAAGGTACGCCGCCTTCCCTCTCTCCCTCCCCACCCATTTCCTAACATTCACCCACAGAGGACGAGCTCCAAAACGTCGAAATGGCCGAAGAAGAGCGCACAAAAGAGCGCAACGACCTCAAGATCAAGAAGAAAGACTACACCGGCTACGACGACGACGAGTTCGGCGACGGGCGCGCGGGCATGAAGAAGTCGTTGTTGGCGAAGTACGACGACTTTTTGGAAGGGCCGAAGGAGAGCGGGTTCAGGCTTGGCGCGTCGGCTGTGGCCGAGGCGAGGAGTGTGGAGGAGAGGAAGAAGGAGGAGATGGCGGCGGCGAGCGTTAATAAGTCGTTGTTGTCGATCGACTATTCCAGTACGTTTAGTTCCATGCCTCAATCGCGAACCGTCATCATGATTCTTCGACTGACACGTTTTATAGAGGGACTGGAAATCTCGGATTACCTCCAAAAAGGCGACGTCGGATTCAAGAAACCCAAGAAGAAATCCAAACGCTCGACGCGCAAGGCCGAGGCTATCGACGAGGAGGCGCCCGCGACTGCGAATGGGGATGGGATGGACGTCGATATCGTGCCCATTGCGCGCGAACGGAACCTGGACGCTAATTTTGTGGACGACGATGATCTACAGGCTGCGCTTGCGCGGACGAGGAGGGCGAAGATGAAAGCGAAGAAGTTGACGCCGGAGGAGATTGCGCGGAAGAGTGCGTTCCCTTTCTCCCTTCAGCTCAAATGTGATCAAGAAACTAATTCGAGTGTAGTTGCGGAGGAACGGGCACAGTCGACGCCCAATGGCGATGCGATCGACGTTGACGCCGAGCCGGATGAGAAAGGCGGCCTTGTGATCGACGACACGTCCGAGTTTGTTCGCGCGATCAACTACGAGCCTGTCGTAGTCAAGAAAGAAGTCCGAGAGCAGAGCGCAGTACCTGCACCCTCCGCCGCCGCACCTCCTCCACAACCATCTCAAGTCACGGACGAACCTATGGAGGGCGTTGAAGTGGCCGTAAAAGAGGAAGACGAAGAAGAGGACGAAGGCGCGATACTCAATGCCATTGAGAGCGCATTGAACGAGCAAGAAGCCGAGGATCGCGCAAAGGCCAATGCAGGAGGGGAGGTGGAAGTCGGAACTTCCGCCGAACAAACCTTCGGCTCCGGCCTCGGCTCAACCGTCAACATCCTCCGCCAACAAGGCCTCCTCGCCCCGCCCACCGCCGACCTCCGCGAGCGCGAGCGTATCCAGCGCGAACGCGACCTCTGGCTCGCGGATCAGCGGCGCCGAGTCGCCGAGCGCGAGCTCGAGCGCCTGCGCGCAAGGGGCGCGCCGAAGGACCAGGCGCAGCGCGAGTACGAGAACCGCGTGCGCGAGCAGCAGGAGGCGCGCGCGGCCGCCGAGGCGTTCAGGCATTACAAGCCGGACGTGAACATCGTGTACCACGACGAGTTCGGGCGCGAGCTCACGCCGAAGGAGGCGTGGAAGGCGCTGAGCCATCGGTTCCACGGGAAGGGCTCGGGCAAGATGAAGACGGAGAAGCGGCTGAAGAAGATTGCCGAGGAGAAGAAGCAGCAGGCGATGCTGAGCAGCGATACGCCCACGGGCATGAGCGCGGCGTTTGCGGCGCGGCAGGAGAAGACGGGCCAGGCGCATTTCGTGTTGAGTGTGGGCAATCGGGGGACGGTGCCGCAGGCGGAGGGGTATTTGGATCCCGGGCCGCTTGTTAAGAAGGGAGGGAAGACGGAGAAGAAGAAGGAGAGGAAGGATAAGGCTGGCAAAAATGCGGGCGGCATCCAGACGCTTGATGGGGGGTTCATGACGGTTCCGGCGCCTGTGAGCGCTGTGGCGACTGCTACTGCTACGCCTAGTCCGAACGCGTCGCCGGCGCCTAGGGCGGGCTTTTCGAGGATTGCGAGCTTTACGGCCGAGAACTCGCCCAGTGGTCCCGGAACACCTGCGCCGTCTGATCGCTCAAAGGTTGCCTTCGGATTCGGGACGAAGAGGAAGGCGGGAGAGGAGGCGGCTGGGACGCCGCCGCCCAAGTCGGCGCGCGTGTAGGAGTTTTACTCAGGCATTGGGCTTTCGATGTTTACGGTCGCGGGTGTTATTGTACATGTATGTTCGGCTAGTACAGAACAGGGGTATATATTATAATGTGGAGACGCTGCTCAGCCCAAGGTCCTTTGTTACGTTCGAACGGCCCTTATCCAACCCAGATGTCGACGCGAATGATTTGGCCAGCGTCACGTTCTCGTCGTCCATCCTGCGAGGATACATGAGTATCTTGAATGAGCGCGGTAACGGGGAAAGCCGACGCACCAAGCCACTTTATGAGTCTCCTTCTCCATAACGACCTTAACCGTCGTCCACGAAAACCGCACAAGACCCGGATACCCAAAAGTCCTATCCATACACTTCTGGATCCACGCCTTGGTCTTCGGATCGCTCGGGTACCCGCTCCCCAGCTCCTCGTCCTTCCACCGCGACTCCTTCTTACCGTCGAGAGGATGCTCCTCGTCGAAGAGCCACCCCTCGATCCAGGCGTCGCGCGTCACTTTTGCCGCGACGGACGCGGCGCCGACGATCTTGAATTTGGAGTCGGCTTTGGCGGCGACTGTTATGGATATGCCGGGGAAGAGGGAGGAGAGGAGTTGTTCGTAAGGTTTTATGGGGCCTAGGGCGTCGACGTAGATCTGGAGAAGTCGGTGTTAGAGAGACTAGGACTGGATGTGGTATTGGGGTGAGAGGAATATACCTCCGACAACTCGATGCCTCGTTGTAGGACTTCGCGGATGAGAAGAATAGTTGCGTCTTGAGATTGTTTGTTGAGGTTTATGGGCGGTCGTCTGAGCATACCGGCTGAAATATCTTGCGGGCTAACAAGCGGGTTCGATACAGCTGTAAAACACGACGTATAGAATGATTGTACTAACCTCATGACGCGGACTGACCAGCCAAGATTAGGCGGGTCACTGCATAGCGTATCCAGTAGCGAAGACCGCGATCCAGCCGTAAGCGTCTTCGAATCTGCCAACCATCCATTCAGCACCGTCATTTCATCACATTGAAGCATGCTTGTTACCAGCGAAACCAAGCTCCTCCAACTGTTCCTTGTAAGCAGCAGGACAGTAAGACACCCCATATACGAGCGGACCAAGTACTGGTCCGCGACCGGCTTCGTCTACTCCGAGTATGTATGGTCCGGAGGCGGTGGGCGTGGGCGAGTGGTACGTGTATGAAGTCGTTAGTGGTACCGATGCATCGGGTATTGATGGTACATTGTGAGCTTCTTCTGCTGAGATGAGCGACGGTCCGGCTTCTTCTTTGTCTGACATGGTTGTGCTGAGGAGGTTGCGGATGGAGAGAGTGGTGGTGGTGGGTGAACGAGGCCGAGGCACGACGCGTCTGAGACAACGCGCCGATCAACGAGAACGTGACCGCGTCTCTCGGACTTTTTGGCCGCTTTACCGAACTGCTGTGTCGGGGCTGCACAGCTCCCGCCGGCCGTATCTCAACAAGAGAAAAATAGAGCGTACTCGTATGATTCAAGTTCTGCGAAAGTGGTTCGATATGCATGATGATCGTTCGAGTGGGCAATTATATACACTACAGGCAGCGAGCAAGAATGGAAGCGCACGATGAGCGGATCAGGGGAGCAAGTGGTGCATATAGTACAGCAGGTACACGACGTACAAGAGCGGGAACAGTACAAGGGCTCATCAAGGAGAACGTACAAAGCCCGGTTGTGAAGCAATATACAGGCGGAGAGCAAGAGCAGGAACGTATCGGAGAAGGGCAGAGTGTGATACAGCGTGGGAGCGTATTATATACTTATACGGAGAGCAGGAGGCATTTCGTAGAGGGAAAAGGAGTCAGCAAGAGAAGTTGGGGGGAATAGCAGAGAACTGCGATCGTGTCAGCACTGAGGCCTGAAGAGGAGCGGAAGAGATGATTGTGTAGCAAGAAAGAAGTCCGAGCATCTAATGCGATACACGCCGACAACAAAGATGAAAGCATACGATGGATGATACGAGAGGAGAGCAAGAGACGCTGAATACACTGGCAAGAGCAAAGGTGTCTGATGGGACACGATGGAGGGACGAAGAACACGGAGGATACACGTTGAAGCGTGAGGGAGGATAGATGCACACGAGGCGCTCAGCGTCTGTTGCCGTGCTTGGCCTTGCGAATGACAGATGGTTCTCGCAGTGGCACGAGCTCAAGCGGCTTGGGCTTTAGTCCGGGTACGCGTTTGGATGATACCTTATTGCGTGAAGAGCCAGCTTGTGTATTGCTGGCGTTGGCCGTGGAGCGCCGATTCTCTTGTAACGGTGTTTTCAAGGAGCGCGCAGTCTCGTCTATCGCTATTGATCGGTCGTCAGTTTGGGGCTATGCCTAAACAAGATCTAGCCGTGAGGTCTCTTACCTACTCTACAGAATGGAAGGGGTTTACGCCCATCCGCCGGTAGACAGGGTGCGTCGTCCGCAAGCTCGACTCCAGATGTCGCGGCCGCCATGAGTAGCCGGTCAGAGAAGCCTACAGGGCGAGAATTCGCATTCTTCCCTTTGCGACGAGTGGCGCTAGAAGCTTCGAGTGATCTCGGGGGTCCAGGACCAGATAGGCGTCGGCGCTTGGAGCTCTTTCGAGACCGCGTCGGATTCAGATTGGCTTTGCCGGTCAGGCGACGAAGCATTTGCTCGATGGTTAAAGGGTCTGACGAGTGCTCTATAGGTCCAGGCTCTGAAGAAGGTAACTCGTCGTAATCTGAGGTTGCCGCAATAGTAAAGGAGGAGTCCATGTGGCCCAAAGCTGTGATCGGGGGACTGACAGGTTCAGGCGACGCCGTTCGCGAATGGTCATCGTACAAGTTTGCGATAGGGTCGGGACTCTCAGATCTAGCCCTTTCTGGTACGATCTTTCCAGGACGTTTACGCAGCACTCGAACGAGGGGTTGAGGTGAAGACCCTGGTGAAGACCGAGGCAGTGTCTCAATCTGCGGCTGGGATTGCGGCTCCGTGGTCGTGATACCTGGAGCGCGTTTGCGCTTCCTCGTAATCTTTTTTCATGATGTCGGAGACTTGAACCCCGTATGATAGAAGGTTTACAACTCACGACACGCTCCTCAGTCATCGCAGCGCGTACGCGTCGATGGGTTTACTCGGCAGAATCGCAGGATCCGAAGACTTGAATGTAAGCGAAGCAGCGTGAGTGGCCGCCGACACTACTGCTGAAGTGTTATCCCCAAAGCGGTACTGGTTATATGACGGTATGACAACAGGTATGAGCGTAGAGGTGGTGGTGGTCCGAGAAAGAAGTCCCGTCCGCGCCCTGGCGCCGGAATGCCGGCGTGCAACCGTGAGAGCCGAGAACCCGCGCTTTGTAAGCCACGTGCTCCGTAAATGCACCGCACGTGGAGCGTGCCCCGCAAGTTGCGCAGCCTGAGTCAAGGTCCGCGCGTCGAAAAGTTGGACCAGACACTCATCCGTGTCGTCCGTATCGGCCGCACGTCAATGAGTGTGGTGCGCTCGTCTTGACGGGTGTCTGCTAGAAGGTTGTAGACCTCGCCTGAACTGTCCAGAGGGTCCAGAAGCCCTCGAGCTTTGAGCGGGGCTCCATGTTCTCCACCCCATATTGCGATGCACTTGCCCGCCAACGCTAAAGCTAGTTCTCTTTGAAGGTATTCGTGCGGTCGTTATGGGCCGACTAACATGTGAAACCCTCGAGGAACCGCTTTTTGGAATATTTGCGGTGCCTATCAGCGTCCGCCCGGCGGCTGCGAGCCTCGGTATCGAATCTTTGCCGCCGGGTCGGAGCCAGGTTACTTTTGCGTCGTCCGACAGCTCCGTTGGAGCTCCATGGCCATGAACCAGAGCTTGGAGCCGAGCATGGGGGCTGTGAAAGCTGTTTGTAGTAGTCAGCGAGCCGAATCCCCAACTCGCGGGCCGCCCGGTACATCCGGTCTTGCTTTCAGTCAAGCCAGATATGGCGTGGAAAGTACGAGTTCGTTCGGTCTCTTCCGTCCATGGCAGCGCATATAAGCTGCCGCTTCGCGATTTGCGAATGTCTCTGCCCCGTCTCGTCTGAGCCTGATTCCGTCTCCTCGAGCCTTCTCTGATACACGAACATGGAAGGCGTCGACCCGGATGCGATTCTCCAGCTCGTCGCAGGCGACACTGGCATCGATCTGCCCATACCCGATGGTGAGATGCTAGGCGCTGAATCAGATGGCTCTGGATCAGGCTCGTCGACGAACACGGTGTCGATGTTGCGACAGTTGCAGCAAACACAGCTCGAGGTGAGTGCATTTTTTGATTGTATCCGTACCCGGACATGCATATGAATCCGTCTTCTTTCTCAGGACGGTCCCGCGGACGAAGGCGCCCAGAACGAGGTCGCAATTTCGATAGTCTTCCATCCGGGCGCCCTGCTCGACCCTCTGGCGTCAGACATGACGATCGAATCTGCGGACGGCGTGTTCTTCAGCGTGCACTCTCACCGCCTTCTCGCCGCCTCGACCAATGGGTTCGCTTCGCTCGTTTTCCCGCCCGCCCCGGGCGCTTCGCCGGAAAGTCGACACTTGCAACTTCCCCTCTCCGGCAGCGTGATCAACATCCTGCTTCACGTCGTATACGGGATCTCCCTCCAGAACTTCCGCCCGCCGATCGAGGACATCGACGCCGCCTTCAGTGCCCTGGACACGTGTGGTATTCCCTTGAAGTCAAATACCCTGCCCGGCACGCCGCTATTCACGCTTGTCCTGAGCCAAGCGCCCGCACATGGCCTCCAGTGCTTCGAACTGGCCGCGTCGCACGACCTTGAGCCGTTAGCGATCGCCGTCTCACCCTACTTGCTCTCGCTTTCGCTTTCCGAGCTCACGGACGAATCTGCGATGCGCATCGGTCCGGCGTACCTTAAACGGTTGTTCTTTCTCCATCTTGGTCGCATCGATGCGCTCAAGCGTATCCTCTATGCACACCCAGGATCGCATGCGGCCACGCTTGATTGCGATGTGTTCGATCAACGCCGTTTACAGAACGCTTGGGTGCTCGCTGTGGGTTCGCTGACTTGGGAACCTAAACCTGGTGAGTGCCTTGCACGGCCATCACACACGTATCAGAGACTCACACGCTGGTGTTTAGGACTTTCGCCTGGCGCTATAGACTCGGCACTTCGCCCATTAGGCGAGCATCTCAGCTGCGAGCAGTGCAGAAACCGTCTTAACGAGCGCATCCGCGACGTGCTCGTTCAGTGGTCGCTCGTCAAACACACCATATAGCCGCCGACCACACTGCTCGCCTATCATCCCCATACACGCACGGACGACTGGCCTAGCCAACCAATGTGGCCGCACTACGAGTGAGTGATTAGGCTATCTGTCATTCTTCGTCAGCATACTGAAACACTATCCCAGCTCATAACTCACGCTCATTCCCCGTCTTTCGCCTCTCCATATAATCCAAGGCAAAAACACGCGCCAGACTCTGCACGACCTATACCTGTATCATTATCGCGATCTCCAGATCTTCGACATGCGTAAGGGCCGCATGTTGTGTCTGGGGTCGCCGCCTGCGTCACGCCTCAGCCTAAGCGGCCTTTCAGACTACCCGCATGCGTTAGGGCCGCATGCGACGTCTGGACGGCGCGCCAGCCATACCCTGAAGAGTCACTCATTCCCACCAGCGACCGACTATCCAACTGTACTCATCATGACTATCTGAATGCTCCGGGTATTGCTTGTTCTTGTTTTGTTTGTTTTGCTTTCGTGCTGCTGTCGAGGACCGGATCCCGTCGGACTGTACGCCCGTTGGTCGCCGTACTGTAGAATGGTCTCCGTAGTCACCAGTACAGTCATCTCAATGTAATGAATGGTCACTTCTTGCCATCTCGTCTGAATGCATCGGTTGGACGCGAACGTGTCCGCGCGAGCAGAGGTTTGCGGTGTCCAGATCAATACGTACCGCTGACATCGAGCCAGAATATGCATTGTGTCCGCCTATGCGCATTCGATCTCTGACGAAAGAGAAGTTTTAGAGGAGTCTGACATGACTTCAAGAAGTAGAGTCCCCAGGACCGGAAGGGACTCGGAGTGCTCGCACTGCCGTCGTGGTTGTCGGCGAGTGTAAACTTGAACGGGCCACATGCCCGGTCCGGTCCACCCGGCCTCCGTGCAGGTTGCGGCTCCGACAAGAGATTAAGCTAGCGGCTTAGCTCTGACCTCCATCCTCTCCCTTCCATCCGCGAATTATCTTTCAAGATGGCCAAGAACATGTTCATTGGGTCATCCTTCGTCGGAGATCACACGCGCCACCGTCTTCCGCGACCGGGAGGATCAACGCCTGGCTCAACACCACCATCATCTCCTCCACCGGGTAGCGGTCCGACGAGCGCTACTGCTATAATGCAAGCTTTCCCGGCCGAATTATATTCACCTCCTCAAAACGCACAAACATCTACCTCGTCGAACTCTAATGCAACTACACTACCAGCAATGCCGCCGTTGCCACAACTACCGCCACCCAAAACACTTGATCCCGCCCAAGCTCTCGAACTGAGGTTACGATGGTTGGAGGCCGTATTATTTGGAGTCAGAGGTGGTAGAGAAGGGAAGGATAGATTCGTAGAGAAGGCGGGTGCGGGCGGTGATACGCTTGTACGGAGCGCAGGAGAGTTGCAGAAGAGGATGGACGAGATTATATCGGCTCATGATAGTTTGCGGCGTTTCGTTGACCATTGTAAGTATATTCTCTACGCATATTACGCAATCACAATCGCTGATAAGACCCGTAGACCAACAACATGGGCATCTTCTCACACCAGCGTTTGCGCTCAGTGGCTCCTTACCAGCCACGCCGGCGTACGAGGGCATGAGTCCAGCAGAGCTGGACGCTTTCTTGACTGAGCTGGAACCTGATGTCCGTGCAGCGGACCGGGATATGCGTGAGATTGCTTTGCTCGAAGAGAAAGGTGTGGCAGGCGCAGGGAAATTGCCCGGTGAGTGCCCTGTTTGAGGACTATGTGCGGTGCTAATGACGGTCTGAACAGACTACGAGCCCCTGCAACCACGATTAGATGCCCTCGTAGATAAGTACGCCGAGGACGCGGCCACAGCAGGGAAGCTTGAGAACAGAGTAGCAGCGCTGATCCAACAATATGCCACTCAGGTATGTCTATGCCTTACATCTATCATCTCTTGTGCAATGCTGATCACAACTTCTTTTGAACAGGTTGATAGCTTATCGGAGTTATTCGTGGAATGGGACGATGTCTTGCGTGAAGCGGAGAACCGCATAACCCAATTAGAACGCGACAAGGCTGAGCGAGAAAGGCTAGGGTACGAGTAATATGGTAACACGTGTCCCGCTGCGCTCTTGTCGTGGGTCATGTACATGGGACGTACTATGATGCGTGCCTGTCATGGTTCACGAACGAGTTCGTCGCTATGGATCCTGCGGGTACGTTGTGAACCCTGTTCTCCGCCGACCGGTCTTCTCACAAAGTGGCACCTAGAACAACCGGTGTATATAGCAACCTTTCATCAAACTCTCCCATTGATGATGCAGATACAAACTTGCAAGCTTCATGGCTCTCAAACCTCCATATGCAACAAGCCTGTCCAGCTGTACTGCCATTCGGCAGTTCTCCCGTCGTGGTATACGTGTCATGCTCTTCCACTCACGATGGTTGCTCCGGGCAGGTCCCTGGATCCGACGTCTTTCTTCAACAGGTTTGGGCTCTATGCCGTACTACAAGATCTTTCTCGGCGGCCAGTCCGATGTGATAATCGTCGCGACCCACTCTACTATGTGGGCCAAACGTGCCACGAAGGTGTATGCATCACATCAGCATACATATCATCATGACACCGCTATACATTTCAGTCGGTTTCTTTCCTTCGGCAGGCACTGCAGTCCGCGGTCGGCACTGACTCTTTGCTATTCATGGACAGATGGTCAATTTTTCATGTAATACAGATGGGCAGCCATTCCCAGCCTCTTTGCCCAATCACTAATAGTATGATCAGTTCCCAACCTTCGCATATATGTGGACGCCCCTCTCGTCCTGTTCCATCGTGAACTGTCCGTTGCTTGACTTCCCGTTCAGTCAAGATGTGTACCAGTCTAACGCATACCTTGTGGCGCACGTTAAATATGGCATCTTGGATCCTTGTACCAATTGTGGCTGGGCAGGGCCCTGCCATTCCCTCACAATGGATGGTGCGTTTGCGCTATGTTGACAGAGTTCAACTTGTCTAACCCGGCATCTAGGGCACAACATCAAACCTGAGCCGCGCATCGCGTGAAGCATTGGCTAGCGGAGCAGCTACGGCCCTCACAGCTTACGTCGATCCAAACATGGCGAACCAGCCCAATACGGGTACCACCACAGACCTTCCACAACTCAAATATGTTGCCAGTGTCTTTGCCGTGCTTACCCTGCAGGATCACTACAGCGGGAACCTCACTTGGAATGATACGGTCACCAACGGCCTTCTCGATTACTATCAGGAAAACGGTCTCTACGGAAAGCCCCCGAACACGCTTAATAGTGATGCCATCTACTGGGGACTGACGTTCTTCTACGCGTACCGAACATATCGTCAACATTCTCTTCTCGATCTGGCGATCGTCGCGTACAACGCAACCTATGTGAATGGTTTCATCTCGCCAAGCGCAGCGGAAAGTGGCACGGGTGCTGGTCGCAATGTATCGTTTTCTCCGCCTTCAGGTTGTTCCGGTACGTCATCCAATGCACTCCATGTAGATGTGCACGGGCTCACTAGACGATCCGCAGGAACTTATGCAGGTGGTGTATTTTGGGTAAGTTCCAATCATGAGCGAAGTAGTCACCACGTGCTTTAGTTGTTGACTACGTTCGCACGCAGACTGAGGGCGTTCAAAATAATACCGAGATAACTGCGTACACCATCGCTCCGTTCTTGGCGTGGGTACTATGTTCTATCGCCCCGAGATGCTGATCTTCACGCTAGAGAATTGAAGGCTGTCGGCATACTTGTACGAGGAGACGAACCAATCAGTATACCAAGAAGCGGCGCAACTTTCGGCGGACTTTGCCATAAACCATCTATGGAACGGGACTGCCTTCTCTTACACGTTCTATCCGCTTTCCTGCACAATGGGCGGCGACTGGATCACGATCAGTCAATGGCTGATAGAAGGCTCGTCATCTGGAGACCGGACTTGCTCAACCGTTCCGGTGGTTAATCACATATACAGGTCTTGCAGTATGGGCGAATGTCACCAGAAACGAAACTCTGACCTCGTTGTACGTATCTTATCCGTTCATGCAGTCGATGGTGATGCTGACTCCCATCATTAGCTTGGATGTGGCAGTATCCAATACAACGACGTACTCTGTCTGGAGCTTGGAGGACGGCGTGAATCAAGGTGACCCTGTGGGATCGCTCTTGAGGAATCCATCGACTGAACGATTGCTTATAGAAGGATTGAAATCGACAGACTACACGAGCATCGACAAGGGTATCTTCGTCCGCGCACTGGTGGAAGCCCGCAATCGCAACCCGGGAACAGCACTTGCCACATATATCGAGGCATACATCACAGTACAGGTCAGCAGATGTAGTACGGCATCCGTCATCGCAATGACACCACCCCAATAGTTCAACGCACTGCTGGATCACGCGCGGGATCCGAATACAGATTTCTACTCGACTGCTTGGATTGGTCCGCCTGCTTCGTGAGTATACTCTTTCTACAACGCTTCGGGATGATCTCTCACACGATGTTCAGAAGCTTCATAGCTGGAGGAAACATCGCGGCTCTGGATGTTCTCAATGCAGCTTTCAGCTTCGTCGAGGATGCGTACGTGAGGATCGTACAACAATCCATTCGCTTTTGTTGACTACCGTACTACAGATCAGCACCGTCCTCGAGTAGCCACAAGTCTAATAAAGCTGGTGTCATCGCTGCCAGCACTGTCAGTGCCATCGTCGCAAGTACCGGCTTCGCTATTGCTCTGTATTTTTGGCGCCAGCGTCGTGTTGAGGGGTCAGCCAACCATGCCGAACCGTACATGGTTCAGTCAACCACTCTACCCTCTACAAAATGGAACCGCTTCTACGCACCTCACCGCGATGAACCTCCAGCATCATGGGCTATTACGTCAGAGGCAGGGCCAGCACCGACGTCCACACTCGATGGTGGCTACGAACGAGGCTTGATGACCGAGCTCTCTGACCAAGTTCGTCGCCTCTACGACCTTGTACAGCATCGCCGATTATCGGTGGAACTGCCACCCCAGTACAATGATTGAATTCTCGCGCGTAAACTTGATGGTCATGTGTGACAACCCCCGTCCTTTCTTCATGTACTTAGCTAGTATACGTCATCATCTACAGTAGCCTTCACCACTATGAGCCCTGTTCTAGCGAGTATGTCTGAGTATATGCTTGTAGTTAAGCTAGCACTTCGGCCGATGATCAGTAACATGCGCAACCACCCAGGGTTGTGGTGATACCAGTTCGGAAATTGCCGCGCCCGACATGTACACTTACCCCACGCCCAAGCGCTTCGCATCCTTGCTTCTCCCCATCATCTACCATATCACAGTTGTGGATCTCAGTCCGAAATGAAGATCAAGTGCGTCAGCGTTCGATACATGTTATGATTGAGCTGATGTTGAGTCGCCTGTAGGGAGTTGATGGATGCATGGCTTGCGAGCCACGAACGGGTCATTGACTCGCTGCCACGCCCCTCTGGCGGCGCGGTCAGTGCCGAAGGCTCGCACGCACTTGTAACATGGGACGAGGAGCTTTCGCGGATGCAAATGGCGTTTGCTAGGGCATTAGAGCGACGCAACGAATTGGCTCCCATCTCGGCACTCCCTGCTGAACTACTTGCGCGGATCTTCAGCCACCTCGCCGAGTCGTGGCCCGTGAACTCTGATTCTCCTCATAAGGCAACCACTACAGGTGGTTGGACGAGGGTGGCGCGCGTGTGCCGGAGGTGGCGCTCTGTTGCGATCGACTGCGCTTCGCTTTGGGCAACTATAGCGGTCAATGGTCGTGAACCCATAGATCTGTTTCTTCTACGCGCTAGAGAACACGTGTTGAGCGTCGTCGGACAAGTTCGTGCGAAGGACGTGTATGATCTCTCGAGGTTAGAGCACCTTCTTGGGCAGCTTGGTCGACTTCGAAGCCTTGACATGCACGTACTATACAACTCCTTCGGTACCGACTTGCCGGATGCGGAATCCATCATCTTCAACTGCCTCACCAACCATCCGCAAATCGAACACCTTTCTCTCCACCGCGCCCAACCGTCTTATCTTACTGGAGCATTTGCTTCTACTACAGCCAATTTCCATGCGCCTAGACTATCGAACACGTTTGTCTCAACAGCATCACTGCTCACTACAGTCCGTCTAGTGGGGTATTCCTACCCATGGGGCGTACGGTCAGGTAGCTTGCGGTCCTTGACGGTGGAATTGTCGGAGCCAGTCTATCCTCGGGGTTTCAGTATGCACGAAATGTTGGACACTCTCCGGGGCACGCCCGCTCTCGAGCGGCTAGTTTTGACTCATGGTTTTCCCGACGCGCCGCAGGATGTCCAACGCTTCGTCGAAGATCAAGCGGCCGTCCCTCTACCGCGCTTGAGAGAGATGCAATTGGCGAGCCACAACGAAACTGCGTGGATACTCCTGGCGTTGGTCGAGGCTCAAGCCTCCGCAAAAATCAACCTTCGATTCCATCATTCCATGTCGGCCAGCCCACCCACTCATGTCATTACAATGGCGCTCTCACGGTTCCTGCAGCGTCCACTCTGCCCCGAATACAAGGGTCTGACATTGTGGCAGACCCACTCAACGTCCATTGGCGTACGACTGAAAGTCGACTCCGTCGCGGACTACCAATCAGAGACGCCCGCGGACCTCGAGCTTCACATGGAGTCAGATGACCTCGACGAGTTGTTACTCGCCATTCTTCGCGTCGTGTCGTTGGAACATATCGAAGCGTTGGCCATCCGGGGTAAATGCTATACGTGGCCTCCTGAGGACGTTCGATCACTGTTTGCGAACGCGAGACGTCTTCGCACCGTCTCATTGCGAGGGACGCAAGTTGCACAGGTTCTCTTTCCTTCTCTCATACCAGAGGAAGCAGCCAATGAGGATCCAAGCGATGCGCCCCACGACGAACTCCTCCTCGCCAATATACAAGAGCTGCACATTGATCGCGTGGATCTGAAGCGGCCCGCCCCTGACACTCATACAGGCTCTGACGGCTCTGCTCGCCGCCTCGGAGAGTGGCTCACTTCCTTCCTGTCGATCAGAAGGTCTGGAAATCCACTATCGTTGTTGACCGTGGAAAGGAGTGCACTATTCAGAGGATGGGTAGAGGCCTGGAAGCCTCTTGTGGCTGACGTCGTCTGGGACGAGGATGAAGTCGGAGACCATGCTATGGAAGAGCGGGTGTTATCCGGCGAACAGTTCGGCGTCGAGCACTTTGGTGGAGCATGGGCGGTTCCAGCGTCTTGGGATGATGAAGATGAGCTGAACTTTCTTGGTGGCCACGATGCCCACTCGGCGGCCTCGCTGGAATGGGAACAAGAAGGGTTGTCCGAGCTAGAAGAAGATGAGGATGAGGACGAGGACGACATCGATCAGGATGACCCGTGGTAGAGTAGTGTGCATGATTGCATGATACTGCTGTCTTTTGTCTTGTGTATACGTATCCCGGCCTGTATGCTCTGCGGTAGTTGATTCTTACATTCCGTATTGACGACAAAAGATATCAATGATCTCCATGTTCACCACCAACAGCCTTCGCAGGCGTTGACGGTGTTGGTCGATGGTTTTCGATCGATCTGAACGATGGCTTGCGAGTATGTTCACATTTTGAATGACCGGTCCATCCGACGAGGTTCAAGCGTGAAGGGTATTAAGATTCGTCTCGCGCCTATCCTCCAGACAGCGACGGGCGAGGTAGGAGCGTGGGCGGGTCCGTCTACGTAACTAAACACCTATCGCAGTACAGAAAAAACAGAGGAAGGGGAGGCAGAACCGAGACGCGGGGAGAACTGTACTAAAAGGAAGAGGCTAGAGGGAGCCACAGGAAACGAGACATGTACGTGAACGAGTGACGAGGGTGTGCAGTAGGCGCGGCGAGCCGTGCAGTCCGTATGGATGGTGGATGTAGTAGATGATCTGGGTCAATTCATCGTCCGCCAAGAGATGGGGATGGTCCGTCTGCAGAGACATCAAGGGACGCACATGCGCTTAGAAAAGCGCAGCGGCGGCGGCGAAGAGAGCACCGATGAAGCCGGCGCCGACAGTGTTGTGCATCGCGGCCGAGGAGTTGGATGCGCTCGAGCCGGCGGCGGTGCCCGTTGCCGAAGCCGAGGCAGAGCCAGAGGAGGCGGCCTTGGAGCCCGACGCGGATGCAGAGGCGGATGCGGACGAGCCAGCTATGAGTAAGCAATGATCGCGTCAGCCATCAACTGTCAAGAACCAAGCATGGAAGATACGACGAACCGCTCGAGCCGGAAGAGCCAGTGGCAGAAGCAGCGGCAGAGGTGCCGCTGGCAGCCGCGGCAGTCGAGGAGCCGCCGGTAGATGCCGAGGCGCTCAGGCAGGCCGTGTTGGACGAGGTCTGGATGGTGAACTGGCCAGAGAGACCAGTCGCGCCGGTGCTGTCAATGATGACAAGGCCGAACTCCTGGCCAGCGGGCTGGTTGACGGTCCACTGGATGGGCGAGCTCTGGACGCCCTGGCCAACCTCCTCGACGAAGTTGTTTGCGGCGTCGTTGAGGCGGACGTCGAACGGCGCTGTAAGGATATATATAGTAAGTATAAACGTGGGATATTCGGTGGTATCAAGACATACCGGTACCGCCGGTCCAAGAGACCTGGTAAACCTCGCACTGGATAGCGCCAGTAGCGCCCGAGCTGAAGAGCAGGTCAGTGACAACGCCAGCGGGTAACACATCAGCCATCAATACTCACGGGGTGTTGAGGGTGATCTGAGCCGAGACGGCGGCGGCGGCGAGAATGAGGGATGCGACGGCAGACTTCATTGTAGGGAAATGGGAAACGGTCAACGTTGAAGAAAGCGAGGGCGACGACGACGGCGGACGAAGGAAGCACGAAGCGAACCGTCGTTTGTTCGCATGCGGACTATTTGTACTCTCGGCAGAACCCCGATCCCGGCCGCGTGCATATCTCGTCACTCATCCGTACGCCTCTCTCCTTGCCTCCCGCCCCCACCTGCACGGCATTGGCGTATATACACTCGTCTTCAGTTGACCGTACATGGCCTTGGTACACCGCTCTTCACGGGGACTCCAGCCGGTGTGAACGCCCGACAGCGCCCAACGTGTCTTCCTTATCGCCGCGCGAAAACGGCGAAATTCTGGTCCCGTTGCCATGGAATGACGGGCCTTCTTCTTGACATCACCAGCTTGTGCACATCATTTCTTCATGCTCTGCAGCGCAGTCCAATACATACGAGCAAGAGCAGGAACTTCACTGACCCATTGTACTCTGTTGAATGTCTTACCCGTGTTGAACCTACAGCAGATCGCTGCCAAAGCCGTCAGAGTAGCTCCCATGTTCGAATTCTTAGGTTCGCACCCTTGACGTGTACCGCGACATGTCTGAGCTTCTTTCGCCCCAACGCAGACGTTGAATGAAGCCCTCGATCCGAGATCGTCTTCATATCGGCAGCGTACGCTCAACGCCTCATGTTGTTCCGCGCCTTGCAGCACCCTCGCTTGAAGTTGCTGGTGGCATGATCCACGTTCCCATGGCTAGTAAAGGTATGCATACATGAAGATACAAGCGGAAACCTAAAAGCTAACGCTACACTATAGGTCCAAGACAACGACAGCATGAAAGAAAGCAACGGATCACTGCATATACCTAGGCCTCAACCTGAACTCGCAAAACAAACCGCAATGGTCGCTCAGCTCCTCCCGAGTCCTGGGCAATCGATCATCCAATCCCACCCTCGTCAACGGTCTCTTCACCTCTACTGCTCTCGTCCCTGTCGTCATGATACGATCCAACCTCCCAGGCGGATAGTTCTGTTCGCGGCCAGAGCGTACGGCGCTTCTCCGCGGCCACCATGTAAAATCGGGCGGCTCGTTGTTCCAGATATCCGCGAACCCGGCCATCTCGAGGTTCGCTTCGTCTGCGTTGTTGAGGACGTTCAGATCCCCGGCCAGGATCCCACCGACAACGTCCGGTATGCGAAGCCATTGTGCAAGTTCTCGCGCCTGCGCACCGCGCGTTCCCGTCTCACGTGCAGTGCTCTCTAGATGAGCATTGGCGATGCGCAGTGTCTCTGCACCATCTGGACCTTGGACCAGCACGTCCGCGATCAAAGCACGGCGCTTCTGCCCGCTATTGTGGTACGAGTACGAGTAGGCCCCCGCGAGCGGCACGGTGTGCGAGAGCAAGATAACGGACCCGAAGAGAGCACCCCTAGGCCACGAGTGATGGGGGTCCGCGCCGAGGACCGTGAAGTAGGCTCGTACCCAGCCGTGACCCAGGAGGGCCGGTACGGCGGTCGCTGCTACTTCCTGCAGGCAGATAATGGAGGGCCCGATAGCGAGGGGATCCTCGCGCCTTCGGCCGGGTCGGGCAGGGAAGTACAAGGAGAGCGTGTCGAGGAGGTGCAAGAGACGCGTCGCAGGTTCTGGTCCCGCGCTGTCGACGTTCCAGGTCGCTACCTGCAGCGTAGAGGGCAGTTCTCCCGGCAGGTAGGGCTGTCCTGCGGGGTGCTTCTTGTACGGTTGGTACTCGAGGTCCAGCCAGTTCTGTTGGTGGTGAAAGAACTGGTACGGGCGCAACCACCACGTAGACTCGAAACTGGCCATCGCAAACGGTGAAGAGATACTGCTGCCTGTAAAGCGTGATACACGACGCTAATGGCTTTTATACTGCAGGACCAAGTCCAAACAGCCTGTTAACTGGCGGAGTCTGGCGCGCGGGTCTGGCGGGGGCGAGGGGTGAAGGCACCTCCAACCCTACACACCAGTCTCTTAAACAGTCTTATCGCCACACGATCGGGCCACACGACCTCCGCGCTGAGATCAGCCGGACTGCCTTCCCGGCGCCAGGCTGGGAAGGCCTGGGTAGGAACGTGCTCGAAGACCTGCATCGTGGCCTGTTTTCTGGCGCGGATATGGGAGTCGGTCTGCACCGTCTCGGCGAACCCTGGTCGTCGGAGGCTGAAAAGGGCTTCTCGGATACAATGCGGAGCGCGATGTGCGATGCGCTCTTCCATCGATGCGAAGAGTGTAGAGCGCCGATCTACTCGCACAAGTGGCGGGGCAAGACGCGCGGGGAAGGGAGATGGGAGGATCGTATGGCGGATGCGCGCTGGGTAAGAATAACTGTTTGACGTCGTGCGAATGTGTCATTGAGAGTGCTGTATGACACAGTGTACATCGCGGAGATCGTGTATTGTACGCATCGAGAAGGGTTACAACACTACAACAGGTCTAGGTGACCATGCCACTTGACGCCATCGCCAGCGGCGGACGGTTGGCGCCCACGCGGACCCTCAACCGATCCGTCTATCCGTGAACCTTGAACCTGTCACTGATGCCTGGCCGATGGTGCACGCACAACACGATACAAGGTTCGACGCGTGCTGGAGTACGGCGTACCGGTACTCGCATCTGCACGGACCGCCACGCACAGCCCATGCACTCACCGACTTCTCGGAGTGTAGATGCGCACTAGGCGGGGCTTGAACTGGGAACTTGGATCTATATACGTTGGAAAGTCAAGAAGTAACCCGATATGGTACACGTTTGGCACAGGCTCTCTACAATCTCTCGCCTCTCGTATCTGGCTTCTCATACTCGATCCGCTCTCATCGCTCTCTGGACGCGTCTGGCTTCTTGGACCTACTCCTAGACGTCTCAACTGGGGGTGGCCCGACAAGCGAGCCGTACCCATACGTGGCCGCGAGCCTCCCAAAGGCATCTCCCTCTTCAACTCCGTCCGGCTGCGTAGAGCTCGACTGTGCGGGCTGGGGTTGAGCGGAGGGCGGCGGCGAGAGGAGCGTCTCCGTCGATGTATGAACTTGAGCCAGGGGCGACGGAGAACCAGAAGAGGATCCCTGGCTCCTGCTGGTACTCCTCGACGCGGAGCTCGGTGAAAGGTACGACGAGAACTGCCTCGCGAGCGAAGACGACCTGCTCGAACCGGAGGCGGCCGGCGCGGACGACGAACTCGTTCCAGCTCCCGGTGATACACTCGCTTCGCGACTCGCGGCCTTGCGGGCGGCCTTCGCGGCCTTCTCTGCCTTCTTGCTCTTGAAGCCTGGCGGGTTGACTGGTGGTGGACCCTCAAGCCATCCGCCGAACCCGTACGTGCCGGCGAGCGTCCCGAACTCGCGCTCGGGGTCGCGCGGAGCGCCTTGACGCTGTGGGGTTCGTCCGCGGGACGGTTGAGCCTGAGGACGCGCCAAGTTGACGAGCGTTTCCACTGTGAAGTAGCGTCAATGGCGGGCATAGTAGCAAGGGGCTGGGGGACGCACTCGAATCATTGGATGGCGCAATGGATGGCGCAGGCTCGGGAGAAGGAGAAGGAGCAGGAGCCTGAGGTTCGGCATCTTGAGCGTCGGTGTTCTGGGGAGGTGCAGGGCTTCGCGACTTGCTCTTCTTCTTGAAGAGTGCAGAGAGGGAGCGGGAGGACATAGTTTGGCGGGTGGATATGGACTATACGAGCAAATGCACGGTGTTATATAGCAGCTTTGTGAGGAGCGGAAGGTGCCCTTGACCCAGGCAAGTTGATCTCGGATTCGGCACCGGCGGGTGTGTGTCAGAGACTTGAAAGCAAGGTACGCTTTAGTGGTTGTCGGTATAGACGCGGACCTATTATATACGCGTGCAGTTGTCGAACCATCGAGTTAGACAGGTACTACCAGCGATTGGTAAACCTGTCAAGTTCGCGGCGCAGGGTCCGCAGACACTGTAAGAGGCGCGCGCAGCATAGCTCGCCGACATAGTCCTCATTGAAGTGGTTATACGATGTGCGTGCGCACTGCGGCGCTGCACAGTCGGCGCTTACAGGTGGACATGAAGCATATGCAGAACAAGGTCGCGACTGCTCACATTCGCCCATGTGGTTTGTCTGACTCATGATCATCAGGGCAACGGGCACGGAGAACCAGAACCAATGCTAGGATCGGTACCGCCGGCAATTGACTTTGAAGCCTCCGATCACCTCTTTTACAACCGGAAAGGTAGTAATAGCCGTTATTGCCTCAGGTCGGTGACTGGTAAGTGTGGATATGTATGTCACCAAAGCCTTAAGCGATGATACCATCCCAGTCGCTCTAAACGGCACGGGCCATATAGTCCTCGAGAGTGGGTAGACGGTAACTAGTCCCCGAGCCGGATCCTCCTCTCCGAGACGCGAGTGCTCGAGCGAAGCCGAGTCTTGAGAGTGGGAATGCATGCGCAGACCAATCTGCGACGATGGCGCTCAGTATACCCTATACACCATGCAAGCCGCGTCAACACCGTTCAACCCCGCAGTCGTGCGCGCTGCGTCAGGCTGCGTCCTCCACTACGCCGCCCGCGCAGCTATGGAGTAAAGGCGGGACGCACGTTCACGCGCCCACTACCGAGTTCGTGGATGACTGCGAGTACAACGTCTACATCCCTTTCATCTTGATCACAGAACTATGACCATAGCTGACTGCATGCGCGCTTCTCTGCAAGAGGCTTCGCGACAAACCCTTCTTGGGACCGGGCTATTGCGGCGTACGCTCGTGATCCTGGCGTAGGTGATCCAAGGCCACGTTAGGCATGCCTCCTGGTTCCCCACCTCGGAAGCGAGCGAGTGAAAGTAGACAGAGCCACTTCTATACAGCCGCGCCGCTTGATCACATACTTATGCGAAACTCGCGCCCTTGAATTCCTCAAAGGGTTGAATCGCCGTTCAGGTGCCAGCGCCTCGAAGAGACAGATTGCTGTCAGTGAAGGTGTAGACTCGATCCGTCGCTGTTCGGCTCGCGAACTAACGCGCATTACAAGGAGCGGCCGATTGAGTGGCTGCTTGTGACAGGCAACGATATAGCGTGCTGGCGAACGGGAATACACCATGTCTTCGAAGGAACACAGTGCACAAGGATGGGCAACCAGTGGATTGCAGGTACGGCATTACTGAATGCGAGCTCGTGGTCCGTAGATGACAGTTTTGGATGACGGTCACTGGTCGGCATGGTGCACCACGACCGTGGAAATTCCTGCGCGCCACGGAGATGAACTTCGCGACGATCCCTGCGCTTGTCTTCATCGGCCACCAGATCTACGAGGTCATTGATCGCAATATTTCCTACGCGGTACATATGGGCCTCCCTGCTAGCGTCCTCTTCGGCTTGAGGGCCTGAATGTGTACTGAAGTTGCATTGCTACACTGTAGCCAAGACTCGCATCAATGGGAGACGATTGTTCTCGGCCTTACTTTCTCGCCAACAGACCAGAAGCACGCTGCGTGCGCGCCGGCCGTGCGGGGCTGGCGGCATGTATCAGGCCTTGATATAGGCTATATAATACGTACGAGTGGCCCGGGTACAAGAACCGTCGTGTTTAGCCTCGGTGCTGGTCTCCCTCCCCGTTACTCCTTCTAACTGTCCATGGCCGACAAGTTCCACCCTGTGCTACCTGATCCAGCGATCCCCGGCTCACTTCCGCCCCAAGGGATAGCTGTCGCGCCACCGCCATGGCCGCTGAAGGCGAAACACTACGCCTTTCTATTCCGCGCCGCGTCTGAAGACCCAGGAGCTGGTTACCGCGTGGAGGAAAACGCAAATAACGTCGAGGATGTGCTGCAGGGACTTCCTGCTGGCGCGTATCATCCTATGGAGGTTGTACATCCGGATGCGTTGAAGCCTTTGGATGGGAAGCCGCAGCGCGGCGGAGGGTTGCACACCATCGTGCTCGTCCGCTATGACGATACGCCCGTGGGACCTTACGACGAGCTTATTCTGATCCCGGGTGCCTTCACCAACCCCCACACCGGAAAAAAGGATCTCAGGATCACGAACATCTACGTCTCGACGGATAAGAGCGCTTTCAACGGCAGAAGGAACTGGAGTGAGTTCAGCTTCCCCTCGGCAGGAAATGCTCTTACGAAGTGCGATCTTACAGACATTGGCAAACACATCGCGCGCTTTGAGTTCACCTCACGCCCGGGACACCCGCGCGACGAAGTCGTGAAGGTGTTTCATCCAGATGATTCGCCCCTTGCATCACCTCTAGCGCCTGCGCCATTCTTCACCGCCGTGCTCACGAATTCACGAATTCCCGCGCTCCCCGCACCCTTCAACATAGCTCCGTTCTCGATCGTGCAACCGCCACTCCTCCCGCCTCGTTACGATGAGGGCGTCATGCCCTCCATCATCGGCACGGACGATAGTGTGAACGGGAGATATAACCCATGGCTGTGCATCTCGCCGGTGTACAAGGGCCGCTGGCAGCTTGCGTATATCTCCGCCCTGCCCGAGGACGAGGGTGGGCTGCCGGGCCTGGGCGATGGCGTGGGATTCCCTGTGGTCAAGCCCATCAGTGCGGGTGCTCTGTTCACGGGGCACATCGACTTTCCTGCGAGCACTATCGTTGGCGGACTATGATGTGTTCATGTACTTCGGACTGGGACAGGCGATAGTATATCGCTGCTTGTGCTCTCTGTAAATTGGATCGTATCCCGCTTCACATTGCTCTTACGTACATGCTGTACATCGCACTTGCTACTCACTCTGCTATACGGTTTTGTACCATGTAATCACCTCGCGATAACACTCCCCTTCGCACTTCACACTAGTCCCATCACCCTCTCATCTGCTCACCGTAGCCCATGTACGATACAGGCCCACTCCGGCTATATACGTACATGCGCCCTCGAATCGCACGATAGCACACTGGCTCATCCATTGAGATCTTGACGTCCATTGATGCACTGGCAGATGTGCTCTTGTGCCCCGTTTCGACCCAGCTTGGGGCCACCTCGTCCAGTCACATCGAAAAGGAAGGTCTGGTGGATATACATACTAATAAGATACAGAAGACAGCTGGTAAGATACTGTCCGAAAGGTGCACGACAATGCGATGAGTGTCTTCTCTCGAGCGCCAACTGCAGACAATCTATCCCTCATAGCGAGGTGGGAGCTCTCCTTGGCGACCCTGTACAAGGTTGTACAGCCGGTTAACCAAAGTCGGGAGCTCAGAGTCCGGTGGCTCAATGGATCCAGACACCGTGCCAGGCTGGTATCCGCTGGATGCAGGAGGTGATGATGAGAGCGCAGAATCAGAAGCTAGCCAAGTCGGGGCCTCGGTCCGCCGAGGCGCGTGATGGCGCTCCCATTTCGACATTGGTTCGACCGAAGATTGTGAAATGAATGGTTGAGTGGCCGGCATGCCCCTCATGTCTGTATTCCGGGTGAACAGTGCGCTCGCGGGAGAATGCGTGCGGCGGCGGCGACGCCATCGAAGAACGATGCCGACAATCGCGGCGACACTAACGACCGCGCCTACAACACCACCGGCGATGGCCCCTGCGCTCGAAGTCTTTCCAGGTGCAGTTGTAGAGCTGGACGTTGGCGCTGTGCTGGAGCTGTCTGGAGATGATGATGACCTGGATGCTTGTGAGACACGAGATCGCACCACACAGACGACCAACTTACGTAGTAGGTGTCGCAAAGCTAAAGGCCGCATTCAGGATATCCAAGGCTGCGATGTTGCCAGCGGCGCTGAAAGTCCTAGAAGTTGGGTTAGAACACTTGTGGATGAAGAGGTTTAGGACCCATGCGCACGAATTGGCCGGGCCGAACCACGACGTCGTATAGAAATCTGTATCCGTTGCCAACGAGTGGCTCAGGATGGAGTTGAACTGGTGGTACACATCGTCAGTACCTCTAACAAATGACCGCTGCGGGGGACATACCTGCACTGTGATGAACGACTCGATGTAGTGAGCGAGTGCTGTGCCAGGGTTGCGGGCGCGAGCTTCGGTCAAAGCCCGAACGAAGATACCCTTATCGATCGCCTCGATATTGGTACGTGCGAAAGCCTCTGCAGAGGCTTTAAGATCATCCGACACGCCACTGTACAATGGGGCCTTACCTTTGATGACTCCATCGTTTAATGTCCACGTTGGAGATGTCGTGACGTTGGATACGAACAGCTCAAGCCTATAGACTATCAGCACTGAACTCAGGCTGCGAAGCAGAAGCACATACATCGATGTCAATGTGGCATTCTGGGTTACGTTCGCCCAAACGGCGATACCTGTACCTCGGACATTCATACTCGAACGGGCCCGTAAAAGCGAGGACGGCTACCTTCCACGAACCACTGGCCGAGAGTAAGAGAAAGGTCCGTCTTCTTGGTACATGTGGCTGGGTACAGCGTATCCTCAAAGACGGTGCCATTCCACATGTGATTGAGAGTGAAGTCCGTGGCAAGTTGCGCTGCTTGCTGGTATATCGGTTCTTTCGTCTCTTCATACAGGTATGCCGATAGCCTGTGGTTCAGGTTAGCACAGAACTCGTTGACCTAGATGCAGGACTCACGCTAGGAAGGGCGCAACCGTCTCTGCGTTGATTTCAGTATCGTTCACCGCGTCCTTGGCCTGCACACGCCATCAGGGTTTCGGAAGGCACACGATGAGATCGAGTTTCATACCCAGAAGACACCACCAGCGTAGGTAACTACCAGAGCTGTCAGACACGATCTGCAGCGCATACAGGCAGACTGACGTACAGGCTGAGCAGTTCGAGAATGTGAACGGCACTCCGCGCCCCGCCCCGGAGCCCTTTGCTGCCACATCAGGAGTGATGAACGCATCCGTATAGGTCGCATTGTAGGCCTCTATCGCGAGATTGAGCAATGCTTGTTGCTTGTACGTCCGGTATGCGTAAAAGAACGCGAGGCCCCAGTAGACCGAGTCGCTGTTGATGGCGGGATTCTTGTAGATGCCGTATTGTTGATAGTAGTCCTGCATGCCGTTGACGACTTTGTCGCCCCATGTCGTGTTGCCGCTGTGGTAGTCTTGAAGAGCGAGGACTGAGAACGTGCTTGAAAAGTACCGAAGGGAGGGCAGGTCTGATTGTGCGTTTTGCACTGAGTCAGCATCACGAACACCTTCGAGGGGAATGATGAGACGTACAGGGTGGACTAGCGGCAGCTGTGGGGTCGGTCTGAATGGAGGGATCGACGCCATTAGCAAAGAGTGCCGCGGCAGCCCTGCTGGCGAGGCCCTCGCGGGATTCGCGACTGAGGTCTGACGTGGTGTTCTATTCAACTGATGAGGCACTGGTCTGCAGATGTATCAGGTTACGCACCGTCCATGTCAATGACGCCGTGATGTTTTGGGCATTGGCTGCGAGTAGGAAGCCGGCCAAGGCGGCCAGCCTACGATACGTCGACGACCAATGTAACATCACGAAGAGCTTTGCAAGTCAAGGGGATTCGACACCCGTGCAAGAGATGTTGATAGACTTGTATTAGCGGATAGCGTCTCGAAGTAAGTGAGATGGGAGCTCGAGTGCAGAATGGCAACCCTGATCCCCTCTACGAGGCTGGCGGGGAGGTGAGCCCGGTGCATGATATTCGATAGCTTGCTTTAAGGGTAGTGACCAGAGCACCTCCGATCCGACATCATCACCAGTCTGGGAAAGATACAAACCTAGCTCGGGAAGCACCGTTTGATGAGGCCCTGCCTGTCTATTCAATACGCTCTGAAGATCTAAGCGCGTGTCAAACTATCAGTCGAAGATCAGAGCGGTGCCAGTCGAGTGAGAGATTGACAGAACGATGTCTCGCCGCAAAAAGTCTCGCACATCCCACATACTGAAAGTGATAGCAAGAGTTACCATTCCGGGCGGGACACACACGAGTAAAGAGCACCGCTGAACAGTAGGGCATGGCAGCCTTCATGATTGTTTCTGCCAGGTCACTGGTGATGGTCAGGTTGCTGACAACGCACCTCGTGGCTATGTCTCACGCTCGACCAAGCTATGGCTTCCTCCCGCTCGCCCTCGACGCTCATCACGCCCGCTCGACCTGTCTTTCCATCGTCACTCTACTGCTGATGGAATGCCACTTAGCGCCGGGCGAGCTCGTCTGGACTTCTCCAAGATGAATGCGCACAGCTCGACGGTCAAATGATACCGTGGTAATCAGATGCAGTCGGTCCGCCATACAGAAAGAAGCAGGTCCATGGCAGATTGATAGACTCGCGCAATATATCGATGGGCTGACGACCACTCGGGCGCTTAGGGTACGTAGCCACGGGAAACGCCGTCTACTGCATCGTGATCTAGCGTTCGATCTCCCACATTCGTGCATATCGTTCCTTCCTACGGCGTGCGCCAGGTCATTGTCGTCGTCGATGTGCTCGCTACCAAGATGAGAACCGGCTAGGTACTATTGGCGTCTTGCAGTAAGAGGCGAATGGTATACGTATGTAGGTCCAAATCCGGCGAGGCATGGCACGTCCTCGACCCTTCCGCGGACAGCAGTGCGATTCGCCGAAGCCCTCGGCACTTCCGCGTATGATGATTCCTGTTCAATCTCGCTCTAATCAATGTTACACAGTCACCATACTACACTCAGACTCGCGACACGCCAGACTCAAAACATGTAGTGTACATTGTAATGTTCGGGTTGTAGGTTACCTCAGTGAAATCTACTCCAAGTGGAACGAGTGTCGGCTTGGGACTGGCCGCAAGCCAGCTGGCTGCTTAATTTAAGATCAATAGAATCCGCGTGGTTAATGCGACCGCTCCGCCTGCTACGTGTTGGATGACAACCACGATCCATGCAGAGCCACTTCGGACACGTGCAAGCCGTACAATACTGATCGCGAGATGACTTCATTGGGCGAATTTGATCAAGTGAACTCCAACTACAACGATGACCATGACCGGTCGCGCACCACCGATTCCTCCCAATAAACCTCGCATCGTACCGCCTGGCGCTCGCGCACCAGATATTCCGGGTAGTCCGACGGAAGTCTGGACGCCGTACCTGCATCATGCTCAGCAGGCCAATGAATACGCGCCCTACGGCGCGCCTATAGCACCACCGCCTCCCGTGCCGGCTCCTCCGACCCTCGTTCCCAGAGATCGTCAGAGTTCACTGCAACAATTTCCCTATACGTCGCTCGCTGACGCTTCCACCTTCTCCACGTACTCTGTGCCTGCACACACGACTCGCTTTCCTACCAACTCGCTCTCACCTCCCTCGATGCCGTCTCATACGCAAAGTCTCAGTGTACCCAGTACTCCGCGTCCCCGTACACTCTCGAGCTTCGACACAAGTGCTGCAACTATGGCTTTTCCTCAACCCAGCAGCTACGATAGTCGGGCAAGAAGTTATATGGCCGTACCCAGCTCGCAGGCGCATCGACACAGCCGGAGCGACGTCGGGCATCAAAGCTTCAACGGCGATGCATACCCGACGCAGGGCAACGGGCAAAGCCCACGACCACCGGCTCTCTCGCCTCAGATGAGCGTCGCTAGCTTTGATAGTCAAAGCGTTGACGAGGTTGGTCATATGTGCTGCAGGCGGGCGGAGAGGTGTTTGGATCGGTACTCATGTAGTTCTGAGACTGATGTCGTAGTAGCACTTCAAACGCCCGCCTGCGGTCTTTCGTCACCAATAAACTCAATGTCTGACCACATGCATAGTTCACAGACGATCATGAAGTACCAGACTTATCTGCTCTGAAGTACAATATTTCTATCGTGCGCGATGTACTCTTGCTCACAGGACACTCCCCAGTTTAAACTCGCAAGAAGGCATCATGGACGCCCTACGTCTCTTCCAATCAGGGCGCGTTCCCGACGCTCAAGCCGAATGGTACAGCTTCGTACCCAAAGCGGCTATCGCCTCTCTCGACAAGGCCGAGGTCGAGCGCCAATCGGTGATCTTCGAGCTCATCAAGGCCGAACAAGAGTATGTCGAGGATCTGCGGCTGGTACAAGAAGTCTTCGTCAATGGTCTACGCACGGCGCAACCTCCAGTACTTCCCGCACAGCGTCTCAAGGGCTTCATCAGTCAAGTGTTCGGCGGGATTGACAGGATATTGGGGCACCATCAACGCCAGCTCGCTGCGCTTTTCGATCGGCAACTCGAGCAACATCCATTGGTGCAGAGCGTTGCAGACATTGTACTGGATAGTTCGTCTCATATTGTGTGCACTCCATCTCATGAGCTGATCTATCCCTTCTCAGATACGCTCAAATTTGTCCCCGAGTACGAGTCCTACATGAAGAACTCGCCCATCGCGCTCGAGCTACACCGCAAAGAGCTGTCCCGCACCCCACTTTACGCCGCCTTCCTATCGCGCAGTGCCGCTGATCCGCGTTTGCGGCGGCGGGATATCAAGACACTGCTTTCCCGTCCAGTCACACGACTTCCGCGGCTGAAGCTCGTACTGGAGCGTATCCTGAAGCGCGCACCGGAAGGACACGATGATCATGAAGTGCTTCCCATAGCCATCGGAGTCTTAGACGACTTCATCCGCTCAACACAACCGGGGATGCAAGTTTCCGAGTCCAAGGTCAAGTTCTGGGACATCTGCGAGAGCTTGGTATGGTCAAGAGGCGAGATAATCGACGTGGATTTGTATGACGATGAGCGTGCATTGGTGTACACGGCTCCGTTGGCAAGAAGGAACAAGTCGGGCGGCGGATGGACGGATCTCGTTGGTGCTCTACTGGACAACTATCTGTTGCTTCTTCAGGTTGATGACGCACACGGACGGACACGCAGGAAGGTCGTTTCACGGGTGAGTATTCCACATGAGTGCTCGTGTATCAACACTCATGTCTGTATCCAAGCCTATTCCGCTTGAGTACCTTCGCCTCATCCAGTCCTCCTTCGTCGATCCGCCCGAGTCACGACGCGAACGCGACGGCAGCATCCTCCCTTCACTCTCACTCTCCTCTCGTGAAAAGACCCAATGGTACCCCTTCACGATCTACCACGCCGGATCACCGGCAACGCGTCAATACAAGCTCTACGCTCAGAGCGAGAGCATGCGCAAGAAGTGGCATGACGCACTCATTGACGCAATCGGCGTCCGTCATGCGAAGGGCGATGCAAACAGATGGTTCGCGGAACAGATCTTGGAGGACGGGAACTTTCGCCAGATTAGTACGCGTGTGCGGTATGCGGAGGGCACGAAGTTCACGGGGAAGGTCGTTTCGGCTGCTGTGTTCAGTGCGTCTTGTTCACTGAAGTGGTGATTGTGCCAGCTGACGTCTGTCTCTAGTGGCCATTGGGCGCTCGTTCTTGGTCGTCGCAACTCCAACAGGCGTATACGTCGGCCCCCGCTCCTCCTCTTCATCACCCACCACTCCGACGAATCACCCCGCACCGGCTTTCAAGCGCGTCTTCACGCACAACGCGGTGCGGCTCAGCGTGCTTCAACCGTACAACCACCTGATTCTGCACGTGGACCGCGGGAATATCTTGGCGTATAACCTGGATCTGCTCGCGCGAGTCAGCATTGGCGAAGCGACAACTACTGCGCTGGACGGAAGCTTGGAGATACTGTCGAACGATGGCGACACGATGTTCATGCGTGTAGGCGAGGCGCGTGGGAGGTCGCTGGTCGCGTATGCCAGCAAAGGGCTGCTGCATGTTACGCTACACACCATGGAGGCGGTCAAGCCTGGAGAGGCGTTGCCACCAGCGAAGGGACGGAGAGCGATGCCATCTTACAGACCCTACGGCTCGGTGCGTTGTGCGTTCGTTCCGAGTATGAGAAGAGGCGCTGATAGGCCGCAGTCTATGTATGTCCCGAGGGATTCGCACGATGCGAACTTCTTGAGCAAGGGCGTCGCCGTCATTGGCGAGCGGAATGGCGCAGTCACAGATCCAACAAGGTACGCTGGCCTACCTATTCGTCAAACAGATACCTCACCAATCCACATATGCACTTTCCTTTCTCCTCATACCCTTGTCTTTTGAATACCCGTGCATCTCTCCAACGCGACTCAACGTATTCCGATTCCACCCCCATCTCTATCCCTCCCCTATATTACCCCCCCTCCCTCTTTTCAGTACATGGCTAAACGCACAAACTTGCAGCGCAACACCCGGAAGCATATCGAAGGCAGCACACATGATACCCGATTGGTCTCTCGCACCATCCAATGAACCCATGAGCGCGCTCAAGGCGCGCGTAGAAGGCCATCGCTTGCTTGGCGTCATACGCATCGACGAGAACGAGATGCTACTCGTGTACGACGAACTCGGCTGCTTCCTCGACAAGCACGGCCGACCAGCGCGTAACGCCGCGTACGTCCGTTGGGAGGGTGTTGCATCGTCTTACGCAGTGCGCGGACCGCACTTGCTACTGTTCGCCGCCACCGGTACCTTCATCGAGATCAGACTCACAGCGCGTGGGAGACTCGTGCAGGTAGTTGAGGGAGTGGATATCAGGCAGATAAGCTGCACTACGAACGAGAAGGAGGCGCTGCTTTTCGCTGCTCGCGGAAAGCACGAGGACGGGAAGGGCTTGAGCGAGCGCATCGTCGAGCTTGTTCCTACTGCGTCGCTCGGGCTTGTGCAGGCGCCGCCACCCAATGCTTGGGATGAGTGGGATTTGGCATAGCGAGGGTGAACTGCGGCTTCCAGATGTATTGACTTTCATATCAGGCCTGTCTACGATATGTATCCCTATACCTATTACTGTCTTCAGATACCACACTCCGCTACGCCCTGAACTGTAGTGTACTGCTCGCTGTAGCTCCTAGACATTATTTGCTTCTCATGTAACTTACTTCGGGTCGTGCACTCGAACGATGTGCAGCTGGGAACCCGCCTGTATGGGCGGTGCAAGCCACGTGG